CACTGGTCTCATCGCCGCGACATGTTGTATCGGCGCCTGCTACTCTAACCGTGTTTCGGCCCCCAACGTCCGGGACATAATGAATTTCCTGAAGATAGCACTTGAACGGGATTGCGACTTATTTACCAGCAATGGCCCTCTGGCCTCGTTCAAATTTAGTAATGGCAAAGACAAAAAGGATATTGAGCGGTTACAAGCACTTATTCTAATGTCGGCGCTTCTTACTTGGCATGGTACGCCCATCCAGCGCGAAAGTGCTAGGAGACTCTTTCCTCTGGTGGCGGACATTTCGAGAAGATTTGAGTTGCTACAGGTCAAAAACGATTCATCTCTCTGCAGTATTTTTCATCAGCCAAAAATCCCTCTGGATGCGTATAATCCTGGACGATTTGATTGGGGCGCGTGGGTTGAGCAGGAATCGCGTATTCGGTTGATGCATATGGTGTATCTCCTCGACGTTGCACGTGGTCTCTACTTCAACTGTGACCCTCAATTTGACAGTTTCGAAATTCGTATTCCCTTGCCTGCGGACGACGCGGCTTGGGAAGCACAGTCTGCACTAGATTGTGCGCAGGCGCTAAGTTTATACGGTCCCGAGTCGGCAAAAGAGAAAAATCCAGATGGGTCGCAGCGCAGCAAGCAGCCTGAGTTGAACTTGACTCTCACCGCGTTATTTCATCCGTCATATCAAATCCATCCCGGAAGTACGAATCTTTACGGAAAGTTTATCTTGATCCACGCGATTCTTGCTCAGGTCAGGCGTGCTCAGATCGAAGGACGTATCCCTGCATTGGATGGTTTTGCGACGCCTCTCTCACAAAATGATTGGATCATTCCGAATGGGTCGGAGCCGGGTAGTGGCAACGGGAGCACCAATAATAGTGCGGCCGGTACCCCAGTGGCTGGTTTGTCAGCTCAGACGTACAAGACGTTATGTACCGCGCTCGATAAGTTCAAATCGTACTGGGACATGGATATGGCGCTCCAGTTTCCTCCTTCTATTTCTAACCCTCGGCGATATGGATTTTGTCGTGACGGGATACATTTCTTCTGGCTTGCGAAATGGATGCTCAAGAACACCTCGGTGGCGGATTTGCAAATGGCCCCGGATAATCGATTCCGGCAGGTGATGCAATTACTCAAATCCGTCAAGGCATGGGTAATGTCGGATGGGGCTTCTAGGGGCGAGGAGCTGGGATCGGTATCTGACATCGATAACGATTACGGGGTCTCAAATCTAACTGTCGATATGGCACAACTTTTCAAACCTCTGCCATCGATGGGAGGATCTCCCGGCATGCCTGCGGTCAAAACGGAAGTCTAAGGTTAATCAAGGCAATTCTCAATCGACTAAAGATTATTTACACATTACAAAAAGCATACGTGGGGCGTTTCGTTTCTATTTTCCTTCATCTTTTTTTTACTCAACTTTTCCCTCTGGCCTCTCAAAAAAGTTTCGATTCTCCTCTGCATCGGATCGGGTTGACGGCGGCAATTTCTCTGCATTTCCGGGTTGGCTCGCAACAAACTACTAGACTGGTTGTGGCGTCTGCATTTAGATTCGATGATTAGATTCCGGCCTACAAACCCCTCATAGGAGGTGGTCATGATGTTCACGTCTACGCATACACACACATTTTACCCGGTCAACAAATTCTGGAGGTGGTCTCGTTTCTTGTGGTACGCATTATTTCATAAAGGAGGAGCATCGAGCAGAGTGCGAGGGAATGGGAGGCAGGTGTCGTTTATGCATGCTTTTACATCGCGTTATGTCACGTATGAGAGATAGATTCACAGATCAGAACAAATTAGTACATGCTTTTGTCGTTTTTTTATACATGAATGGAGTGTTGAGTTCCTGTAGAATCAGAGCTTAACCGAATTGTAATTCTCGTAATTCTCGGCTATCGATCTAATGTTGAGGCTAGTTGCGTAAGTTGTAAAATGTCCATGTTTACTATAGATATGAAGTGTATCTTAGACAAGAAAATTTCGTGTCTTATTTCTGAAGCTAAAGGTCATATTATGTAATGATATATTGAAGTTTCTGGTCATGAGAGAATTACGCCAAACATTATCATTTATTTAGGTGTCACAAACTAATCTGTACAATAAGATGATTACATAAATTTCAAGCCTCAATTTTTCTCCCCTCAAAACTTCCTAATCAATAAATTATCATTCGACTGAGATATTCAAGACATACTCAAAACACAGTATGTCATGATTATAGCTAGTTAACTAGCCTCAAAGTCAAATTCCAAAGTGGACTGAGTATAACAATAAGGTACCGCGGCGAACCAAGATTTTTCTGGGCCAGGTATACAGAAAATGACAAGTCACATGGGAAGTGGGACCGCGCCGCTCCCGATCACGTATACGCAAGGTCCGGTCTACTATAGTCGCGCGGGCGCTCGCGCGGGGAGGGGGAGATTTGGTTACTACGAACATGGCACACGACATGACATACGCCGCATCTGCGTGAATCTTGCTTAGCCGTAGGTAGGTGCGGACTAAGACCCAACCCTACCTACCCTTTCTTTTTTCTTTTTTATGGAGGAGGAAAAATAATGATACCTAAAAACAAAAGACAACGTTTGACGGCATTTGACAGCACTTGAGCATGAACGAACGAACGGGGACAACAAGACAAGACAAGATTACACTACGGAAAAGCCCTTTTTTGGACCCAAGGTACCTTCGAGCAAGGTTCCCGGTGGGGATACATTGGATATATGAATATCATATCTTGATCCCCCCCTCGTTAGGGTCGTGAAGTAGTGGTACTTCCATGATGTTTTTCCCTCGAGAGTTTGGCTCTTGGGCTCGCTGGCCCCCTTTGGGCTTACACGATCTAACGACGCGATCGTGGACCAGGGGTTGTTGTTGTTGTTGGAGGGGGAGAACGAAAGGAGGGGGGTAAAGCAGCAGCAGCAGCAGCAGCCGCCGCGGCAATGCCAGGCGAGACGAGGCGAACCACGATCTTGGGGGGGCCTAGCGCAGACGAGAAACTGTCTTGTTCTGCCCGCGAGGGACGCCACGTAGCGGCTCTGTCGTCGTCTCACGCTATCGATTATTTTGGGAGCAGGAGGTAGGTAGGGATTTACACACTTATTCTTTTTGCCGGGGTTCGAAGGTCGAGGTCGGGAAAAGGCTGCCTTAGACGCGCCTCGTACCTGGTCCTAGGGCTTGGGCATTGGCTGGCTGGCTGGCTTACATGGGCTGGGTCCTGGGTAGGGTAGGGTAGGGTAGGGGGGCGTCCGAACCAAGCCTCGAGAAGGTACGGTTCGAGGGGGCGTGTTAACCACGTTGTTGTTCGATTTCTCTTTGCTGTTTTTTTTCTTTTGCGCGTGTCATTGTTGTTCGAAGAAGGATATCCCGAAGCAGAGCAGCAGTTGTTTTTTGTGACGTGGTTCTGCTGTCTTTTCCCAGCTAGGGCAAAAGGCAGATCTGAAACGGGAAGGGGGGCCCAGCCTGGCTGGTTTGCGGCGGCAAGGCAGATGGGATGGATCTGTTCGAGGGCCGCCACGTTTTTGTTATCGGGATTACACGTTCGCATTCTTTTGTTCTGTTGTTGTTTTTTCTTACTTCGCATATACATGTCATACATATCTACACTTTACCTCTTACTGACGCATACTTACGCATGTTTATTTACGCGCTATACGAAGTAGGTACTTACCGAGGTACCTTTACCTAGATCGAACGCTCTTCTCTCGCCGCCTTAGCAGCGAGGATCGAAGAGGGAGAAAAGGGAAATGTGAACGTGTTGTCACTCTCGCGGCTTTTCGGCATAAGGGGCCCGGGGATCGAAGAGGGAGATCGTTTCGCTGGCATCGTCGTTTAGGTCGATGGTCCGTGGGCTAGAACAGCTAGCACGAACGAGCGAGAGAGAGACGCCGATCCGGCTCGCGGTTTGGCCTGCTTTTGGCCCTTCGCTAGGCGTGGTATAGTCTGGTCTGGTCTGGTATGGTGTTATGTGTAATTGCCGTAGTGTCTATACGTCCTACGTGGCGAACGGTCGATTAGTAGCCGAGGCGAAAATAATAATAATAATGATAAGATCGTTACTGGGTTCAGGAACCGCGTGATCCCTTTTGCAATTAGGTATCTCTACGTACGAGGAAGATCTCCCTATCTAGGCTTTGATTGCCTTCCTCCTCAGCTCGGGATAGGAATATGGGATGAGGTGATAGACTGGCTGTGTGACCTAGACTACGTACGTACGTGCCGGAACTTCCAATGGCACACTGTAGCGGTGGTGATGAGCACTCGAGGTGATGGATTAGGCACGCGAACTGCTCGAACGACAACACAAGCACCTAACCCTATTTGCCTAACACGGCCAGCCCGTTCGTCCCTTTTCCAAGCAAAAGAGACGCCCCCTACCACACATACATACACTACACTACTTACCCGACCAAACCCTACCCTAACCTAGGTGGCAAATTCTCATTTTTTTGCCCTCCACACGGGCCAAATTCGAAGGCACGTATGTATATGTATGTTGTATGTATGTCGTGTGTAGTGTATAGTGTATAGTGTACGTATACGCAGGGTATAGTCGAGTACAGCGAGTACAGCAAGTACATACATACACATATACATAACGTATGGAACAGTAGATACATATAAGTTGGTCCAGTCCTGTGGCTAGGTAGCCATCCGATAGGCTCGTCTACACTACCTATCTAACCTGCCAGCTAGCCCAGCGGGTTACCTACTAGTTACCCAGTGCGTTTCCTAGTTTTCCTCTCCTACTAACATAGTGTAGCTGTCCTATTCCTCCTTCCTCCTTCCTTCCCCCAGCCCCCTACGTAGCCAGCCCACCGAAGGGCCCCCCCTACCTAGTTCCTAAACTTAGCAGCAGCGGCGGCGGTAACAAGAACAAGTTTACGTACATACACTAAGAGGGGGGGACCTAAGGTAGGGCAGGTTAGGTGTAAGTGTGCTGTAGGTGATTCCTTTTTTTCTCCTTCCCTTCCCTTCCCCTTCTTTTTTCACCGCCAATTGCCATTGTTCTCAGAAGCGGAACTAGACTTGGAAATGGGGCTGGCGTCGTTGACGTCGTGCTTGTCGACGGCGGTGATGCGAGGGAAAACCTTGGCCAGCTCGGCCTCGTCCTCCTCGGTGGGAGTGAAGCCGTAGCGCTGCTCGGCGCGGTCGGACAGATGCAGCCCGACGGCGCCCCAGGCCAGCAGGCCCAGGCCGACGCCTATGCGGGTGCGGGGGGACAGGTTGCGGAAGGATCTATCATTGTTATCACTGTTTATTTTTATTTTTATTTCATTTATTTTATTTATTTATGTTTTTTTGTGTGTGAAATTCAGCGTGTACGGGGGGATATGCGTGTATGGGTAAATGGGCATTGTGAACGGGGTAACGAAGGTGTGTGTGGTGTTGTGCGTAACGAGCATGCGGTAGCGGCAGCAAGCATTAGGGGTTAGCGTTGGAGGCGTCGAGATGTCGGTGACGCCCGAGAGGTGAGACGGTGAGACGTGAGTGGTCATATTCGGAGGTTAGGTAAGGTAGGTGATAGGTTATGTAGGTGTGTGTTGTAATGATGCGTATGATGCGTATGATACATGTGATGCAATGTCGAAGAGATGCAACTAGATGCAACTTACTGTAGCAACGACATGTCTGTTACCGTCCTCCTTTCCGAATTCCTCACCGACAACTATAGGAAAGAGGCGAGTTATCGAGGCGTGTTTCGATAACGTAAGCTTGGGGAGGCGCTTGTGTTGCGGTTTGGCAGAAGCAAGGCGGTGAAGGCTTGGATTATTATTATTTTTTTAATAAATTTTCCCCTTAATTTTTCCTCGCCTTTTCTACCCCCTGGCTATTCCCAACTGTACTGTGTTGTACACCGTAAAACGGAGATTAGGCTATTCTTGGAATCTCACGAAGTTTCCACTGCGGGTAAACTGTCCGAAACGCGGTCAATTTGCGGTCATGCGACTGATTGAATATTTTCGACAGTTTCGGGATTTGAGGTGTATGAGGTGTATCCTTGAATGGATGGTTGGATGAATGGTTGGGTGGCTAAACGAAGAAAAGGAGAACGCCAATCGCTCTCGTAAGCCTCCTTGGAGATTTATACCGCCTACCTGAATAATGAGTAGTGCATTTGCACTTAACCGCACTATTTACTCGTCATCGTATAGGTACTCAACATCATCAGCCTCGGTGAACGCTATGGATGAAGGCATTTTTATTTATGCTTGATTTATGAAGTATATTCATCTCGAAATCCGAATTTCTTTTTTTTCTTCTATTTACCTCGTTTAACCAATCCTCTATCGCCGTATGTCTATCTTGTTTTTTTGAATTCCCTATCAAAACCCGCGTACGTCTACATAATAATCATCCCAACGGCTTATTACTTCCTTATGTTTGTTTCATCTAATCGCTTGCTCCGAACTTAGCACGGTATGCCTCGATATTCTTGATGTCGTCTTCCGAGATGACGCCTTGCATGCCGTTGATAATATCGTCTAGCTTCACAATAGAGATAATAGGGATTTGGTACTCCTTTCGTAGCTGACCTATGGCGCTGGTCTTGCCGTCGCCATCCGGGAGGGTCTCTTGACGGTCTAGGGCGACGACAATGCCCACGACGGTGCCGCCATTCGCTCGGATCATGTCTATGGCTTGACGCTTGGCCGTGCCGGCCGACACCACATCGTCAATGATGAGGACTCTCTTGCCCTTGAGAGGCGACCCGACGATGCTGCCGCCTTCGCCGTGATCCTTGGCCTCTTTGCGGTCGAAGCTGTAGGCGACCTTGCGGTATTTGGCGGGGTCTGTCTTGGCCAGGGCGTAGAAGACCGTGGCGGCTAGCGGGATACCCTTATAGGCAGGGCCGAAAATCACATCAAAGCCATCGGCCAGCTCGCTGGTAGCGATGGTCTGGGCATACGCGTCCATGATGGGCACGTGCAATTCTCCCGTATAGAAGTCGCCAGCGTTGAAGAAGTAGGGAGATATCCGCTTCGACTTCAGCTCAAAGGCTCCGAATCGTAGGGCGCCACCCTCGACGGCGGCCTTGAGGAAGTCTTTCTTATATTGGGGGAGACCCATTATTGCTGTGAGTATACTGTAACGTTGACTATACAACAGCCCCTATAATCGTTCTTGGCTGCGATTGACCAAAGAACTTGGAAGCTAAGTTGAGTTTATCAGCCATGGGGACCGTTTGAAATGAATGTAAAAAGGACACCAGGGTGTGTGTAACGGTAAAATAATTTAAGTTCAAGCGAAAACCTAAATTCATTCATGGAAGTTACGATCTCTTGAATTGAGTTCACTCTTGAAGCTGATATTAAACCTCATGGCGGGGTAATCCAAGGTGAAAATCAACAAGTGAAACGAGAGTCAAGATTTACTCACAGTTTCAAGCCAATTCGACCACCCTTGTATTGCAATCTCAGTGCAGCAGTTTTGTATGTAAGCTTTACTCAAATGTATTGAATTGAGACTTTGAATTTGGTTGTCCAGCTTGATCAATCGCTATATTCATAAGCGCCGTCGCGAGTAATTATTCACTTGCATCTTGCTTCATGAACTTCATGAACTTAAAGTTATCGTCGATAAGATAAGGCAATCGATAAGAAATTTTCGTGCCAAGATTTCGCAAAGTACCCACTCCACCGTTCCTCCACTCCGCCATTTTTTATCAATTTGATAAAAAAAAGTTCAAGGCAAAATACAGCCGAATCCGACGAACTTCAATCAACCTTTCAGCTGTATTGTCGCTTCGCCCGTCGCCCAAGATGAAGACCACTTGGAAAGATATACCGCCGGTTCCTACGTCGCAGGAGTTTCTCGACATCGTCCTATCGAGAACTCAGCGACGACTCCCGACTCAGATCAGAGCTGGATTCAAGATCAGCCGTATTCGAGGTTCGTCTTCATAAGCTGTGCGCGCGTCGCTTTATTGCGCTTCAGATACTTACTAGCTGCCATAGGATTCTACACTCGAAAGGTCAAGTTCACACAAGAGACCTTCTCCGAGAAGTTCGCCCAAATCCTCGAGAGCTTCCCTCGACTACAAGATATTCATCCGTTCCACAAGGATCTCCTTAACACCCTCTACGACGCCGACCATTTTCGAATAGCCCTTGGTCATCTTGCCACAGCAAAACATCTTATCGAAACTATATCGAGAGATTACGTGCGTCTTCTCAAATATGCCCAGAGTTTGTTCCAATGCAAGCAACTTAAGAGGGCCGCGCTCGGTCGCATGGCCACCATCACCAAGAGATTAAAGGACCCTCTGGTCTATCTCGATCAAGTCCGTCAACATCTTGGTCGTCTTCCGTCCATTGACCCTACCACACGGACATTGTTGATATGTGGATATCCCAATGTTGGAAAGTCAAGTTTCTTGCGGAGCATCACCCGAGCCGACGTCGACGTCCAGCCGTATGCCTTCACCACCAAGAGTCTATTCGTTGGTCACTTTGACTACAAGTACCTTCGTTTTCAGGCCATTGATACGTAAGTTTGCACGTTACCCGTGATTCGTGGCTACCAGTGCTAACGCAAGATAGCCCTGGTATCTTGGACCATCCTTTAGAAGAGATGAACACGATCGAAATGCAGTCTATTACCGCCATTGCTCACTTAAGATCCGCCATCCTCTACTTCATGGATCTTTCAGAACAGTGCGGTTACTCAGTCGCAGCACAGATGCAGCTATTCAAGAGCATTAAGCCCTTGTTCTCGAACAAGCTAGTCTTTATCGTCATTAACAAGATCGACATCCTAAGGCCCGAGGAGCTGGACGAGAAGACGGGTGGTGAACTTCAAGCGTTAGTCTCTTCTGGCGAAGTAGAACTCCTTCAGTTATCTTGTAACACACAGGAAGGCGTCCAGGAAGTGAAAAACGCCGCTTGTGAGCGACTTCTTGCCGACAGGGTTGCCCAGAAATTAAAGGCGGGCACGTCAAGCAGTGGCAATATCGGCGGCAGATTGGCAGACGTTATGACCAGGATCCACGTCGCTCAACCCATGGGTGGGGCTACACAAGAGGTATTCGTTCCTGACGCTGTAAAGAACCTGAGGAAGTACGATAAGGATGATCCCGAACGCCGCAAATTGGCCCGCGACATCGAGGCTGAGAACGGCGGTGCTGGTGTATTCAACGTTGATCTAAGAGCCGACTACATCCTTGAGAACCCCGAGTGGAAGCACGATAAGATACCGGAGATATTCGATGGCAAGAATGTCTACGACTACATTGACCCTGATATCGAGGCTAGGCTTCAAGCGCTCGAAGAAGAGGAAGAGCGCCTTGATGCCGAGGGATATTACGACTCGGATGAAGAGATCGACGACGCGGAAGAAGCCGATATCAGAGTAAAGGCAGAAATCATTCGCGAGAAGCAAGCAATGATTCGCAACGAGTCGAGAATGAAGAGGGTCAAGAACCGCGCGGTCTTACCCCGAAGGGCTCTCAAGAGACCGCTGTCTCAGCTCGAGGATGCGATTGACAAGATGGGTGTTGATACCGAGAGCCTACAACTCAGAGGAAGACAACAGACAGTCACCCGTGGCCGCTCGACGACCAGAAGCCGTCTCGGCACCGAGGACTCGAATGCCATGGACATCGATGAAACACCGAGAGAGAGACTACGCTCTAAGAGCCGAGCCCGAAGCCAGCCCGCGACGAACAGACGTGAGGACGGTGTAACAAGCGAGCTGTCGAGAACAAAGGCGGAGAAACAGGCTAAGTTGGGCCAGAGGAAGATGAACCGCATGGCTAGGCAGGGTGAGGCGGATCGACACATCGCCGCTTCGAAGCCGAAACATTTGGTACGTTATCTCCTATCTTACTTTCACCACATTTGCGTGCGGTTCCGTGCTAATACCGGTATAGTTCTCCGGAAAACGGACAATGGGCAAGACCCAGAGTCGTTAGACAGGGTACCTTATATTTACGTTTCTTGCTGTTGCTGTATATGACGCATCCGACGATGAATGGGGATATCCGGTTTTCGGTTTTCTGGCGTTCTGGGCGGGAGGTACGAGAATTAGTCCATCGCTAGATGCTAGAGAAGAGCTTATGGGCGGGCAAATAGTTCTGGTACAGAGACGAAATGAATTGATCAATAAGAACAAGTCTGGCTTGATATTTCGTGTGACTTGGCAATTTAAGTACGCGATTACTTTGATAAGTAGGTATACTATCATACGACGAATTCTCCTCGTATCCCATCTATTAGAGGATCCACTACGTCGAATAGGCTGTCTAGATGTATAAACATCTAGGCTAAAGCTATCAATGCGGGTTTGTGTGTTAGGCTATCTCGTGTATCATATTCATGTGTAGAGCACCGTACATGAGCACATATATTATAGGGAGTAGGCAAGGAGGTATCCCCTCTACGAATATACCTACATAAATAGGTCGATGTGTTTTATACACATACCTGGGCATGTCTCTATACATGTGGCCCTGCCACACGAACTACGCTACTTAGAAAGGGTGTAGAACTGAAGCTCTTCAAGGGGTCGTTAGTTATACATACATACCACCGAACTATCAATATAATAAATGTATGTATGTGTCGCTATGTAAGGGACAGAAGTCTAGACCTGCAATATAGACAATACTTACCTACATATCAACCTCCCCGCTTCCATTCCACATGTGGATGAATAGGTATGTAAGCATCTAGATACAGTACCTAGGTACACGCCACTTACTACACACCTAGCAAGCTGGCTTCATAGGTACGGTGTGTGTCTAGGTAGCGTTGCTGACTGCTTTCTCACCACATGTATATTAGGTAGGTACTTACACATATACCGTACTCACATCGTCTCACCCCCCCTTCGGGCTTTCGGGCTAGTATAAATGCTAGAGCACAGCAGGTCAGCTTCGATGAAAAGGGTATCATAGGTACGTAGAACTTGACATGACCTCTGGTTCCTTCTTGTTTCGTATTATTTCCCGTGTAAATACATACAGTAAGTAAATCGAACATTGTACTTCACATACCTATGCTACCTACTTCCCATCGCCCCCGGAATACCCCTCTGGGGAGCCCCCTTATTCCCGTCTCTGCGCTCGTTCGGTGCTGGTTATGAAGCATAAGCAAGATATCTTACATTCTTCGTATGGCTAAGAACCGGAATACCTTACCTGGGAATAGCGACATCGTGCCCAGATATGCAAGTAAGCCGGCTTTGTATCGGAGCAGATTCTAAAAGGAAAGGGGCTATTGGAGTAGATTCGGATGGAATGATATATCTAGCACTCTAGCACACGCGCATATACACACATAAACGAAATAATATGGTTAGGAAAATGAATTATGCGCTAGCTATTTCGTGTCTCGCAGTATCTAGCAAGGTCTATCAGAGGGAAGAAGATGATGCCATGCAATCCGTGTTTTCATATCCCCAGTCCCCCGTCCCCTTTCCGCCGGTTCTATTCCCGTATTTTTGCCATATGAAGAAATCAGAAGTCATATAATCATCGCAAGCACGTCCCCTTAGTCCATCTCCGTCTAATGATGATGAACCGAAATGCCGGCCTCCTTTTCCCGGTCGCCCTCTTATGATTGGGTATCTTCACTCGCAAATTATTGCTTACGCAGAGAAGTAAACGCGCAATGCTAATCCCATCTTGTCGTCCGCATGAACTCCAAACTCTACCGTTGGATATGGCCGTTAAAGGTCGCCACGTCATGCCCTCGCTCACATCGAAACCTCCGTCAAGTCTAGTCGTTCTCATTAATCCATCAGAAAAGATTTAGCTTCTCTGTCTATTTTGGTCTCTGCCACCCTTTACCTCCGTAAATAGGCAGCTCATTAATGGCAACCGTCATATCATTCCAACCCCCGCCGCCGAACTGGGCTTCGCTTGGCCCTAGGTGGCGGAATTCGAATCTCTTGTAAAACGGGACCAGAAACTAAGATTGGATGACGTTAGTTTATCGTACAACAATTCACCCTCCTCTTCTACAAAAGAAGAAGAAAAACAAGAAGTCAATAGAACTTACATCCTCACAAATAAGCGCGCAGTACTTGGCCATGTCTGCGCTCTTGATCCGCTGCAGGTAGGCTAGCATGATCAGCTTTCCCAAGTGGCATCCATGAAGTTTGGGATGAATGGCGAGCGAATGAATGCAGATAGTCTGACCATCCTCCTGATGGCCTATGGGAAGCACATTCCGTTTATTCGTTCGGAAGTCGCGGGGGTAGTCCATAGCCTCATCTGTTACGGTCTTTGCATGGGATCTCGTCGCAATGATATGCGCTACCAGGACACTCTTTGCCCCATCACTTCGTCCCGTCTCAACCGGATGCGCTACGGGAAGGGTGCTGATCTCGTAGCCCGCTTCGCGGGCCTTGTCGGGGACGATAGTGCAGAAGAGTCCGAGGCACAACTCCGGACACACGGAGAGGCGATATTCGAACTTCTCTCTTGAGCACCGATGTGCCGGATTCTCAAACGCCGCATCCTCTAAGGCAACGCAGCTCTCGAGGTCCGACACGGTCAATGGGCGGATGTTAGGATGAAAGGGGAGCGGAAATTTCTCTTTTATGCGTCGCATCATAGGTTCAAGTTCATTACCCCTACTATGCAGCTGCGACCGCCGTCCGTAGTTGCCGGTTCCCTTTGCCTCTTTCGCATCATGATCTGGCATGTCCTCAGAGTCATCCACTGCGTTTTCCCGTTCCTCGACTTTGTCACCGTGGAAGTTGTGCAAATTACCCGCTGAGAACGTCGACATCAGCTTTCCGAGCCCGAGCGTGGGTCTTGCGTTTTTGAACGGGTCCGAATCCGCATCTTCCCGACCGTCGTTAACGGGCTTAACGGGCTGCTTGCCCTGCCGAACGGGGGAATCCGGAGGAGTGTCCGACATGACTATTTCCTTCCTTCCTTTTATCTTATTTACGCTTCTTTTTGGGCCCTTGAGAACCTCTGTACTTAGGCAGAACCGCTCTGATTGGCGAAACCTGTCTAAAATGGGAAGGTTGCACAATATCCTGTTTACTAAATGCCTAATTAGGTACTTTGGTAAGGTAGTAGTGGTCGAATAACAAAGGTATTGAAGTGATATCGGATGCGTTGGGCTTGAGGCGGGGTGCAGATAGATACCTAGATCGGACTTGATAGAACCGGACCGCACTCGCTTAACTTTTAATCCGAGATTTGTGAAATAAAAATGAGACTAAGGAGCCGGGTTGACAATTGAGGTAACAGAATGTGGTTTAATGCGTGGATTGTATGTAAGATGTGGCATGTGAGATATGAAATGTGATGCGGGGATGTGTGGTGTGAATAAGTGAAAGGTGTAAATGTTATCAGAGGAAAATTGAATACAGTGATAAGAGGTGAATGGTGTCAACTATTACACCAATTTTTGTACTTAAGGCAATTGCGAAGCAGAAATAAGAAAAGTTTGAAGGCAAACTGACCTACTAGGAGGGTTTCCCGCAAGCTTGATAAGTGGTTACAAGCATTGAAATGTATGGGAAATGGGAAATGGGAAATGAATGAGGAAAGTGAGGGAATAAAATAACTTTAATCAGAGAAGGGAAAGCGCAGCTATCTTCATGTGTTTACCGTGCTTGCAGCCAATGTACACATCAGAGGGTAATTACACGGATGCTCTTACCTTAAAACACACTGTAGGTATATGGCTAGTGAATGAGATTACAAGAAACGAATAGAAGCTCTTTCTTTTTCTTTTTAATACGTTTCTTTTGCTCGCGTGACCTTCCCCTAAAACTAGTATGGCAAGAGATTGGCGTAATACCTAATCAATTCGTAAACGGCAACGCTTCCCGTTTGTCTCCCTCGCCTTCTCACCTTCATATCAATACCCGTCTCAGTAATCGGCAGGGGCTCTATTGCCACCAACATGTCACCTCCGCCTACTATATGAAGACTGCAATTCTGCGACAACAATAATACCACAAACCCCTTGAATGCATCATTCGTAGGTAAGCAGGTAAGTAGGTATAAAGGAACATCGGCCATACGTGGATGCGGCAAACGCCAAGTCGTTCAGAACCAGAGGGTATCATTGCCTATCATCTCTGTGATATCGTACAAACGTAGCCTACTAGCTACACCGTCAATCGTTCGTTCGTGGTATCCCGCCTGCCTATCCTCCCAAACCCATATTGCAGTCTACCTCCCGAGCCCTCTTCTTTCAACCAACATCCTATTGCTCAAATTTGGTTGCAGCCACCTCAACAGAGAATTCGCCCCGTGTGTCGTTCGCTTCCGAAAGGATGGTAAGGATATGTAGGGTATACGATGGAGTGCCTCCAAATCAAAATCAAGTCCTATAAAACCAACGCCTCTCGATCGAGCGAAAAATAAAAGCGCAACAACTCTGGTATTTTTCTGCCCGAAAGTGTGTATCAAATTTTCTGTGTGCTTTTCTGTGGTATCATCCGACGGCGTCCTCCCGCTCCAATCTGCAACGCCGTATTCCGTCTTGCGCAGCTCGTGGTATCATGTCCAGATGTACTCGTGGATATAAAGCATCAAATAGAATCATCTGCAGCCATCGCCTGGCTGCGTCGCAAGGCGGAATAAAATAGAAAATAAAGAGAAAGCAGACAAACAATAGACTTTGAAACCATAAGAAGGAATAGAGAGATGAGAGACGAAACTATAAAGCAAGGCAAAGAGGTAAAAAAAGAATTATGAAACGCAGAGCCGACCGATGCATGATCATAGGATCGGGGTATTTTTACGCCAGGGTATATCCAGCCGGGGGGTATTGCTTGCACGTAGAGCATCTAAAAGACGGAATCTAACGGTATGGTCCAATTGGACCGGGGTATCCTGAATTCGTAGAATGAGAAGTTGACGGCCGGCCACTATCACCAGACGCACGCGCGCCATGGCGTGGTGTGATTTCGCCGCCGTGGGGGATCGTGTTCGGCGTTAGTTTGTTGTCGAACCCGTTGCTAAAATGACGGGTCGACCAGGGATGGTTGTCATCATCTGGAAGATTGACGCCGCTATCGTTCCAGGGGTTTCGGTCAGCGTTAAAGCTGCGGGTCGAATCTATCGAGATAAGAGACGACTTGGACACATTGTTCGAACCCTTGAAAAATGTGTTCATCGAGTGGGAGCTGTTCTTTCTGCGGTCAAGAGAAGACAACAGCTGAGACGGCTTTCGAAGCTTGTCAAAAATGGTGGTGGTTCGCTGCTGGGTCATGTCCTCGCCAAAGACTGGCTTAGTGGGCGAATCCGTTCCAACAGGAGTAGGAGCATGTTGGAGAAGTTTTGAATCGAAGTACTGCAGCGAATCCTCGAATGAGTCCGACTTGGGACGGGGGATCGCCCCCTTAACAATGGTGGCATCAACGCTCGCGGCCGCAAACTGCTCCATGAGAAAGTCGATGGCGTCGCGGAGGCCGCCAGTATTGTTACGAGTCAGCCTCCACAATAGAGTCACGGTTCGTTCCCCGTCATCGGTTTTCTCTTCGGCGTTTTCGTGCACTTCGAGGGTTACTTCATGTTGGTTCTTCAGCTTCGAGACGAGCTCGTTGACGAAGTCGGGGGACTCGAGGAATTTGACCAGAGATGGTGTGCGAGTAAGGACCAATTCGTGGGTTTCAGGAACCATGCCCTTCGAATGAATGTTAATGATAGCTATCTTATGTTGTAATGGCCTGTTAGACTTACCAAGAACTCGTCAGCGCATAGGGGCACCTGCCACTCTGGGCCAGTAACGGTCACTTCATCGCTGGCCTGCTCAGTACTGGGAAAAACAATCTTGCAGTTCCACTTCTTCTCAAGCTCCTCAAGCTCCTGTAGACGGGATATGAGCTGTCTGTGGTAGAGGCGATCAACATGTACGATTTGTGAAGTAAATTCAGAGTGCTATCAATATTGTCAGCCTCCTCGTCCTTGCAAGTGAGATATAAGTGTAACTTACGGCCCTATCCACCATGTCCAGAATCTCAGTCTTGACCAACTCAAGGTTCTGGGCATTTCGAGCTGGAGTTCGACAGATGACGTTATCAACCTTGACATCGTCATCTTCACGACCCATGCCGCCTAACGCACCTGTTAATAAGCCTCGAGCCCCGGTATTCCTAGTGGCAGGATTCTTACCACGATCCATAGCGTTCGAGAATTTAACAAAGACAGAGTGCTTCTTCATGATACGCTGGATGTGCTGACCACCAATGCCAATAATTCGTTTGTGATATTGGTCAGGAACATGGAAAGAGATGGAGGCAGGCATTTCCTGCTCTACCAGTGTCATCCCCTGCTTCATAGAGTCATAAGAAGGCGCAATAACATCAATATCAAAATTGTACTCTCTGAAGCTGTCGAAAATGATCTGAACGTTGCCTGTAACACGTTAGCACAACAAACTTACAAAGTTCATTCTGGATTGGCCTACTCTGCGTCATAATCTTGTTGATCTTGCCATTCTTCTTGCCCGACACAAACTCCTTGTGTTCGTTGGCGAGTTCGATCTTGACTCGAATCTGATGCTGAGTCTGGTTCACGAACTTGATCTGCGAAAGCACACCTAAAGCCTGCTTCACGGCGTCATCAGAGCCATTGATTGTAAATGTCATCTTGTCGAAGGAGATATCCGCATCGGAATTGGCACAAATATCACAGAGCATGCTGCGAATTTCCTGAGGACCGGGCAGCTGAGATACACCGGTTTGCTGGATCCACCATGACGCAAAGTAGAATTGGCCAGCCTGAACTGTCAGTTAGCATATACCAAACTGAAATTATACCTGGAGACATACGAGTGACATGATTTCCTTCATGGTCCGTTCAATGTGGAGTCCTTCAACACCTTGGACCCTGATCATGTTACGTTGAGAGGCCAATGGCGGGAACATGATGTAAGTACCATTGGTCTCCATGATCTTGCGGACCTTGTCCATTCGCCCAAGCAAGATACTATCTATCTTCGGGGCTGAAACTACGGAATCCTTGATGAAGAGCTTTGTCCTGTTCACCAACTCATGAATCTTGCGCTTAGCTAATTCTATGCCTTGAGGATTCTCGCCAGTGATAAATATCTCTTCCGGGTTTCGGCGGTTGGCATTCGGCGGGCAATATCGGTGCAATTGAGCAAACGGAGGAAAGTAGATGGCCGTGTTCGTTATCGACTCGATTAACTTGATGTTCTTTCGTGAACGACCACACACGATCGGGTGCAACGTGGTCTCAAAACGCATCATGTCGAACTCGCGTTTAAGCTACAATTGAAATTAGCATCGTAATCACTTGCGCTTAATTAAGACCCGACGCTCAGGATATATACCAATTTATCAATGAAAATGAGAACCTGAGTCTTAGCATGCTCAGTAGATTCGCTGTCTCCGTAAATGGCAACCCTCCATCTCTGATCTCTAATGACTTCTACGTCACCATTGAGGCCGTCGACAGTGGGTGTGAGCTTGGGACCTAGGATGAAAATGTCTACCCCGCAAAATTCGGCAAAAGCGTCTAGAGTATTGGTGACATTCTTCTGTAATGCGCCGGCTTGGGCGTCGACAATTAACCCGTAGTTTACGTCGACGGTCGTGCACCTCTACGAACATCTAGTTTAGCCATCCCTTTCTTTGTTACTTTGTTAGAAGGGAGCCATAATATGCATACCAGCGCTAAAGGAGTATCGCTCAATATAGTTTCACGACTCTTGTGGACGAGTTCCGGCGAACCGGAAAGACACACGGTGGTGACTTGCGACTTGCAGTTCTTTGGCACACTCGAGACAACGTGGGCCTCGATTGGCAAAGGGCCTTTTGTAAGCTCCCTGCACAGGTTTTGCAAATTGGCCAAGTTCTGAGCATGAACCGGCAGCTCGTAGACGGGTATGTCATCGGGAGCGTCTCCTGGATGCGTCCATCTGAAGACAGCCTCGCCAGTCGCATGCAAAATCTCCTCCGTATTGGGACCGGCCAGATCGGACGCGAACGGGACATTGAAGGCGAAGTGGATGGTGGTATCGGCGGCAGGCGAGGGACTTAACGAAGCTCCCGGAGCTCCGGCTTTCTGATGGGGATTTATGGCGGTCATGTTCATGTTCGGTCTCGACGACATGCCGAAGTTTGGGCTCATCCTCTCGGGCCAGTGACGCATGTTGGCGAGCTTTTGCATGGTGAAACCGGGGGGAGGAAGGGGTCCTGGGGGATAGAGGAGGAGTAAGTAGTATGATGACGAGAGGGAGGAAATGGGGTATCTCGAGGCAGTAAGTTAAAAGAAGGAAGAAATAAGAGAAATAACTAAATTAAGAAAAAAAGGAAAAAGAGAACAAGGAAGAGGAGAAAACCGAAGTTATCGTTTGGTGGTCTTCTCTCTGCCTTTTCTATCTCTCTCTCTCTCTCCTCTCTTCTCTCGTTAAAAAAAGAGACTGCGAAACCTCTACTGCTGTTAGTGGGGAGGTTAGAGAGAATGAATGGTGAGGAGAAGTGGAATTGACGGGATGGATGTACGGATGGTTTTTGGGACTGGGAACAGGACTGGGAACGTGAGATGTGGTGGACTGGAAGAATCGATGGAACGAGCCAAAAGCCCGAAGTGTCGGGTGTGTCGAAAGCTGTGCTTGCTGGTTGCTTCTGCAGTCAGCATAAGCTGGTTTGGTTTTCGACGAATGGGACCGTTAGATTCTAGGGGAACTTGGGTAAGAAAAAGCCCTGGGATGGCACATGGTGCAGGTGGGAAAGCCCTTGAGAGCCTTGAAAAGCCCTGAACAGTGCGCGAGTTACCACATGCAAAGTTACAAGGTATGGATGTACCTGGTAGGCTGGTAGCAAGTCCACGGGTATCTTCAGAGGTAATGCGATGCTAAGCAATGCTTTGTGTGGGCTTAGCGCGGTTGGTCGATGGTCCAAACTCATTCTGCTCATCGTTCATTCCCTCATTCCAGTCTCCTTCCAGTTCGTCCAGTCGTAGTGGGGGCGCCGGAGACTGGATCCAGCTCCACTTAGAGCCCTTGTTGCAGGTTTGCGGGCTTGCACCTGCTGCGAATAAAACTGTAGCAGTCACTAGCACGAATTCTATTATACACTACCTACATGCCTTGATACCTTGGTATACCTTGGTATTGTAACGCCTGTTACAGTATGTACCTCGTGACTATCGTCGGCTTAGTACTTGCAGGAGCAAACGCACAAGGATTTGCTAAGAATTTGCTAGAATTTTGAGTTGGACCTAACAATCGAACCCTAGAGTCTACATGAATAAGATGGGCAGTCATGTAGAGTGCGGGTACATAGCATTGGAAAAGTACATACGGGTGATTTCTTTTCTCTCGTCATCATTAGCAGTGGGATTTACTAACAACATCGAATCCACCTCCTTACCTATTTCCCGCCAGGTAAAAGCAAGAGCACTGGCAATCCAACGCTCTCGGGAAGATAAGGTAGAGGTGCGAAAAGATAACCTATACCCGACGGTCCTAACTTAAATGGACTGCAAGTATAAATATACTGTATATGTGTAGTCCTGGAATATCTAGGAATTGAATCTTGCCTTGGCCCTTGGCCGAGCTTCATGCTAAGATCTCTTTTCCCTCAACCTGGAAGTTTAATGTATACATCCATATAGTACAAGGAAAAGATGTACATCGATGTTGCACTGTGATGCACTATATCGAGGTATAAGTGGACCTTGACTATGATTATTCAGCTAACTACATGTACCCCGTGGACCAGTTGACATGATTAACGCTAGGTTTCTTACTTACTCGAGTTCGATGCTGGGTTCAATCGTTCGAGACCTCTTGCTACCGCTGCTACTACACGCAGCTAGACGTCTCACATCTCAGCACTTCCAAGGTTGTCGAAGACAAGATATTGTGATTAGTAGTCGTGACAGGTCTCGTCCTCGATAGGTTTTGGTCCGTGCAAGAAACATCGAGGCAACATCTAGGTAAGTCAATCTTTGTCAAATGGGGGCAACACGAACTCCAGGATTATGTATAAGGTATACAGGGATGTCAACTATCAAATTTCATATCTAAGGCTTGTTCTACCCAGTCTACCCTATTTGAGGTGCATGCCAAACAGACATAGCCACGGTACACGGGACCACTGTTGACCAAGTACGGTACAACTTCTACACTACGGATCCGTACATTCGCAGCATGTACCTCTTTCTCCTACATTCTCATACATTGCAAGCCCGGTAAACTGGAAGCTCGAGCCGACAGAGAGTCAAAGAATCAGACAATCAGATGGATTACGGCGCCTAGCTCAGATATTCCTTCTTATTGTGTACATATCACATATCCAACTACTGCAAACTACGGGCCTAAAGTATGTAGGTATGTCAGTAGTTAACACATCTAATGTATCGATCTGAGTTGGCGGAACTCCCGCGCTTCCTCTCATCCCTTTCTTTATTAAATCGCCCGGAAATTATTAAAGCAGGAGACAACACGTAGCAAGACAAAGCAACCACATATATGTAGGATAATGTAGCTATTAACTAAGTAAGTTAGGGTCCCCCCCTCGTCTTTGCCTCGTGAAGCTTCAGCTGAGCATTTCCCCTTGTCGATTTCCATCAAGATTGCTTTCTTTTCCTGATCTCTTGGCTACCTACCTCACTTAAGCTTCCAAGGAAATCAGAAGAATAATAACAAATTATACGACCAAGTCAAGCCCGAACCCCTGGAAGAGTGCCACATACCAATACCAGCAAATACTAAGCATTGATGTCGTACATGTCTAGTAGGTAAACAATCTTCGACTACGAGTATGCCACGGGGCTCCCTTTATTGAAATACTGGCCTTGATTCAAGATCTTAACATACTTCCGATGTCCCCCTATTCCCCTACCTTTAAGGGGCATCCGGGGCCGCGCGTCGTGCGTGTGTGTGATGGCTGCCGAAGGTCCGGTGGTGGGACGGCTTATGCGTGTAGGGCTGGTAGCCCCCATCCCGAGCCGAACTAGACGATACTGTATTGGGGCATCTTTTATGTTTTATGTTTACTTGTTAGGTATCCGTAAATCAACGGAGACAAAAGCGAAGATGATTTCTTAAATGGTAATCGTCAGTCGAAGAGAATAATTAACCACGTAGATCATGGACAAATAGTTATAAGACCTAGTAGCACCCAATACCTGTACTCTTATTAGGCAAAGTTGTCTTCCACCTCGACAATATACCTCTAGATAGCCGGAATTGGGGACGATGTGCATTCGTGTAATGCCGACCACCGCTTCGGCTAACATCCTACAACCACAATCGAAAATGACAGTAGATATGGTTGCAATACATGCAAGAGGAACGCCTTCTCACGTCTATCCCTTGCCTATTTTACACATTTGCCTCGCCTATGCAGACAAAGTTGCTACAATATAAGTTTAATAAAATCATTAACATGCACCGTGTCACTCATTAAAGGAATGCGGAACGATTTGGGGTCCTATGTGTAGTTGATTGAGGCAGCCTAAGAATTATGTACAGTCGGTGCAAGTGCGTACACGAGCACCCGACTGTATCAAGCTTCGTCAAATAGGGAAGCCTGCATGCCACCCAAATTCCAGAGTACACTAGGCACTTAAACCAATGCCTTAGTTCACGAACCCCCACCTCAATGCCAATGCTCAGCAGATTCACACTCGGCTAAGCCAGTATGGCAGTACAGTACAACACCAAGACTATGGCAGGGCTTAAACTCTTTACCACGTCCGAATAATGCCAACGTCGGCTACTTATGCAGTAGGAAAACCAACGAGGCACATTATCTCCAATTAGTCCTTCTCAGGTTTAGCCATGATGTTCAACCCCCTGTATACCACCCGTAGGTAGCACATGCTCACTAATATGGCTGACGTCGACTATTTTCTGTGTAAATAATCTCCGGTTGAGCTGCTTGGGGGTTTTCGATGAAGGTGACGTCTTCATCTGCATGTAGTGGTCTGTTATACAGACGATCTACTGGACGAACGCTATATTCGCGTCTGTGTGCATCACGTTCTACCGGTCTGACGCTAAACTCCCTAGCCACCGGAGGCACCACATCTCTTCTTACCTCAGGGTTAACGCTAGCAGCATACTGTCTGGGAGGTATATCCGGTCGTATGGTACCAGGTCTATGATAATATGGCACAGCCTCCGCTGGACGTACGGTTGTGGCTCTAGGGAGATAGTCTCTAGACATATCCTCCGGCGCCCGTCCGCCAATTGCTCCTCGGATCGGTGCAAATTCTTGACCGGGTGCTCCAATAGGTTGCGTCGGATAATCACGTTCACGGTAGCTTCTGTAATCAACGCCGTATTCTGGCTGTGTGAATACACGCCGAGGAGCATAGGCAGGCGACGAGCGTCGGTAGAGAATCGCGTCTTCTTCAAATGTCTCCCTGGACATACGAGACGGAACGCGCGCCGGAACTCGTTCGTATATAATCTCGCGTTCGGCTGGCCGCGGAGCTGGTACGACCGAATGACGAGAAACGGTGCTAGCACGGGGAGGTTCGATATACTCGCGACCATATTGGTCAACTATGATACGAGGCGGGGGCGCGGGAGGTGCCATGGCAGGGGAACGTCTCTCGATAATAATAGGCGATCGTGATCTAGCACGATCAGCATAAGGCCGCGCACTCATTCGGCCATCCCGCGGGTAAGTAGAAAACTCTCGATACTGGGGGTTTAAGGAGTAACTAGCCGAGCGTAAAGGGCGCGACTCGACAACGCTGTAGGGAGTCGCATAATCATAGGGAGATTGAACCCGTTGGACATATTGCACGGCCGCTCCGTCAGCTCGTCGCTCTTCGTACACGGCGCGCTCCAATCTCTGGCTTGCCGGAGCTACAGAATGGTGCAATTGTCTTGCGTACGGATCGTCCACTCTTTCAAACCCATAAGGAGACCGATCAATTGGCGCATGTACCGTACTAAACTGTTCGCGACGCAGTACAGACACTGGTCGCTGGATTCGTGGCTCATCATACACTAGCTCTGGCTGATGATGGGAGCCGGATCGTAGTCGCTTCTGAGGAGGTCGGGCAAATTGCGGAGCCGACAAAGGTGAAGGCGATCGAGGTTCGGGCTTGATGTAAGGAGATCCCGGGACGTCTGATACTCTCGGCTCGGCCTTTCTCTTGTTCTTCTTGTTATTCTTCTTCTTGCTTCTTTTCTCTCCTTGGGGGGAGCTCTCAGGACTAGTGACAGCTCCACGCTCTTGTCTCAGTGCAGTTACCTGTGCCGGTGCACCTGGCAAGATGCTAATTTCTGGATCGGACGTAGGTGGTACCCGAGCTGTTGCTAACGATGAAATATGTGCAGGTTGGGGGGCATACGGCGAAAGATCGTGAGCTCGGACTAACGGGCCCTGATGCTGTTGGTGCATCAAGGGAGGAGGAAGTAAGCCGGCGAGGCGAGTTCTAAAGTCACCAGGCTGATCCGAATCTGTATTGCCATTGTCTGACCTACTAGCAGGACCGCTGTCTGAACTGATAACCTGCGGCTCTATAGAGTGCAACTGGTGGAACTGTGCTACCAACGACGATTCAGGGCCTTGAGTAGGCTGGGGTGGGATGCCAGTGCTCGGTGGCAATTGGCGCGAACTACTCGCGGCCTGAGTCGGCTGTTCGCTTTGACTGATATGTTTGTTGGTACGATGGTGTTGGGCTGTAAGTGGATAATAGGGAACATACCTAGGCAGCGGTCTGACCGGCGGCGCTGCGTTTTGTCTACGCTGGGGGGTAACGTTGTCCTGCCCTGGTGCATCTTGACTCGTCACCTTCTGGACTCGAGGCGAGGCGGGCGAGGCACGCGAGCCTGGGGTCTCTAACGAACTGGAATAAAACGTATTATCATCAAAGGAATCGTTCGAGTCGGAAATGGTGGCAGCGTTAGGGGTATCGATAGACATCGGAGCCGTGGCCTGTACGACAGTTATTGCCTTTGCCAAAACATCTGCAAGATCTAAGTCAATATGCTCAGATGAGGATATCAAGGCTGGTCGCAGCTGAACCTGCTCTGCGAGTTCCTGTTCGAGCTTTTGTCTTTGTCTCTCAAGATACCATGTTTTAGTTTTAAAGTTCTGAATGGCTGTCTTATGATCTAAAGGCGTCGAGACACCTGGGATAAATGTAGAGGAAGCACCAGAAGCACCAGAGGCGCCAGGAGCACCAGCCGCAGTTGCGGCGACAGCTGATTGTTGTGAGTTGACCTTGAAAGAATTAAGATTGTCCACCTGATGGGAATTGAGATTAGGTGCATGTAGATTTTGCAAAGCTTGGGGTTGTGTGAGCGACGATGATGGCGCAACGCGATCTGTCGCGAGCGAAGTAGAAGTAGCTTGAGCTTGTTGAGCTGGAGTGGAAGACTTAGCAGCAACCTTGATACGAGGATGCTTGCCAGATACTATGGTATCTCGAAAGCTGATAACCTTCTGATATTCGCGGATCTCTTCTAGATCAGCTGGTGTTAAACTTCCATTCTGACCGCCCGGGTGATAGCCTGAAGCTATGGCGACGGGTTCTTTTGGGATGCTAACTTGAGCCATGATTACGAGGAATCAGCTGGGCAAAAGAACCGTCCATAGATCGAGGACTAACACCGCGCAGCAAGAAACAAGAACGATAGATTGTGTATACAATTACGAGATTGCTTTTTTTTGTTTGTGTTGAACGGCGTGAAGATCACTTGAATTGAAAATATCGCCTTGATGGCAATATATTCACGGCGGTTGTGTCAAGACGGAAAGTTGATGAGGAAAGAAATGGAAAAGCAAGAGACGTGTCGCATGACGAGTTAAGCTCCGGTTGGAATTTCAAATGTTATTTTTTTCAGTTGGATTTCAGGTGCAACGTGCACGGTGCATTGGTCACCCACTAGGTACCTAGGTACCGACACAGCGACGTAACTTCCACAGTCTGAATTTAGCTGAGGTAACTACGACGTTGCCGTGATCATACAATGCAATACAATTCTGCAAGTTGCTTTCGCATGCGAATAAAGCCTCGATCAATATTGGAGAGGGTATCATAAAAATAAATAAAAATTAAAAAAAGAAGAAGAAAGAAAAAAAGAAAACAATAAGTGGCAGATTATGCGATTGCAGGAAATTGGCAAAAAAATGTTGGCGGTGCTGGGAATCGAACCCAGATTTACACGGGAGCAGCATTAGGTCCACAACGTGTTGTACTGACCATTATACTACACCACCCAACCAAGTCTCGCAAAACCTAAGCAGAAACTCATGAGGCATCTGCGATGAGGTTCTGTGCTCTGCGTTGCGAAACCGCTAAATAATTGAGCTAATATTTCCAGCAATCAACTCTCGACGAGGACCGAGGTTTGACCGGCTCGGGCGCTTGATTAGCGGAAGGATATTCAGCCAATCATGGTTGTGTTTTCATTAGTGCTTGTGGACCCGAGTACTCTATTGCAAAAATTGCTGCTTTCAGATTATTTCGAACTCATGATGTCTCGGTTTGCCGGTGACTCAAAGCTTAAACCGCACTTGACTACGAAGGGCTAATTCAAGTTCGAAGCGTCTATAAATCTTGGGAACAGACATGATATCTAGAAGAATGATGATATCCATATAAATGCCTACTATATCATATGTATTTGCAATCATAGTAACTGCTTGGTCTCTAGACTATTCTACTAAATTCCCCAATTACTTCGCTTTCTATCCGCGTCAACCGCTTTAACATCCTGTCAGGACGCCTGAGTCGTTTCCTTAATTCTTGATAGTCTTAAGAGTCCATTCATTGTCACTTAACTGCGCTGGCTCTTACTCACTTGAAGTCTCACGTAGGGACACAACTATAAAATATTTATATTATTTTTAATTTGCCTATATAACTCTTTACTACCAACTCCGCTCTCATCACATACTACCTACATACAAAAACTCGGAGCCATGGGTTCGCAAACTACGGAGCCCAATGGGGCAACAACTTCGAGACCTGTCCTATTCTTGTGAGTTCCCCTTATAATGATGCGTAGAATCGACATTAACAATTCAAACAGCGATATCGACAATTGCCTCTATCCTAGAAGTATGTTTTAGCTACAATAAAAAAGTCAAGTGCAGAGAGGGAATGGAGGAAGTAACTGATGCTGATTATTAGCCTAGGCACTAAAGTCCATGACCTGATGGCCGACCTCATAGATGTATACTTTGCGACACATCTCGGACTCCCGGAAGAGGAAGCCGTGAAATTGCATAAAGAGTATTACAAGAACTACGGTCTCGCGATCGAAGGACTGGTGCGGCATCACCAGATCGATCCCCTAGACTACAACGCCAAGGTTGACGACGCTTTACCCCTGGAGGGCATTATCAAACAGAACCCGCAATTACGAAAGCTGCTCGAGGATATTGACACGTCAAAAGTGAAATTATGGCTCCTGACTAACGCCTACGTCACACACGGCCGACGAGTTGTCAAGCTCTTAGGCATCGATGATCTGTTTGAGGGTCTTACATATTGCGATTATTCGCAAGTCCCTATCATATGCAAGCCACATAAGGATATGTTTGCTAAGGCGATGAAGGAGGCCGGGGTAGATCGAGCTGAGGATTGCTATTTTGTTGGTAAGTACATCTTCATATGAACCGCTAACCACGTAATATCCAGAATCACGACAGCTGACTATATCTAGACGATTCATACGCAAACGCAGTCGGCGCGCAACAGCTGGGATGGACATCGGCTCACTTAGTCGAGGAGGGCCTACCAGTTCCAGCAACTCAAGCATCTAAATATCAGATAAGGCATCTGGAAGAGCTACGGGAAGTATTCCCGCAATTTTTCAAATCATCAAATCCAGCATAAATGGCATGAGACAGAGAAAGGCAATGAAGCTCGGTTGCGTATAATAAACCATTGTTATAGTCCAATATAGACCACATTTGCGTTTCCCATAACCTGCTAGAAAAGCAACGATGTCCAAAACGCCTAACCTGACCGGGGTATCACATCTACATCCCACCATGCGACGTCTAGTAATCACGGGCGTCTGATGCTTCGGATAACGGCGTCTAGTTTCACCATGGTGTCTTCCTTCTCTTTGATCGCCTCCTGTCGTTGTGCCTCGGCAACCTTGAGTTCCTCTTCTAGTTCTTTGATGTTGCGCTCTTGGTCTTGTTCGCTGTTGTCGAGACCAGGGAGTATGGAGATAAGAAGCTCGATCTGTTGCTCTTTCGTGATTAGGTCTTGGGCAAGCTCGAGTTGCGATGCCTTGAAGACGTCTTCGGGGTGCGGGTCCACTGCATAGTGTATTAGCAGATGTGCCGTAGGTATATAGACCATTTTTATAGAGACTTGCACTCATCCTGCTCTTGTTTTACATCTCGAATTTGATCGCCCGGGCCAAGAGTCTCGAGGTTGTGATGTCGGTTGATGTAGTGGATGCTGGCGACGAATTGCTGCGCGAGCTATAGGGTTAGAAGTTAGTTACTGTCAGAATCTCATCATGATATATCCGCTAACCTGATCAACAGCATCTTGTAGCTGAGTAAGTCTGTCTCCCATGACGCATGCTCGTGGATTCGGCGCAAGGTGATGGTCTAAATGGTGTACTAGGTAGTTCTGAGCTTGGAAATACATGGAGTTGTACAATTGACTTGCTGCTTGGTAGGAGACGGTGGGGCTACTTGTACAGGGATCTGACCTGAAAGAGTGCCAGGACCTTATCGATAAAGAATACTATCTACACCACTGGCAGGTACGTGCCTCCATGAGCCTCTCATCGATTCATCAGTTTAACTCCTACACAAAAGTCGAATTCAATCTTCCCTAGCATTCTAGAAGTCTTCAACTAGTTCTACCGGGAATGGAATGAGGCCTATTATACGCTACCGCCCAACATGGCGCCAGCACCACATACCCACTCCTACCCCTTATACACATACCCATAACCACCTTCTCAGAACCACCCACCATGCGCGCTCATCCTCCACCTCACCCTCACCTCCAGACCACCCTCTCCTCTACCCCGGAAACTCAGGAAGCGGCAGCACGCACAACGACCTCGCCTCCTACGCCGCCTACGCCGCGCGCACTGGCCTAGACCTGACATCCAAGACCTACGTCGGCACGCGGTACGAGTACGCCGTCGCCGCCGCCCTCGCGCCCCTAGGCTTCGACCTGCGCCGCGTCGGCGGCCGCGACGACTGCGGCATCGACTTGCTCGGGACCTGGCGCCTGCCCATCCCCCCCTTCTCCTCCTCCATCTCAAACCCGCATCCACACCCACCCCTACGCGTCCTCGTACAGTGCAAAGCGTCCGCCGCGCAGAGCACCAAGATCAAACCGCACCAGATCCGCGAGCTCGAAGGCGCTTTCGCCGGCGCCCCGCCCGCCTGGCGCCACTCCTTCCTCGGCTCGCCTTACCCGACCTCCACCCCCGGCAGCCCCATCCTCGGCTTCCTGGTCACGCAGAAGCCGGCGACGAAGGGCGTGCGCGATGCGCTGGGGCGCAGCCGCTGGCCTATGGGCTTCGTGTCGTGCACGACAGACGGACGGCTGGAGCAGATGCTTTGGAACGGGCGGGCGGAGGAGGAGGGGCTTGAGGGGTTGGGGGTTGGGGTGCGGTTTTGTGAGGCTAAAGGTGAAGGTGAGGAGGAGGGGAAGGGGCAGACGTTGGTTTTGACTTGGAGGGGAAGGCCTTGTGAACCTGTCTAAGGGTTAAGAGATAGGTTGGCACTGGTGAAGTGGGTTCGTAGGTGGGAAAGAAGGCGTTCAAACCACTGCTTCACGGAGGCTTCTAGAGCTATTTGTTTTGCGCCTACGATGATGAATACAGTATTAGGTAGTTTATTACTATTGAACCGCACAATATCTAGTCGGCGTTATTCTAATCTCTGAAATCAAAACACTACACTCGATTTGAAAAGATGATCGTATTTATTTTCTCAAGTCTACCATCCCGTTAAAGCCAGTCTCTCCTATGCTAGACCTGCGTGAGCTTTTGCTCTTGGTATAAATATGTACTATATACAAGAACACGAGATCCTCCAAACCCTTAGATTATGATGCCTCCGATCAACACCGTTTTTAACCAAGACAAGCCAACCATTATACCATCGCTTAATTTATTTCAATACCTTCTCATACGTACCTATGTACGTCGCTACCCGCTCGAATCCCCGAAACAGCCACGATAATGGCTACCCGCTGATTCCAAAACGAGCATTCGCCGTCCTACCATGCTATCCAACGGATACCTGCAGGGAGAAAGAAGCCCCTGCATACCGTTTCCTGGGACCTCATACCCGATCCCGATCCCGATCCGATCATTAACCTAACGGACCAAAATCCCACCCGTCTCCCTAGGTGGTACCTACCCAACATAGGGGCAGGTAAATCAATCATCCCAAATCGCCGCCTTAGCCCTATCCTCCTCCTCCTTCCTCCTTCTCTCCGCCTCGCGCTCCTCCTCGCGCCTCTTCCTCTCCTTCTCCCTAACCGCACGATCATACGCCCGCTGCTCCTCCGTCGGCCGCGGCGCCCTGACCCCCAGCGCGCTCGCGATCATGCGCCGCGCCACCGCGTCCGTCTTCTCCGGCCTCCGCCGCTCTCCCGGCCCCGGCCCCAGCCCCGCGTCGCTTCCGCTACCCGCTCCCGAGGCCGGCGAGGCAGGGGGCGAGAAGCTGGATTGGGGGGATACGGCGGAGGCGGAGACGGAGTTGGGGTTGGGGCTAGAGATAGATGTGGACTGCCAGGGAGGCACCCCGGTCCCGCTGTAGGACGGCGAGGCGGGCGTCGGCGGGGGCGCCGCGAACCCGGACTCGCTGACTTTGCTGCTGGTTTTTTCTAGGGGCGGGGATAATGTGGACTCTTCTGCCTCTAGTTCTGGTTCTGGGTCGGAGACGTCTTCGTCTTCCCAGGAGTCGGCGACGGGGGCTGCTGCTTTCTTGGACTTGGACTTGGGTTTAGGGGGGTTGAGGGAGAGGTCTGACATTGCTTTGGTGGCCATGTTGATTGTTGGTATGCTACCGGTTCCTTTTTGATCTAGGAGATATATGGATTCGGTAGGTAGATGTAAAAGGTTGAGGTATCAGTGGGCTCTAGTATTAACCTAAGGGTAAGATCAAAGATGGCGAGAGGGGCGTGATAGTTGTATACGGCGATCTTAAATGTTATATAACCGGATACCTGGAATCCGATGGGCGAGAACGATTGAGACTTATGAAATTAAGATCGAAGGTCGCAATTATAGATTGCCGTACAGCGGAAGGTCCGGGTTGACGTATGTAAATATGCAAGTCCGACCTTGAAAGTGAAGGGATCAGTCTCGACAATTCAGGTCTTAGTGGGGCAATGCACACTCCACTTCCCCGCAAAGTCACAGTCTACAAGCCTAGGCGCACTGACCCTCACTCATTGTTCACAACTCTCGAAATAGCATCCTAATCTTCCGTGTCTTTGTCTCTCGTTTCTGCTTGTCTGGCTTCGTTGTGACTTGTATATTTTCGTAGAAATACATTAGTCACCGGGGTATAGATAGAAATGTTCTAGAACGGTCTGAAAACGGACTCCGGCCGTAGCTTTGATAAAGCTAACGCAAAGCCACTGAGGCTTCGATGTTAAGACAATTACCTCTATATCAATGAGCAATGCTATTATTGTATTGCGACACCTTACACCGAATCTACTGAAAGTCATTATGGTAATGTATAGGAGAAGCAGGTTATTTATCTAATAGATTATTTAAAGGCGATCTATATTTACTAACATATCTTCGAGTATAAGTGTCTTAGAAACAAATGTGAAATGCTAGGCAATAAAGGGAGACCTAGCTCATTCACCGGTGATAGCATAATCTTGGTCGGTACCTAACAGATTACGATGAATTCGCTGGCTTTGGTTCTTTACATCTGGCTGTTTGGGCATCAGTGATATACCAAAGAAACATTATATTTGGATTTATTAAGATTGGATGAAAGCTGTAAACTCCCTTGAACAATTCGGGGGAATCACAATGCCAATCTCCTTAAGAGGGTATTCTAGCTAGTACAGGTAGTATCATGAGTTAGTTATGAGTATAGGCCATCTTAGTATCAGATACGTAGTTACTCCCGATGTCACTTAATAACGCGAGCTGAATCTACTTCCACTACTTCCACATATGCACAAGCCACAACAAAAGCGAAAGACTTAATCTGTATCTTCCGCATATAAATCTACGCCTACGTCTCTAAGCGCATCTACTGCCCAAGTAGGGTATTTGCTGCTATCAGGATACAAATCCCCAAAGAACCGCCTCAGAAACTTTGGGAACCTATCCTCTATAATGGCCTGCCTAACCTCCCTCATCAAGTTCAGCTGGTACCACACATTATGCATAGTCAGCAGATGCGCGGCCACCGTCTCCTTCGCCGTATTGTGATGGACAAACGCCCTCGTGACCCCCATCCCGCCCCCGTCCTTCCGACAGCACGCGCACCCGCAGCCCTCCTCTATGGGCCCGAAGTCGTTCGAATACTTCGCGTTGCGCAGGTTCAAGACGCCGCGCCTCGTGACCGCGTTCCCGAAGCGCGCCGTCCGCGTCGGCCACACGCAGTCAAACATGTCGGCGCCCAGCGCCACGCTCACGACCAAATCCTCGGGGTACCCGATGCCCATGACGTAGCGCGGCTTCAGCTCGGGCAGCAGCTGCGTGCAGGTGCCGACGACGCGGCAGTAGTCGGCCTTGGCCTCGCCGCCGCTGAGCCCACCGATCGCGATCCCGGGCGTGTCGCGCGCCACCATCTCGCGGCAGCACTCGCGCCGCATTTCCAGGTCCAGCCCGCCCTGGATGATGCAGAACAGGTTCTGCGTGCCCGGGTTCGCGTGCGCGGCCACGCACCGGTCGAGCCAGCGCACGCTGCGCTCCATGGCCTCGCGCATGCGTGCCGCGTCGGGCGACGTCGTCACGAGCACGTCGTCGAGCTGCATGATGATGTCGCTGCCGATCGTGTTCTGAAGCGAGATCGAGTGCTCTGGCGTCAGCAGCATGGGGGTGCCGTCGTGGGGGCTCAGAAACCGGACCCCCTCTTCGGTGATGTTGGCTAGCTTGAGGAGGCTGACCATCTGGAAGCTATTTGAGTCTAGTCAGTCTCCTTTCGATCGCAAAGTACGGCCTGGTATAGTTGTACCCTCCGCTATCCGTGAGGATATTGTGGTTCCATCCTTGGAGTTTGTGAGCTCCTCCTATTGCGGCGAGAACATCTTGCCCTGGCTTTAGGCCTAGGTGATATGTGTTGTTTAGACATAGACGACACCCTGTTTCTTCCAACTGTTCTGGTGTCAGGCCTTTCAACGACGCCTGCGTCGCCACGGGCATGAACATAGGAAGTTGGACTGGTCCATGAGGGAGAGTCAGGGTTGAAGCTCTCGCTCGAGTCGTCTGATATGATGATTAGAGAATCCTCGAGAGTATATCATATTGCTGTAAATATATGTGTTTATATTGACTCACAGAGCACCTCGCAATGAGCTCAAAGGTAAGAGCTGGCGAAGACTGGGAGGCTATTGCAGCCATCTTTCTCAGCATGAAGTCGTCTGTAGTACAAATTATTTACTGGGTTAGGTACCGATCTGAGTCTCTACGTCATAGGGGTTTAGTAATGCGACAAGGTTCACAGGTCCCTGCTCCTAGTAAGTGGAGTGATGCGCATGAGACTGCATAAGGAAGTTAATTAAGATGTTGAGGCTGTTGGTGAAGTTTTTTCCAATATTCTTTTTCATTTTTCATGCATTAAACGTCCACTGCTGAGAAGGCTCTGGTTATTTTTAGGCCGTAGAACTTGGTCTAGGTAATGAACATGAGTGGTCCGTGTGTAATTTGCTATTTGCTAGCCTGTGATATTTTACGGATTTTCATTAATACCAAGTTGTTATTTGACACAGTGAGACACACTTTGGTAAATGATGTATTATATGACTGAATATGATCTGATATTGTCAACACTTCAGCAAGTGCGCTTCGTCTGGGGAGAAAAGAAAAAGGAAAAGAATTGAGTTTTCAGGTTTTCGTGTGTCACAAGACTAGGATCTCTAACTTCCATTATCACAAGCTTAAACTTAGGAGGTCATTGGGCAGTAACGAAACTTCCAAGGTTCAATTTCTAATGCCGGTAATAGGCACCCTTAGTAAAGATGGCGTTAGCGCCCACTCAGCCCTTTTCAGGAGCCTTGCGCTCCACTTATAGGTAGTCGCGGGGGGGATTACCTACTGTAAGTGCAACCTGGGAAAAAAAAGGACAGAAAAAAACAGTGGGAAGTGGCCTGACAAGCCCTGTAAGCAGTTCCGAATTCGGGAACGTTCGGGCATTAACTAGGTATCCAACGACGCGGCTCTGAAAAATCGAGTTTAGCAAAACTCCTCCATCGACCTGCCACCAGACTCATCCATAAATACCAAAATCATACGATTACTTACATTAATAGAAGGGGATTCGGGTCCAACCCACCCGACTTTTTCTCTGTCGAATGGGATAATGAAACGCTACGGCGTAAAATAAGACGGTTCTAGCCTTTTTCATTCTTCTCGACTTCTTGAATCGGCGTCTTATGACAGTTCAAAACACCGAAGAAAAAAAAAACTTCAACTCCATACAATATCCACAGTCATCATCGGTACGTATATTCATAATACGTATTTTATTCATATAGGTACGTACAATACGTGTTGTGTGTAAGTACATACTTACACTACTATCAGCCATTGAAGCATTGGCGCATTGGAGACGCGTATCTGGTCACTACTTGGGCGTCGACAATCTAACGACAACCTTCGTGTGGTATCGTGTCGTTTCGCTTCCTTCAACTTGACCTTCGAGGATTCGCCGCGGCTATATTCATCCCTATTCATATTCGCATCTTGCCCGCACTCACACCCGCATTTCGGCAAATACTTGGATGAGAATACACTAATCGCTTATATTTTTTTGCGTCATCCCGATATCTCCATACAACCCCGTCCCCCAGGTACAATACATGTCGTCCCCAAGTATCCCCAAGGAGAAATGGAGCTTAAGTGAGCTGCCTCACTTGGCCTCGCCCTAATCTGGCCTATCCTATTCCACCCGTCCTTGGAGTCTCCAAAGTCTGGAGCCTTGGGGTATGTGCGTGTGGCCTCTTAGTCTCCAGCCCGATAGGAGAATTCATTCGATCTTCAAGCTTGGCGGCCAAAGGTGTAGGGCCCGGACGATCGTCGTCCTTGGCAGACTACATGGCCCCTGTGGCCCAATCCAGATCAAGTGTCACGACCGTACCCGCGAAAACGCTTCGCGAAAAAAATACCAAGTGCTACAAGTGCTACACAAAGACAAACAGGGACCATCCCTTCTCTATACGTACACTTTCTTTACTACTTTAGTTCGCGGCCCCGTGTAAGTGGGCTCTCTCCCTGATGAGAGACCGCCTTCCTTGTCACGAGGGTCCTTGGCCTTAGCCATTCGTATACATATATACCTTACTCAGCCTGCCCATCATTCAAGTTCAGTAACTTCACTCTCTCGGATCCCGTACTGTAGGTAGTCCCGATCTCGTAGTCGTCTCCTTGTGGCGTCGTCGCAGCCGTCGTCGTCTTCAATTCCATTGTTCTCTCCCGTCCCCTTCGTGTGTCTCGTGAGCTTTATGACCACAATGTCGGACTTAGACTCCTTTACTCTTTTCTCCCTGTTGCCTACAGAGTTGAGGCTTCAGATATGGCGACATACCTGCCACCCTCGGGTCGTCGAGGTCTTGTACGACGACCAAGAAGACCGGTGTGCGTCAACCACGGTACCACCGGCCACCCTTCATGCATGCCGAGAGTCGCGGTTCGAAGCATTGACGATATATAAAAAATCATTTGGCACCAAAACCCACGAACCCAGGATTTACTTCTGCCCAGAAATAGACACCCTCTACCTACCTCGACCACCTTATATGGGCTATGACGACGCCATAAGATCATTCTCGGAGCTTGTCCTGGATACCGACGACACTGTCAACCTGGCTATCGATTATGTCAACCCTGACATTAGACGCCCATGGGAGACGTACAACAAATATGCCCTGATGCACAGTTTCCCCAAGGTGAAAGAGGTCTACCTGGTCCTGGACGCAGACGCACCGGCGGAAGAGCACATCTATGAAGACCACGACGACCACGAAGATATAGGACTAGTCGATCCATCGGGAGATATAATGGTTCTCTGCCGACTACTTTCCGAAGTCAAGGAATCATTTTTCTACGAGGTCGGGTCTACCTACACGGTCAGCGATACGAAGGAGGAATTCTACGAACAGCCCGTCTTGCCTCCCCTTGTGTTGAAGTCGAAGGTCACACATCATACACACCACGAGCATACACACCATGACCACCCACATTACGATCATACGCATCACTCATAGAGGGAGCATGGAACGGCTTTCTCTTATGCCTAATATAAATATCAGGCTTTAGTTAAATCCATGACACGAAAAGACGTCATGTTGTAGGTTTATAGGGTATTCTTAAGAAAGATACCGCGAAATCAGCATAATGATAATGATATAAATATTGAACTTCACCTTCGTCATAGCCCATCGGCAAATATTGAGTAGGAGTAAATGTTTGCTGAGATCTAAGCCTTCACCGCCTGCAAGCCTCATTTCGTTATCGTTTTACTTTGTCTTGAAGTCAACGGCACTTCCCTGCAAACCAATAGCAGGTACATGAGGCTTTCCAAAAACAAGGTCAGATGGCCTGCGCGTTACTAGATTGACCAGTCATATTCGTTGCTCTTGAGATTGCGTGGATCGTCAACTTGCTTTTGATTTATGGAGAAGTAATAAGTTTATTTGACCTTCGCAACCAGTACCGTTCACAGCATTAGAATGGCCATCGATCTTCCTACGCATGCATACAGGTTCCCTTGCTGAAACAACAGTCTATGTACGAAATACGTAACACTTCTTCGATGTGCCTAGAAAAGGCTGTTTCCTATCAAACCCCTAGAGGTCCGTCAACCAAACTGCAACTTGAGAATTGCCTTTAGGATGTCCTAGTCCTAGATATTCTTCTCTACTTCATGTCCTCTCCTATTCCGCACCCGTAACCTAATTATAAATAGCAAAGGACACCAACGCAAAGGCAACCGGGCCCCTCGGTTCATGAACCTGGCGATTCTTTATTCCCAATATTCTTCCTTGGGGTCCGTGGGGTCCGTGGGGTCCGAGGTCTGCGATCGGGAAGTTTATGTCGTTTAGGGGCGCCAGTTGTCGCATTTTTACTTGGACTAAGATCTTCCAGAGCAGGCAATCGCTTTTCAATGGGCGGGGTAACTTCAACGACTCGTCCCATATCAAAATCCGGAAATAGGCGTTTAATCCGTCTCCTTTGGTTGCAGAAGACACGCTTGCCAGGCATTTCCTCATAGTCAAAATTGCATTGACTATTGCCGAACGCCCACAACTTCACGTTGCTCGACTCCAAAGGGCCTAAGGTCGGATCGTTCGCACGATACGCTCGGTCTGGGAACAGGTGGGTGAGTATGATCACGGCACGGGTGGGGTCTTCCTGCTTGATAGCTTTGACCTCGGCTGATAAGGAAGAGTAGCCCTTGGGATGCTGAGCCATGAAACTTGGTTCTCCAATTACAGGCTCGAGTTGGAAGAGGGCATATCCAAGTATGGTGATCTTCTCGTCTGGCATATCGTAGCGCGTATCATCGAGGAAAATGAACTTCCCTATAGGCGGATCGGGGTTTCTGAGGATTCTCTTGTCGGTTGTTAGGGCCAATCTATTGAGTTGTCGCCGGGCTTCGTCTATAGGCGTTACGAGCTGCTCATCCGTGCCGAGAACGAAGAAAACTGCCTTGAAGGACTCAAGTTGGCGCTCCAGAAACCCTATTAATGGCGAAGGATGCTTGCATTTGAAGCAGCCAATGTTCCCTAATAGAGCTAGATACGGAGCTTTTGGGACGATGTCAATTTTATTATAGGTAAGGTCCTCACCCAACTAGAGTTCCGACATAATCTGTATTTTAACCATTGTGATGGTGGTATGCGAGTATCAAGGTGAATTGGATTCGAGAAATAAGAGACCAGTTGATGATGTTGACAAGTTTGCTCGAAGATATAAGTCTCGAAATCCGAGTAGATGTAGAAGGGACAGAAGGGGATTGAATAGCTGTACCCTCTTTCTCGCACTTGACTCTTCTTTGACGTTGTTGGATATGGAGGAGCCACTTGAGTAAAGACAGGCTCTTCCCTATATATTAGGATCAACTTCCATAGACCTTTCTGTCATTATCTCACCATGGAGATATGACCAACACCAGGGAAAGAGAGCACCAGTAGACGATGGGATAAGCACCTACCTAGGTACCTATGTAGATACCCGTCAACGATGAACTCATAGCAGAATAGCTGAGTCTGCTGTATACCTAGATACTGATATAATTCAGGAGGATAGCTCGACGACTTTCACTTGAAAATCAGCATAATATATGATACTTATTAATTGGATCAATGTGAAAAAAAAAGTTGTGCTAAAGAACAGAAGCTGGAAGTCCTTAAAGACCCCTGAATATACGGATGTACCTTCTAGGGTTCAGATGTTAAAAGTGGAGAAAATATCCATGCAATTAGCCGCACCTGCAGATCGATTTTCGTCTACGAGGTACATGTACCTAGGAAAGTTACGTGCCCCGCCATTTGACTCACCCACCTTAACATTTGCGCATAAAGTTTACGACCGAAGCTTTCTACTCTATTGATCGCCGAGTATCTTATTTTGAATATCGTTCTCTTAAGCTATCTAAACTAGTACACACTACTTCATTTAATACAATATAAGCGAAATCATCGTCTGATTCGACTTCGACAGCTTCGGTAACCTCTAGCCTATCCAGTTCAAAGCAATCCCAAGCTTCTCTGCAGCAGAGCTTCCTTTCCTTTTCTTTCCCTCCTAACCACCAAACCGCAAACCGCAAACCATGGCGGCCATAACGCAAACCGAGCGTGAGCTCCCCATTCGCGATAATCCGGACCTCGAGTCCTTCGAGTAAGTCCCCAGATCTCTCCTCGCCCACCCATCCTCTCCAAGTCCCAAGTCCCCTTTCAAATACCCCTCCAAACCCTCCAAAAACAGCACCCAGCTAACCCCAACCCACCCGCAGCATCGTAAGCGCGTACACGAAGCTCCTGCACGACGACCCGGACCTCACGATGCCGGTAGCCGCGATCGAGGCGCTGATCGAGTGCCTGTCCCAATCGTCGGCCAAGACCGTCTTTGAGACTATGGACCTCATCAAGACGCAATCGGCCAAGCTGCGCGCCGCGGTGCGCAACCCGGTCGCCCTGACGCACGGCACCGACCTGTTCCAGCAGTACCTCGTCAGCTCGCTCAAGCAGCCCGGCCCCGACGGCAAGGAGACTAGCAGTCACGAGAACTTCGAGGTCGTGCGCCAGCACCTCATGCGCAACGGCCGCCTCTTCGCCTCCCGCGCCAAGCAGGCCCGCGAGCAGATCGCCGCCCTCGCCCGCGAGTACGTCCGCGACGGCGCCGTCATCCTCACCCACGGCGGCTCGCGCGTCGTCCGCACCCTGCTCGCGCGCGCCGCCGAGCCCTTGCCCAACGTCGGCGACCCGCGCCGCCGCTTTAAAGTCATCCACGTCGTCAACGAGGCCCGCCGCGCCGAGAGCCTGCGCGTCGTCGCCGCCCTGCGCGAGAAGGGCGTCCAGGTCGCCACCATCCCCGAGTCCGCCGCCGCCTACGCCATGAGCAAGGTCAGCGTCGTGCTCGTCGGCGCTGAGGCCGTCACCGCCAACGGCGGCGTCATCTCCCGCATGGGCACGTACCAGCTGGCCCTCCTCGCCAAGGCGCGCCGCAAGGAGTTCTTCGTCGCCGCCGAGCAGCACAAGTTCGGCAAGACCTTCCCCATCGACCAGTTCGACCTCGGCTTCGACCAGCAGATCTTCGACTTCCACGCCCGCGAGCAGGACGAGGAGAGCGAGGATAAGACTACGGCGCGGCCTATCGATGACCCGGTCGATTATACGGTATGTTTTTAATGAAAGATGGTGGATTATGAATATTTGAATTATGGTATATATAGTTGTTCTCTTGCTAACACTCCTGATACAGCCACCCGAATTCATCACTTCCATTCTCTCGGATAACGGCGTCCTTACGCCTTCGGATGTAGCCAAGATGGTTATTGATCTGATGTACTGAAGCGTCGCTGAGATGACGAGATAAATGCCTCGTGGTTCTGTCTTCGGACCACACTCACACCTACACCCATACCCATACCCATACTCACACATGCTTCATATCCCTCTGACATACATACATGCTTAATGTATGGTGAGACACGATTCTCTACATAGCTTTGGTGGTGAAAAGTCATACTGACTGCCCTACGAAGTTCAATAAGAGGGAATTATTACCTACACAGTCTGGAACCTAGTAGAATCCTGACAGGCGCTGGGAGAAATAGTGTCCTTTGCAGGTTGGCCGTAGGAACTAGATAATGGAAGCTTTCTTGGGGATGAGCATGACTATACCCTCTTGACATAGGTATTCCAACGGCGTCCAAAAACCCGATAAGCGGTATCATAGAAGGTGTGATAGAAACACCTAGGTTGGGAGTTTAGATATCTTAGATGACATATACCTAGATACCAGCATCACCGAAAATTCGCACAACAAAATTTGGGCGTACCCACGTGTATGGGCAGAATGAATATATTCATAAATGCTTTGAGATCATAACCATGATAAAGATATTCGTATCGTCAAGCGAGTGAGCAGCCTTTCTTATTCTAGATACACCGGTAAATGCAGGATAAATTTTGTGAGAATACACCACGATACCTATCCCTTTTTCCCATACTCTAAAATGCGTTCCTTTTTTCCCGCATTCCTGAAACGAGAGGACTTTTGTGAAAAGACAGCGAGCTAGCCTCATGACCGAACAAATGTTGAATTTGCCACGGAATTTGAAGCCGAGTCGATGTAGATACATTGGACTGATTTACCAGTTGTTGAGAACTGGATCCAGGTCCTAGGATTATATAGGCATCGCCGGTAATGCTTACAATATCGCTGAAACGAAGGGGCCTAGATAAGAAAAGCCTGTGGATGACGAGTACGTGTAGCGATAGCTTATTAGTTGATCTGATAATTCCCTATAGATCGCGAACGAGCCTGGCGCCCACCCACGCATATAGATAGTTGCGTTGGTACCAGTTTACACTAACGGATGCGTTCGTTAGTAAATGCTTGTTATGAAGATCATTCGAATTTCGTGAGGCTTGTGAGTTAGGAAATGGGTGAACAAACAAGGTCTTTCTCCCCGCAATACGAGGGTGCGTGGCCCAGGAGCCGCCGAGAACAATGTTATGTTTCTCATCAAAAAAGTCGGCTATAGTATTGATGTTTAGCATGTTCTTTCCTATCAGATGGGGAAGGAAGCCGTCATACCGGTGTACCCCGGGTATAATGCCAGGGGCTTGAAGCCTTCGTGCGGCCTGAGTGTGGTGCTAGTCCATTCCCATACGCCTCCCATCTCAGCCCGACCTGCTAGACGATTGCCATGAGTAGTCACGGCCACGGGGTGCCAATGGTGGAAACCAACATTGGCGTCGGTGAGGTCGATGAACAGCTCGTCGTCATTTTGAGACAAGCCATCCTCGACAAGAGAAGCGTCAGATGGTGGGGTTTCCTCCACGCCATCGTTAACTAGATGGCTGATTATTCCCTAACGTTAGCCTGACTGTTGTGCTTAACTGCTATGGGGAAACTCACGCATTGACCGCTGGCACAGTCTTTCCTAGTTTGCGCTCTGCTTCATCCTTCCTCTTCATGCTATCAACGTAAGTGTATATGCTTTGGGCTTCCTCAAACGTAGGGATCCGGCCTCCTAGCCATGTGGCACAGCCTGTGAGCTCGTCATACGAAGCAAAGACCGGCCAGTCGAGCGCATATTTTAGTGGTACTAATCCGTAGACAGTGCGCACTGCCTTGCCTTCCATAAATGAGGAGGGGACAGCTTGTTCACCATTGGCTCCGTTGGTATGGCCATTCGTATGACCGTTCACTTTCCCATTTACATGTCCGTTAGTGCCATTGGCATGGTCCAGGTCCTCGTTAGCCCAGGAAGCAGGGATCTTTGTGGATTTCGTATTGTACATGTATAGCGCATACTAAGAAGGATTAGAGCTGTCATATCTTGGGCTAACGATCAAGCTCACCTCCTCGTTAGTAATGGGCCTTCCCTTGGCTTGGAATTTGTGAACGTGCACACGCCTGGATGGCTTCTCGTTGTCCCTGTATGTGCCTTAGTAACTTGTAGCCACGACACCTTAGTGTGAACTAACCATCCAAAGTGCTTGTTCGAATCCAGCACGTCATCTGGGTCGTCGAGTCCTATTGTAATATCCTGCTCTGGTATGTCAAACCAGTCATTGCCTACTCTTGAAGCATAAGCCTCCTGAGCTAGAGCCTCAAAATTTGGACGTTTTGTAAGAGGCGGTGGGAGAGTTTTGTCACTTTGTAGCATCATGTATAGCAGGGTTTCCAAGTGCATGATCTCATGCTCGAAGCCAACCCAGATGGCCCTCCCGACATTTCTGGGGATGTTCTCCAATCCTACAGAATAAAGGCTTTTCAACCTGTCCCTTACTCTCTCCTGATACTCCAGGATGTCCTCCAGGGGTGGCCATTCGTCCGGAACTTCTGAATGTTGATGACAGAGCTCGGGGTTATCAACGTCTGGGTCTATTCCCCTTTCAAAGATGGAGGAGTAGAATGCCGGCTCCGTGAGGGGATTCTTGGTCGTTTTCGTCAACTGTATATCCAAGAACGTAGGAATATGACCAAGGTAGAAAACGCAAGCGTTTCGAAGTTTGATGGGCTTTTCTAACAGCTCCTCGTCAGGTAACATTCGCCTAGTCACAATGTCCCACACAGCCCATAGACTTTCGAAGTCGCTGATTGATGGGACGTGAGAGCGAGCATATTCCAAAGGAATGGGGCTGAAAGACATGTTCGGCTTGGTTAGAAGATGAAGTCCTGCAGTATGTCAGTTACCCGGTCTGACATTCCACTCAAGAACCCAGGGAAGGCATAGGGCCGCCCCGCATTTAAAAGCTACGGCTGAGGGACGTAAGAATATTACAGGCACGCCTCAAAGACGTCAGGGTCTCCTGACTGGCCTCACGTGGGCCGCGTGCTGCAGGGTCTCATAAAACGTGGAGAAGACCCCTAGCTAATTCGCGGAACGGGACGTTGCGGATGTAGGACGAACCCCATATCCTCGGGTTGGACAAATATTCGTGGACCACTCACCGTAGTCTTCATCATTGGTCATCCAACGATCAGCCTCGATCATGCCCGCTGACCTCCAAAGATTACTGCAACCTGCTTTCGAGTACTTCAGGCTCTGTTCGACCTGAACACGTTCGTGAGCTTTGATGGTTTCTCCTAGCACGACAGTATCGCGGAGGGGCGAATAGAATGCTTGGTGGCGCCCCCCTTCGTTGTCATATACGTATTCGCCGATAACCTGCCAGTCATTCAGGTCAAATGCCTCGTGTCCAAGAATTTCATTCGCATGGACAAGCCCATTCAAGATGAACCTTGACCAGTCAGCACAACGATGAAGGGCCGGATGGACGTATGTATGGCGTCATTGGCAACTGACCTATGTGTGACGCCGAACTGATCTTAGAAGCGGCGTACAGAGTTCAGCAGAATTCGAGTCAACATAAATTTCGATAATACTAACCGTTGTATGCGTGGCTTCGGTTGGGCGTCAGCAGCCTGATATCATTAAAGGAGGACGCAACGGGGCGTTCCATCACTTACTAGACCTTGGAAGGATCGGTGCAGGAGTCCAATCCAATCAGAAAGCCATCCGCAGGCTGGAGAACATCGGCGAACCCCTTCAAGAATGAGGCTGCTTCGTCCCGGTGGAAGTTACCTATTTAGGCTGGTCAATTTCCAAAAGTCTGATTTGGTATCAGAACAAATTCGAGTTCGTACCGATGCTAGACCCCAGGGACAAGACACACTTGCGCTTGGAAGCGATCTGCGGCCTCTTTAGCCATTCGCGGCCATCATCGTACGTTCCCAGGAGCCCGTGACATCGGACGTGACGAAAGGTCGGAAGCTGAGCTAGAGTCCTTGACAGCTCATCTTCTGACAAATCAAGAGCATAGTAGTCGATCTTCTTGCCGGCATCTTCGAGGGCTCGAAGTACCAGAGACACCTTCCTCAAGTTGCTAGCCGGGAGACGGGAAAATCAATAAACTACCCCTTAGGTGCAAAGGGTGGTGCTATCACTCACCCGCTACCTAGCTCGAGAACAAGGGCTCCGGATGGGATTGCCTTAGCAATACCCGCGGCCGAACGGCGCAGTACTTGGATCTCATGATTGGTCAGATAGTACTCATCTAAATATGTGATCTGAGATATAGGTCAGCATAATGACATACAGGCAGGAGTTGTATTTTCTCTTACCTCCTCAAACAGCTGCAGGCCCGTCTTATCATAGAGGAGCAGCGTCGGCAGTCTCCGAGGACCTTCTGGGGGACGAAGTAGTCTGTGGATCTCTTCTTTGAGGTTTATTTCGACCGAAGACCGCCGAATGTCGATAATATCAATATCGGATGGTCGTTCCGCGGTCTTACCGGCCCCCTTTTCCAACTTAGACTGCGAAGTGGGGAGTTGAGGCTCATACGGAGATTCGACAACAGATGGCATAGCTGTTGAAGATTAAATTGCTTACTACAAACGGACGGGGAAAATGTGTTTGCTAAGCTTAGGAAAATAGTCTTCACCACCTACTAGGGGGGTGAGATAATCGTACTTGATATATAATATAAATTTTAACTGGGATGATCACGAAAGCTGATGTCGTGGAGAGTCACGCAGGTCACGGTACTCAGCATGTACCTACCTACCTACTTTGACCTAGTACAAAGTATACGATGAGATCAAGAAGCTTTTGCAAACCTAGTTGCGAAGCCACGTTCTCATCCGCCGAACAAAGGCACCAGTACGATAATGGTGATGTCAGTCCGGGCTAAGGGGCTTGCCCAGTCCAGATGCGGTAGGGCAAATGACCAAGCTACCAGGTACACCAGCCCTAAAATTGATCGGGCGTGCTGCATTCGCGGCGCCCATCCTGGAAATGGGGATCCGAGGCAGGGGAGACGGGGAAAAGATGGCGGCAGAGGGCGCGGTGAAAGGGATGAAGGGGCGCCTGTACGGTGTACCTAATGCATGGGCGGGAGCATGTTGCGGTAGTTCGATTCAAATGTGGTTTCCAGGAGCTTAACGGGACTTTAGAGAGCTCGGAGATTTGAGAAATCAGAAAAGTTTTGTCATAAGTTGATGCAAGTTGGACTAGACTAAGACTATGAGAGTGGGATGTCAAAGTTGAAGAACAAATCAAGGGTCAGAAGAGCCACGATGAATATGAGCCACGGCTTCCCCGGGTCCTTTTAGCCCCCCCAGGCCCCGCAAAAAAGGTGGTTCGGTGCTCAGATACATGTGTAACCGCCACGCTTTCTGCACGCTTTACTGCATATAGTCAATACGGGTAGAGAGAGTATTGGCTTACGCCGCATTGCCCTTGTTAACCTTGTTTCGCTTAATGCATCCCATCGCTTGTAATCGTTTTTTTCCCACCTGTTGTGCGACAAGCCACGCTGCAAGCCCTTTTCGCCCCTTACCCAGGTCTGATCATGTCCTGGTTCCTGGCGAATAGCCCTAGACATTCCCGAGGTTGTTCTAGACCTTTCACCAATAAGAAACCGAGTGTTTGATATAGCATACGTCAGGTATTGTGCCCGAGAAATGTTGCAGTATGCTTTGATATATTCAGATGGTTAATAACTTTGATCTTTTACCAGATAAACTTGAATTAGGTAAGAGCTTTCTTATCAATCGACGTCTGGTAGCACCAATTATCTCCCAAACACCCCGACTCTAAAGAATTCCCGTTACGGTTTTAGGAAGCCGATAATAGAAATACACCCCCCGGACCGAGACCCCCAAGCTTACCAGGTTAGCTACGTCACTCGTATGTGACCATGACCTGACGATCTTTACCGAAACCCCCCACTTTACCCCTCAACTATATGCTTAAGATGTAAAGAGCCTCTCGCAGCTAGTTTCGAGCGCGAACAATAAAGGTATCGTACGTGTAGAAGTCTATGTTTGGTAATATTTCTTGATGGGTTGATTTACTAGAATGGGTTTAATAATCACAATTATTGCTTGTGGCGCTAATGGATGCCTTACCGTTGATCATGGGGCGCGTCTTACATGGAATGTAAATTGCTAATTCGTAGGAATTGCCTAACCCAGCGGCGTGCATTCGTTGCCGGACATCGAGACATCGTATTGATTATTTGGAACATTCTATTGCATATTTATACTCGCCCTTGATTGTGGGACAGTGCCTGGATGCTACCCCCCAAACTGCACGTCAAATTGTGGGGAAGCAACTCCCCGTGACACTCCCTCCTTACTCCCACAAAGTACTAGAATACCGAGATACCAAGGTACGTTGTGAATAACGTGGGAGAAGGAACGTCTCTCGAATTAGGGGTCCCGGGATTGAAAAGGGGGGGCCTGCCTCAGCTCATTGCCACGAAGCGTCTTCAGTATCATTTATCATACAACTTCATGCTCTGCTTACTTACACTCCCGACATTTTTTCTTTCACATTTATTTTTCTCGCGGCATCCTCGCCAACAAACTTAAAAATGACCATAACAGCAGCGGCGAACTCTGCATTCAGCCAACACACCCAGTTCCAGAGCTGGGAAGTTTGTTCAGGTGCATGAACGAATCACTTTCGATGCTGTACGACAGTGCCGTTGTCCATTCAGCCACGGATCAATTTTCATAAAAATAAATTATACACAAGAGGAAAGTGAGGGGATGATCATCTTTTCTGGCTAGAACTCCAATTTCTTCTATCACTACGCTTTCAATACTTACCTAGGTATTTATTCGAAAGCCGTACCCTGCAAAAACTGCTCGTGAGGATGAATTGGCCAGATAAACCTGATCAGGGAATTCCTAAACGGGTGTTAGTTTAGCCATCTGGAGAGATAAGCGTTTTTATAGAACCTTCTTCCGTCGTTGGGTGTCCAGCTTTAAGCTTTTCCGAAATCATCCAATAGACGGAGTCATGACCAAGACAAATCGTTCCACGTCTGCTGTGTCATTTGGCTGATTTCGTGCCGTCCGTGTTGGGTATCATAGGTTGGCTTTCCAGAGATGATATGTTTTCGGACTTCACAATGTATTACAATTATTCATCTTGTATTGGAATCCCGATTCATGGAGGTGGTCCGATAATACATCCCCTTTTCTGACTCCCCGTCGTAAAGGCATCAACACAAGTTAGGTTAGTGACTAATTATGGAATACATAATTAAACTTCAACCCATTTGACATGATATGGCCTCTTAGAAACTACTCATATAACACCTATAAAAATGATCAAGTTCTATATTGCACACTCATAAAGGGGCTAAGGATGGGTACTTTGCTACACAAAAGTTCTCCGATTTAGTTGGTTTTACATAATGATCCGTAACGGCATAACCAGCCCAAGATCAGTTCGCATATGGCTACGTCAATGATGATTTCATCAGAACATGATTAATGATACAAGCCCAAGCGGCTGGGAAATATAATATCTAATATGTGGCAAGGGCCAGTTTCTACTGCGGCCGTACGTCGGCCTACCTTCCTATCACAACAAAGAAAGGATCCCCACTTTGCTATAGTACGTAGTTTGTTATAGTATATTAGGGGTATGTAGGCTTGAATGCAACACCTCCTCTCTGATGTTCACACCGGGGCTTGGGTATGGTTCTTGAGCCCTTTCGTATTCGCCCGCATATTTTCTCTTTTTCCGCTCTTGGCCCTTCCAAAACGCCCCCGATATATCTGTAAAGCCGTTTGCATGTAGTCTTTTCCCAGTTCTAGCCGGTTAAGGGGCAAGGAAACTATCGGCCTTCTTCCATGTCGACGTAACTTACCCTTAGCTAGCTCATGTCCTCTTATGCTCCTACATGGAACAGCGGAAGTGAATTGAATTGTTATTGCTGAGACTATGAAATATGCAAGTCTTATTTCCGCATTTGATTCTCAGCTCATAGGTATCCATGGTGGTGTCAATGAAGTTATTGAGAACGACAGGGATTGAGGTAAAGCCCATATTCAATCACACTTCCTGTAACCTTAGTCCTACCTAGCTATATGTGTCAAAATGCAACACTCTTGATTTATTAGATGGGTATCTAATAGCAACTGTAGTCCTTTGTTTCACATATGCAACTCGGTGAAATATGGACTCAAATCATGCTTTCAGACCCAAATACTCCTTACAGTGAAGAGCATTGCAACGATATGCTGTAAATTATTTGAAAGTAAATCCTTGCCGTCCCTGAATGAAGACTCATTTAGCTGACAACTAAGGGTTATACCAATTATATCGACTTGAAAAATTTGAGCTTCTCGGTTACTTTAGTGAGTACCTACGTAAGTGGCTTCTTAATACGTTATAATCTGAATGACCTCTCATATCTCATAGAGACTGATAGCTCTACGCTGACAAAGCGCTTATACACCCATAGAAAAGTACAAATGCATAGGTAAATGGCCAAGATTAAGTTAATTATAAAACCTTTAACCCAAGAGGAATACACTAGCTTGCTCAAGAATTACCTAGACACTACCATTATATTGCTCTTTACAGCATGAAAGGAGGGGTTTTATACTCTTCGTGAGCTGTATATGAGATTGCTACCTATTCATCCTTTAGTAGGTAGGTGCTCAGTTCCGGTATGAGATATCCAACTTGAGTTCTCTTACATGAACTGCTTTGATGTGGGGAGGTCGCATTTTTGAAGCCTGCCTGTATCTCATAATTCAAGAACCTGAACTGCAAAAGCTGCTGCTCTTCCAATACCAATATATACGGTGAATTTCATAAGTGGTCGTGTTATTATCACGGATCTACGAGGGCGCTACGCTTCTGTAATTGAAACCTATCAATCCATTGGAGGGTATATTCATCATAACTTGGCTGGCACTTCAAATAAATGCCCTATCTCCTAGGAGCCTCGAGAGTAAACCCTATCTAACTTTATCCTGATCACTACATTCTCTTACACACTTGAGCTTGAAGGAAGAGCGCTGCTGAAGGAGCCGCTAGGAACTCCACTGGGGGCCGTCCCATTTCCGGTTCCGTTACCACCGCCGACAGTATAACCCGTCGAATGGCCGCCCTCAGCATCAAGATAGGCAGCTACAGTCCACGAATTAGCAACACGAAACCAAAGCCTCAGGTTAGAGAAAGGGGGAGACGTAAACTTACCAACTCCATAGTACTCGTTCTCGGTGTAGTCAGCCGATGCATTAACACCAATCTGGATCCAGGCGAAGAGCCCATCCGAGATATCGTCGCCGAGGTAGACGTACTGCGGGATAGGGTCGAACGCCTCGTCGGCCGCAACGATCGACCACATGTCCTCGTCGTTGGTCGTAAGCGCCACCGTGTTCTGGTTATACGGGTACGTCGCCTCGACCTCGGCGCGCAGGTTCTCGGGCCAGAAGAGCTGGCCGATGTGGCTAACCGGCGAGTTCCTATTCCCGGGTTATTAGCCGTCGGCGCCTACCTACCTTCTAGTCAAACGGATTTGGAACGACCCGAGTCAAGGAAAAAAAAGAGGGGCCTTAGTGAAAAAAAAAAAACTTACCATACGGAAATAGTGCCGTTCGGCATAACTTGGGCGTTTTGGTGAGACAACAGATGCGTGTGGACGGCGCGCCCGTCGTAGTGGCCCGGGAAGATGGTCTCGAAGCTAACCACGCCGTCGCTGTCCGTTAATTGGATACCGCGGAGATAAGTAGAGTTATAGCCTCCCGAGGCGTAGTTTCCGTTAGTCGATATACCGCTGTAGACGCCGGTGGCGTTACAGTTCCAGATGTCGACCGCGACGGCGGGGATAGGCTCGCAGGTGTTGACGTCGATGTACTGGATTTCTAAGAATAGGTCGACACCGTCGCTGTATAGTGCTTCTTTGACGTTAGACCTCATCTTCTCGCCGACCACGTAGTACGGGCCGTCGGTGACTTCAGGGGCTAGGATGCAGCTCGTATTTCCGCTGAAGACATCCTCGAGCGAGGTGAACATGTCGTAGCTGTAGGTTCCCGTCATATTGTGGTTGACCGCTTCCCATGCCTGGAGATCTTCGAGTGTGCGTTTGTCTTTCCTTGCGGGAGCTTGGATACCACGCTTCTGTCTAATGTTCTTGACGGCATTGGCACGGCGCTTGATCGATCGTGACTTCAGGGCTTGGGCTGAAGCAGAGTTCGAGCACGAAGCTAGGGATCGAGCTCCGAGTTGGGCGGCATTGTCACGAGCTACGAGCTCGCGCTTCATCTGGTGCGCGTCGTGCTCCTCACCAGGGTGAGCGGCGACATAACCGGCGAGAGCCGCGAGGATGAAGTTGGTGAAAGTGACCATGATGAACGAAGACTGCCTACGCAACTGACTAGGATGTAACCGTTGAAGAGAGGAAAAGTTGCCTTGAAGTGAAGATCATATCGAGAAACAGCGATACGAACTTCCTTTAAACTGATTTCTATCACTTACCATGGGAGGCTCTTAGAAGGCTCCTACTAGCTATTGTGGCCGCCCGGCCGCGCGCCCAATCGCGATAAAGGGGATGCCAATTCGTAATACGTCGTGGACCCCTATCAACCAAGGTATCTTCTTGACATATCATATGGATATCCATGACTCGTGACTGGCGAGGCTAGCCTTAGCCTCCATAGAGAATTCATTACGCGTCACTTACGCAGAGGAAGATTGCGCATATATGAAAGGCTGAGGGCTCTGTTCGAAGGACGGATCTTCACAGGGAATAGAGATCCCCTATTCTCATGTTGGCCAATGAGAAAGATCTCATTTTCAAAGTATTCGGCCGATTCGACGAGCCAAGCTTTCCCGGTTTCCTACCTAGTAAGTAGGTGCCTTAGCCAAGACAATGAAATGTGCTGGTTGACGAATCAGACCCACTTGGACTGATACCTTCATTCGCCTTCCGGTAGTTGGTATGCATGGTATTGTGTGGTTCTTTATGTAGGTAGACATTTTTGTTTCGATATATCGTAGGGTGATTATACTTCCTAGTTCAGGGAGCAACCATCCGAGGCTCGGGGCATATTGATGAGATCCTGTGAGTGCTTTAGACATGAATCTCTAAAGGAAACCTCGCGAATTAAACCCACATTTACGTATATTATTTTAATCGCAATTACATTTGCTTGCGAGTTGGTAATAGTAGTATCTAGGTAACATCCTGAGCAATTTGATATTCCGACTAAGGAGGCTCTAAAAAGGGGGGGCGGATAAGTGGGACTACCCCAGACTATGGATCGAAGAGGAGGATATCATGGATACCTGACTTACGAATACAGAGTCATCCAAAGAGGCAATGATCAGTCGAAGTAAAATCACCTAGGTTGTGCTTTTTTCTTCAGATGAAAAATATTTCTTAGCAGCTTGTTGTCACTTCCAGCTTCTCCGTCCTATGCTTGCGTGGAAACGCGAGTCTTCGTGTCTCGATGAAAAGTTTTTCTCGGAAGTAAATTCGAAATACATAAGATTGAATATTATTGAACTACCTACCATTATGGGATGATATCACTGCCTTGAACTATGCACACTACCGGTGGCTCAACTTCAGACGACACATGCGACACGCGCGACACGTGCTCGCCCCTTGCTTGGTCATATCAATGATATACTGGGGAAGATTGGTTTATCTATGAGTAACATAACAGGTGGATATACGTAGTAAAATGGAGTCGATATACATTTTCGCTTTTGCCCCTTTCACCATATCAACCGCGAACTCGGAACGTCCGCAGCGTTACGTCATTTCCATGGATATTCATAGTCCCGACTCTGTGGGAGCTACATCCATTATCGGTTCCATACAGACGAGGGGAATTAAATATCCTGAGACTGGCGGCCGGCTATTATATCGGAGTCCGTGTCAAAACTACACTAGGAATTACGTGTCGGCCGATGTCCGATGATGAAAATATACGACGGAAACCCTCACGGAGAATTACATAGTCCAAGTGGTATCTCTGTAGTTGTTCTGAATTATCTCCTCTCTGTTTGGCTGGATGATATAATGCTGACATCAATTATTCTATCCTATCCGTCACAAAAAAGAAACTACACCAAAGCGACCTCGACCCTATAATACGATCCCATCAAGCCCATATTCATGAGGATGTTCGGCTCGTGTGACGTTGGGATAATAATCTTCCCTTGCCTCAAAATATGTGGTACGAAGGATTCCTGATCCCACGTATTTGTGCATCGATAGGTTTATCGAGCTATCACTGTGTAGTCTCGCGCGTGGGTAGAGCCTGTGTTCTTCGATTTCTGTTGTTATTTGCCCATTGGTCTCTGACTGACTACGTCTCGAGCGTGGCCATTTACGACTGGTGCCTCCTTTGCTCGATTTTCGCAATGTTTGCATGCGCACCCAAGAGTATAATGATGATATCGCCTCAGAAGTTTTCGTGTATGTGAAAGCCTTGGGTAGTGCTGGTATACATATGACTAGAAATGCGCAAGTCATCTCTGCTAATCCACATAGTATCACCGAAGTGCTGTGGTAAGTGAAATCAGGGCAGTGACCAAGAATAAGCGCCATGGCTAAGCGAGCAGATGCAGCAGCGACAGCTACGATACCCGCGGCGAATATGGCCGAGATTGTGGCCTTCCTGTTGGTCGACGTTTGCAATTTCCAGATAGCCTTTTGAGGGATGAGAAAGGCAAATACATCTGTTGATAAACTGACAACTGATATCATCAAGTTTTCCGTACCAGTATTGGCGCGGCTGCATTTTCCGCTGATGAATATATTCCAGGTATACTGGTGTGGCGTGCAGGCCAGGTTGTAAGCAACAAAGATCGCTATGCAGAACATGATGTTAATCCATATCAGAGAGTAGCTGGCCCAGAAAACGAAGTTGCGGGTACCTCTTGGAACAAAGATACGAATCCATTCCAGGAGGATTACAATTTTGACGAACGTGAGACTGAAGAGTTGTGGGTTGGATGTGAACCAGACATTCTGTTCTTCGTAAGTCTGCGAATATAGGTACGTATGATATATCATTGTTCCCTACCCAAAGGAATGAGATGAGTGCTGACATGCGGACATCCCATTGATGAACGAATGCGCCCGGAGAGCTAAGCATGCGGTAGGAAAAAGCAAAGGTGACCATATTGACTGCCTATATCCAGAAGGATCAGTTAGGAAACACGCCAAATGCGCCATGAAGGGTATATCATACGTATATCATAACCAGCAAATCTATCACCCGTTAGAAATGCCTAAGTACCACACAACTGTCAAGGTAAGTTTTATGGATCATACAGTCTTCTATGAATAGTTATCTCGTGAAGAATCTTACGTATATCCGCCCATAGAGTGAAGCTATGATCAAAGTTAAGAATATTGCGAGGGCGATATAACTTGGAACGGCGCCATGTTGCGGATGATCAAAGTTGGATGTAACGCCTGCAGGTGGATGAAGAGCGGGTCCATTAAGAACTGTAGCCTGCTCGTCTGGGGATAGAGAAGCAAAGTCGCCAATATATACTGAAGACATATTTCACATACCGGAATCTGTTGGAAGATAAAACAATCCAAAGACTTGGATTCCTCCGAGTAATATAGGGGCATTGATATTTCCCTATGAATCACCTCGAGGCACACTTGAGTCCATCTATATCTAAGACGTGTATAGGTAGGTAGATTTGCAAGAAGAACCGAGATGTAGTATACCGTTCCATTCAATGAGTTCGAAAATAGTAATCATCAGAGTCAAGGAATTCTATTGCGTGAAAATTGTGCTTTTGATGTGGTGGTGTTATACTAGCCTGCACGTCTCAGCCCCCTTTTTCATCTGTGTACTACCAGCATCGCCAATTCCGATAGGATGGGGGCGGATCTCCCACGCAGGTCTCTATATAAGGTAGATTGCGAGCTTCGGAGCCTTGTTTGAGAAAATTAGCTGCTGATTTCCGAGCCTCAACTGTCTATTCCCATTCCGATTCGGTCAGCTCTAGCATTTTCCTTGTGTCAGGCGGAACCCTGGATCTGCTCTCTCTTCGGGGAGGTACTCTAGGCGTCTCATGCGCCAAAGAAACGTACCGACGGCCTCGGCATGATGTGTATAAAGTAGGTAGACAGAGGATGTCCTTCGGACGTAAGCAATTTCACCATCAAATCCAGCATTTTCCACTTCCTGTTGTGTTGCCTTGAAAGAAATTCGTGATAATCTTACTATGAAACGTATGAAACTACTGCGACCGAGGCATCCCATCCCGTAATACCTAATAAAAGGAGCCAAGGAAAGACTACCTAAAAGGCTCAAACGCAAGCAATATCCTACCCTAGATGTGTTATCCATATCCCAACTCCTCCATTGAACACTAACCTCCATCCCAAACCATCAAACAAAAGAACTCACTGAACCAAACCCCCCTTAACAACTTTAGGAAACACCTGTTCCCTCCCCGCCGCGGCGCTCTCAACCCACTTCACAACATGCGGATGCAAGCCCAGCTCGCCCGCTCTCCTCGCCCACTCCAGCGGCGGAAGCTCCCCAACCGGACCGTGACCGTCCGTCTTATCCTCATCTGCATCCACACCAAGGAAAACCGCACTCACGGGATCATCCAACGAGACGCTCTCCCCACCGCAATAATGGTGGAACCTTACCCCCGGACTTGTCTCCTCAGTCTCCCCAGCCGCATCAACCTCATCAACACCCTTCACCGCACCCACAATCCCATCCACAACATCCCGCAACCCCACCGTCTCCAAAAAGCCGCGATAGCCAGGCACCTTCGGCACAGCCCGCATCCGCGCCGCGAACCGGCGAATCGCCCCCACGACGTCCCTCTCCGGGTCCTCGTCCGCACGCGATATCATCGCCGGCCTATGCACAAACACCTCCCAATCACCGACCTGCTCCCGTACCCGCTCTAGGAAGGCTTCGCTGGCCCACTTACTCGCCGCGTACCCCTCGAACCCCGTTTGCGGGGGCTGATGAGCCGCCGCCGAAACCTCGGGGAACGAGCTCCGGCCCGTGCTCGCGGCGTAATACACGCCGACCTGCGCCGTAGATACGTAGTGCAACGGCACCCTGCGCGGCAGGCACAGCTCCGCGAGCTCCTTCGTAGCCAGCACATTCGGCGCGCGTAAGGAGCGGTACGCTTGCGTGTGAGAGATCTGCGCCCCGGCGTGGATAACACGATCCGCTTCGCCGAAGATTTCGCGCGCGGCGTCTTCGCTGAGGCCGAGGCGGGGCAGCGTCAAGTCGCCCTCGTGCAGACGCAGCTTGGGGTGTGGCGGGATGATGTCTTTGCGGTTGCCCAGGTCGCGGATCGCGACGCAGTATACCTCTTGAACTGCGTCGTCGGCGACGAGGGCGGAGAGGATGGCGCGGCCCAAGAAGCCGGTTGCACCTGTGAGGACGATTACGCGCGAGTCCTGTGGTGGTTTTGGGGGATTTGACTTTGCTAATTCTAAGATGGCTGGGCTCGGTCTGGTTTCTTCGTCCCAGTTGACGACCTCTGGGGGAACTGCGTCGTTATTTATGAGACGTGCCATTGTACTCAGTGTGCTGGCCTCGAGTAAGTTGATCACGGGCAAATTGACGCTGAATGATTTGCGGATGGCTGCTCTTAGGCTGAGAAGAAGCAATGATGTGCCCCCGACGTGGAAGAAATCCGTGTCTGGCATGATGGGCCGAGAGCTCTTGAATTGCTCCTGGATGACCGTGATCCAGATGTCTCTTAGTCGTCGTTCGGTCTCGGTAAGCTCACCGTCGTGGTGCTCTTCTGTGTGCGTTGGCATTTCCTGCAGGGGCAATGCGCTGATGGCCTTTCGGCCAAGCTTGCCGGAACTCGTTCTTGGCATTTGGCGGAGGGGAATTATGGTTGCGGGACACATGTATTTTGGCAGAGGTAATGAGCCGGGAAGAGATCGCAAAAGGTTGTCGTGTTCCTCTTTCGAGTGCTGCGTGTCGAACACAACATGTGCAACGAGGAATTCGGGCGATTCCGGTGTAGAGCGACGAACTGACACCACTACATCAGACAGGGATCCACCAGATGCCTTAATTATAGCATCTTCAATCTCCCGAAGGTCCATCCGGATCCCGCGTAGTTTGATTTGGGTGTCCCCAGATATGCGGCCTTCGATGAGGAGAGTTCCGTCTTTCGTCCAACGGCCAAGGTCTCCGGTACGATGCATGGTGATCCAACCCTTTGCCCTTGCCGCATCTGTTGCAAATACGTCAGGGACAAATTTTTCCGCGGTTAGGGTTGAATTATTGAGATAGCCAGAAGCAACACCGGGTCCGCCGATGTATATCTCTCCTTGGACTTCAGAGGGAACGGGCTTGAGATCATTAGAAACTACATAAACGGAATAATTCGGTAATACGAATCCTGCTGGAATGTCATTGCAGTGTGTGTCCTCATCCGCATACTTCACTTCCATAGCCGTCGCTATCACCGTCGTTTCCGTAGGACCATAAGAGTTAAAGAAGCGGAGATTGGTCTTGCGCAAATCTCGGAATTGTGCTAGAAGACCATTGCTAACAGCTTCACCACCGCTTATAGCTACCTGCCATTTGCAAGATGGGAGAAGACTAGTATGCCTATAAGTGAGCCAGCTGGAATATTCAGTCGGGGTGGCAACAGTAAAGGTGATGTTCTTCTGAGCAATTAAGTCAGTGATGGCATAAGCATCGCCGCGGAGACTTCTTGGTAGGAGGTAAAGGCTTCCACCAAAGCAAAGTGCGAAAAACATCTGTTCAAATGACATGTCGAAGGTGCATGCGCTCTGCTGCAGTACAATCTCGGCGTTAATACCGTAGATGTCCTGTGCTGGCTCTATCCAGTTTCGTATGCCTTCGTGTTTCAGCGGGACACCTTTAGGGGTTCCTGAAGAGCCGCTTGTATAAAGGATAATAGCATGGCCATCTGCAGATGCCGAAATTGGCGATGGTTCTTGCCCAGAATCCAATTCCGATACATTGATCGATAACATCTCCGTTCTTTGCAGTTCTTCAAAGTGAAGTATCGTGCTGTCATCGAGAAGGACAATATCAGGCTCGCAATCCTTCACAATTGCGGCGAGCCTTGCCCAGGGTATAGAGAGGTCGAGCGGTACATAAATTGCCCCAATTCTCATAATAGCAAGGACGGATGCGATCCAGCGGGCCGTTGGCTCTTGAAGAGTAGCTACCCTTGAACCGACCGCCGCTCCGGATGCGGTCAAAGCTGTTGCGATTGATGAGGACAGCTTTGATAGTTCCAAATAAGTAAATCTTCCTGTGTCGTCTTCTATCGCTACTGCGTCTGGGGTGGTCTGCGATACATGATCAATTCTGTGAATGACCGTTTCGGGCCATTGAGTGACACGAGCTTGACCTCGACTGAAGCCCATTGCTGCCATGGTATCAACATGTTCGTACATGCTCGGCTGGCTCAAAATTTGATCTGGCTGCGCGGCGAACGCCTCGACAAGTCTTTCGTAGCTTTTAATAATGACTTCTGCTTCCGACTTCTGGTAAAGGTCGCTTCGGAAGATGAACGCGACCAAGCAGTCTCCTTTCGGATTGTCGTTGATGTCAAGGGCCAAATCGTAGCCAGTTTTAGAAACATTAATTGACAGCAACTCAAGCTCGTTATCGCCCCAGACTTCTTTCTTACGTTGTCCTTGCCTGTAGTTGAGAGAGCATTGGAAGATAGGGGTATGCGTGGTCGACCTTGGAGGTTGTAATCTATTTCAAGGTAAGCGATCATTGCTTGGGACATGTTTAATATACATAGAGTTCCTTTCTTACCTTTCTAAAAGAGCCTGGAATGGCACCCTTGAGTTCTCCAAGCCGGCATAAGCAATAGTGCGGGTTTCTTGCAGTACATCTTCGAACTTGCTGGTATCACTGCTGCGGAACCGCAGCGGTAACACATTATTGAAGACGCCTATTCCACTCATCATATTGTCTTCGGTTCTGTTGGCGTCTCCAATACCGATTGAGACGTCTCCCGCATCGGTAAATCGTGATAGAAGAGCGCGGTAACATGCGAGATAAAAGTGGAATGGAGTCACTCTGCATTTCCGGCAAACTGCTTGGATTCGCGACTTGGTGTCAAAGCTGATTGTCGTTTCTACCTTATCGTCGTCGAATGCTGTCAAGCTTGGTCGCGCTCTGGCACGCGATACGCGTAGGATCGGAAGTGGGGCTGGGAAATCGGGATATTGGGCTTTCCAGAAGTTGAATTCCTTTTCAAACCCTCCGGAATCCAAGGTGCGTCTCTGAGATTGGACATAATCACGATATTGGAAGGTTCCCATACTGCCCGACTCTTTATTGTAGTGTCGGAATAGGTCGGTCAAAAGGATCTGGATAGATAGGCCATCCATGCAGAGATGAGAAGTCCCCATAATTAGGCAATGGTGAGTAGGCGAAGAAGAAAGAAGGATTAATCGAATAGTTTCACCTCCCTCAAGATCATAGTGGTGCCCTTGCACCTCTTCCGATGTCTGGGAAATCGCCATAGTCATATCCTCATTATGTAGAATTTCCCGACGCTCAAGTCGTATGATGCTTGATTCCATGATTTCCTGCAGGGCTTGTCCGTTAGAGGAGGTAAAACGAGTCCGAAGAGCCTCGTGTTGCTGTCCAACGGCCTTGATGGCTTGTTCAAGACCAGGGAGGTTAAGAGGACCAGCAATTCGGCATGCCCCGGCAAAGTTGAGACTAGTTCTGTCCTCAAATAACTGTGAGACAACCCAGAACATGCTCTGAGCCGAGGACAAGCTCATCGAAGTGAGTACAACGGGCTTCGGACTTGATGGCACTTGTGGTTCGACTGCTAGCTCCGACAAGGATGACGTGGAAGCGGTATCGTCACTTGAGCTAGCAGTCTCCGAGAGCGCTGAATCGCTGGCTGATGACGACTGGATATCAGACGCCTGGGTTACTATAATGGGAAGAGATTGAGCCGAAGTTTCCACGCTCGGGATCATTGCTTGCGGTATCCCTTCAACTGCCGCTTCTATTAGTTCGAAGATCGAAATGCCACTTAGTATTTTAAGGACCGGATAATTGACTTGAAGATTCTTCAACAACCAGGCGCGGATCTCAGTGGCCATTAGCGAATCGAGACCGAGCTCATCCAGGCGGATAGCTTCAAGCCTAGTCTGGTCCATCGTATCCACATCAAGTTGGAGTAGTATCCCGAGCTTCTCTAGCAAAGCTTCCTTGATGAGGCGACGAACTGCATCATGACTTTGCGCGCCAAGAAGTTGCATCTTGAGGGGCTCCTTTACCTTCCTACCAGTGGAGGTGTTGTTCGCGCTTTCACCGTTTAGAAGGTAATGGCTCATCAACGGATTTTCAGCCCAGATTGGCTGAAGTTCCTCGTCTATTCGAACTCTCCTGACACCTGTTGCGATCTCAATCGAGTTGGAACGGCTAGCAGCGACACCTTCAGCAAACAGTTGATGAAAATCGTGCTCCGACATTTGCATGTACGCGTATGGCTTTTTGACGGTCGCAATACTGATTTGCTGCTGGGCTATGTAGCCTGCACCCACGATAGGACCAATATCAATGATAGATGCTGCTAGACCACGTTGTCTCCGTTGCTCGGCAAGACTGGTCATGAACATGTTTGCAGCAACGTACGGTGACTGACCTGGAGTACCAATGGCTATAGAAATAGACGAGAAGAACACGAAGAAATCCAAGGTATCCTGTTGGAATAGGTTGTTTAGGTGTATACTTCCATCCACCTTTGGCCGGATAACTTTTTCAAACGTCTCGAGACTCATTTCACTGAAGGCAGTATCTTGTAACACCACTTAAATGCTGTCAGCGACTATGACTATAGCTACAGAGGCTTTCAAATTTACAGGGAGACTTACTGGCACCTTGAGCAACTCCTCCTATTGCAGGAAGTGTTGAACAAATCTCCTTGTACAATGCCACAACTTCATCTTCTTTGGTAAGATCGCTAATCTTGGTCAGCCAATATGAAATACGGGATAGAGGAAAGGCTAACATACCATATACAGATTTTAATAACCGCACCAAGGGCTGCCATCTCCGCCAACCAAGAGTCCTCAATCTTAGGTGCGCGACTTGAAATAACTATATATCGCGCTCCGTGACGGACCATCCATTCGCACAGAGAAAGACCAAGGCTACCGCTGAGGCCGGCAAGCCAGTATGTTTTAGAGTCTGAGAAAATTGGCTGAGAGTCGATAGGTAACACTTTTGTCAATACCTTGTCCTCTATACTCCAGTCAACGATGGACTGTGACACAAGCGAATGGTCGTATTCAGATATCTCTCCAGGTCGGACCATTCTGCATTGCTGATTGAGTCCTGAGAACATCGGAAGCTCATTGCTAGCGTCAAGGACAATTTTATGTAACTGGTCGCGCACTTTGCTAGCATAAGCTGGTGAAGGCAATCGACCGCCTTCATGGATTTCAGCGTATACCGTCTCGCATCTGCAAAATGTAGGCAAGTGCGTGCGAATTCGATTGGCATTGCGTCTGCTTTCATCTGTATCGGAGAGATCTATGAACGCAGTTGTTGATTCAAGGTGAAGAACTTGCAAGACTCGCTTGGGGGAGTTTGGATGAATCAGTATACAATCCGGGGAGCTATTGTAGCGGCTGGTAGTGAATGTGACATCAATGTCCCTGGCTTTGGCTTTATTTGTAATGATTGCGATCAAGTCAGGAGTTGGTTCATGGACCAGGATCTTGCCGCTGCCATCAACGTCTTCGAAGATTTGAGAGGCTAAGACAAGCAAGCTGGTCAAGTACAGGAACGATGCCTCTGAGCCTGGTGTCACTTCAATAGGGACTGTGAGGAAGGTATCCTGGGAGAGTGCTGACGTGTTCTTCGTCGAAAAAGCGATAAACTGTGCCCGAGATTCCGGTACTATTCCGAGCGCTAGGAAGAGTTGACCATGTCCAGTTACCCGAATAGGATCCAGGAGTGAATGTGTAATCTGTCCAGTTGCGGAGTCCATTTTTGACCCTGATATTATTTCCGGCTCTCGTTGGAGGGCGTAACCGGAGGCGGTAGCCACAAGACTGACTACATGGTCTGAAATATCAGTCAGACAAGAGATTGGACGTCGAGACGAATTATAGCGTTCATTCATCTCCTTTTTCGGCATCATGCGAGGAATAAGCAGTCGACCGCCTTTTTCAACAATCACCTCTCGCTCAAGAGTAACGAATGCATTTTCTTCAAACGCATGGTGATCACCATGTTTCCAGTCAGCCACTGCTTTGAAGTGGAGAAGAGCTTCCCCGATAGTCCTAGCATCCAAGCTCTTAGGATCTTCGAAGTCCAGGAATTGGACTTCAAGGCCGGGGATCTCATTTATCGCAGACCGAAGTAGCCCGCATATCATATTTGCGTATGGATTGGCGGCTCGGCGACCTTCTGTGATCCAAAGCACGGCACCCGCCTCCTGAAAAGTGGAAGTCATCAGGTCCCATGTTATACTGTCTATGTCGCTGAAGATTGGTCGGTCCAAGTCTACAAGACTCAACACAACAGTCTTCGAGGAGATCTCAAGAGATTTTATTTCTGCTAGAGTCCTAAAACTCTTAATGCTACCGCAGAATTGGCGTAAGAGAGGTGCCAGCTGTGCCTTTAGTTTGGCTGTTTTGAGGCTGCATCCACCGATAAGGACGAGGTCTTTAATGAGGGGACCCGGGTTGAAGGTTGCAGACGAACTGGAAAGAGGCTCTCGGATGAAGGTCACCCTATCATCAATCGCTTGAGACAAAAATACCGTCATTGAGTGAACGAAAGGGTCCGCATCTGGCGTAGTGGTATCACAGCCGGAAAATCCAGACTTGCGAAGCAAGTCGTCCCAATCCACGAGGTCAACGCAAGGTGACAACTCGCGTCCCTCGTCTGCGCCTACCCACCAGCCAGGAAATGCACCAAATATAGTACCAGTGCGGGCTGGTGAGCCATTTTGCACCTCTAGGACGACGAGATAACCACCAGGTCGTAGCAGGCGTCTGACGTTCTTAAGTGTTTGTCGTAGATTCGGTGTGGCATGCAGTACCATAGACGCTATGATTAAGTCGTACGAATGCTTCTCGAAACCCTGGAGGCAAGGGTCCTTCGTGATGTCAAGTACTTTGAAAAGCATGTAGTCTGTTAGGCTACTAAATGCGGTTTCCGCGGAGTCGAAGAATCCAGATGAGACGTCGGTAAATGTGTATGATGAGAAGGTTCGTCCCGTCTCCTTTAGAATCTCGATAGTAGCACCCCCAGTACCCGCTCCAATCTCCAAGCATTGAAGACGAGGAGATCGGAAAGTAAGTTGTTTGATTGTACGCGCAACATACTGCGTATATTCCTGCATCCCAATCGCTTCTTTGTAATACTTCCCTAAAAGGTTGTCTTTCATGCCGACTTCGATGGCTGGTGCATCGTTCATAACGATATCAACAAGCTTATGGCCTATAGCGTGTAATAATCGCACGTCAATGATGTCTCTATAGGTGGTAGATGCCTTCAATATGGTTTCAAAAGTGTCGTTCTCCCATTCTGGCTCCCAGTAAGGACTTCCACGCTGTTTCGCACGAGACAACGCGTAAGAGGCAAATTTGAAGAACGATACGTATGGACCCTCGCGCCTTGACTTGTGCCCAAGTGGAACAGTACCACTGAGTTCGCGCAAGTAAAAGCAAGCCATACGCTCAAGTACGCGGGCGATATCACGCTGCTGGGGGTTCTTGAGGCCATCATCCACAACATCCACAACATTCGGGAGGATGTTACCCCATATCGTGGAGGAGAACAAAATCTTATCATCTTTTTCAGTAGCCGACGAGAATGGAACGCACTCGAGTCCTTCAATTTGAATCATAGCATGATGCGATCCTTCTGGAAAGATGTCTACGTCGCCCGCGATCGTTGAGGTACCGTTCGGTTGAAAAGCGTCGAAAGCCAACCGTTTACCTTTTGACATCTCCGACGCGCATAAATCAGGATTAATAATAATGCTCTCTATTCTCCTCGGGACGTGCATCGACCAGAGACCGCCATCCTCAGGGGCCGATGCGGTGAGTAGCACAGATTGGAACGATGCATCCAGTATTGCTGGATGCACGAGAAGCTCTGACCCCTTAGTGTCTTGAATGAACCCGGTAGCAGTGCCGAGCTTTCGCTCAAGGCCTGACAAGGCAACAAAGTCGTCGGAATATTGGTATTCTAGCTTTGCCAAGGCAGTGTAGAAATCGTCCGCTCTGAGTGCGATGAGATTTGGGGGCCGCGCACCCCTGGCAGGAAGTGCCGCAGACGAAGGATCGCCGAGGCATATGCGGATATCACCACTAGCAAGTACGTCAAGTACATCTCCCTTTCTCCCAGTTGCTGCATTAAAGGTGAATTTGGCAGTGATTTCCTTATTGTTGCTTCTGATAATGTTTGTCACGGAGAATAAGGTTTCTATACTCGAGTCCGCATTGTCGAATGTGAGGGCCTGGCCAATCTCGAGCTTTGACACCTCGATAGTTGAGGCGGGGGCTCCCTGAAGTATAGCTTTGGAAGCCTCTAAGGCCGACACTACATAGCCCGCAGCTGGGAAAACCATCTGGTTCTGGAGCTGATGGCCCTTTAACCATGGTATTTCCTTCGGTCGAAGTAGATGCTGCCATCTCATCTCTCGCTCGGTAGAATCAGGAGTTATATGTCCAAGGAGCTGGTGGACATTGTCTGATCGCCTGCGTACAGCCCTTGAATACCTTGACTCATGCCAGTATTCCTTATGGTTCCAACAATATGGCGGAAGCATCTTAACCAACTGCGGATTGCCGGAGTCGGACATGAAGGAGTCGTACGAGTTAAAATCCACGAAACCATCTCCTATATGTTTCGAGATATAACCAAGACCGTTAGCAAGTGCCTCTAGATCATCAACACCACGCTGGAGGAGACCGGTGTACGGGATAGTGCGGCCCGTGACATCCTGGATGACTTGGATGGCAGGCCCTTTTAATGCTGGATGTGGTCCAATTTCGATAGCAACATCAAATGGACCCGCCTCAAGGCATGCGCGCTCTACAGCTTGCTTGAAAAGCACAGGATTTAGCATATTGCTGTCCCAGTACGGGCCTTCGAGGGAGCTCCTTAGATTAGAAACCTCGTCTTCGTAAACACTCGAGAACCATGTACAGCTAGAATTAGCGTTTGTCTGAATGTTAAGTTCTCGTAATGAACGAAGGTACGCTGTCGAGCAAGGGATCATGTGATGGGAATGGTAGGCCTTGTCCACCTTTAAAAGTCTAGCGAACTTTCTCTCGTCTTTCAAAACGATGCTCAGTTCTTCGATGGCATCTGCGTCTCCAGAAAGCGTAACGCTGGCTGACGAGTTGACAGCGGCCACACAGGCACGGCCTTCGAATTCAGGCTCTTGCAGGAGCTCCTCCATGTCATCGGCCGAGCTTCCCACAGCCAGCATCGCACCAACTTGGCCTTCAGGTCCCTGTGCTAACCTAGCGTGCAATCCGCGGTAGTAAGCGATGCATATGGCGTCTTCAGCCGATATTATCCCAGCCGCATAGGCCGCGGTTATCTCACCGGATGAGAAACCCACAGCAGCCGTCAGCCCGACATGAGCCTCTCGGAGGATATCCACGAGAAGGATTCCTATTGCAGTCGAGAGCGTTTGTGCTAACTCTGCTTCATTTACGCGAGAAGAGCTAGCTTCCTTTTCAAGCTCTTCTACAAGAAGCCATGGCGGGCGATCCTCGACTGGTAGACGAGCTAATCTCGCTTGAAGTTTATCGAGTACAAGTCGAGAAGAAGCAGACTCCGAGACTATTCTGGCCCCCATGCGAGCCCACTGAGCACCTTGGCCGGTAAAAATCGCCAAAGCTCTTGGCTTAGAGCTGTCCGATGATTGAGCTCCCAGGAGATCTCCAGCATCCAGCTTCAGGTTCCCAACGTATTGATCTATTTTCGATGCTAACTGTTCCGGTGTAGAAGCCGAGAAGATGGCCACAAAAGGAAACCGTGAACGTCGAGAATTTAATGTGTAAGCCAAATCTCGCATACTAACGTTTCCCCCTTTAGTCCTGAGATAATGGGAAAAGGTCTCTAGGTAGCGGATTAAAGAAGCCTCAGAGGCTGCCGAGAAAATGTATGGGCAGAATACTGGGCCATCACTGCTACTATTTTTACTCGAGGGCACCGAATAGCTCTCCAAGATGGCGTGGGCGTTAGCACCGCCAAATCCAAAGCTATTGACACTCGCTCTGCGAGGACTGTTTTCTGATACATCTGGCCATGGTGTAGCCGTGATGGGAATGTGTAATCTATCGTAAAAGGGCTTAATTTTGGGGTTGAGACGGTTGAACAACAGATTAGGCGGAACGACCGAATTTTGCAGCGCCAATGAAGCCTTGAGGATTCCCGCTAGACCAGCTACCGCTTCAGTATGTCCTAATACTGTTTTTATCTACGATATGACAGGTTAGCTGTGGAATCCATAGCCAGGGTCAGTGAGTAACACACCGATCCAACCAATAATTGTTCAAGACTCGCGCTACTGCATATGTTGCGGTCAAAAAAGACGCTGCTAATAGCTTCAGCTTCAATTGGATCTCCGCTAGGCGTTCCAGTCCCATGGGCCTCGAAGAATTGTGGCCGGTCGGCGGGACTAGAAATATCCAGGCCAGCGCGATTATAACAATCGCGGATCAAGTTCGCCTGTGCCTCGGCGCTCGGTCTGCCGCAATATTACGTAAGCTTATATTTGGGGAAAAGGGGGAGACATTCAAAATGAACTTACACAGTTATACCCTTTGTTCGCCCATCCTGGTTCACAGCTGTCTCGCGAATAATGCAATCGATTTTGTCACCATCCTTCTCAGCGTCGCTTAATGTCTTCAGAATAATAGCTGCAACTCCTTCCCCTCGCGCATAACCATTTGCATTCGCGTCCCACATCCGCGATCTGCTATCAGGGCTGAGCATCTGCAGCTTGCTTTCCCCGATATACCCGACAGGGTCTAGAAGGAGGTTGGATCCCGCAGCAACAGCAACCCGTGAAGATCCGGAGCGGAGTTGCTGCACGGCATGATGTACAGCGTAGAGACTGGAACTGCAAGCTGTGTCGATAGTCATAGACGGCCCGTGCCAGTCAAAGAAATAAGATATCCTGTTCGACAAGAGCGATTTGGCGGTTCCCGTCACGTGGTATGTGCCCATGGAGTCCTCATCCCGACTCATTATATGTTCATAGTCAGAAGTCATCAAGCCAGCGTAGACGGCCGTATTAGAGCCCTGAAGGCCCTTAATAGTCTGACCAGCATCCTCAAGAGCCTCATAGACGGTCTCCAGAAGGAGCCGCATCTGAGGATCGATGACATTGGCTTCAGCCGGACTGATCCCGAAGAATTGGGCATCGAAACACCGATGTGCACCCGCTTCGGATAGAAGATATGACTGCCGGACGTTCGTGTGGCCATGATACTGTCCATTCTCGTGATGATAGCCCCGCGTGCTAAACCTCTCTTCGGGGATAGAACTGAGGAGATCTTGAGGATTCTGGAGTACGTCAAACAACGCCGATGGTGTGTTTGCGTTTCCCGGAAAGCGGCAACCACTTCCAATGATGGCGATGGGCTCTTGAGTAGCCATCGTCGGCGATCCTTTCTCGTTTAAGATGCGATGTTGGTTCTTGCACTGTAATTGGACAAGAATTTGATAGTTGCGGATCCACCAGGACCAAGCGGTGATATCACGCTTTTGCCATTGTCACCGATGGAGGACCTAGAGTCAACTAATATGACCCCGCTAAGATAGATATAAGAAGTCGACCAAGATCTCTGAAAGACCTTGTGTCACGGAGGCAATATCCATTTCGGCTCAGGTGGTAACCTTAACGATTAGCAACGTTGAACACATCAACTGGGCACTCATCTACGGAGCCTTGCTGCGGCGCAGTAACATCAGTGAGTTGCTAGATTTAGAGACGCCATAGGACAGGAAACGGGTCGAAGTACCGGATAAGCAACCAATGCCGACATTTGCACCCACCAGTACCGACGATCAGGTAACACAAACGCGAACCGTGATAATCCCCCTGTTGTCGGGATAGCGGACAGGGAACGAATCTGAGGATGGGGCCTCGCTAGTAACGTGTAAATCTGTAACTACCAAGGGTCATATCCTGAAATGGCAGAAGACCTCAAAAATGTATCCAATGACCAATAAGAGTTTGTTAATACCCCAGTCAGCCCAGCACAATCCCCAGGCATCTCTAATCGAGTACCTGGCTTACACATATTACATAACCAATCAGTTGACCAGCGTTGGTGGATACATCTGAAGTCTTCCGCCATTTAAGGGCATAATTGGGCGATATTATCGCCAGCGGTGCTTTTTAAAAATATATTCGTGCAGTAGTTTCGCTGCAGTTCGGCGCCCCCAATTCCAATTTTGAGCCGTATTCTTCTTCATCTTCTTAAATTGGTGCCTTAGTCCTTCTAGAAAGGTTAGCATCGTGAACGAAAACAAACTCTTATAGCCCTTCATGAGCTTATCTGGCACCTACTAGATAGGTCTAGCTAACTCCGCCAGCTCACGGAGACCTGTTACGGCTTAAACGAGCCTCGCTGTTTGAGAGTAGCTGGACTTTAGGCCCAACTGTGAGGGTAATATCTCGTCCTGACGAACGCAACGAGCCCAGAAGCGGACATACCAACACGGGAGTTATTTGCGAGCACGCAAAGCAACCAAATGAAGTCCTAGATGCAGGTTGAAAAGCTGGATCGTAATGGGTAGTACATCTTCTAAGCAAATTAGTGGGTGTGAATAAGACTACTAAGCTGCCGAGCCGGTAAACCGGTCCAGGGGCTAGGTTGCTGGATTAATACTGTTCCGGCCGAGTGGCTTGCCAAGCCTGGAATTTCGTTAAATTAATAATACGCAGATAGGTACGAAGTACATGTATGCAGCATCTTGATACCGGATACAAGTCAAAGTTGGTCCAAGATTCGACTTATTTGTGTTTGATGTATGACCTATAATATCCCCTAGGTAGTATATATCATCCTGCCCTACGACTCTGTCTCCTGGTAACCTTGTTTTGTATTCGGAGAATTTAGCGGGTATAGACCTAGACTAAGGTTCCTGAAATGGACGCAACCTTTACGACGGCGCTTAAGAAGCCTCAGCTTCGTGTTCTCGGCTTCGCGGCTAGTACTAGAAGTAAGCGGTATCGCGAATATGAGGTAGGTTCTCCGATTCGACAGCTACCGACAAAGAGCTGTAAGCGTAATTCGCACATCTCGAGATGAAAATGGGTCGCGCTTGATATTCTCCGTATTATCGGCGCTGTGTCAGCGTACACACACGCTATGGTAGCTACCCACCAGAAGATCGACGAATGAACGCAAACGACGGGACGATGTCAGCAGTCTCGATCTAGACTAACTTGGTCCATATCCGAAAACCCACATTACGAGATATTGCGCCTCCTGCCGCTCTAGCGATGGTGTAGTGAGGACCGGTCTGATAATATTTCGCAGCGCTCGCGCAAATGAGGCTGTTTCGAGTCTCTCTGCAACCGTCGCATTCGAAGCAATGTGAGACTATGCCTGTCATCTGAATTACTAATGAGGCGCCACCCATCGCCACGATGAGTTGCAGAAGCAAGGATGCGGCAAGCATATACTCTAAATTAAGCTTGTTAAGAAGCATACAATTTATAAATGGTCGTATTAAGATCCGGTGCGACGGAAATCGAGCATCGAGCCCATGTCTTACCACTATGTTGCTACGTAAGCACTTGCTCGAATCTCACCGTGCCCGACGCTGTGAGACGGGAAACGACGCATATGTGATGCAACGCTGATATCTCGTGGCTGACCTTCGGCCGTACAACAGAAGCATCGCCGGAAGTCCTACGAGTTTCGAATAGAATAAACAGGCTGATCTAGAAAGAATTGCTTCCGGGTTCCAGTCACCCAATCACGGCTTGATTTAGGATACCTCCATGGACTCCATGAATCTTGGCGAGTAGTATTCTGTAGCGCTGCGGTGACATGCCGCATATGGCACTGCGCCTCGTGGATGCTTTTGTCAACGACGCAATGAGGGGGCCAAAAGAACATCGCCTATTGACATATTGACACATACCTCCAGCTTGGGTTACATCTGTTGCCGATCTCCGTCGTCATTTAGTCAAAGGAAGGAATTTGTTATTCAATGGTGTGGTAGCCGATTCCTAGCAGTTATGTACGTCGGCTCTGGGTATCAACACTCTATTATCCATCCAACTATCTCTCATGCTTACTCTGGACTCGCGCTCCGCAATATAATCATCAAGTCCTGGAATACCTTAGGTTAGCATGCGGAACACCCGATATTCTCTTTTCCGTGTTGGCTTTCCAAAATAGTTGTCGAGTTCCTGTTGCGGCCAATCGCTTCGACTTCAGCCACCACTATCGAGAGGGTCGTGGTCCGCCATTAGTACAATGGCGTTAAATGTCCTTGACGACCCTTTACAAGCCGCTGGCTTCATTCTCATCATTATACTAACCCCCTTATGTATATTGGCCACTGTACTGCGCTTCGTCGCCTCTTGGATAACCTTGCGTAGAGTCGGTATAGAGGACTGGCTGGCGTTGGGATCATTACTGTTTTACCTTGCTTGGGTAATATGTCTTATTCTCATCGTGCCGAATCTCAATGGCACAGAAGATATCCTAACCCTCCCTATTGAGAATACGATAGCGGTTCTAAAGGTTGATCCATACTCCGAGTAAAAACATAAGAAGCATCACTAACAAAAACTCATAGGATATCTACGTAGCAAGTCTCTTCTACCCGCCTAATCAGCTATGCGCCAAGCTTAGCATTCTCTTCCTCTACCACCGCATCTTCGCGGTCGACAGGAAGTTCGCGATCTGGATCAAGATTCTAGGAGTTCTCCAGATACTCATCTCTTTTACCAGCTTCATATGCAACATCTTCCAATGTCGGCCTATACGGAAGGCCTGGGATCCCAGGGTGACCGAGGGCTACTGCGTTAATATCGGCGCGATGCTCTCAGCGACGGAGACAATAAACTCCCTTATCGACTTCGCCATGGCGATTTTTGCCGTGTGGGCGCTGCGCGGACTTCAAACAACTCGGTCAACTAAGTGGAAGCTCGCAATCGTTTTCGCGTTGGCGGGAATGGCAGGGGTAATCGGCTTCGTCAAAATCGGGCTAGCTTTCGACTCGACGATCTGTAAGTCATCCTTCAATACCTTACCTCGGCATCATTTGTGCTCAAAATATGCATCAATTAATCTCATCTGCAGACAACCAATTGATGGAGGGTCTCTGGGCTACGGTCCAAATGGCCTTCAGCGTGTTCTGCTGCTGCTCGATCACGTATATGCCGCTGCTCGCGCGGATCGGCAACTTCAAGCACATCAAATCCAGGATCTACAGCTACGGAAGCAAAATCAAACTACGGAAGCCTTCCTTGGCCAAGAGCGGGCAGAGCTCTCGCGATGGCTGGATTGACATAGAAGGCAGGAATCGGATGGAGGTGGATAGCCTCAATATGGGATATCCGGTGAAGACGGTTCACATCCAGCAGAGTTTTGAGCGAATTTAGCACGCGATTGCAAAACTGGGAACTGGAATTGGAATTGGAGTTGCTCCTTGATGGGTGGAAAGGCCGGGTTTGGAGCAGGATTCACCTAGGTAGAATAGATACCACATGCTATGCGAACGAACCGATCAAGGTGCTGACAAAGTATCCAAGCTTCATGCGTACCTAACCATTTGAATCCCATATTTGAATCCCATCGAGCCACCCCCGCGCTGGAAGGAATGAGGCACAAAACATCCTAGCAAACCCGCGACATCATGCCATAGTCGGATTGTGCTGATGGTGGGGGAGAGGAGGGGATTGGTTTGCCAAAAATGCAGCGCATGATTCGGCCGAGTAATAATTGCACCGAGTAATTACCTACCTCGCAAAATAACTCGCAAGACGGTAGTCTGTCTTAGCTGTTACTTTCTACTGCTACTGCTACGGTTACTGTTGCACCAGCTGAATCCCACGTGTTTCTACCACTTTTTCCATCTCATATATATAAATTAGCGGAGGGGTTCCCCGCAGCCAATCCCCATCAATGTCGAAATAAGGTCTATGGGCTGACACAAAAAGACCGCCATGATATTGGTCGCCCAATTGTCGCAGCTAGCTTCCAGCCACCCCATCCTTCTCCGCCGAAGGTTACATCATGACACCCCTCCACCCTCTTTATCTTCCAAGGGTCTTCCAAGAAGTTTGATAGGGCAGGCATAGCAGTTCTGGGTTGGGAAGCTTCGGATGTGAGGTGATGAGTAAGACGGGCTTAGGATGGGAAGACGATATGCCGCGTCAAGTTTCTGCAGGGTTCAGATCCTCCCACGGATCTGTAGACATATACGGGCTCCCTTGCGTGGCCGCGTGGTAAAGTCAGGTTCGGGGTTGCAGTGGACGTCCTAGAAAGTAGGTACCTAACAGGATAGGTGATCTTTTCGCAATACGGAAGCCCGTGTCATCGCCCTGCCACCACCCTGCCACCCATATCCACTATCCAAAATCCAAATAGACTTATCCCGTGCCGTCAGCGCGCATTTACAGATCACTGGTCCTTGGAACGGTGCCATCATAGTGCACCTACACCAAATAGGTACCAATTCAGCCTTACTACCTTCTCGAGTAGGTGGATCTCTGATCCCTAGTACCTGTGCGGTCCGCGCCTCGAAGAGCGATAAGCATAAAGGGTGTTTCCATCGTACAAGGAACAGATCGGAACCCACAGTGGGGACTGCCGCATTAAACCGAACGAGGTGCGGACTATGGCGATGATGATCGATATTCAGTTACGCGTATGATAAGTACTGCTTCTCCTTATGTACTAACCGAGATCTGTAAATTAGCTCGATACATACCTACATATGCACACTGACGCCTATCCTAGAGCTATGACATTAGTCTATGATGCCTAGGTGTTTCTCTATTTAGTGCAAGCTGACATAATGACCAATGCACCAGGGCTTGATGAGTTTGAATCTGGTTGGAAGCAAGCAAGAACATGTGTAGGTAGGTAGTTGGGTAGGCATGTATGAAGGAGATGAGATGTGAACAGTCTGGTCCTCCTACATCACGAATATTCAACTCAAGCAGTTAGACATACAGAATCGTTTATGACCCTCTCATAGATCATGCAAGTATTCCCATTCCCTATTGCCTACCTGGTATACCATCAACCCATTTCTTATTCTCCCGCTCACGAATCCCTTTGAACCGGATGGAATCGCACCCAGAAGCTAGGCTTCTCCCACATCCCAAACATCCTAAAGTCCTTCTCGAATACAATATTTTGGTTCGGCAACATCTCAACATCAAAAGCCCAGAGCACCTTGGCGATGAAGATTCTCGTTTGGCGCCAGGCAAGGGGCATGCCAGGGCACGACCTCGGCCCCAGGCTAAATGGGTGGTACCCCTCCCTAGCATCGTTCTTAAATGCTGGATCCCAGTGAGGATGGTCTTCTGGCAACCAACGTTCCGGCCGATAGCTATTAGGGTCGTGAAAATAGCGTGGGCTGCGAGTGAATGCCAGAACGGCATATTGCACTTCGACCTAGAATATGAGGACTTGTTCAGCATCGTAGAAAAGGGGTTAGAGCTACCACGGATACTTACCCCTTTAGCGATGTAGTTACCATCAACCTTAGCCCCAGGGCATAAACGTGGCTGGCCGTTGCTCGAGAGGACCGTTATACGTAACGTCTCCATTAGGGAGGCATGCAGGAACTTAAGAGGTGCTACCGCATCGGCGGTGATCTCATCATAGCTCTTAAACGCACCCCTGATTTCTTCTACTAGCAACCTGAGGCTTTCTGGCCGTAGCAACGAGAACATGATCGTGCCAAGGATCTGACTCGCGATCGGCTCGTAACCAGCGATAACCAGATGCCCAGTAATCACCTCAATGTGCTTCTTTTCCTCTTTAGTGGGATCAGGGGCATCAGCTGGGAGTAATTGTTCGAAATGGTCCAAGTGTTCCGTGTTTCCACGGCGCTCAATCCGCGACTCTAGTGCCTTCTGGTTCATACTCTGAACCTCGTGGTAACTTGCAATTATGGAAGGTGGAACGAAAAGGAACTTAATCGGGCTTAGAAGAGGGAACTTCTTAAAGATCTGGTTCGCGGTAACGAAGAAGTTCACGATCCACATCTGGTCAAGGAATCGCGTGCTTTTCACTGCAACGCCGAAGTCAGTAAGAATGAGCTATGGTAATAAACAGTCACGGCTATCTCACTGTCTCGCAAGTGATGTAACTCTCGGCTGTATGCCAAATCGGCTGAAGCGTCCATGGCTACCCAGTCTGTCCACTAAGTGTTTTCAGATCAGCATTGCGACAGAATACTCGTGGGTAGGCAAGTCTTGGTTAGAGTGCTTACTGTCTTGAGCTCGATGCCTTCCTCTCTACCTCCGAGCTCTCTCATTCTTTGAACAAAGGCATCGGTATACTTATGCATGGTCGGCTCTTTAGCTTTTAATGACTTGATGCTGAATGCCGGTGCAACCTTTTTGGCATCTGCATGGTGCTTTACAGGGTCCATCTCCCACGAGAGACCATTATCTCCCAGCCCAAGATCCATGAAGTTCGTCTTGGGGAAATGTTCTAGACCGCTTGTATGCGAGTCGTATATATCTATCCTCCTGTATCAGACTTGAGTCTTAGATGAAATCTAAAGAGTTTAGATGCGCCATACCATTAAAAGCCTCGGGTGTGATGAAAGCGAGCTCATTCGGAGCTACACGAACAACGTCCCCTGAATTTATTTCAGTAAAACAACCCATCTCTGCTTGATATGAGAGCGTCCGGACACTGACCATATTTCTTCAATGCTTCCGCGACTGCAAATGGATACTTCCCGGTAGACCTAGGTTCATCAGATATTTGCTTGAATTTCGATTATGGAGTGAATGACTTACCAGTGGTAAGCATACCACAAGTTCGAGAAGGCCGCAAGCTTCGGGCCAGGAAACCTGGCTGCAGGATGAAAATACACATTGTAAATGTAGCGGAATGACGCATATAATATTATCTAGGCGTCGAGGACGTCAGTAAGACTTCGAAGAAATATGCTAGGACTCGTTGAACTCACTGCACATAAAATGAGTACGACCCGGTCGTGGTTGCGGGTATCTACGATACACTGGAATACCAAGTTCGATGCCATTCTGGTAGAAGCTAGGTCGGCTCAGCGATGCCACTACAAGCCTAAAAAATCTACACAATCTAAGGCAAGTTTGAATAGATGGAGATTATGTTCAGCTATGAATACCTCTTCTCTCACAAAGAAACGTAGACATCTTTTCCCATCATAACATAGGTACCTAGGTTCCAAAGCTCGTATGCGACCGGGAGGCACGGTTCGCCTTGTGCGAGGTGAAATGGTTGGCATTGTCTTCTGTCAGATGTCGCAAGCCAACTCGTCAAGTCTTGGGGTACAATTCACTAGCTGCATATGTAGGTTAATATCGGATATAGGCCCATCAGCTAACATGCTTTTATTCCATATCAAGGTAAATGTATATTAAAACATTGCTTGGTATTATTCCTAGGCGCTCAATCAACGATCATCGTTTTCAACGTGACATCTCATTTGAGGGGCAATGCTATTTATATATGTGATTGTGCGACCAATGCGACATGTTCGATATATAATATTACTAATTTGCCACAATAAATATGTACATACAAACGGTACCTAGGACTGGAACACGGAACCCGATAAACGAGGGATTCATGCATGCCACACTCTATTGATCTGCGCCAACAAGCAGCATAGCCGACAGCACCAGCCCACCTGCGTGAGCAATATGGGGGCCGAACATTAAAGTAACGTGAACAATGAAAGGAGAGAAATTTGACGCCTGGCGAAGAGTCCTTGAGCGGTACTCTGACAATGGTGCGAAGATCTCGCCCGACAGCGTCAATCTTTTCTGTCTTCTGTCAATAATCTCAACCGTTGAGGTTAAACCATCATGAACGGAACTCCAAGCGCTTCGAGCAAGGGAGACCTAGATTCTACGGGCCCCACCGCAGATGCCGCAACGAACAATGAAAACTCGACGGCACAAATGCCGTTGACTAACGGCGGGATGGATGATCCTACCGATTCAGCTGAACGAACTGCCGGAGAGAAAAAGACGACTTCCGCTAAGCGGGATTTCCGCTTCTGGGCTATTATCGTGGGATTATGTATCGCGAACTTCCAATCCTCGCTCGAAAACAGTGTCATCGTGACCTCTGGACCCGCCATCGTCAATGACCTGAAGATGGGCGAGGAGTTTATCTGGTTTACGAATGCATTCTTTCTATGCTGGTATGTTAACTCCAAATCTCAAATCTTCGTGCATCTTACTAGGAAGATATCATATCTACGGATAGGTAGTTAACTCTTCTGCAGTGCGGCCGTTCAACCCCTATTTGGCCAATTATGCAATATCTTCGGTCGGCGATGGCTTATGTTATTTGCCATTGTCCTCTTCACCCTCGGCAGCGGCATCTGTGGTGGTGCGAAAACTGGCGCCATGCTGATAGCCGGGCGTGGCGTTCAGGGCGCAGGGTCAGGAGGCATCGGGATGATTGTCAGTATCATCATCGCCGACTTGGTGCCTCTACGCGAGCGTGGCTACTTCTTAGCAATCATCATGATTCTATATACCGTTGGAATGACTTGTGGCCCGATCGTGGGAGGAGCGATCGTTGATGCGACCACCTGGAGATGGGTAAGTCATATGCTACGATCAATGGAAATTCATTTACTAACCAACACTAGGTCTTCTGGATCAATCTTCCAATCGGCGGCGTCTCCCTTGCTTTGTTGTATCTCTTCCTGCACGTCAATTATAACAAGGAGATGACATTGAGCCAGAAACTGAGACGCATCGACTGGGTCGGCAACGGTCTCCTGATGGCTGGTACGATCGTCATGTTATACGCTCTCACCTACGCTGGTGTGAAGTACTCGTGGGGGGCATGGCAGACGCTGGTTCCGCTCCTAATAGGCGTGTTCGTCATCGTCCTCTTCGCCTTATGGGAGGTGTATGGGCCGTCAGCGGAGCCCGTGATGCCTCCTAAGCTGTTCCGCCACCGTACTTCGATCATATCGGCTATCAACACCTTCCTCCACTGGATGCTTGTCTATTGGGGCACGTATTTTCTGCCTATCTACTTCCAGGCCGTGCTGCTATTCTCAGCTGAGCGCACGGGCGTGTCGTTGCTCCCCATGACACTTATTTCCATCCCAGGTTGCGCCGTAGCAGCTATACTTGTCTCGCGCTGGGGGAAGTTCAAGATGTTACACTTGATAGGCGAAGGGGTCTTCGCGGTAGGTTTAGGACTATTCGCGCTCCAGTGGGAGGGAAGCACTACAGCCGAATGGGCCACATACCAAAGTATAGGCGCGCTCGGAGGTGGCGTTGTCCTGGAGACCCTACTACCGGCTTTCCAAGCGCCGGTTCCTGAGAAGGATCAGGCCGCTGCCACTGCCACTTGGGCTTTCATACGAACTGTTGGCGGCGTCTGGGGTGTCGCCATTCCCGCTACAGTCTTTAACAACAAAGTTGATCAACTAATCTACACTATTTCAGACCCCCAAGCTCGTCAATTGCTAGCTGGCGGTGGTGCCTATTCACACGCATCTGCCTCCTTTGTCACTTCGTTTCCCGACCCTGTTGTGGCTGAGATCCGCGCCGTCTACAGGGAAGCGTTGAGGTTGGTATTCTTGGTGGCGGTAGCTTTTGGCGGAGTAGCTACTTGGCTCTTCTTGTTAGAAAAGGATGTTCCCTTGAGGCAACAGTTGGAGACTGAGTATGGGTTGACGGAAAAGACAACCCTCGTGGGAAATGACGTTGAAAATAACCGTAACCGATCCTCAACATAAACAATTTCACATGTATTCATATCCTGAAGTAGTACGTATCAATAATAATGACTTAAAGACTAGATAGACGTCTAGCAACTTTTAGCGATGGAGTTAGGATGAAGCATTGGCCGGCATGCTATGCTATGGATATTAGGTAGTATTCTATGAGGTCGCATGTAAGTTACCATGAGATTTAAAAGCTGAGAAAATCGATGATTGCGTAGCTGTGCCTACCTTCCTGTTAGCTACCTGGATATAACGCTAAACTAAAAAGGACACATGCCCCGAGGTCATGATTTAAAGACTTCTTAGCAAGTAATATGCTGCATTTACGAGGTCTCTGGCAACACCTATTTTTATACTACGTAAAGGCATAGGGGCCTATCAAGCGCTGATCACTTTAGGGCTGAATCAATACTTGGCCAGTCAGTAATTTCCAGGGGCTCATTCCCTGGAACAGCCCATCTTAGCGCTCCGAGATCCTTAGACCCCCACGTTACACTGCCGCCCGAAAAGGGGGAGCAGCCCCTAAGCTAAAACATAAGACCCCGGGCTTCTCCCCTATCCTTCTACAAGCTAAGTATGTACCAAGATTTGCCAACCCACGTCTTATACCCGTTGGGGGCGAAGCTATAAACTGGTCTAGAACGATTATCACACACGTATGATAACCATCCCATAAGCACTAACCGCACCATGCAGTCATCACCAGTCCCCGTACCGACAACCCAGCGGGCGATTGTCCAAGGTTCAGCAGGCCAGCCCACAATAGCAGAAAACATACCCATACCAACCCTGCGTCCGGGCACCCTCCTGATCAAGACGGTCGCTGTGGCGCTCAACCCCAGCGACAACAAGATGGGCGCCGCCTTCCCGTGCCCGGGCGCAGTCATCGGCATGGACTTCGCGGGCCAAATCGTCGACATGAAGCCCGCGGAGGGCGCAGAGACGCCGGACCCAGACTTCCGCGTCGGGGATATGGTGTGCGGTGTGGTGCACGGCTCCAACCCCGGCGATCCGACCACCGGCAGCCTCGCGGAGTACGTCCGGGCGCCGGCGGACCTGGTCCTCCGCGTCCCGGAGGGGTTTCCCCTGGAGCAGGCGGCGGCGCTGGGGACGCCGTTGTTGACTAGCTGTGTCGCGTTGTGGAGTTCGTTGGCGATTACGGCGATGCCTGAGAGCCCGCTTGCGAAGCCCGCTCCTGTGTTGGTGTATGGCGGGAGTACGACGTGTGGGACGATGGCTATTCAGCTTTTGAAGACGTGAGTTCCTATTATCTGATCTTTTCACTTATAATATTCGTCTATGACCACCAATTTTACCCCTGACGACTACTAGTTGAATAGGTAATTAACTGAACCGCAATAGCATAGGATATGACCCAGTCGCCACCTGCTCATCCCGTAATTTCGACATGGTCAAGTCGTACGGCGCCAGCGCGGTCTTTGACTACACATCTAATGACCTTGGCCGCAATATCAAGACGCACACGGGTGGGCGACTACGCCATGCCCTCGACTGCATCGCCGACCAGGCGTCGACGACATGCTGTTACGCCAGCCTAGGCCGACCCGGCGGCCGCTACGCCTATCTCGAGTCCAGCCCGAAGGAATGGAAGACACGGGAGGCTGTCAAACCGGATTTTGCCTTAGCCTATGAGGCTTTCGGACGGGAGGTCAAGTTAGATGGAGAGTATGGGCGGCCGGCAAGCCCGGCAAAACATGAGATGGCTGTGAAGGTTTTTAGGTCTTTTCAAAAGCTTCTCGATGAAGGAAAGGTAAGAGCACATCCGACGGAGGTGGTGGGCCACGGCTTTGAGAGTATTATAGAAGGACTCCGCAAGTTGAAGTCAGGGGCTGTGTCGGGGAAGAGACTAGTTGTTTGGATTGAGTAGAGTCTTCATGGATGAATGGATATAAGGCATAAACGTTTTTGTCTTTCCAGATATCATTCAGACTATTATAAAGATTTTACAAGCAAGGTTTTTTGGAAACTTTTATGAATGTCAAAGATCTTACATAAACTGAATGTTCAATTTTTCTATTAGTGTCAAGCTTAGAGCCCCTGATTTCATATCAATTCATCCTTTCCTTACTCTGCCTTTCATTCTCCACCTGAAGTACATACACAAGTGATGTCGCAGGTAATGTGATATTTTAACGTACCTACCTATCTTACAGTATCAAAGAGCAATACTCCCCTCAAGTTTATTGAGTGCGCTTCATATTGACATGTACAATTTTCACTCCTTTACATCCAGCTTAATTCACTAGTCCCTATGGCAATAGTATGAAAAGGGCCCTTATGGACCAATTTTAACGATCTATTATATATCCAGTGAATATGCCGGCAGTGACGTTCTTATCAAGATCGTCCAAAGGGAGTGCTAGTCTATCCCCTACCCCTATTACCAGCTGTAAACCCCCTTTAACGAGATCCGCAACGATACGTGTTAATGCAGCAGCCATAACATCCTTAGCCATGGAAACGCATTTATAAGCCCTGTCACCAAATTCATGACCAAGTAAGTCCTTGCTGACCCTCATGAGACACCACAGGGGCAGACTATCTCACGACAAAGGCTAACCCCCTGAATCCACGCCGAGATACCGACTGGCCGTCGTTATACTCGATCAACACCACACAATATCCCATCTACTGACTCCCATTTTCGTCTCTTTTGTTTACCTACCTAATGATTTCCTCGAGCCCTAGGTACGAATCTCCATCGCTTCTCCGTGTTTTGCACAAAGGCATTTCCCAAAACACGTTTTCCTTCTCTTCCATTTCTTCCTCACGCAACCGCAAAATCCTCACTTTCTTGCGTCTTCGAAGAAAAAAAAATCATCAACTTCAAAAAATCATTTACCTACTCTCACTCTCATCATTACTTACTATCAATCATACCCTTACTCCAGGTCATGGAGAACGTGGAAAACTTCGGTCTCGAAAGCGCCCACCGTCGCCGCCCTTCCATCCGCGTAGTCATCTCCAGAAGCAACATCTACGGCTCCGCCCACACCACCATGCAAGTGCCGCCCGTAGTCCAGTCGATGAACCCGGCCATCATCGCCGCGGACGACATGTGGAGCGGCGACGGCCCCGTCGGCCTATTCGCCATGGGCATCGATCTCGACACGCCCCGCGACAGCCTAGACCTGGACTCATCCGAGTCCGCGCTTCTCCTCGGCAACCACGTCGCGGTCGAGACGAAGAGCAAGAAAGCCAAGGCCTCCGGCCTCTGGGCCAAGCTCAAGCAGAAGTTCAAGCGCAGCAAGTCGCCCGGCGCCGGCCCGCACCACCACCACCACCACCACCCCTGGCAGCGCGTCGTCAGCGGCGGCTTCGGCGGCATCCTCGTTGGCAAGGAGACGAAAGTCGAGACCGAGGACAAGCCCGCTGCCGGATTGCCCAGATCGAAGACGACTGCGGACTTCCGCCCTCCGCGCCCCATCTCGACGAACTGGAAGGCGGCTCATGACGAGCTGCTGGACATGGGCGACGAGCGTGACAAGAAGCCCGAGAAAACGTCAGAGAAGATCGGCGGGCTCGTTCGTTCTATGTCCGCGGTGTTGCCTGGCCGACATTGAGCTATTACCACACTCGGCAACTCGAACACGCCTCATGTAAAGGCACGAGTACCTAATAACGTCTTCTCAGGGATATTAATATGGGCATTTAGGGTTTTGATTGATTCCGCAAATCTGTGGATTGGGACAGAGGAGGATATACCCGGGGTTTGGCAGCTGGTACTGGGCACCGACGCATGGATTCAAAGGGAGGGTTATCGTTATTCTGTATAATATGGGCAAAGGAGTTTCGGTTCTGCAACTATGCACATCCCCAATGAGAAGACGCATCAACACTGACTTGAGGACTTCGTTCGTTCCGTGCCTTGATGTGACCATGTTTCCTTTATAAAACCTTCGATTCGTGGACTTCAAATACGACTCCCTAGTAGAGTTATCCGATTTCTCATCGGCTGCTGAGCACATGATGATTATTGAATTAAAATTGCCTATTTCCACGAAGGAGGACAAGTACTTACTCTCCAAGATCCACCAACCTCGGTATATTATTCGAGCATATGCGACACCTTCATCACTCAGTTCAATGCTGAGAATATATAGACTCGTTTTCTCAAGCCAGTTTATCCGTAAGGACAACAGGAGAAAGGGGTTTTAAGTGCGATCAAATAGTTCAATGCTGATGGCTGAGCAGCTATATTAATCCAGATGACCAAAAAAAAAAAAAAAAACCAGTAAAGCCAACCCTACCTAGTAAACCTATTATCTTCACCCAGAGTCATCACAAATTCCCACTCCCTTCCTATTTCGCCAAAGCAGCCTTCACAGCAGTAACCTCCTCCTCCAGGGGCAAGATATCCGGCACAGGGCCTAAGGGGGTGATAGAATGTGGGTTGATCTGGACATGGCTGCGCGTGTAGTGATTCTTAATATGCAAGAAATTCGTCGTATCCTTGAAGGCCGGGTGCTTCCAGTACAGGTTCCGGGTGTACTTGTGCAGAAGCGGGTACCCTGACCGGATATCGCGCAGATTACATTTGAAGTGCTGGACGTATACCGGGTCGAACCGGATGAGCGTCGGGAACCTATTTTCCCGAGTTAGTCGGCACTATTCTTCCCATGGGGACTCGGACAGCTTGATATAAAAAAGGATGATGGGCGGAGCACTCACAGCCTAATGTCTACCTCCGTAATCGTATCCCCAAACCAATACGGCCCGCCCGTCTCAGCAAGATGTTTCTCCGCTCTATCCAGCGCATCGAACAGCGCCGTAACATTCCGATCGTACGCCTCCTGCGTCGTCGCGAAGCCGCTCTTATACACGCCGTTATTGATACCGTCGTAGATCCAGCCGTGCGCCTCCTCGATCCGCGCCCTGAGCGGCTCCGGGTAGAAGTCGAGCTTGGCGTACTCCGGCGGCAGCTGGTCATCGAACACGTGGTTCAGCATGCGCAGGATCTCGCTGCTCTCGTTATTCACGATCGTGTTCGCCTTCTTGTCGAATAGCACCGGCACGGTGAACCGCCCTCCGTAGTTGGGGTCTGCCGCGAAGTAGAGGTCCCGTAGGTGGGTATACTTCTCGTGACCCGGAACCGGGTCCGGGATCACGTTCTCACCTGCGGCGTCCGTGTCTTCCGGAGTGGGAAAGCGCCATCCTGTGATATTCTTAGCTCTTCGGTCTATGCATACATAATTCCGCAGTAAGCCGATGGAAAGCATAACGTACCTTTATCCCCCATATGCCAATGGACGCTAGAGAATGAAATAAAATCCTCGAGCCCCTTCAGTTTCCTCACGATCAAAGTCCGATTAGCCTGCGGGTTGATGTCGTTAACAAAACCATCTCACACCCCAAACCGACTCCGTCTGAAATTGAAGATGACATACCCAGGGGCAAGCATAGCTGACATAAAGATGATACCTCCCCTTCTCGGGCGGGAATTTTGCGCCAGGCTCTTTAGAAATCCAATCACGGAACGAGCTGACCTGACGCTTGAACTCGCCACTGGTATCGCCGGGCTTCACCCAGTCAGTAATTTTCGAAGCCTATTTTGGCCTATTAGCAATCATCTACCCGTGCTTTAATTCCGCTCTCACCATTCGTATCTGCTGGTTATTCTTCACAAGTTTCGGAGGCGGGTTCACGGTAATCCTTCTAAGTTGTGCTTCGCTTTTTATAAGCGATGAGATGCCTCTCCAATCGCAGGTTATGCCACCTCCCCTCGGGAACAATACAGGAAACGACGAGGGTGTAATTGATCTTGATAATAACAACGATGACGCGACACGAGAGAGCGCAGGAGAGCGAGCTATGTTCATGAATGCGGGGATCCCCAATTTCTCTAACTCAGGTGCTACCTCGATTTATATACTCCTACTTTTCGAAGTTCTCCTGACTTGTCTTCTTAGGGAGTCTTCGAATCAGGAGCTTCAAATATGGCGTGCGCTACCAAGTTGTAGAAGATTTGTCACTATCGAGGCGTTCTCCCCTTATTCATCATTATACTACGATTACGGATCGTGACGTAAATCTCCTGGACGAGTAGGGACTAGTATATCGTTACTAATCAGCTAGCATGGCGGGGTTAGAAATCATGTGGAGATCCCTTATATAGAATCGAAAAGAGCGCCTATAGGTACCTAATCACGAACATAGACTTGCTAAGAATATGAGCAAAATCAACTCTATTTTACTACTATTTGTCTTAAGCACTTTGTGACAGACCCCATTGCTGCCAAACTAAAAGAGCAAACGGCGCATGCTAACACCATAGCATAAAAGACAGGACACCTACGCCGTGATCTCTGAAGCTAAGCCCCAATAAACCGTACGAGTGGGGAGTACTAGGCATCCTTCGTTGCCAAGAACCAGGCGCCTCCATGATTGAGAGATCGATAGGAAATAACAAACATCTACCGGATGATAGCCTTGATGTATGGTACCTCCACATCCTGGTCGTCCAAGTCCTCCGCCACCATCTCGAAGATGAGCTCCGTCTGGTGCTCCGGGATCGGCTTCTTCGACACCGACTCGACCAGCTCGCTAAGCTTCAAGTTATATCGCTCCTTCAACTTTCCGGGCGCGAAGAAGCTGGCGTACAGAAGACTCACTCCAGAGCTCAGCATGCTAATGTTCAGGCCTCGTTTCTCGAAATCGTCAAGAAGTTCTCTCAATGTTATATCGTTCACCTCAAATCGATCCCAAATCTTGTCCAAGGTCACCTTGCCGTCCGGTCCCTTGTACTCAACCTTTGGGCTAGAAATTGGCTCGCTGAAACCGAAGAATGGCAAGGCAAGGTTAACAAAGCCGTTCTTGTACTGCTCGATGTCATTCTTCCCATCGATGATCTTGTACAGCTCTAAGACGACAAGACCGGTAACCAATGCGGTTGTAGTAGCGATAGCCGGAATAATCTTTCCGGCGATGAACTTGGTCTTGTGTCGGTCGGCCTTCTCGATCTTGTAATTGTCTGCTCGTAGATTACTTGCGGCAGTGATGAAATCTATGTGGTGATTCGTGTCATCATCCTTCTCAAACTCCACGGGCGTTAACTTAAAACCAGCCAACTCATTAGGAGCAGGGAGACTGTCGACGATCTTCTGTATCTCATTGTTGTCATCAAACGCAGATTTGTTGTTCGCGGCGTTGGGGTCCTATACGCAAGGTTAATTATCATCTATCACAGATTCACCAAACGGAGTAAACCTACGGGATCGTTGTCGCTCGCCTGGATCTTGACGCCTGGGTCAGGCGAGAAGTCTGGGACGATCATGTTGTCCAGCACCTTCAAGTAAAGGCCTTCATTTACTCCCTTAGTGTTAATATTGTAGTTGAATGCGTGAAGGTTAGCGGCTGCGACGATGAAGCCGAAGTGGGTAGGATTCTTGGGGTCAAACTTCAATGGGTCAGGAGCACGCTTCGGGCCAGACCAGAAGGGAGTGCCGCTAGAAGACGTCGAGTCCTTGGGGAAGTTGTAAAGTAGCTGTTGGATAGCGTTGTTATACTGTCTCTCGAATAGCATCCTTGCCCAGATGATGCAGTCTTCGAAACTTAGAGGTTTATCCGTTACGAGATAGTCGCGGATAGTCTCAAGAGTCGGTGTCTCGTTACCGCCCTGCTTCAGTGTTGTCTCCAGATAGTTAGGCTGAGACAAGTAGAGGTTGACGGTCTCTGCAGACTTAACAAAGGAAGTCTCGAAGAGTTCGCGGGCCCATGCAATGGTATGCTCGATCTTGTTGGGGAAACTTCGTAATGTGCACATAGGGAATGACACCTCAGGAGGATCCTGCGAGGACGAGTACGATTCGGTCAACATAGGGAGAACAACCTGTGTGTTGCCCTTAGTACCGAGAGTACCGCTCTCGAGTAAAGGCTTGCGGAAGAAAACGCATCGTCGGTCGACGTATGTTCTCGCCTCCACATTGTCAAGCGCATTAGTGACACCATCCAAAGACTCCCAAAAGTCCTTGTTGAAGATGTGCTCAGTCTCAGGGCTAACTCGATCTTTCAAGCACTCGATATGACCCACAAGCTCGGGATTCATGGCCTGAACGGCCTTGGCTGCGCAATCACTCTTCATTTGGCCAACGTCCTTAGGGCGAAATAAGAATTGGCGGTTCAGGTTGCTCTTCTCGATCGAGTCCATATCAGTAACCGTGATTTTGCCTTTGGGTCCAACGCCCAACCCGATCATTGCCCAGTTCTTGAGCATTTCGCATCCAATAGCACCCGCACCGACGAGGAATTGTCTGACGTTAGCGATTTTGTCCTGGTATTCTTTACCGAAGACAGCGATTTGACCGTCATATCGAGATCCGATCGGTTTGCATAGCTCCTCAGTTCGAGCAACACTAGTGGGAAGTGATTCCAGAGAGTCGAAGTAGAACCACTGCTTGATAGGATGGAATTTGCCCGACACAGCTTTGAGAACCTCCTGGGCGGTCAGACCACCAAACAAGGCGGCCATGGGATTCAAGTCGCCCTGAGCCTGGTAGCTGAGTTCCTTGACAAGCTTCTCATCAACCTCGAGATCTAACTTCTCCTTCTGGACAAAAGCCTTGACGGATGCGACAACAACGGCGGCATCTTCATCGTTCATTGGTCGGGGTAGACGGCCCTGCGACTGGGTAAAAGCATGCAATGCCTCAAAACCAACATGGAGTTGGTGTGGTCGGTCGAATTTGGCGAAGTCAGAGATGACGAACTCCGGCTCGCGTAAGGCCGCAGAAATTGTCTTGAACTCGATAAACTTGGGCATCTTGACCTGCTGGAACAAGCCGCCGCCCTTGTATTGGCCCAATCCAGACACATCGCCAATAGAAAAGGTGTAAGGACCTTTAACAGTAATCTTCTTCGGCTCGGCATTGTTCAAGCCCTCCATTCCCTTGACTTCGGAGAAAGTAACATAATCACCATCCTCTAAGCCATGACGCGTCTCATCTAGGGCAGAAACCAATCCCTCCTCGTCGATGTCGGCTACAATCCCATTGATGGGGTTTTCGCCGGTCGCATCGAGACATGTAAACTTGGGACCAAAATCGCAGAAGATGGAGCCAAAAAGTCCGAATGTATCGGCGACTACGAAGTAGATGCCCTTCGAGTGGCAGTAATCGCCGATGGCTAGTTGAAGGTTAAGGGGGGTGTTGGTTAGGACTACGACCTGATACTTGTCGAACTGAGAGAAGTTCTCGCCAAGGCTGTTCACCCAAATGTTAGCATGTGATATCCTTAACAACATAGATATTTCGCTTTACCTATGCGATTCGTGAATGCCGACAGGAGTATAGGCGTTAAGCTCAGCCACACGAGGAGCCGTAACTACATCCCGAGGTTTTCCAACATCGTCTGGGCGTAAGAAGAACTGGGAGGACAGATCGGCGATGGCAACAGGCGTCGGGTCGTGGAGGGTTAAACTCTTGACACCGGCAAGAGCGATATTCTTGGATATCTCAACACCAAGACCCTTCAGACCAACTATAAGGACGTTCGAAGCGCCCATGCGCTTCATAGCCTCGTGGCCAAGGACATAAAGCTGTCGGCTATAGAGGGATTCGTCGATCTCGGTCTGGCCTACAACGGAGTTGTCGACCTGGACGCGGGTGACCAGATCGACCTCAGGTATTCCCGAAGCCATTTTGGTATCCTATATATGACAGATAAATGTTATCATCGGTGTATGGATATAGAAATGGGCCAATAGTTGAGAGTAAATCAATAGGCAGGTATACTTACGGTCATGGTTCTCTTAGGGGAGAAAGGCAACTCTCCGTTCTCGTGTTTGCGCTTCCCCAGCTTGGCGATGTTTGCTCTAGTGGAGCCCTCTATGCTGCTACTAGAAGATATGAACACGCAGGCGACGAGAGAAGGAATGTGAATATGGGGGGAAGGTAAGGATGTGATAATCCGCTGACGGTAGGAAGAAAGATGAACGATGTACCCAAATTAACAACCCCACCACCGATTACCTAGAACGAGGCTAGCCGATCGATCAGTCAGGTAAATACGATACGAGATGACGTAGTTGGATAGCTGGTCCAAAAAAGGGAAGAGGACTGGTTGATATAAAAGGAAGAAAAGACCAGCTTTCTAATAAGGCAGTAGATGATTGACGAGGTTCTTTCGGGATAGTTCGACGGACTACAGAAGCTGCGGTTTGACGAGAGGTTGAAAAGATTAAGATGTGGAAGCTCTTGCACGTTTCTAAAAACAACGTACAGCTAAACGTTAGCCCGCGGGGTGTGCCTGACTGACGTTTCTGGCCAGCTGATTTCTCAGCAAATCATTTCTGTCTCAGTTGTGGTGGGGTCAAACGGTGGCTTATTTGCAGGTGGGGATCAGTCATAGGTGTGGCGCAATAATTGTGGCGCATTTCTAAATCTTCTTCGCGATTCTATCGGAAGATGCACACTATGTACTTCAGTAGTTTTTAAAAGAATCGCCGTTCCAAGTTGTGTTGAGTTAGTCATTATTGAAGTACCTGGCAACTTCTAAGTTCCATGTGTAATACTACCTAAGTAGTAACAGTCCAGTAATACATACATCCAGTATCCTAAATCACGTACATACGTACCATCCTTATACCATGAAACAAAGAGAGTGTGCGTCCCCGCGGCCTCTCATTAGGAGGAATTCACGGCCGCACGACAGGATACCTGGACGAAATCACCAGAAAAAGGGAATAAAAGGCAGGCACTGACAGGCGTAATATCTCCAGAAACCATCATTATTCTCACCTTAGGCAGCGCTCCGAAGGTAAAGCAATATCCAAAACAGGATCATTGCAACTTCTCATCGACTTTGTTACGTAATGTTGCGCGCCTCTTGCCATTTATGAACACTTTCAATCGGTCGTAACTTTGCATTGTTCGCAGTTTTAAGTCATTTGCACCTTTGCATCCTGCTTCAAATGCATTGCTATGCTATTTGCTGCTAGGCCTAAATTGCTGAAAGAGGACAGGTAGTACTCTGTTGATTGGCTGAATTGACATTTGTCTCTGCGATTATTCTATCGCACTTCTAACGTATAGAACGAAGATCCATTCCAAGTCAAACGTTGTGATCTAGTGGAACATAGCATAATAGGGGTATAGGATAGCGAAACAAACTTGCACCTCGGAACAGGAACCCATCGAAACACCATAATTACAATGATGTTTGACATGTCTCTACATCATCTATGTGAAGGCTAGATCTTATGCCCCTTTTGAAAACATCTTCATAACACGTCATAATTCAGGTCGTGGTAAACGTTGTTTCACTGAAGTTTGTATTGCACCTGAACATTTGACGAAGAAGCTAGAACAACAATACACTAGCCCCTGCCGTAAACCTCTCCTCGTGGAATGCCGTCCGAGTAGACTACTCGCCACTTCCAATATCTCCTGTAATTATGTGCATCGAAGTGTATGTATAATCGACTGTGAGGTCCATTTGTCTGCATCTTTCTCCCCGCCAAATGTACTTCAGCCAATCCATTAAATCCCTCAAGAAAACTCCCAATTCCTTGTCAGCAACATCTTTCGTCATTAATTGCGTGTAGCCATAACAGGTCTCTCGTGTAAGGAGCGTAACAACCCCAAGGGTATCATGAGTATGCCTTTTGTTCAATTCCATATTATGCCCCAATGATGCAACTACCTAGGTAAGGTACCATTACCGTGCCGCCACGGAGGCTGTAAAAATGAGTGACCTGTCCGCGCTCTCCAGCCGATGCCTTATCAAGCCGCCCACCAAGTGATCACCATTAATACAACGTTGAGCCCCGAAACTTCCAATTGGCTTGAAGGATAGATGTGAACTGAATATTTATACTGCTTTTTCTAATGGTATGCTAAATTCGAACATTAATTGTATCTGATAGTATCAGATGAAGAATAAGAGTGAGATTAAGGCAAGGATGGAGTTTGATACGACATCAACTCTCAAGGTGGCTGGCGCCCCAGCGGTGGAGACTGGAGCCGGGGCAGTCGTGTTGCCCGGAACTGTAGCAGGCGTTGTCGTCGTAGGTGAACCGCTGCTGCTAATCGGCGAGGAGATGCTGATCGGTGAAGGGGTGCTGCCGCTACTACTACTAGCGCTGGCGCTGTTAGCGCTCGAACTTTCGCTCGAGATCTGTATAGAGCTGCTACTCTCAGAAGACGCCGAAGCGCTACTCTCCGACGAACTACCTTCCGAGGAGCTCGAAATTGTTGACGAGACAGAAGAAGTAGACGAAATTGACGTAGTAGATATGATGGATGAAGAGACGACGACAGACGAAGTAGATGAAGAAGTAAGCGAACTAGAAGTTGAGGAAACTTGGGAGACCGACGAGGTTGTTGACACCGAGCTAGAGGTTGTTGATGCCGAAGTAGACGTTGCTGATACCGAACTAGATGTGGGTAGAGGCGAAACGATGCCCGTGTTGGTGGACGCCGCAGCCCCACTGGCTGTAGAACCACCGGAGGTGGTTGTAACGTCACTCGCGGCGGAGCCAGTTAGGTTTAGGACAGGAACAGGATTTGTCGCATTGCAGTAATCGAGATATTGCGAAAACGTAGGGAGCACGTAGTCTTTAGTTGCATCCTCCCAATTTACCTGCTCCACAGCGCAATTATGGCAGGACTGAAAGTAGGTCCGGAATAGAGAGCCTATTTCGCAAAGGGCATTGCTCTTACCAATTCTTTGAGCCTCTAAGTAAGCGTTGTTGCAAGTGTCGAAGCAGGACGCTGGCATTGTAGGCGAACGCTTGGTGATAGGATTGTACGGGACGTATCTTTTCTCTACAGCCGTCGAAAAGGCCGTAATGCTCGACTGAGAGCCCCAATTGCCGGTTTCGATAGTAGTGACATAGGTTTGATCCGATTCTGTTGTAGTCGTCACAACATTTTCGACAGCGAACACCTCGTAGCTCAACCCGAAAGCAGGCGGCGCGAGATTAAAGTAGCCCCACGTAGGTCTATAGTATCCTGTCTGGAATATGGGCCAACGAACTGGGTAATACTCCGGAGCTTCTATACAGTAACTCAGACTCTCGCAGACGTATGACTTGTTCGGCGGAGTTGCCCAGATATTGCATCCTTCTTCCGTAAATGGAGGAGCGCAGATAGTTCCAGGAAGACAACCCCAAGTTAAATTGGACGTGACATCATATGCCGGAACTGTGATATTCGCGGGGTCAGGGCTGACGGTACAGGTAGTTACAGCAGTAATGACGGACGACACAGTTACGGTCTCTGGAGCTTGTGTTATCGTGGCCGGAGGAGCAGTGATAGTAATTGGAACCACGTTAGTAATAAGCTGTGTTGTAGTAAAAGTTGTAGAGCTCACTACCGAATCGGTAAGCATAACCTCGGAAACTGTCACGAAGGTAGTCGTCTCCACGAGAGTGATAAACGAAGTAGTCTCCTCAGTTGCAGTTATTGTGGCAAAATCTGTGGTCGGTGAAGCAGAGACAGACACATCGGTTGTTGTTAGAACGCTGGTAAGCGTTGACAAGATACTTGTCGAGTATGTCGACACACTTGTATAAACAGACGTGGTATACTGCGTTGTAGTCAGAGTCTCGTCGGAGATAACTGTAGTCGGGATCTGGGTTGTGAAGGTGAGGGTCTCCGTCGTGATTGTGGGGACCAACGACGTGTAAGTAGCAGTTTGCGTTGTCGTCTCTTCATTAGTCAGTGTAAATGAGGCTGTAGTTGTCTCTTGCTCTGTCAAGGTGAATGAGGCTGTCGTCGTCTCTTCCTCTGTCAAGGTAAATGAGGCTGTCGTCGTCTCTTCCTTTGTAAAGGTAACCGAGGCAGTGGTAGTCTCCTCGCTTGTTATCGTGTAAGGATAACTGACAGTAGCGAAGACGGTCGTGGTGCCGCTGCATCAATTGTCAGCTCAATGGCTTCAGGTTCGTTCATTATCATACTCACTAGACTGTTGTCGTTTCGTAGCAAGTTTCAACCTCAGTCTCAGTCTCAGTCTTCGTCGTCGTTTCGTAACAAGTCTCGACCTCGGTCTTAGTCTTTGTCTTCGTTTCGGTAATCGTCTCCGTATCACATTCGCTGTGAGTAGAGGTAGGGTACCAATGGGCTTCGGAATAGGAAGCCCTCGCGATCGAAGCCAGCGCGAGGGACAAAGCCCCAAACCGTTGTATTAGAACCATTATGGTGTATCTAACAGCTTCAGGATAGCTTCTTCGATGACTTAGGATGTCAAATTAACCCCAATTTCCAATGAATGTCTTCGTAGCGAGCGTCCGTCTATCCGACCGTCCGTATATATCAAACGACTCTTATACTAAGAGTGTAACGATGAGTTGATGCGAGAAGCGACTGACGATATAAACAATTTAGAGCTCTTAGCTTGACTTATATGTGTAGGCGAAACGAAAGCTAGCTAGGTAAGCGAGGCTCTGAGATTCCTTCAGCTAGAAACTCCGAGTATCCAACGGGATGATGGCTTCGTGAGCCGGCTGACAGAGAACCTAGCAAGCTATGTGTCGAAGGATTTCCTCATAACGCAACTTTAATGAGCAGTCGTCAGCCCGGCAACAGATAGGTAGGAAGAGCTTCCTAGCTAGAAATTTGAGCTGGATTATGATTTTCCGTCCGGATGACTAGCTGCGACCAACCTACAGAGAACGAGAGCTGAATGAAACGTGGTTCCATGAAAAGGAAAGCTACCAGATAGCTTGGAAAGAGGGACAGCGCCGTCAATAAGGCTGAGAACAAGAGTGGGCAAACGCAGCAATGTCAACACGAGCCATTGGGACCTACCTAGGGCCGACAGGTACCAAGCATGATCGCAGATCAAGTATACAATACATCCAGCTCTGCTTCTAGTCAGGTCTCCGCGGCGCCATGTGCGACCAATAATCCCTGCAAAGAAGGAATCTGTCAGCCCGCCTATCGCATCCCGGGCGAGAATGCATGGTGAAGATGACTACATGAGCGTTTGTACCACGCAGCTTCGGCTCCGGCCCGCCATCTTCTACTCCTTCGCCCACGTTCACGGCGGGAAGAGAAAGTCCGGAATCCACTGTTATTATGAAAGGAGCTCAGCCTTCCAACGCGACAGACGGGGCGAAGCGTTGATTAGCGAATAAACAGAGATAAAAAATAAAAGAAAATTTGCAATGTCGCATAGGATACAATATACCAACCAGGTTAAAAAAATGAATCATCATATGAGCAAATAAAACTTGAAGTAAGCACTTGACTAGAACCGCAATAAGCGAAGCTGCTGCCAGGATTAGGTAAAATAAAAGTCCCGGTCAGTCAGATAGGTACCTAGGTATGCAGGTTGGCAAGACATATGAGCGACGAGGCTCTTCGGCACCCAACGAAGACAGCCGTATAGCCCATCTAACTGGTGGGTTCGGACGGGAGAGGATAATAAATCGAAAGATTGGTCAAGTTATGGGCCCGTATACGATAGCGGGGTACGTTGTGTATACCATCGTGCATACGTACATTATACAATAGCACTTACATCCTCCCATCAAAGCTGTAGCCAAGTCCGAAAGGACGTGTACTCGGAGGGTCTTCCGTAACGGTAGGGCCAGGGTCGGCCAAAAGTGAGTGGCCAAAGCCAGAACACACTGTCCCTGAACTGCACCGCCCAACGAAGAAGCCGTAAGGGCGCTGCAGAAGTACGCAACGGCACAGCTTGCATGCAACCTAGTACCACCGTTCGTGCCTCTTAGGTAGGATCGCCACTTGTCAAGGCCTAATAGAGGCTTACGAAGAAGGACACTCGCAGAACCGGGCTCGAATTCAGCCAATGAGGAAGCGATGTCATCACCTTTGCGCACAGATTAAGAAATTCGATAGTCGTGCCACGCGTTACACAAATCGGCGGCATCGAAGACTGGTGCTTGAGTCGCCGGGAAGTAGAGACATTTCGTTTCTACCTTTCTCAAGATGCAAGCCAGATGCAAGTTCTTATCCGGCCTCGGCACCGTTTCTTGTCGGTACTATGCGATGATCATATAGGTGCTTTAGAGTAAACAAGCACGAGAATCCGACCTGTTCTCGTTGATACGAGCCATGATAGCGCCATAATATAACAGCGATAAGTTAACTGCTAGCTGACGAAAGTGCCGATACTACCAGCTTTACAAGCTTGTAACGACATTTTGGTCTTGGGATATCTCCAGGGTTGTTGAGAAGAGTAAACGAATAAGAAACTCCAAAGAATTGAAGCCATTGAAACTAGGTATTGATGGAGTTGAGGCGCCACAATCTTTAGCAGACTACCCACATACATGTACATTGTAAGCGGGGTAGGCACCTTAAGTCTTTCCTAATCGAGATGAGTAAAGTTGGGTTCTGATGAAATACCGAAACAGGGAGATGGCAGCTGAACGCCAGATATCATCGGCAATATCGTTGTAAGGCTGAGAAGCTCCAACAGAGCTCGTTCACCTAGTGTTTTCCCGGCGAATAGCTCGGTATTCTTCCTTATGAAATAACTTTTCGCCATTATTCCGAGTAATTTGTAAACGATTCCCGTAAGCTTACATGATAAGGAAGCTCTATGGATTGAGTCGAAGCTTCGAAGGATCCCAAAAAGTTGAAAAGAGCGTCGAAAAAAGGCTGGAAATGGCGGGGGCTAATTGAGTGGAGAGCAACAGGATAGCGGGACAACGGGGAATAAAAATAGACGCGCAAAAAGGTTTAGTGTCTTAGCACAAAGTTACCCGTAAGCAACGCTAACTTATCAAGGTTATATGGGCCTTGCTAGCTCCAGCTTACATCGGTGGATTGTCCTACGTCAAGTCCAAATTTGCGGCTTAATTGGACAGATGAATTATATAATAGATCTATATCTAAATGTATAAGGAAGTAGCAAGGCGTTTGAGTCAAAAAAGAAAAGAGACGGAGGGGAAGAAAAAAGAAAAAAAAGAATGGCACCATTGAACCCGTCTAAAACTTCCCAATTTTTTCTCCACTTCAGTCTTCTCGAGGTCAAGTTATCAACCACCTCCACTAACTCTTAGTCGGGCAAAGCGGGATCTCGCCAAGCTTGGAGAAGCATTCCCGGTTATTACATATTGCACTGTTACTATAGTTCCAGAACGCCGGAAAACCCTTGTGGGTGTCTCTCGTATGAGTAACATACTGCCCTCCCACAACCTACGTACTTGGGGAGTAACAGGAAGTGCTAGAGCAAGACAACGAGGCCATTCGTTCGACAATAACGAATCGCGACTATACCGTTTGTAACGTCACCTTTTCCCCGGCTAGCTACAGAGTCTGGGCTATGTTATTAACTACCTGGGTATGGACTTGGACAGTGACTTTGGGCTGTGGTTAGATTATTATATACATCGTTGAGCGTTCACCACTTCGTATTTTCCATTGCCCCGCCCAGTTAGATCTCTTCCGATTCTAGCTTCTCTATTGACTGGTGAGTAGCATCGACAGCTCATAATATCGTCGACTTGCACTAACACGGTCCTACCCACCATCAGATTATCTGCAGCAGGGGTACGATCCTCCAATGAAGATAAGACAAAAGAGAATATCACATCGACAACATCCCAATAGGAACATGCTATCCTACAGGGATAAATCTTACGTGTGTGTCTTAATGTGTGTCTCTAGCTCGCCATTGGAACTTCCTTAGCTGCCTTATCCATCTTACGCAGTATAGACTCGGCCTGCTATGTAGGTACAGCTAGATTCTTGGCTGACTAGATAGTTTGTTACTCTAGTTCACAGCTCCAACTTCTCTCGCTGAATTGGAGTCGGCTCACTGGTCGTACTATAGTACTCAATGCTCGCTATCTCAGCATAGCTCTCTAACCTACTATATGGTAAATTGATCTTGAGCAATCATTGGCGCCAATGAGCGATGACCGGGCAAGTCTTGATATATATTATACCTACCAGCCGATACCATCAGCAAATACGGACGAGGCTCACCACTGGCCCAGATATGAGCTGACCTATTGGTCTAACCGGACTGAGCTACCGGTACACCCTCCACCAACGACCATGCGAGTGTGGAACATCTCACCCGAGCCTCGATCTTAGTATGTACGAGAGGGGGGCAAAAGCTTGCTTCTTTGTTTTCCAACCTGTCAACTTGAGCCGTTGTGTAATGATTATCCCTTCAAGCGTTGCATTGATGGTAGAACCCCTCGCTGGTAGCTGCTACTATCACTTGATTAGCAAGATTCGGACCAGCTGCCTCGCGTGTAAGTAGGTAGCTTTGAGAGATCTTTTTGTCCTGATTCACCTTTGCTACTGTCATCGTTCTTGCTTTCGGGATCGCCGTGTAAACCTCTTTATCGGTTGCCTTAGACAAAGACCACTCCCCTTTGATTTTATAGATACATCTTTTCTCGGATTTCAATATCCCTCCTCGACGACTTACTTAGCGTGGGTCTTTCGACAAATGAACTCCGGGGCTGTCATCGTCCGTGGGATCTAGACAACCCCAAAGTTTCCTTTGTCGTCGTGACGTTGCCTCGACTTACTCCCTCGGATTTCCGTTCTGTCAATACTAGCCCTGTCATGAAATGAGTCTCACTCACCAATACACCTTATCTCTACTCAAATAATCACGTAGTCGTTTCTCTCATCCAGAGACGAGGCACACTATGTATCGACATAGAATAGCATGGCTGGCCTGTACCACTGGTCTGCTGTCATCGACTATTCGCGCTCAGGACGATATCTTTGGACCAATCGGCGGCGGATGGGGCGGATGGATAACTAACCAGGTTAATTCAACGTTGTGTCAGTGGGGTTCGCTTCGAGGTGAGGCCCTACAATAACATACCTAGCTATCGCCGTTGCGTGACATCGTATGTATAAGTCTAACATCTGAATAGTTGCAACACTAAAAGATGTCGTCTATCTGGATGGCGGCGACCAAAGATTTGTCGCGGGTCTGAGCGACGGAACGATATCAGCGCCTCTTTTCTCAGACGGTATGCCATACATTCCGCAATTCTCTTCAAGCCAGATACGATCTAACTCTTCATCACAGACAATCCACTTGGACTTATCTGGACATATAACTTTAGTACCCCTTTCGATAAAAGCACAAATTTCAGCTCAATACTTGGCACTTTACCAAAAGGCGCGGCAACCAGCATTGCACCCAACTACGAAGATGGAGCATTGCTTGCTAACGATGCCGAATTCTTTCTATATGGTGGAATGTTCATAGCAACATCGACACAATCACTGCCGGATGGCAAATCGGTGCTAGGATATATGGCATCGGAGTACAATGACAATGGCCGCCCCTTCCACGTACAATTTCGGTCTGAAGATCTCCCTGATGGCATGACCCGGTTTGTCACTTTCGGTGCAGGCGCCAATGCCCCATCAGAGAATAAAGCGTGGTATTTTGGTGGATATCGTTCCGAATCCTGGGGTCAAATATACATCGCAAACTCTACCACCAATCCTACAAATGTGTCGAACACGTTTATGACACTCGATATGGCTGTGCAGCAACAAGAAGTTTGGACAAACACGACCCTACCAGTCGGAACGCAGAGTCGTGCAGGTCCATCCATGGTATGGGTTCCTGTTGGTGAACAAGGTATACTTGTGGTAGTGGGCGGTGTCACATATCCCGGATTTGACAACGATAATGGGACGTCTCAAAACGAGGCACAGAGTGTATGTCAAGGTCTTTTGATTATTGGAATGTGTTTACTAATAAAATCACAGAAAATTGATAGCCCATCATTCATGTCTACAATTGACGTATATGATGTTGCCGGCGACAAGTGGTATCGACAACCAACGCAGGGGGCTCCTCCCGCATTAACTAGGGGGTGCGCTGTAGTTGCTACCGCACAAGACAAATCCAGCTTCAATATCTACTATTACGGAGGGTATGATGGCATTAGTACTACTTCGGATTTCAATGATGATGTATGGGTACTTACGCTCCCGAGCTTTATGTGGATGAAGGTTTCCGGTGGCACACCGGAGCACGCTCGAGCCGGACACCAATGCGTGATGCCATATCCGGACCAGATGATCACTATTGGAGGTAGCACCTCCACAAAGGGTGATAGCCTCAAATGTCTCGACGGGGAGAGCCCATCAGTGCTTCAGGCTTACAATCTTACCCAGGCGGCGTGGATGGATTCCTATGATCCGAAGAGCTGGGATGAGTACGGTGTCCCCGAGATGATCCACATGATGATAGGAGGAAGCTACTCCGGCGGCGCAACTATGACCGCTCCATCTCCTGGTGGTTGGGCCACACCCGCGCTCGGCAGTGTTTTTGGTACTCCGTACAACACGTCAAAAATAACGACATATTATCCGTACAGCTCCGTCGGCCCCGGAAACGGTACTCGCGACGCGGCTCACAGCGGTGGCGGAGGAGGCACACCTGGTTGGGTCGGTGCCGTAATAGGCGTGGTTCTCGGTGTCGCCCTCATCACGGCCGTCGTAGTTGGTATCATCCTGTACAGGAAGAGAAAGTTTTTGAAGAAGAATAACAACATCAGGAGCGACCAATCAACAGACGATAACGGCAACAGCAAAGTCAAGTCCTGGATGCAAAATATGCAAGGCAGCAGAGCGCCAACCGTAGATGCCGAGGACGCCCGAACACAGTTCGACGGTATGGAGAGTCGGGGCGTCTCGCCAGGTCATCCAGAGATGGGGAACATGTACTCACCCGCCGAAATGCCAGATACGCCTCTCGTACCCATACAAGAGCTCATGGGTGGTAAGCTATACCTATTTTAACTGACATTTCTTCTTCACAGCCAGCTTAGATCTGATCGCTAATCAATTACGTGCAGACTCTCCGCGTCGAGCCGAGCTCTCAAGCGACACCGGAAGCATCCACAACGCCGGCTTCGTAGACCCGAAGCAGAACCCCTTCGCCTCGAACCCAAACACACCGCACTCCATCACCACGCCAACCACCCAGTTCCCCTTCGGCAGCACCGTATCGCACGACCACGCCTCCAGCATCGGCTCCCAGGGGCCGCCGCCACGGTACACGCAGAGGCCGGACTCGCCGCCGCTGGGGACCAACGACGCGCAGTACGGATCCATCGCCGGCATCGCCGTCTCCAACAACAACAGCAACATCAACAACAACAACTCCGGCTCCGACGTGCACTCGAACGTGGGCGGTGCAGATACTAGACCGCGTCCGCCAGCCGGGTCGAATCCGAACCGCAACACGGTGCTCAGCGGCGTAAGCGGCTTCAGCGACCGCGACGCCGGACACATGCGCCAGGCCAGCGATACGACGGTGAGCTCCGTGACCGTGGACGACTCGCACCAACAGCACCCGTCCTCATACCAGCAGCCCCAACAACATCAGGGGGTCTTTGATGGGCAGAACAGCCCGCCGCTGCCGGTCAGTCCGCCGAGCGTGGATACCATGGACGGCGCGAACGATTACATCAGCCACCAGCACTCGCAGCACTCGCGGAATGCGCAGGGAGGGAGCACAAGCAGTCCGAACCGCCAGAGCAATTTCATCGAGAGCGAGGATGACTTGGGGCCGGGGCGCGGAGAGGCAAGGTGATTTTGATCGGAGATCTATATCTCTCTTGAATTCTGAACACGAAAAAAAAGAAAGAAAAAAAAAAAAAACACAAGCAAACTAATGAATTTTCCGCGACTTTTTTTCTTCATGAGTTAGCTAAAAACTTCCTTTCCATATCTAAAGTATAGATACCATGGCGTTGTTTCTCATCTGGCTATTCGAGAAGGAACGGGTTTTTTTGGGCTGGGCTTGGGGCTGGACCGGGATAGGATAGGAAAGGAAAGGGAGGCGATGTGTTATTTTTCCCCGTATATACGTACATACGAGCCTGCTCTGAAGGCAGGACATGTCATTTTGGATATGTGATATGGATATGGATGATCGGACGCATTTGTATGCGCATGAGATGCAGAAAGAGGGGATGGACGACGAGACGACATACAAGTTTTTAGTGATCGATGGATCGATCAATCATTGAATCTCCAATTTAATAACGTGTTAATCTAATTGTCGGCTGAGTGAGACATACCATGCTACCATGATTGTACATAATTGAGCCTATACCGCAAGGTTCGCGGGTTTTATCACAAGGCTATACGACTGTTATGCCTTATAGTCAACATCCCAATTCTAGAAGGCACGGCTTTAAAGCGTTCATCTCTCCTAATACGCAAGATTGCTATAACCTCATTGTGTGTAAGGTTGTCTGAGATGCTCGTTAGTGAGGACCTAGTCTAGCTGGATGAGCATGGCTTTACCTCACTCTCTCAGAACTGCGTCGTTGGATGTAAATGACCAGAAACCTCGTATTAGGTCTCAATTAGCCCAGTTGCAGTCGAGGTACTACTCGCGAAATCCTTCGCAATGCTTTTACTCTCCACCATGTCTGATAGTGCGGTATGGTATGATGGTACTTCAGCACATCATTTAAACGCATGCCCTAGTCAATGTTCAAAGCGCCATCAATCTGCTCAACCCTTCTTCCGACCCGCCTTCCCCCTTCCCCGTCCCCTCGCCCCTCTCCCTCTCGCCGCACTTCCCCTCCCAGATCTCGTAGTCGGCGCCGCGCTAGGCTCCTCCTTCTCGCTCTCCTCCTCGTCAGCCTCTTCCTCGCCGTTATCTTCCTCTTCCACCACCTCCTCCTCTTCCTCGGCATCTTCTTCGACGTCCGGCTCGACGCTCTCGGCCTTCGCCCTCGCGGCCGCGCGCTTCTGCTTCTGAGCACCCCTGGTTCGCGCCGCGGGACTACTGGGCAGCGGCGTCTCCTGGTCGGTGTCTTCGACGGTGCTCGCCCGCGTCTTCGTCGTCGTGCTGCCCGCGACGCTCGCCGCATCGGCCGTCGAATCCGCGGCGCCCCTCGTGCCGCCTCGCTTGCGCTTTTTGCCCGCCACCGGCGCGGGTTTGCTGCTGGGTACGTCGATGTCGGCGTCCGACGGAGCCGACTCCTCGCCGGGCTTGGCCGCGGCGCGCTCCCACATGAGGTCGTGGAACTCGTGGGCGGGAAGGTCGAAGTCGTCGTATTTCTGCTCGGGCTCCTCCTCCTGGCCTTCGCCCTCGCCCTTGACGTAGTCGAAGGAGTTGTCGCGCTCGTCGATCGCTTCCATGTTGTAGAAGAGCCGGAGCTTGTCCCAGATACATGGGATGCGCGTGTGCGTCTCGACGTCAGGGTCGAAGCCGTGGTTGCGCAGGTGTTCTGAGATTGAGATCATACGGAAGTGTTTGTGTATGCCTGTATATTTAGGTAACATTAGATATCAGAGTCACAATTAACACGTAGCGTGGTGTGGTATATGTGACATGCCTGAAGGTTTCCAGCGAATAACTGCCTTGAACAGTGAAGCTTCCTGATCGTCGGTCCATAGGTTATTTAGGATCTCAGATGGTGGTGGCAGATTGGGCTTAGAAGCTGTAGGAGTATCGGCAGCACGTGGAGTATCTGCAGCTTGCGGGGTGTCTATATCCATAGCATCTTCGTCGCGAGCGGGAGTTGATGATGCCTTTGGCGTTGACACCTCTGCCAAGCTATTGGCCTTGGATTTCCTTTTCGGCGGCATACTGACTCTAACCCTCTGAGGGGGTATTGGCTTTTGATACAGATATCGAGTCTAGTTATTCTTGCTTATAATCACTTAATTCTGTTTCAAAAGGTGTCTCGAAAAAAAGCAGGCGAATTGTTGGGTTCTTGATTATAAAAACGATGAGATGTGAACTGACTCTAAAAAGAGCTTAAGCTTTAGAGCTTCCATCCAATTCAACAATTGCTGCAGCTAGGGACCTGTGGCTTAGCAGCTTCGTAGTAGACCGCGGGGCAAGGACGACACGTTAATTGATGTGGCTTGAGTAATATTTGTGGCTTGTTAAGTACGCGACTGTACACATGTGAACACCACGCGTTGTACCAAGGTACTTAGAGCATCTCTTCTTTCTCAACTCATCACACCAACTTATGAACCCGATGCTTGGATCTCAGGCACCTATCGGTAATCAGTCCTAATAAAGACTTAGGATTATCCTAATACCAAGAACAAATGAATTCTATATCATTCATTCTGAAGCCAAGATGGCAGATCAGTATACTGCCGACGTATTCGCCTTCCCGGATTTCGACCGGTCTTCAAAACTGTTGACTCTATCACCGGGGTTGAATACTGAATTCTTTCACTTAGATTTCGAAAAATCTGATAAGCCGAGCCAAGGTCACATCGGTGTCAAGCCCGCCAAAGCAGTCACCGATGGATTTTTCAAGCTACCAGATTCCCTAGCTCCACCTGAGGACCCAGTTCACGAAGAAGTTCCTTCTCCTAAACCGCTTCATGATGTGAATTTGCATGACCTCGATGTGTTTGACGAATCATGGCTTCAAGGTGACAAGCCAGAAGTGGCCGATGCCGAGTACAAAACATGGGATGTTTTCCTAGCACCGGATATTTCTCAGACAACACCCTTATTTCTCACTGAAGCTGGGCCAGGTGCATACGATGCCGCGTTAAAGCAGGCTGAGAATCCTCTCAAATTTGCAAATGCGGAGGATAACCTCATTCAAACCACCCCATACCTAACGGCGCTTTTGGCACTTGCATTCGGTAGAGGCTCAGTCTTCTTCTCCTGGGATGAAAAGAAGAGTAGCTTTGCCCCTGAATTAGACCAAATGAGAATATCCGGTCATTCTTCAGAAGTTCTACGAGGTATTCAACAACTCTGCCTAGAATGTGGAAATACCACTCGTTTTCTCTCCGCCTATGTACAAAACACATATAAGACACATCCAGGCGCAGCTAGGGTCGCTGTCGCAAAATCTGTGGATATGACTCTTCTAGTCATTCAGAATATCCTCGGAGTCAGGGCAAGGCAGACACAATCTCTTCTACAACTTCAGTCTCTCATCAGACCTATCCAATCAGTCCTTGCATACTTCAGAGCCCTTATAGTCAAAGTTTCAGAGGCCAAAACTGATGAACAAACATTATCCCTTATTTTCAAGGAAGCTCGAGACCTAGAGCATAGCAATGTGCTTCTTAGTGAAATCATGCGCGAGGTATTATCACGTGTCTCGGGACCATGGGCTCAGTTCGCAGAGAAGTGGATAGGAGTCAAATCTGAAGAAAGCACTCCATTAACTAAAGAGAACCCCGGCAATAGGTTTGTCAAGGTTGAAAACATTACCATTGTGGATGATTTTGGGTTTGAAACTGATGAGCGCGATTTCTTTCTCGACGACGCCCGTATGCCAGAGTTTATCCCCAGCGAAGTGGCTCCAGTCATGTTCGAGACGGGTAAAACTCTGCGACTTCTTCGTACTCATCATCCAGAACACCCACTATGCCAGGTGGAGTTCACCACGCAAAACAATCCGCCCTCTCTCCGGTGGCATTTCGATTGGAAGTCTATCAGACACTTACAGGAGGACGTTAAAAACTACGAGATGCGCATGTTTGCAAGTTTACAACATTGGTCTACAGATGCGAGTACAGCATCCCGATTGGCAAGCATGACAGGAAATACATCGGACGGACGTTATACCTTGGAATTCTTCGGGCAAGAAGAAGCCCAGCTTGAGAGACGATTGCTTGCATCTATTGCGGCTCTCGACAAGCCACTAACTAGCACTTCAGAGGAAGACAACCTGTCAAAGTTGCTAAATTCTAAACTATTCGATGAGGAATCTGTGGCCAAAGAGACGATCTCCGATTTCTCGCCACATTGGTCACTAATACCGTTTCACTCTTTCGGGCCTCTAGTTGCAGCTCAGGCGCGCATTATCAACCGGGAATACATGAGATTGCTCTTCAGTGCGCATCAGTTGCGGGATCATTTATCCTTGCAGAAACAATTCCACTTACTTGGCAATGGCGTGTTTTGTAGTCGCCTTTCCCACGCGCTGTTCGACCCCAACCTAGATACGGCCGAAAGAAAGTCGGGCGTTGCTCTAACTGGTGGTGTAATGGGACTTCGACTGACTGGAAGGGATACTTGGCCCCCGGCAAGTTCTGAACTCCGACTTGCTTTGATGGGCGTACTCGCAGAAAGTTATATATCCCCGTCATCTAAGACAATTTCAACGACGGACAAAAATCACGATATACCCGGCGATATTAGCTTTGCCGTACGAGATCTTTCAAATGAGGAAATCGATAAATGCTTGGACCCTGGCTCGTTAGAAGCTCTAGACTTTCTCCGGCTTTCCTACAAACCTCCGGCGCCACTCTCGCCAATTTTCCCTCCAATAATTCTATTAAAATATGATAAGGTATTCAAACTCCTGCTTCGGGTGCTACGAATGCTCTATGTTACGGAACAACTCTTCCAAAATACCCTTGCAAGAACATCGAATTGGCATGACATCGATAATACTTCGTTACGATTCCGTTTTGAGGCTCAACATTTCGTCACCAGTATAACTGCGTATTTCTTCGATACGGGCATCGAAATACCATGGAGGCGTTTCGTGATCTGGCTTGACGGTGTGGAGGACGTGCTTACGAAATCGGAGCCCGACCAGGGGGTACAAGTGCTGAGCCCAGATGAGGTGCGCGAAGAACATGAACGAATGCTAGATCATATCATGCACACGTTATTACTAAGAAAACGGCAGCAGCCGGTCATGAGATTGCTCGAGGATATATTTTCAGTAATTCTCAAGTTCTCCAAAGTGGCTCACATTGAAGCTTCAGGTAGCAGAGACAAAGAAGCCCAAGATTCGTCACCTAAACAGTTATATGCATCCTTCAAGAAGAAGGTAGACGTTTTCATGACTGTATGTCACGGTCTTATTGAAAAAGGGGGAAAGTCGACGAGAAACGAGGCGATGACTGATAGCGGAAAACGCGGCGAAGAAATAAAGGAGAACACGATCGATAAGCTTTTACTTAAGCTGGAGATGTCTGGTTACTACGGACATACGAGGCCTTGATGAACGATTAAATAGAAACATTGAAGATACCCGAATAAATAATGTTCATATTATGAGGATTTACCTTACTACGTTTAAGCCGTGAAGCAATATTTGCCCCTGACCTGGACTTCAATATAAGATTAACCCCTTAATTGCTTGCCCCAAGTAACTAACCCCCGCGGCTGCCCCCGCATCGCGTTCCCTGCCTTGGTGACGCGCAGCCCTAAAGCCCCGCTACCCAACCCAGTAAATTGTTTTCCTTCAGCGCGCAACATTCGGCTTCACTCTTCAACTCCGATTTTATAGCTACCAATGCGACAATATGTCTCGACCTGGCCCGTCTGCGGGCCGCAGCCTGACTTTGACAGAAGAATTAGAAAGACTTGAGCAATCAATTACTCTCACCCTACAAGAAATAGACCACAACTTCAGCAAAGCACACCGAATTGTCACCACCAGCATTCTGCCTCTCGTGGAACAATATGGCGAGCACTCGAAGGCCGTGTGGGAAGCTTCTCAGGTATGCATATGCATAATATACAGCTCCAAATCAATTATGATCGAGAGAGCGGCTGCTAACTTGCTACGTTACAGTTCTGGAAGCAGTTCTTCGAAGCATCTGCCAACGTGTCCCTTTCGGGATACGAGGAATTAGCCAACGACGACGAGACCACTACCGCTGAAGAGACTACACTCGATGAAACCACATCTGATTACAACAACACTACTTCTGAAGCCGACACCACAGCTGAGCCCTCCAATTACGCAGACCACCACCAAGAGCACCACAATCTCCCCGACGACTCTCTCCTCGTCGACACCGAAATGTCGGGCAGTACGCCGCGGCCCCCAGCCACCAAATCCCTAACACACATCCAGCAGCAAAATCAGCCCTCACAGAAGCCGAAACAGAAATTCGCCGGCTTCGAATCGCCCTACGAAAAGCTGCGGCGCGAACTCGGCGGCGACACCGCCATCTTTAGGGAAGAAGCGCAGTTCGCCTCCGACGACGACGACGAAGACAACAACAACAACAACAACAACAACGACGACGACGACGACGACGACAAGACCACGGACCTACCCACGCAGCGCACGGGCAAACTTCCTAACATGTCGATGACCCCGCGCTCGTCGTCGCTCCTCGAGCCCGACGTCCAGAGCACGGCGCGCAAGAACAAGGACCCGCTGCTGCACCGCGTGCTCGACAAGAACTACCGGCTGCAGGCGACGCCGCACAAGGGCGTGCCGCAGCCGCCGCTGGACCGCGGGTTCAGGGCCAGGCCGCTGTCGCCGGTGAAAGACGAGAGGGAGGCGAGAAGGCCCGGCGAGGGAGACGAGGATCGCACGAGGCGCGCGCTGTGGACGGATAGCCCGATGAGCTCGCCCGAGATGCCGGCGCCGAAGCTGAGGAGCGACTTGTACCATATGTCGCCTGTGCGGCTGGGCGGCAGGGGACGCGCGGGAGGAGCTGGTGCCGGTGCGGAGGGGCCGAGGACGCCTGGGGTTAGTGTGCAGACGCCCGGGACGGCGCGGAAGACGAGGGACGTGTTTGCTGAGGCGAAGGATAGGGGAAGGAATCTGGGCGTGGATGTTGGTGCGAAGGGGAAGGCGAAGAAGGACCCTGATGAGATAACCTGGGATAGCGATGATGATGATGACGAGTTCGGCGCGTTCAGTCCCCCGAAGACGATCCAGTTTGCGCTGCCGCCGAGTAAGCTGATGCAGACTCCTGGTAGGTCTTCCGCTATCGTTTGATGAGGAATTGGGTGAATGCTAATAGGAACGAATAGCACGAGAGGCGAGTAAGCGAATCGTCGATGACATCCTCATCACAGCCGGCGCGGCGCCGGAAACTTCGTCGGAGTACAGTCCGACTTTGGTCAAGATGAACCAGGATATCCTCGATGACACGTTCTGAGGGCCAGTTGGTTGTTGCTGTTGTCTAGAGGCAATGTGGCAGAGTTGTTACTAATGTAATACATGAAAGACGCACAAAAAGTCGGATCAGGTAGCAATAGTCGTTATTATGGTCGTAAGTAGACAAAACACAAGAGATACCCCCTATTCACTGCTCCCAATATGTATTTTGGTTCCCGTCATCAAGCAAACTAAACGACTACCTCACCTCAAGAAATGCGTTTCATATGTGCTAGCCATAAACCGAGAAACGCCAAAATATTGCCAGAGATTCCTCCCTTTCGTAACCCAAACCCAGGCAAAGTGCGCCTTCCCGGCGCATAAGGAAGCCATATCCGCAATGTTGATGCAGGGGGGAGATTTATCGATCTCCTCCTATTCCCCTATTTGTTGATTCGATACGCCTTTTTAGCATCAATCCCACCTAACTCCCGTGTCCTCGCTTCTTCGGGTATTCACAATTCAAAGAAGTGACCATGAGCAGCCGTTTCTCTGCCTAGGATAGACAGCAAGAACAGCTTCGCCGCAAATGGTCACTGCAGCGCTAGTCAGAAACCCATTTTTACTTGGTTCTTCTGCGCGGTCCTCATAAGCTCGGTTTCGGTTGAGCCGGAGTCGGAGCCGGAACCCGGACTGGAACAGGAGCTGGAACTGGAACTGTCTTTCTTGCTGGTGGGCTTGCTCTTGCTGTGCTTCTTGAGCAGGGCCTTGGCGCTGCCGAAGGAACTCGTCGAGAAGATGGAGGCTGAGTCGGAGGAGGTCTGTGGTTGTTGCTGCTGCTGCTGCTGGGCCTTCTCACCCTCGAGGATGGCGCTGAGCATGGCGGACGAGTGCGCTTTGTCTTGTGTGTGGCTCATGATGTCTTTTCTCACGAGGGGCTACGCGCAGGTAGACTTATCAAGGGCTTGAGAGTAACTATGATGTAGAGCAGAGTTTATGTTTTACTTATAGGAATATGCTCGCTTGTTTCGTTTGATCTAGTTGTTGGTAACTCCGCTTCGATTGTTCGGTACTCAGCAAAGCAAGGGAGGTCTTGTTGAAGAGGGGATGGTGATTATTATATACCTTATCCTACAAATGAAGAGGTATGCTTAATAAAATGATTGGTATCCCGCCTACACATTCACCACCCTACCAGCCCTACTTACTCTTTCCCGGGATACTACCTAATCGGGTGTCATCTCACACACATATGTCGATGATGAGGCGGTGCATTCGATGAGTCAGATGGCCACGTTCTAAACAGGTCTGATTAAGTAGGTGCCTACTAGTTGAAGAACTTGAAATTTTACCTATATATTAGTCTCGCATGTCAAGCTCGTCGAACGCGCAATTCTGAAGCAAGGGACTTCAGCAGGCTACAGGATATTCGTAGTCAAGTATACGCAACCAAATGCGTGAGATGTTGGAAAGTGAAATAGCATCTTGCCGCCAAGCCTTTCGAGGCATCTGGACCAAGCCTATCTCGGCAGGATTCCGATATCCGATTCTGACGGCCCCGGAGTTTGGAGCCATGTCCCGATGGTAAAAGCCGGCCGATGAGGTGCGTCACGCCGGAAATATCAGGCACTGAATCTTGGTTGCCTGGAAGAATGTAGGTGTAGTTGTTGCCTGGTTCTTAACTGGCAGACTGGATCTCGTCAGGCAGATACTGTGGAGGAGGTATGTAGTTCACATCGTCCGCTTATAAGCCTCAATCCTTTTCAAAGCTTATCAGGGGTACATCATATATGGAGTTGAGCTAAGAGAATGCAACGTCAATTCTTCGAATAGGTGACTCACTGGTCAGAATGTGCATCCAGGCACTGTTAGTTTCCTTCTCAATTCGGCTTTTTACATCAGATTAAGCGAACATAGAACAAGAGAGTCGTCAACATCAAGTTGGAGTCTCTCGGTGCCGACAGCTTGACCGACTATTTGGCTTTTGTCAAGACGTCGACATCACATATGCAGGCTTCGTATATAGAGCATGTCACCTAGTTGGTGACGACTTTTGAATACAACTCTATCTGCTTTACATGCCTTTAGCTGGATAGGTCCCTTAGCATGATATTACAGTCCACGAGAGAATGTATACGCTGAGAGGAACCTATGTCTTGGGAGACATACTACTACGGGAAGCACTCCCCGATTCATTACATGACGGTGAGTATCCGAATCATACTGTAGCAATGGGCTCCGATGTTCGAGATAGGGGTAAAGCTCAAGACTGGACACAACGCTTGTTGTGTCAACTCACTATGTCCATAACGTGGCCTCGAAATGTCGTGATCATGTCTTATTAGTGGTGATTCCATGACCAATGATTGTCGTTTATATTTGGCCGATTGTGCCTTATTACTCTAATTTTTGAACTTCGATAAAAGAGGTATATCATTTTAACGACTTCATTACCATATACATTCTCCCCTCCCCTAAATACTTAGGTAGCTACCTGTCAGGGGTTTAGTCCTTCGTCGAAGACTGTGTTATAAAGTCAGTGGGAGTAGCAGGTATCTTGTCTTTGGCTCACTTGTATGTAGTACTAGACCTTGATTAACGCATGTCCCTTCTCTAAACTCCTTTGGGGCCTTCGGCCCCTTGAATGTTCGTCCTATTTTCTATATAGGCTGTAGCTAACTACCTAGGTAACTGCTATTTATCCACTTGCTCTCAGTTCCTGACGCTACCATGAATCAAACTCAAGCCGTTTACAACACTACATACCAAAGTAAATCTAAACATTCGTATGGGAGCAAATATATAAACTCAGTGATGGTGTCATTAAAGACACGCACATATTAGTTATCCATAACTGGATTGGTAGAAATCACATAGGCTAAATAAACGCATTACCTTGCTGTCTACCTAACTAGGCATGTTATAGATATTTTATGGATTAATCAGCCGAGGTTTAGAGAAGAATGACATGACTAGGTAGTAGGAACAGAAGATAGTTGAACAGGAGTCGATATGATCCTTGTCCTACCATCTTCATTTGACACTTTCTTATGCCCCTTCTCTTGATCAAGCCCCAAACTCTCTATTTCCAACAATATCCTAACTGTAACAAGTTGTGATAGAATAAAACTGTTGATTTTAAGTGTGCCTATTCTCCGTCTTCGATTGGCTTGGCACTAACTTAATATACCGGGCACATTATCAATCTTTTTCTATAGCATCTGAGTAAGACCGGTCCTGATCATCGACTTCATAGTTCTTTCAAGTCTAGAACCACCTTTCGAGATCCTCAAAGCCATGTGCTTAAATCAGATAAGTGTGGGTGTTGTAGCCGCAATAGTACCATAGCGGGAAAATACGTAGCTTAATAATGATTTGAAAGTTAAATAATTATTAATATACCTTAAGAAATTTAAATAATTATTAGAAATTAAATAATTATTAAAAATATAAAAATTATTATTTATATTTATAATTAATAAATAATTATTAAATTAAGTTTTTAAAGTTATTAATTAAATAATTTATATAATAATAAAACCGATAATAAATTATAATTTTTTTATAATTTATTTATTATTTTATAATTTTTAAACTTTAATAAAATTTTTAAAGTTTTAATATTTTTAATATTATTTATTTTTTTTTATTTATTTTTATTTTTATTCGTTTTTTTTAATTTTTTTTATTTATAATAATAATAATAATAATAATAATAATAATAATAATAATAATAATAATAATAATAATAATAATAATAATAATATTAAAATTAATATTTATAAAAAAAAATTTAAAATTATTTTTTTTTTATATATATTATTATAAAAAATTTAAAAATTTTTTTTTTTTTTATATATATATATACGTTTATTTTTTATATATATATTATTTATTTTTATAATATTTTAATATTTTTATTAATATTTATATATTAAGTTTATATTTTTTTATTAATTTTTATATATTAAATTATTTTAATATTAATATTAATAAATTTATAAATTTATAAAAATTAATAAAATATAATAAATATATAAACGCGTAAATTTATAAAATTATAAATTTATAAAATTATAAATTAATAAAATAATAAAATTATAAATTTATAAATTTTTAAATTAATAAAATTATAAATTTATAAATTTATAACTTATAAATTTATAAATTTATAAACTTTATTTTTATTTTTATTAATAATAATAAAAATAAAAATAAAAAATAAAAAATTTATTTAAATATATTTTTTAATAAATATTTTAATTTTTTAATAATCATTTAAATTTTTTAATAATTATTTACATTTATTAATAATTATTTATTTGATAATTATAATTAAATGAAAGTATTATAATGATAATGGGCTATGGTTTTTACGGAAGGTAAATTATTGTCCGATAGCGGGGGTTCCTGGTATGGTATTTATAAAAGTGGCATTATTGCGAATGCCTCATGAACTTTCGATGATGGGACCATTGAGCGTTGCTGAACCGGCCTAGCTCGTGGATAACCATGACTTTCAAGATTGAGAATACGTAGACTGCACCCCTTTTAAACTTCTAGAGTTATGTGATGGCATAGTTGGTTTCCCTAATAGAACACTCCTGTCATTGAAGCTTCTGGTATCGAGCGTTTGTGGTAGTGGATTATGGTAGAGTTGGGCGGATGCGATTAGCCTGTATTCTACATCGCCATCACCTCTATGCAATGTTACTTTGGTTTAGTTTTATATAAGTGTTATGACCTTTGGTTAATAAGAAAGCTTTGAACAAACCAATGTTTCAATTGCGTAGCTACGTAGTAGTTATGGGTTGGATGGCTTGTGGCTATGAGGTTTCGCTAAGAATCTCCAATATTATACGAACCTTATTCACGATATCTTGTAGTTAATTTCATTAGCCACCATAAATAATTGTAGCACCTGCTCTTTTCAAACAGGCCGGTGATGACAAGCTTTTACTAGAGCTGAGGTCACCAATACGCTGCTGAATTGTTCGCTTCATAATGACGTGCGTTCCGGGAAGCCGGGAAGCTGAGGCTGTATCGGATATGAGATTAAAAGAGCGATTGCAATTTTTGATGCATAAAGTCGAGAATGTAATTTAGATTACCAATTCTATTGATGTATTGAGTCTAGCATCTACTTTTACCCCTGCGTCGCCAAACCCCCTAAACTTTTCGATCGCGTCCATGCGTAACCGCTCACCCGGACTTTTGCCGTCGTATTCGTATTTTAGCTATCCCGCGAAGCGTAAGCGGTGAGTGGAGGAGTGAGGGACCTAGCTCCGATAATTGGCCAATTCGATGCTAATGAAACCCAATTTGGCCAATTTGGCGATGGTAGTTCCCCGGTGGTGATTTGCATTGCATCACCCAGACAGGGGGGCTCTTTATTTTTCAACAAAAGCTTGGATGCTTGGAATGGAGATGAGACCGGCTTGCGTGTTATATGTACGAATGAGCTGATGCAGTCTGATAATAACTCTCATCACTCTGGCTCCTCTTGACAGAACGAGAAAATCATCGTATCATTCCTACTTCGCAGGTTCGCGCGCGGAAATAGGATGTCAAAGTGACGGAAAGGTACCGCACTGTAGCCCTGTCACTGTCAACGGGTAACCAGTAGCACAAATCAAATGTCTCCGTTATGGTCTGGAGTAATAGTGGAGACGGAGTTATACGTACTGCGTAGTAGAAAGTATCAATGGAACACAAGGATACAAGATTGCATGCATCTCCTATGCTTGTAACTTCCAAATGGACAATAGAACGATTTGGGTAACAAGGGCAAGTTTCTGCAACATTCTTGCAGTAAGAACGGTAAGTACATGTGTAAGCTGGCCAATCAGTGGAAAGAGATAGTCTGTCATTAATCTTTAGTATGTCAAATAGACTCAATCATGGAACCTAGCGAGGTAATGAACGGATATTGAACTATCCGATACTTTGAGTTTGACCGTATCCTAGATGTAGCCGAGTTCCCACTGCCAAGACGGTCAGAAGTACATGTTCGTCTACATAACTGTGCAGGGGTACCTTGGTATGAACTGTATGAACCAGTAAGAAAAAAAAAAGGGTTCTCTGATAATCAAATAATCTCAATCAACAAAATTTAGCGGATTCCCTGCGATATCCACAATCTTTTCTCTTCTCGGTTTCCTTCTTTACCCCTTCATCCTCCTACCCTCCTACCCTCCTCGCGTCTCTACTTCTCTGTTTTGAAGAAGGGTCGTCCTCCTATATCTCCTGACCTTCCTCACTCTCTTTCCCTCCTCGACCGGCGCTGACACGGTCTTCGGGAGTTTCTTTTGGCCTGCGAACGGATTTCTGGATTCCTCGATTACTGATAGGTCGCGCGGCGCATATATAAAACTACTCTCTTTCCGCGCGTAAGCCGATACGACTTCCACTCGTGGTCGCCATGGCGAACGCCACGAGTTTTACCTCGCCTCTGGCGGACTTCAAGCTCGCCTCTGGCAACCTGCCTCCTCAGGTCGACCATGTTCTCGACAGTATCGCAAATGCCAGTGTCATGACATGGGTTTTCACACTCCTTGCTCTAGCTGTCGCATATGATCAGAGTATGTCTCAAGTCTCCCAAGAGACCTAGATAGTACCAATGGGACCGAATTGGCTAACCAAACCTGCAACAGTCAGCTATTTCATGCAGAAGGGCTCCATCGTTGGGCCCTCCTTCAAGTTGCCTTTCATGGGCCCCTTTCTCGAGTCCCTAAATCCAAAGTTCGAGGAGTATGTCGGGAAATGGAACAGCGGCCCCTTAAGCTGCGTCTCTATTTTCCACAAGTGAGTTACCCCGTCCGTGACGCATTTTCCCAACATCGCTAAACTCTTATCTAGGTTCGTCGTTATTGCCTCCACTCGCGATTTGTCTCGAAAGGTTTTCAACTCTCCAACATACGTGAAGCCATGCGTCGTCGATATCGCCACCAAAATCTTGGGAGAAGACAGCTGGGTATTCTTGGATGGAAAAGCCCATGTTGACTACCGTAAGGGTTTGAATGGCCTATTCACCCGTAGAGCCCTCGAGTGCTATCTCCCCGGCCAGGAAGCTGTCTATAAGCAATACTTCGCCAGATTCCTCAACATTACTAAGCAAGCTGGTGGCCAGCCCGTTCCTTTCATGCACGAATTCCGTGAGCTGATGTGCACGGTTTCGCTTCGTACCTTTGCCGGATACTATATGCCCGACTCTGCTTTAAAGAAGATTGCCGACGACTACTACCTTGTTACTGCCGCTCTTGACCTCGTCAACTTCCCGATCATCATTCCGTACACCCGAACCTGGTACGGCAAGAAAGCTGCTAGTATGGTTATGGACGAGCTTGCTAAGTGTGCTGCTAAGTCGAAGGTTCGCATGGCTGCCGGCGGCGACATCACCTGTATTATGGACGCTTGGATCAAGGACATGATCGACTCCAAGAGGTGGGTTGAGGCCAATGAGAAGGGGCTTTCCACCGAAGGTATGGTGAAGCCGTCTCCTCTACTTCGCGAATTCAGCGATATGGAGATTTCTCGAACTCTCTTCACCTTCCTTTTCGCTTCCCAGGATGCTACGTCCAGCGCTGCCACCAACTTGTTCCAGGTCTTGGCCAACCGCCCCGACGTGTTAGACCGCGTCCGCGAGGAGAACTACCGTGTGCGAAACGGCGACATCTATGCCCCTGTGAGCTTGGATCAGCTTGAATCAATGACGTACACTCGTGCGGTTGTCCGAGAACTTTTGCGATGGCGCCCTCCTGTCCTCATGGTCCCTTACAAGGCCAAGAAGGCTTTCCCCGTTACCGACTCTTACACTGTTCCCAAGGGTGCCATGATTATCCCGACCACTTACATGGCTCTTCGTGATCCCGAGGTATATGAGAACCCCGATGAGTTTGACCCCGAGCGGTACTACACCGGAGATGCGGAGGAGAAGGGTGCCAAGAACTACTTGGTGTTTGGTACTGGTCCTCACTACTGTCTCGGTCAGCACTACGCTCAGCTCAACTTGGCTCTCATGGTCGGGAAGGCTGCAATCCAACTGGACTGGAAGCACCACGCGACACCTGAATCTGATTCGATCAAGGTGTTCGCCACTATTTTCCCCAAGGTATGTTTTATATGATCCCACTTGGAATTGTCCGTTGACTAATGTTCTGTTAGGATGACTGCCCGTTGACCTTCAACGAGAGGAAATGGTAAAAAAGATGTCAGTCAAGTTGGATCTTGTTAAGCCTTGGCGCAAGTGAGGGTGAGACGAGACATCGTATAACGAAAGAAACGAAACCAAAATAGTAATTGTAATGAAGTCTTGTATATATGTTATCGCTGAGGATGGGTCGCGATCAACGACTCTTAGAATGTCCATAGCGGTGAATTAGACCAACTTGAACAAATCAAACTTTCTGGATGGATGCTGCTGAAGTGGTATGAAAGGAATGGCTGATGGATGATATTGGGGGCGAAGTAGATATGAGGAAGGAAAGAGCTGAATAAATGACGAGGGGTGTAACATAAGGAATCCAGATTATGATTTTCAACTTTGAATGTAGATGAGGTGCAGGCATGTGATGACTTTTCTAGCACTCCATATAATCGTGTACGTACCAATCAATAAAGTACCAATGGAAACTAGCGGCCCTGACATCACATTGACGGAAATTTAGCTGAGCTCGTCCAAACTGACCAATCCGAGAGCTCGGAGATCTTTCAATTCTTCAGCGTCGATAAAGCCGATTTGTGATACCGAAAGACATTAGTACTTCAGTGGGTGGCCCCGAACCAACAATTGCGTATAGCGCACACCTACCTATCTTTTCGCAGTCGCGAGACATCCATATCTCTACTTCGACCGTAATGGCGACGAGACGATTAGCTGCCGCCTCCTTGCGCGGGGCAAGCGCAAGAGCTACGGCCTCGGCTGCGCCTTGTCTACACGCACCGCGAGCTTCGTTCAGCTCGGCTTCTCAAGCACCACGGAACTCAATCCCGAGGCCGCAACTGCGGATGCTGCGCAACATTGCGCGCGAGCGTCGCTGTCACTCGGACCCGCCGAACTATCCGAAGAGTCAGTTCTGGTCCTTCGAGCAGGTGCGCCGCCGTTTCCCCCCTCCTCCTCTTCATTCATTCATTCTTCTTTGCCCCCTTCTCTTCCCTTCCCTTCCCTTCCCTCCCCCCTTACCCTTACCCCTTACCAAACCCACCATTCTCCTAAATAACTAACAACCCAACCCCTCCTTAAAGATCAAAGTAGCCCTCAGCCCAGCGAACACATCGAAGCCACGCGTAACCCTAATCGACGTGCGCGAGCCGGACGAGGTGCGCGAGACGGGGCGGATCCCGGGGGCGCTGAACGTGCCGATCATGTCGCAGGCGGACAGCTTCTTCCTCAGCGCGGACGAGTTCCGGGACCGGTACGGGTTCGAGCGGCCCGGCGACGGCGGCGAGGACGAGAAGATCGTGTTCTACTGCAAGGCCGGCGTGCGCAGCCGGTCCGCCGCCGAGCTGGCCATGCAGGCTGGCTGGAAGAACGTCGGCGAGTACGCCGGCAGCTGGCTTGACTGGGTTAAGAATGGTGGGGATATACAGATTGGTGGTAAGGTACGGAAGGCGGAGAAGGAGAAGGAGAAGGGGAAGGGGGATGGCGAGGGTGGGCGGTAGGCGGGTGGATTCTGGAGGTAGAGGGGGATGTGTGGAAGATGAAGCAGCTCACTGTTTTCTTTTCCTGGCCCCTACCTCTTATGTATTTTAAAAACGGTTTCAGAGGAATGAATCTCCAAGGGCCAGCTATGAAGTAAACAGGGCAGCGAGCTTCAATAAACAAACACCAGCTGTCTAGGACCTAAGTTCAACAACATACTATACTTCCTTGAGCATCAAAAATCGTAGAGATCATGCAGTTCAAAACTAGGCAGATCAGACCAAGTTGATATTACATTGGTACATGAAAGGTATCAGCTAGTAGTGTACGCAACACTGTTCAGTCCAGTCCAGCCCAGTCCGGCTCGGTTCGGTTCATTTTCTCAGACCCTGCCAAACGCCAGAAAAGCACGATGCCAGTCGACCCAGCTCAGCCCACAATCTCGACATCCGCCTCGCCATCGCGGCAAGTATTCCGTTCTCTCCTCTCACGAATCTTGGAACCTGGTACACATACATAACACACACGACCCTCTTATCACAATCCTTAGAACTACAATCCTCAGAACAGTCTGGGCGCTCCGTCGCCTCCAGCGGCAGGAGGCGTATCGCCCTCCGTACCGCCTGAAACGGGGCTACCGGCGGCGAAGAAAAGGACCTTAATCGCAATAGCCAGGCCGCCGTGGAGGGCGACGACGAGGATGAGCAGGACCTTGCTGGTCTGGCGGTCGGTAGCGCTGAGGACGGGGTACAGGTTGCGCAGCAGGAAGGCGACGCTGAGGCCGAAGCCGACGCCGACGAAGACCCAGTTGAGGATCGTGATGGGCGACCAGCTGATCAGCGCCACCGGGATCCAGATCAGGTTCGCGTAGCCGTACAGCGCCCAGCACTCGAGCAGGTTCGCCGACTCCGACCCGAAGTACCGCAGCGCGCCGAAGAGGACGACGGGCAGGACGAGCGTGTATCCGTAGATGAGGCCGGCGGCGCCTATATGTATTCGCAGATCTTCGTTAGCATGTGCTCACTCATACCCTCTACTCTAAACTTCCACTCTTCCTCCCCTTCTTCCTCCCTCCAAGCAGCCAAAGGGTCTGGATATAAGTATAAGCATAGTCAAAACGTACCGCTCAACAGCTTAAAATCATAAGCAAACGGCCCCTTCCCCTCGCTAGCGAGGTACTGGCTAATCGTACCCCCCAGGAACAAGATCAACACCACGGTCGTCGCGATCCAGAAGGGCCCGTACAGGTCCGGGTTGCCCTCGAGCACGTCGAGGAAGTTGGCGCGCGGGTACAGCGCGGCCCAGCACCGCGCCAGCACGCTCGAGGTGTCCACGTCGAAGAACTGCGCGTAGAAGTGCAGCGACCACAGGTACCGCTTCGACGAGCCGACGCCTGTCCCGGATGACGAGTGGCCTGCGGTTGCTGGTGGAGGCAGGCCGCTCGCGCCGAGGGTCGAGGCGCCCTTGCGGCTCGTGTCGCCGAAGTTCGAGTTGTGGAATTCGAGGTCTTCTTGCAGGTCTGTGTGGCCGAGGTCGCCCTGCGATTTTTGAGCGTGTTAGTTTATATTAATATCTTTTGGAGGGTGGCCAAGTAGATGTCTCGGTAGTATGTCTAGGGTCATGGATTGATAGTAGCATTTGCGGCATCATTCATACGCCGCGCAATGCTGTGCTGTGCTGAGCTCTAGAGTTGAAGCGTACCTCGTCATCGACGTCGACGACGGCATCGTAGCCTGCGTTCGGCATCTTTGCTTCGTCCCCGTCAGGTCCTAGTAGACAGCTGGTTGATAAAACGTCGAGGTTGGTACGAAATGTCCGAATTAGGTGTGCTCGCTACCCAATATGTTGTCTCGAGATATTAATTTGTAAGGTAGTTGAAGCTGCAGCTTCGTCACTGTTTAAGGACACGGAAGCACGCCGATCATTGGCCGCGTTTAATTTACTTAGTGCAAGCTTCAGCGACGACTTTTTATTGGTTAAAGGAAGTCTGACTAAGAAGTACCCAAGTACCTTTTCAATCTTAACTTTTCCCATTGCCTCATTGAACATAACCAGTATTTTACAGATGGGTATGATTATGAACCTATCTATATTATTTGATTAGAATATAGAATTCTTCCTGTAAATATAGTTTGTACATATCAATATGTCATTTTTGGTTAAGAGTAGGTATTTGACAACACTGGTGTATCGATCAAAACTTTCTATGAGAATCCGAGTTCGATTTTCAACGGTGCGCCGAGGGTCTAATTACGCAGAAGACAGGTATTCATGAGGCTTCCTTTGGACTATGTAGAGAAAAGTCCCATGCACTTGGCACCCACTGTCACATTCACTTCATCAGGGACACATCAAATCATGTGCATCGCGACTTCCATTGCCACTGAACTAGACTATGCTACTTTCCGCATGAAGAATCCATCGCAGTGGTCGAGAGAATGTCTAATCCCACCCATTCGTATTCGTAGCGTGCTCATGATACACCCCAAACCAGTACGCCGAAGAAATGGGACATAGAGACGAATAGTTTACTTCAGCTTCTTCTTGGGTCGGAGCTGGTTGGTGTGGCCGCACTTGCGCTTGCGGCAGTTGGTGGCACGGGGAGGAAGACGGGCCTTTTATTTCATTCGCTTGTCAGCAAGACTTGAACGCATTATAGAACCAAGTACCGGGGCGAACTCACGTAGCACTTGCGGCAGATCATCTTGTCGCAGTTGAACTTGGAAGCGAGGGCCTTGAGCGAAGGCTCGATGATGCCACCACGGAGACGGAGGACCAAGTGGAGGGTAGACTCCTTCTGGATGTTGTAGTCGGAGAGGGTTCGGCCGTCCTCGAGCTGCTTGCCGGCGAAGATCAATCGCTGCTGGTCGGGAGGAATTCCTTCCTTGTCCTGAATCTTGGACTTGACATTGTCGATGGTGTCGGAAGACTCCACCTCGAGGGTGATAGTCTTGCCCGTAAGGGTCTTCACGAAGCTATTTTTTGAGAGTTAGCTGTTTTTCGGTTCGGTCGGTCGTCGATGCTGTGCGGTGCGATGCGCATTTGGGTTTCGCGGTTAGGGAATAACTTACATCTGCACTATAGACACATCTTGGTTAGCATCATACGATCAAAATCATCGAGATATAATTATATGGCGGCATTGACTTACTTTTGCTGTCTGTCGCGAATAATGTGGTTTGGGGAGAAGTCGAAGATGATGTCGGCTTGGAAATTCGGTGGGGGTTTGAAATTCCGCACAAACGAACCCTACCTGTGGATTGAAGGTCACCTGACTCTGGTTTTTCGAATGTGGCGCTTCTGCAAGGAAATTTCTACCACCCGCTAACAGTTGCGTAACACCGTTTATTTTAATCTACGCACTATGTACAATGAATGTACCTCCGTTGTGTCAATTGATCTTAAAGCCGATGCTTCAACTCTGAGGTTGCAAGTTGCAATGACTTGATATGGAATCAAGGTAATTATTAGCAATGCCATAGACGGTTTTGTTAACTCATTAATTTAGACAATTATAATATTAATCTGAATCGTCATCCATTAGAACCGCTTTCCCCTTCCCCTTATCCCGTTCTCGTTTCACTCTCTGATTGCACCAAACTGCCAACCGATTCTCAACCTGTGTAGTACCCTTGATCAGTGTATTCAAAGTTACGGCCGCAGTACTCGCTGCTTTTCCATAGAATACTTTTGCTGCATCCGGCAGATCTTCTTCGGTTCGCCAAACTGGACAGAAATCTCGATCTTGCTTTTCTTTCTTTCCGTTCTCTAGTTCTTCAGGATCAGGGACCGGTTCGACTACTTGGAGGGAGCTATTCATGGCTTCATATCTATTCCTTATACGCTCACTGCCCCCATCCCCGTTCGACTCTTGATTCGGGAGTGTAGGTCGCTTTTGGTTCTCAAATGGTTCTCGAATTCGCTCGTCGGCTAGGTAAAGAGTCAACGTCACAGATTTTATAATAGAAGTTGTGGTAACTCACTTTTTGCGTCACCGTCTGCTATCCACATCTTCTCAAACCAGTCCATAAAATCGTCTAGCTTCGTTTTTTCCATAGTCAATACATCCTCAGGTCCTACTTTGTATTCTTCCCCTCGTTGTAAGTTTGATGATGTTCCCGCCGTATCATCTTGCATGACTTCCTGCCATTTCGCCCAGTCCATTTTGAGACTTCGAGGGTCTTCGTGACTCCGTGGCGGCCTTTCTATACCGTCTAATGGGTAGAGTAGCTTCGCAGATACGACGATTAGACTAACCAATAAGACCTCTGGGTTATCCATCGTCCGAATTGTTTTGCCTCCAGTATGATACGAGTAATCCGTCTTCAATATCTCAGTCATACATTTTACTGCCATGTATACCTCGACTAAGTAAAAGTTAGTAAATCCCAACTCGTTTCTGTCTGTATAAACCTACTAGGGAGAGTCAATTCCGTAATAAACCGCACCAATATTGGCACATAATTCAGCGGAGGAAAGACGGTCTCGAAATTGACCTTATATGCTATCACCAGATCTTGCACGGCAGCCTGCAGTCGACCCGGCGGGATATGATCTCTAACCTGCAGAGCGCGGTGATACTCTGCAGGAAGACGGTCCCGGACATTGCGCGGGATGCCGTTGAACTAGATAAAGCAGCCGTATTAGCACACTTGCATACTCTCATAGCCCCAAAACTTTTTAGAGGGGTAATAAGAGAAGTGTAGTCCATACAGCCGCAAGAAAATCGATCTCCCCCCTTTGCGCCCAGCCGCAGAACTCTGCCATCGAGGCCGGTAACCGCCTTACCAAGCAGCCCAAGTAGCACAGCGCCAGCGTGTCGATCAGCTTCGGCAATTTCCACCGCTTACCCGCATCCGGGGCCCAAGTCGCCGTCGTCGCATCCGAGAGCCCCAGTTCCTCAGACTCGCTTCCCGTGCCCTCGCCCATCGAGCTAAACAGCGGCTGACTCTCCTCCCTGCCTCCCCTCCCCTCCTCCTCGTTCCCACTCCCCCTAACCGGCAAGCTCCTAACTCTCAGCGACCAAAGCGCCCTAACGATCTCCTCGAAATCGTCGGGAAATTCCTTCTCGATGACCAACCAGCGCACCTGTTTCACGAGTATCAACTGCAGCACCTCGAGATACAGCTCCCGACCCTCGTCGCCGGATAGTTTGACCGCGACTTTCTGCCTCTTCTCCTTCTTCTTGCGGCTGACCTTGCCCTGGGTGCCGAAGTTGTCCTCGTCGGCCTCGTGCTCCGCGAACCCTTCGAGTCGGTGCCCGTTGCGGCAGTACCGCAGCGCGTCCTGCGCGTACCACTGCCGCGCGCCGCACTCGTCGCACCGCTCGCCGGAGCGGAATTTGTGGTACTTTGTCGGCGCCATTGCCGTGATTTGAATTTACGTTTACTTGCTAGGCGCCGTCCACTGTACGAAAGCCATATTATCTAAGTAGGAAAAGACGGTATGGTAAGTGAAAGAAGAGAAGTTGAAGGAATAGCGGGGACTCGAGCCGCAAATAGACTTTATCTCGTTGATATGGAATTTGGGTTGTACGTATGACTTGAGACTTGTCATACAATGCTTAATAGACGTTCGTTTAGTATTATTGTCTTAAAGGTGAATATTTACAATTTTTCATCCCTGAAAAGTCTAAATCTTATAAGTGCTCAGGTTATGCAATTTATATCCGGACTATGAATTACTTTAATCTGATAAATCATACCAGAGAGAATACCCCAGTCTCGAAGTTTGAATGCTTCTGTTACTTGGACCAACATAGAGCCTATCTACCCAATAACCGGGGTTAGATTGAAGCTTTGCAATGTTACTTTCTTACAAGTAAGGGGCAACTTTCGGAAGTGACTTATTGCAATGACGTTAGAAATGCGCAATATTATTCCGAACCGGTCCTTGGCGTTATTTACTGATAGTTTCACGCACAATTAACCTCAACACGTGTGTATTCCTGAAATCACGTAAGATTGGTCATCGAAATCACTAAGGTTCATAAGAGAAAAATATCATATCGTAGATCCCGCATGACAAGTCATGTGCCATTCAAACAGGAAATCTGTTTTGCTATGATCCTCCCAATGCACATCGTTTTTGTTCCTCAAAAGAGATGGGACAGATGCGAGATCTGTAGGATTGCCGTACAAACTGCCATGACCCGCCGTGTTCCCCCACGGTGGATAGCACAGCAATGAATAAATCCTAAGGTGAACCGACTATGGACGATTGTCCACCATGAGCCTAACTACTAGTTTCCTAGTTAAAGAATCCCCTTCAGGTGATGTCCAAGTTGGCAGAGGCATTAGCAGAGCTTGAGGACCCGACATCGTCCGCACGAGCCTCTAAGTCTCCCTGTAGGAGACTTAGTCCTTCTGGCTGGGCTCGTCGGCCTTGATGGCAGCCTCTTCACCCATAGCAGACTGAATGGTGATGACTAAATCCTGTTAACCTCCAAGAGCCCGGGTTTCATACTAGAAGTAGGATAAACTTACTAAGAGGGGTCTGGGCGTCATCGGCAGCCTCGATCTTGTTGCCGATGTCTCCCTCGGGAAGCTTGATGTCGCTGCGCTCCTCAGAGGTGTTCATGTCGTGAAGGACAAGGAAACCATCCTCGATGTGGGACTGAAAGTTGTGTCAGCGCAACCTTTCATCAATCAATATCTGCCGGAGCCTACTCACGAAGTTGTACTGCTTGGTCTTGACGACGGGGACCTCCATGTTGTGGGTGGAGGGGCAGAGTTCTTCAAGCTTCTTGCCGGTGAAGATGTCGATACCAACAAGATGGACCTTGGCGTGACCGTGCTTTCCAGTCTTGGAGGTAGACATGTCGACGATCTTGCAAGGACGGCCCTTGATGACGACGGCGCCGTTCTTTCGGAGAGCCGAACATTGCATGGGGAAGGTGTTGGACGCACCGGCGTCACCCTGGTTGTCGATCTCGAACTGCGGAGAGGAAGAGGCTTGTCAGCACCATGATTATCGTCCCCAATCTTTCTGATAGCGGTCGCAAATTGGTAAAAACAAATGTAAAGTAGATATGAATTGTGTGCGATTAACGAGACATGAATTTTGCCATCGCGGGGTTCATTGGCGATGCGAGCCAAATGCGTAATGCTTGATGCGGGGTGATTTTAAGCACTCTCCCGCCGCCTATTTGCGATCACCAGTAAAAAAAAAAAAAAAAGAGGGACATGACTGCCGCCGCTGTTACAACTTACCTCGTCCGCCATTTTGAAGGATTGACCGAAGTGAAAGTGAGTAGCTGATAAGTGGAAGAGAAAGCAAGATGCGCAATAGGCAAAGCTGGATGTCCGAGACCGAACTTGAAGTTGGTGGACTTATTTGTAGAGGGAGGGGAGGTTTTGAAGAGTGAAGAAGATCCAGAGGAGGGGGTAGAGAGAAAAAAAAGTAGAGCTGGACCAGGGCTTTGGAGGGGATGGACGTCAAAGGCAAAAGGACGGGATTTATTTTTTTTCTTCTTTCCAGACCAATTGGGCACACACTTTAGACCGTGTCTAATAGGTTGATTGGCTCGAGACCTAAGAATTAGCTCCAATTCTCTTAGTAGCTTTTTGTACTTTTTTTCCTTCTCTCTTTTCTCTTCTAGCACTGTTAAAAAAGTTTGGCTGGGACTTGCTGGGGAAAGACTTGAAGGAATTGTGGGGGGTTTTTAGGCAGCCTAGACCAGCCTGAGGAAGAATAGGTCACACAAAGCCGAGCACTAATTCTATTTCTTGCGGCCTCACTGTTGAGCTTCAAGTGAGAAAGTTTTAAGGTTTTTAGGGAGCAAAAGTTCTCTTCTGACCACTATATCCAAGGTTGAATCACTTCCAAATTTCGTACTTTCAAAACTTCAGGCAATTGTGCGCTCCCATAGTTCCAAGATGTCTTTGATTATGTCTAAGGAAACTGACTAACACAGTTCTCTATACTGGGATTTCGAGTACAATATTCTATTCTACACCTTGAATTGGTCCAATTCTTACTGGAAGACCTCAGTTACCTCGGTGCACGTAAGGCATCTATGATGCGTTTAACATTGAGGAATAAACCCTACCTGCTTGAAGGAGAAGAAGAAGGTACATGGATGTACTTTCCGCATTTATCAGAAACTAAAACTTGACCCACCTTTAGATCTTGCCCACTCAGATTCTGCTCTTGCTCTGTGGATTGATACTAAACATAAAACGAGTCTAATCCTGATATGGTAATTAGACTCGATGACATGTGTCTTGAGCTTTGACCAATCACCGTTCTTTATTCCGCGACATAGGAGAGGCTGTTGCACGGCCTCGTCTTGGTCTTCTTCTAACAGCTTGGATCATTAACTATATGACCTATAGCGCGAACAAGACGACCTCTATATTCCCCGACACCGACTAATTCAATCAACACTCTAAAATCTTTTATACTAGGAGTTGTATTCACGTCGTTAGTTTGCTAATACGGTTTGTAGCTCGTAGAAGAGCCATGACGCGGCCCGACTTATAGCGATTTCCCAGCTCGCATCTAGAATATGTGGCTCGATCGGCTTGCCGGTCAGTCAACCTCTCCCGCTCCCTCTCAGCCGGGTAGCCGCTCCTATTCTCCCGCCCCCCGACGAACTACAAGCGGCCTAGGCCCCTACATTACCTCGCAACAGAGACCCGGCCTCGGCATCACCCCGAGATCATCATCGTTGTCACTAGCATCCTCCGAATCATCCGCCTCTTCTTTCTTAGCTTCTTCTAAAAGAGCCAATGGGTCAACATTAAAAGAATCGAGGACAATATACAGCGGCCCCGACCCCATAGAGATTCTGAGTACGGTTTTAGGAGATGACAAACAACATGAGGGATCGGCCACGAAAGCAGCGGCTGAATCAGTTAGCTCTATATCAGCTGAAGACCTCCAGCTGGAATTTGATTTTGGCGGGTTGTCTATCAGAGAGCTAGCATTATCGGAGGAGTCGGCGGTAGATGGAGTTGGTGTATATAGACCGCAGGCAGCCGAAGAATGTATGCCCCCTTTAATCTTAAAGTCTCTCTCCTTACCATGCTCAAATTATACTTCTTAGATGACCGAGATAAAGCCAAGTTTGAGGACTTACACCGTTCGATACAAGCCTGCGACGAGGTGTTAGGTTCAGTAGAGGTTAACTTGGATAACTTTCGAAACGACCTTGCCACCGTTTCTGCGGATATCGAGACCTTACAAGCACGATCGACAGCCTTAAATGTGCGATTGGAGAATCGAAAATCAGTAGAGAAGGGCTTGGGACCTGTGGTCGAGGAGATTAGTGTGTCTCCTACGGTAGTATCTAAAGTCGCCGACGGTCATATCGACGAATCATGGGTCAAAGTTGTTGCCGAGATCGACAAGAGAGCTTCCTCCCACAAGAAAAACGCATCGAATGCACAGGGCAGCAAGGGTTTGCAAGATCTCGGTCCCTTATTAGAGAAGTTAGTCCTCAAGGCTATCGAACGGATAAGAGACTTTTTCGTTTCCCAGATTAAAGCTCTACGATCACCACATATCAATGCGCAGATCATCCAACAGCAGAACTTCCTCAAATTCAGGGATCTATACTCCTTTCTCCACAAGCACCATTCCGCCTTGGCCGACGAGATATGCCAGGCGTATTTGAATACTATGAGATGGTACTATGCCAACCAATTCGCACGATACGAGAACGCTCTCCGCAAAATCAAGCTACATAGTTTAGACAAGACAGATGTATTAGGAAACGAGGATATGTCTCGCAAAGGCACCGTCCTTTCAAGTTCGAAAATAGCTGGTCCGCCCCACGATGCCTTTAACTTGGGCCGTCGGATCGACCTCCTACGAACGAACAATACAAGCGCCCTCTCTTCCTACCTGGCCGAAGAAGACCAGTCTACCCACTACCTCGAAGTCCCCTTCCGCAACTTCAACCTCGCCCTCATCGACAACGCGACGGCCGAATACACCTTCCTCGCGTCCTTCTTCTCTCCCGCCCTGAGCTACTCCGCCATCTCGCGCCACTTCACCTACATCTTCGACCCGACCTTCCAGCTAGGCCACACCTTGACGAAGACGCTTATCGCGGATACCTACGACGCCATCGGCGTCCTCCTGGCCGTCCGCCTGAACCAGCACTTCCAGTTCGAGCTCCAGCGCCGCAAAGTCCCCGCCGCGGACGGCTACCTCAACGGGACGGCCATGCTGCTGTGGCCGCGCCTGCAGTTCATCATGAACGCGCACTGCGAGTCCGTCCGCGCGCTGACCTCGGCGCTGCCCACGCGCCCGCCGACGTCCAAGGCGGAGCAGGGCAAGCTGTCCGCCGCGCCGCACGTCTGCACGCAGCGGTTCGGACAGCTGCTCCACGGCATCCTGGCCCTGAGCACGGAGGCCGGCGACGACGAGCCGGTCGTCACGAGCCTCGGCCGCCTGCGCAGCGAGGTCGAGGCCTTTCTGACGAGGTACAGCACGGCGTTCGGGAACGACAGGAGGAAGAGGGAAAGGTTTTTGTATAATAACTATAGTTTGATCTTGACTATCATAAGCGACACGCATGGCAAGCTGGCGGTGGAGGAGCAGGAGCACTTTGAGGGGTTGAAGACGGCTTTTCAGGAGGCGGCTTAAGAACCTAGGTTTGATATCGGATGACTGCTAGGTACCTAGGTACCGACAGATGGGCAGGGCTAGATATGATGAGATCGAAAAAAACGATTAAATGAGACTGCAGTTCTAAGGATGGCTTCTGTTTTGGTTATCAAAGAAGGAGTCGCTAAATTTGAATTCTTGAATACCCCCGTGTTGTACTGTACTATGGTTGTAAAAATGTAACGTGTTTTAGTGTCATAGACTTATTCCCCATCTACATCCTCGGAGACGATCCTCAATTATTTTTTTTCTAACATTCAAAAAATCAAGAATGGCCCATGTTATCTACCAAAGTGCGAAGTCGTGCAAGGCAACTCCTTATCACCAACTCCCAACCAACTGCATAGCGACCAAGGAAAAGCATTCGTGCCTATTCCTACAAACCTCATAAGCACATCTACAGATGACGCATGGCTACCACCATCCAACACAGCTGGATCATCCCGCGCCCCTGCTCTAAAAGTAATGGCCCGGCATCGACCTCGCAACAAGATTCGTCCAGAACGGCGCCTTGCGGAGGTACACCGCGCCGATCCCAATAACTACGGCCAGTATCACCGTCCTATTCGCCCAGACCGTCTTCATCGCCTTCTCGCGGCGCGCCGCCCACCGGAGCTCCTTGCGCTGCTGTTCGAAATACGCAAAGCCCTCCGCCAAGCCCTGCCTGGCGCACACGTCGACCCTGCGTCCCGTCTTCAACGCGCTCGCGTTCGAGATACGGCCCCAATTCCTTAGGGTTTCGGGCGGGTGTTTTTCGAACAGGGCGGCGGCGTCGGCGATGACGGCGTCGAGATCGAGGTCCTGGGGCAGCTTGGAGAGGGCGAAGTGCAGCATGTCGGGCTCGTCGTGGTCGAAGAGCTCGGCGCGGCGGGTGAGGACGATCTGGGCGAAGACGTAGAGACTAAAGACCTGCTCGCGCGCGAGCAGGGCGTCGAAGAGGCGCGCGATGTCGGCGTACCGCCGCACGTTGTGCGCGAACATGGTCAGCGTGTCCGAGAGCGCGAAGTACGGCTCCGTGCGCCCGACGTGCGCGCACAGCGCCGGGTCCACCGCCGAGATGATGTCCGGGATCAGCCGCAGCTGCGAGATCGCCGGCCCCAGCGACGGCAGCATGAAGTCCCGGATGCGCAAGCCCGAGAGGCGCGACACGGCTGTCGCGCGCGAGCTGGGCGGCAGCACGAGCAGGAAGACTTGGCAGATGTCGTGGTACCCCTGGAAGTAGCTGAGGTGCGGCTGCCGCCGCAGCACCTCGGTGATGAGGTCCGAGAGTGCGGATTTCTTTAAGTCGAGCTGCGCTTGGGTGTCATCTGGAGATTGGTTAGCGCTCGGGTGAGTATACTCCAACCGCCATTCGCGGTGGAGAGATGGTTGCATTCCGTACCATCTGGGTAGTAGACGAAGCTGCGGTCAACGTCTAGCTTCACCTGGTCCTCGTCTTTATGCCGTGCGAGCTCCCTCCACGAATCGGAGACTCCGTCCTGGTTCCCGTGCTCGTCGACGGTGAAGCCTAATAATACCGGCCCTGCCAAAGAAGGTTGAGCCTCACGTTTGCCACTAGATTTAACCGGACGAGTGAGGGAGTGGGTGAGATGCGGGATGGGAGACGGTGAGGTGTGCGCGGGTCACTTACATGCTTGGCGACGGATGGTGTCGGAGAGGAACCCGCCTCTCGATACGGCTAAGACCTGGAGATCGTCGATATCCCTCCGCCTGCATGCGTCCAGGATGCGGGACTCTTGTGCGAGGACTAATGCGGGTTCGTCATCGTGGTGATGATCGTCTGCGCCGTTCACATCTTTCTCCTCTTCTCTGCCGTCGGCATCCTCCTGTTCCCGGGCCATGGGAAAATCGATCCCCTCCGCTGCTGCACGTCAGGTTGCCTCACTTGTTGCTGTGTGCGTCCGCGTGTGGATGGACTGATAACAGGCCGCTGCTCCTGGCAGGGTCGCAACTGTGGCATCTGATACCATATGCAGCAGGATAAGCTCCGATGTTCTCCCTTTTTCTTCCTTTCTTAATCTAAGACACTCCTACACGGTAAAGATCTTTCGATGAAGTTGGTGTACCTAGACGATGCTGCGCTACCTCCATACGCCGTTGGGGAAGTCCAACTGAGAGATGTGGTTACTTGGTTATTTAGGTATTTATTTAGGTATCTCTTATCTTGATAAGCGTGGCCTTTTGAGATGGGAGTGTTTTATGTGTTTGCGAGACAGAAGCGAATTTGCAAATCAAATAAAAAAAGTGTTATTCGAAGGGTTGACGGGATTGATGACGTTTCAATATCGGATATTTAGGTGATTTTTTAGTTGATGAAGTGACGAAGCGGTAAAGTGATAAAGTTCTTAGCCAACGGTATGAGAACAAGTAACGACATCCATGGGTTCGTTGCATCCATGGGTTCGTTGATGGAAGGCTGAAGGTTGAATGCCCAGCGTGTTTTGGCAGCTGTCCGGGGAGCTAGGGTGGGTCCTTCCGTCCCGCGAGGTACCCTTGCGGCGCCCTTGTGCAGGTGCCATGGGGCAACCCGGCAAGCCACCAGCGCTAAAGGATTAACCCAACTGGCCTTAGTATCAACAAGCCCTGGAGGTTTCCTGCAGATATCCCATTGTATCGGTACGTTTATCCCGCTTCTATGTTTCCGTTCGAATGGTTCGATAATCATATTGCAACTTCAAACTTATGTTGTAACATTGAATTCCTTTACATACCTAGTAGGTATCTACGATGTGGATGAATGTATTAAGGAATCGCCTAAATTTTGGAAACTACATACATCGCGGCTACTCTTTTTCACCGGAGTGGTAGAGAGATACCATGGACGACAAGAGTATTGTCTCGAGTCTTATGAATGCCTAGGATTATCATTACATAGCGGGGAGCTGCTGTAGAGTTATAAGCCTGGTGCAAGTGCATTAGGGCTTGTACAAGGCTCGTACAAGTGCTATAAGGGTTGTTGGCTTTACAAGGTTTGCTCCCATGACCAGTTTCATGAGTCAAATGTATCTTCCCATACAAATTTATTAGCAAAATACATAAACAACCCTTTTCAAGGCATTGACCACTACCAAAACCACTAAACACCACTAAAGCTTTAGCGCTCTCAACGCTGTAATCACCTAAAAGCACCCTACAGCAGCTGCAAGCACTTGTAAGCTATTTCGTCCCATTCTTTTCAACTAATTACGCTCAGCTTCAATAATTTCTGCCAGCCGCGACCGCCTGGCGGGCACCCTCAACAATATCACCTTAGCCAAAAAACTTAGAACTTTTTTTTGACTTTAATATTATCAACCTACTGCAAACATCTGCCACCCACCCGCCAATTCTCAAGGTCCACTTTTTGAACCAATCACCCTTAACAACCGCCATTTTCTGCCAACTAACACCACCTGGGTAAGACCTAAATCGATATCACCTTGGTAAAAAAAAACTTAGAACTTTTTTGCTTCCTTCAACAACAACAACAACAACAACAATAACACACCCACTTACCTACCTGTTCCCAACAACCAGGTGCAGGTAAATAATTGGTAAACCAATAGGTCAGTTACTAGAATAGTAGACCCGTAGACCCGTAGAGCAGTAAATTCGTAAAGCAATAAAACAGTAAAGCAGTAGACTTGTAGAACAGTAGAGCAGTAGAGCAGTAGAGCAGTAGAGCAGTAGAGCAGTAGAGCAGTAGAGCAGTAGAGCAGTAGAGCAGTAGAGCAGTAGAACAGTAGAACAGTAGGATTAGAGGTAGGTAAGAGGATTAGCAATAGGATTATAGACCTAGAAATCAATAAAACTATAGTGGATTAGTGGTTAATTATAGTGCATTCAGATGATAATTACAGTGCTCTTATAGTGCTTTCCCACTAAATTTAGGTTTATTTATAGGGCTCTTTACAAGTCCTAAACTCTATTCTTGACAAAATTTATACGCATGGCTTATATTATTTAAGCCTTGCACAAGCCTTGTAAGGGATGACTAATTCCCGCTAAGGTATGCAACAAAGAATTCATGGATCAATCGTGCAGAGCCCGATCACTCTCGAAATTACTTTGGTTATTAGGGAGTTCATGGGATTCCGGTCGTTATGGGATCGAATGGGACCATGATATCCGAAGTATGTTAACGAAACAGCATATATCTTGTGTCATGAACTCACTTTAGATAAATGTTTTAAAAGCATAACTGCCTAACATTAGTATTTGAAAGACCTTTGCTTTTTGGACGTTGTGAGGTTTAAATATTTACGGTAACAAATAGACCTCAAGTGAAGATAAAGGTACATGTACATAAAAACTCGATTACTAGAGAATTGAAACTTCTAAAAAGGTTTAACCCCTCACCGTTGCTTCCCTATCCATTATCCGGGTAGAACCTTCTTGTACGGGCGGACAGCAGGCCATCTTGTACAACAAAAACAATCCAGAAAACTGGAAAGCACTCTCTTTGCTCACATCGACATTGCTTGGCTTCATGCACCTCAAATTAGAAACACGAAGCTTCCAGGAAGCTTGAGATCCAAACATTTCACCATGCACTTGCAAGGTCAAAGGCACGCGACTGATTGATTGTTTCCCCGCATCGACCGCATCGACCTTAGAGGCACTGCAGCTCCCAAGCTCTTCCAAGCCCACTATACTTATCGTGCCTCGTACCTGTGGACACCAACTGTTTCCCCCCTTTAAACACTGACGCCTGAAGATTAGGCCTCGACTTAAATCACCAAACAACACCGGGCACACCTGGGCACTTCGCCGTTGATGACCGTTTCCCCGGACACAGGCACAACTAAAGGAAAAGGAAAAGGAGAAAAGTTATAGCACACTTAATACGCCTAATTCCCTTCATCAGAGCTATTTTCAACCTGCCCTAGAGCCTAGGTAGAGATCGAGATATTGATTTGCCTTTCAAATGACCCATCGATCCCAGTCAGGTACCTAACCTCTTCTCTGATATATCCGGATCGATTACATCTGGCTTTCATTCTCATACCATCCATCTCCTACATGATTAAATAATTCACATTATCCATCTTTCCTGGATACCTACTTTGAGTACCTACATAGTACTTAGAAGTTGTCCTTAGGAACATCGACATTTTACTTGTGGTAGGAAACTATTGCACCCCTGTGTTATTCGCATACCGACGCACAGTACTGTGTTAACTTTATCGTCAACTATAGTCTAACCCTGCTCACATTCCTTATTACGAGCAACTTTACCAAGCTTAGCCACCTACCTGTGTATGGTGTTGCTGCCAGCTCAGTTCTGCTGGCCATAACATCTTTTTTCTAGACTCCGGATCCGCATACCTGAGGACAACAATGTCTCTCCAAACTTATGTCCTTGAAGATGATCAATGGGTATCTCGTACGGTTTCTGCAGATGAGCTCTTGAGAGAGAATACCACTGCTCGTCGTAAGACGGGAAGACAATCACTCTCAAAGCCACCCACCTACGGCTTGCTCACAAAAACGATCATCGAAAGTCCCATAATAAGATGGGTACTGCCTGTGCAACTTCGATCCGCTCGCTATAATGATGTTGCGTTGATAGGCGTAGGTTCCCTTATTCTCTTCCTTAAAGTCTCAGCCGTACTGTAGCCGATGAGCGGCTCCTGATTCTTCAATCCTATCTACCTTCATACTATGTACAAGGTTTCTTTTTAAAATCATATTACATGACACAAATATCTTAAATCTCCCCCTTGTCTCAAAGATTAGGTTCTGACTTGCGTCTAGGATAATTGTGTCCAGATATGCGAGCTTGGACCTGATAGGCAGCTCAAAGATGTCATCAGAAAGAAAGACTTCGGGTCCCGAATACGGAATGCGGTAGTCATGGGTTCACCTCAGTATACTCGCAAAGCTAACGAAGGCAATGAAGATGGCACCCATGTTAAGGTGGAGGACAGCGATACTGAAATGGCTGACATGGGTGCCGCCATTTCTGGATTCCGGAGTAAAAACCCACGGCTCCCTCCTCAGCTACTGGTCCTTATGCTTGAGCGGGGCGACTTGGTGTTTCTATTTTTGCAGCAAGGTCCTGATGGCCGTTGGGCCTTCGTTTCTTCGACTCACAGAGTGCCTGGAGAAAGACTCGTTTCTCCTGGGTGGCACATGGCTATTGACCCTTCCTCGAATTTTCTGGTTATCGGATGTACGGAGAGCCTCTTCATCGTCTACCAACTCGAGTCGATGGAAAACCTACAACATCAATATTTTAAAGGAAATGCTTTGCAGCCAATCAAAGACTGGGAAGCTCGACACGTCGTTGGTGTTATACACAAGATTGAGTTCCTCCACCCGATCTATGGGAACGAAATACAGGTGATCTTGATGATTATCATGGTCCAGCCTGAAGTTTCCAAGTTAACTGTGTACGAATGGGACTGCACTGGCACGAATGATTGGAAGAAGATATTCCGCGAAGAAAAACCTGGTCACAGGCTTGACGACGAATACAGAATGCCGCTATTGGTCGTGCCCCTTAAAGTCCGAAATGCCTTCTTGATCATAACTGAGAGTATCACGGCTACCTGTTCGGATGTTTTAAGCGGACCGCCTACATTTGTCAAGTTCGAACTAGCAAATTGTGACAACACCCAACTACATCACGGAATGGGTGATCCGCTGTGGACGGCATGGACTAGACCCATACGTCATCCTCCATATCACTATCGGAAAGATGTCATCTACCTGGCAAGAGAAGATGGTCTCATAAACTTCCTTGAATGCGGCGATGAATCAGAAATAGAGACAAGCGTCAGTATGGGATCCGTGGACTGCAACATTGACACGGCCTTTGCATCTCTCTTCCATCTGTTTGGTGACATTCTAGTTACTGGCGGAGACTCTGGTCCCGGAGCAGTTTGGAATGTTAGTTGATATCTACTTGCTTTCATTAGCGTCGTCTTTCTAACATTGTCGGTAGGTGCAAGCGAGACAATCTCCACAGAGAATTGGCTCAATTCCGAATTGGTCACCAACGGTTGATTTTGCGGTGACAATCGAGGGGACTCTCGATGAGAGCAGTGATGGCTCGAGCTCGGATATTGGGAAAATGACCCTCTATCAACCAGACAAAGTTTTTGCTTGTAGTGGCAGAGGCATAACAGGGGCTATTACGCAGTTTCGACACGGCATCCAGGCGAGGATCGGCTTGGATCTTACGTATTCGTCCTACGTCAAGCAGTGTTGGGCTATATCCAACTACGATGGGGGTGTAGAAGATTGCTTCTTTCTGCTCCTAGCACTCCCTAATGGATCTTCAGTTCTACATCTATCTCGAGATCTCTCCGAGGCGTCTGAGAAAGACCATGATGCGACACCATACGATCTCACCTCGACAACACTAGCTGCGCAGGATGCTGACGGTGTAGCCGTGCAAATCACGACAAACTATATTACAGTTGTCATGTCGCTAGGATGGTAAGTCTTTCTGGATAGTAAATGTGCGATGGAGTTTGACAAATTTGGATTTCAGTTCTCAGAATTCGACAAGCGAGATTCTACGAGACTACACTGCTGTCGTAGCAGATGCGGCCATCGAAGGTAATATGATCGCTTTGGCAGTCTACTCTGGATCGGATTTCAAAATCGCTTTGCTTAAAATCGTCGATCTCGAGGTTTCCTTCCAACGAGCCTTTGACGTTGAAGGCGAAGTCACTTGTCTTGCGATAGGAAAGTTCGCAGGTGATATTGCCATCCTTGCCGGTTTCTACCGAGACAAAGACCCAATTATAGCGATATATCCTGCCGAATCAGAGCAACAAGCTTCCGCAACACCCATTACGATAAGGTTGCTACCAAGTATGTGCACCTCAAATATCTCGAGCTGGCTGGCTATTAACGTCATCCATAGGTGCAATAAGTCTGAGTCATGAGTTGATCACAGATTCTACGGGTCCCTCTCCTTTTGGGGCCCTAACGAGTATTGTATATCTTGGTGAACGATCTAGCAAAGCTGTCGTTGTAGCGGGAACTAAATTGGGGGATGTACTTACAATCGAACTGGATCAATCAAAGCCTGGAAGCTATGGAATATACCGGGACAAATTTAACGTATCGCAATCTCGAGTTTATTCCGGCGCTGCAGCGGGAGACCCTAACTCGGTGTTGGTCTGTAGCGACACTGAACTCGCGATGATGTCGAGCTACGTATCTCTCCGCGAGGGCCGATTCGAGGAGATATATCGCGTCTGGCCAACCGATGGAGATAGACCTAGCATGGCTTCTCCTCCGATCAATTCTGTAGCGTCGCTACGTAAACAACTTCCTGAACTCGGGGATTCGACTATGGTGATGATTTCCGGCTCGCGAATCATGATCACCGAGCTGCAACGCCAACCAAAACCTGTCCCTCGTTATTTCCCTGTGTGGGGAACGCCAGTTAAGATACTCTACTCTAAGAGGTTGGGGGCCCTTGTTACTGTCGTTTCGAAAGATGGCTTACCTTCATTGCATTTTCTTGACCCCGAGACAGGCCAAGATCTATCACAACCCCTCGAGAGGAAGAAACCAGGCGAGGCTTATACCTACCATGACGTAGACTATATAACAGGCCTGGGGAACATAGAAACAAGAGCCGTTTCTCTCGCAACTTGGACGTATAGAGATGGAAATGTTCGTGGGGACTGGATTGTTCTCGCCATGCGGAGGAGAGAAAATGAAGGCCTCCTCTTGATAATATCAGCCGAACGTGACAAACCAACCGAGACTAATGCGTTTCGACCGGTCCGATTTTGGACCAAATTTGATCGGAAGATAAAGGATGGTCCTATATGGTCCATCGCAACGGACGACTACGGTGTCTTTCTGTGCGTCGGATATACCATTCAATACCACCAAATCGAAGGCGGCAGGTTTAAGGTGACGAGGTCGCACGAACTACCATCCCCAGCCTCGTGGATGGAAGTGGTAAATGGGCATCTGCACGCTCTTACTACACACCACTCTCTAGTAATCCTTGACTATAAGCGAGAGCTTCCCGTGGAAGGTGAAACGATGGTTCAGCTGCACACAGATGAAGTTTGTCGAAACAGCTTGCATGCCATTGAGCTAGGCACATATGCTGTCCCTATAACTTTGTTGTCAGATCCGATGTGCGGTGTACATGGGTTATGGGCTCCTGACGAAGAAGAGAGACCATTAAGCCTAGTATTCCAAGCTGAGCTTCAAGCATCAATCAGGCGGTTTGCTCGAGGATATACCAGAGCTGCATGGGGATCGGTTAAGAACCGACCACGCTATGGTTGCGTCATAACCGGATTACCTGGGTCGGATATCATAGGTCTTACCATTGATGGATCTCTTCAGCATTTCTCGCTCTTGAATGAGGATGCCTGGAGATTCCTCAGATTCATACAAAACCTGGCTATGTCATTCCCAGCAATTCGCCCACAAACCCCGTTGAAAGACTCGTCTGGCTTAGCCCTCCTCGAGCCTGATATAGAACCCGATATATATCCGAAATCAAACACCCATGTTGACGGAGATATTCTGCGGATATGTCTTGATAGACATGCGTTAGAGGGGCTCGTTTTGAGCCCAAAATATCTGCAGCGGTTCCGAGAACTTCTTAAGCCTCTAGATGAGGACGGGTATCTCTCATCTGAAGGGCTCAGCAGCGATGAATCGTACTTCGAATTAGCTTATAGTATTCTCAAGTACTATCTTTCGCCTGTACTTTCATGATGACCTATACGTTATGAGCATATCTCCGCTACATGCTCAACATCAGACACGTTGTCCAGGTGGCCAACCACCCAGGTAGTTTAATGAAAATGAATGTTTTCTGAGATTAATGTAGGATATTGAAAATGGCTGGAGAGTCAGGTATGAAAATGAGGCTAGATATGGTTCTCATGATTGACGATGACGTGAAATGATATTCTAATGTTTTGCACGAACTTTATGGTACATAAGCTGGTAAAGTTGAACAGTGTTTTTATTGGATAAGGAGTGAGGGGATACACATCAAAGCTCGGTATCTAGGAGATGAGAGGTTTATGTAGTCTCTCACAGGAAATTGTAATAATAAGCAAATTACCTTTATGCTCGTTCGTATTAGACAATTGAATTCCAAGTTGTAACCTTAGAGTTCCCCTTACCCCGTGATGGTGAATAGGGGGGAGCTTGTACATAATACCATGAATGCAGGGATAGAATACTTCACTTTAGTTTGTGCTTTCTTATCTAATCAATCAATCAATCAATCTGTATCGATAAGAAGTTTGTTCGCTTAATCTTTCATAACTGTTGTGCAAAGTCCATTCACAAAAATATTTCTTAGAAAACACGACTAAGGAAGGTAAGGTACTTCTTATAGGTACCGTTAACGCACCGTCATCAGCGCTGGTCTTGTCTATTACCCCACTACGGCGAAGGCAACAGCGGCCCTAACCCTTCCTACATCCATCTCATACGTCCCATTCGACTAATATCTTCCTATATTCTTTGATCTACAAACACCGAACACTGCGACGCAGGAAACATTTCCTCTCGTTAGATTTCGCGTGAACTAACCACAAACTAGGCGCAATTAGATTTGCCTTGGTAATTGTCCTAAGCCATACATACAATCTGACTCGTTTGCGGCTTGTCGTGAGGCTTGTCATCTGAGCTCGGCGGATTTAAAAATTGCCCCTCGTCATTTTGCAGAGGGTCCACGATTTTACCCCCACTGTCATCGTTCTGAGCGTCCCAACTTGACGTAAAACCTCATTCTTTTTGACGAAAATTTAATAGCAAATCTGCTTACTTAAGCAACTTAACCAAAATATTCCTGCTCGTCTCAAAGGTTACTTTACTACAAATACTATTTCTTTCACATCCACATCACTACCAAGATGCCGCCTAAGAAGAAGGGAAACAAGAAGGCGGCCGATGATTGGGAGGCAGAGTTAGGCGAGTCGGTCGCACCCACAAATGGAGACGCCGACGCCAATGCTGCCGCTGCTGGAGCGCCGGAGGAGAACAATGAGGAGGAGGAAGCGCCGGTCGGTGGTCTAATGGCCATGATGAAGAAGAACCGAGAAAAGAGAAAGAAGAAGGGCTTGTCTGAGAACTTCGTTGATGGCGAAAACGCCCCCGGCGCCGAACCCACACCCGCTCCCGCGGTCAAAGCACCTGAAGAAGCAACCATGGACGACGAGTTCGCACTACCAGAGAAGAAGGGGAAAGGTGGAAAGCAGAACAAGCAACAACAGGCCAAGCCCGCATCGGCTGATGTAGGCGACGAAGAGACAGGAGAGGGCGGAAGAATATTGACTAAAGCCGAGAAAGAGAAGTTGAAAAAGGAGAGAGAGAAGGCAAGAAAAAGAGAACAGGTGCGTAAAGAGTTGAAAGACTTAAGCCTAAATTCATCAACTGACTTCATCTGCATCCTAGGCTGCCAAGAAAAAGACTACAACGCCTGCCCCTGCCCCTGCCCCCAAGGCCGCTGAGCCCGCGAAACAAGTCGTAGAAGAGAAAAAGGAGACTCCTGCGCCAGCGGTGGAGGCTGGAGGCAAGAAGGGAAAGAAGCTACCCCCTCATCTCCTGGCTCTCCAGAAACAGCAAGAGGAGTTGAAACGGCAACGAGAGGAGGCCGAGCGTAATGCCATCGAAGAGAAAGCTCGACTAGAGGAGCTAGAACGCCAGGAATCCGAAGCGGCTAAACGAAGAGAGGAAGAAAAGGCCCGCAAGAAGCAAAAAGAAAAGGAGAGGATCGAACAACTTAAGAAAGAAGGCAAGTTCCTTACTAAGGCGCAAAAGGAGGAGAAAGCCCGCAATGAGAGAAAGCTTCAGCAAATGCTTGCTGCCGGTATCAAGGTTGGCCCTTCTGAAGATGCTGGCGAGGGTAAGAAGAAGGTTGTATACGACAGCAAGAAGCGCGGTAAAAAGGCAGACCAGAAGGTATTTATACTAACAACCCCTTCTGGTGTTTACGTCTCTAAATCTGGATTAACCCCTCTTTAATAGGTCGACGAAGAAAAAGCCTTGGCCGAAGCGGCCGAGAGGGCGAGACAACAAGCAGAAGAGGCGGCTAAGAAAGCTGAAGAGAAGGCTGCCAAAGCTGCTGCTAAAGCCGAAGCTGCTGCTAAAGCTGCCAAAGCGAAAGAGGCAGAAGAGAGCGATGTTGAAGATGATTGGGAGGCTGCTGCTGACAATGTTAAGGATAGCTGGGACGCTGAATCGGGCGAAGAAGGTGAGGCATCCGCTAAAGAAAAGGCCGCAAAACCCGGACCAGCTAAAGGTCTACCGTCAAGACCCAAGCCTGAATCCGACGAATCTGAATCAGAGGAGGAATCCTCCGAGGACGAAGAACGAACAGCAGCGCAGGCGGCAGAAGCTCAACGAAAGAAGGAAGCTGCCGAGCGACGCGAGAAGGCTCACCAAGCCGCCCTGGCTGCTAGATCGAAGGACAATCTCCGTTCGCCAATCTGCTGTATCTTGGGACACGTCGATACGGGTAAGACGAAACTGTTGGACAAGATTAGACAGACCAACGTCCAGGAAGGCGAAGCTGGTGGTATCACGCAACAGATTGGTGCAACTTATTTCCCTGTCGACGCTATCAAGCAGAAGACTGCTGTTGTTAATCCAAACGGACAGTTCGAGTTCAAGGTTCCAGGTCTCTTAATCATCGATACGCCCGGTCACGAGTCTTTCTCCAACCTCCGATCGAGAGGTTCGTCGCTCTGCAACATCGCCATCTTGGTTGTTGATATCATGCATGGTCTCGAGCCCCAAACCCTCGAGTCGATGAAATTACTTCGAGACCGAAAGACACCTTTCATCGTCGCTCTCAACAAGATAGATCGACTCTACGGCTGGAAGAAGGTTGATAACAACGGTTTCCAGGAGAGCTTGGCTCTTCAGAGCAAGGGTGTCCAGAATGAGTTCAGGAATCGACTAGAGCAGACTAAACTCGCATTTGCCGAACAAGGATTTAATGCTGAGCTTTATTATGAAAACAAGTCGATGACTAGATATGTTTCGCTGGTGCCAACTTCGGCCCACACCGGCGAGGGTATTCCCGATATGCTGAAACTCATCGTTCAACTAACGCAAGAGAGAATGGCGGGATCCCTGATGTATCTTTCCGAGGTTCAGGCAACCGTCCTTGAAGTCAAGGCTATCGAAGGTTTCGGTATGACCATCGATGTTATTCTATCTAACGGTATCCTGAGAGAAGGCGACCGAATAGTAGTATGTGGTGTGGAGGGTGCTATTACCACCAACATCCGTGCGCTTTTAACGCCAGCTACTATGAAAGAACTGCGTGTAAAGTCTCAATACGTACACAACAAGGAAGTAAAGGCCGCCATGGGTGTCAAGATCAGCGCACCTGGCCTTGAAGGTGCCATTGCTGGGTCTCGATTGCTCGTGGTTGGTCCCGACGATGACGAAGAGGATCTCGAGGAGGAAGTCGAGTCAGATCTCAACAAGCTCTTCAGCCGCGTTGCCACGACAGGACGTGGTGTCAGTGTGCAAGCTTCGACATTAGGTTCCCTTGAAGCTTTGCTTGATTTCTTGAAGGATTGCAAGATCCCTGTGGCAAATGTTGGAATCGGCCCCGTGTTCAAGCGAGATGTTGTCCAATGCGCGACTATGCTCGAGAAAAGCCCCGACTACGCAGTCATGCTCTGTTTTGATGTCAAGATTGACAAGGAAGCACAAGCACACGCTGAAGAGAATGGTATTAAGATTTTCACCGCTGATATTATCTATCACCTTTTCGATGCGTTTACGAAGCACATGGAAGAGCAGCTGGAGAAGAAGAAGGAAGAATCCAAGATGCTGGCAGTCTTCCCTTGTATTCTCCACACCGTTGCTGTCTTCAATAAGACAGGCCCCATCGTTGTAGGTGTTGATGTAGTTGACGGCAACCTAAGAGTGAACACTCCGATTGCGGCTGTTAAATCAAATCCTACAACCGGTGTGAAGGAGATCATCCAACTAGGCAGAGTGTAAGTAACTCTAGAGCAACACGTACCTAATGGTTTTCTTTACTAATATCTGCATAGGACATCAATCGAGCGAGATCACAAGCAGATCCCGATTTGTAAGAAGGGTCAACCTTCGGTGGCTATCAAAGTTGAAATGGGCGGCCATCAGCCTACTTACGGGCGACAACTCGAAGAAAAGGATGTGCTCTATAGTTTGATCTCTAGGGCTAGCATCGACACGCTGAAGGAATTCTACCGAAAAGAAGTGTCGAACGACGAGTGGCAACTCATCATAAAGCTCAAGCCGTTATTCGATATCAACTAAAAGAGAATGGGCTAAATAGCATGGTTGATGGCGGTAAAGCATCGGATCGGCTTTTGTATTTAATGAGACTGGCTGCTGCCCATGGGTATGATCATTATTTTCCTTTTCCTGCCTGTACTTTCGCAACGCTGATACGTAGGGGAGTGGCTACAAAAATGGATTTGGAACTTAGCAGGCTCGTCTTTTCAATTTTGCATTCCAGAATACTTACTTACAAAGGTAAGTAAGTACCCAGGTAGGTAAGTGACAAATGATGATGCGCCACTCTTGCTTTCTCTAAGAGTTGAGATTTCGCAGGCGCTTTAGGTACAGAATTGAACCAAGCTAAGTCCTATTGAATTGAATTTTGATGTTTTATTTATGGTGCTGTGAACATCATAGAGTTTTGGTCGAATTCCGTATAATACGACTTGGCTGACTAAGCATCGAGAAAAGGGGGTGGCTTGATAGGTACATTCATTTGAGTCTCCTTAAAGCTTGCAGAGATTGGACTTATATACCATCATTTACATGATAATATACATATATATTTAAAGATTTACATAGTCTGGAATCGGGAAGAATGATATGTACACTATTTCAGACCAGACGAATTTCTTCTTCAGGACCGGAGACTACCCACGGTAGGAGCTGGATATTAGTTAGCATATCGTCAAGGTCGTACTAAAGTACCTAGTAGAAAGAAAAGGGAAAAAAACTACTTACCTCTTTCTTAGATACAGAAACCATGCCGAGACGGCGAAATTTGCCGTCTGCTGGATCCTTACGCAACAGCAAGCCTTTCCACTTTTCTTTGATCAGGGGTAGGAACCAGCATTCAGTAACACCAGCGCGATCTGCTAAAACATCGAAAAAAGCTTCGGCAAACACTAGAGCCGGGGAAATAGCAGTGCTCTCGCCATCAGTAGCGAGAGAAACAACACACGGAGTGTCCTGGATTGGGAGGAGGCCGAGCTCGCTTAGCTGGCTGTACTCGGACTTCGCCGGTTCTAGGAGTACTATGTATCCTTGCTCTGCTAGAGAACGCTTTCGGTGTTTTGGGACTTCCCACTTAGAAGGGAAGCTGGCGATGTCGGTCCATTTTGAACAACGGACCTGCTTCGGCCGTCCGAGGAAACGGAGTTCGCAGTATGGCATGTGGAGGACGTCCGGACCGCAATTAGGGTTATCTAACGCCGTCCAACTCGGTGTTTCCGATTCATCGTCGTGCTTGTCAATCGAGTGCTGTTTAGGTCTGGGCTTGGGCCGGATGAGGTAGTTTGACGGATCCTTGAGAATGTACTCGTCGCGTGGTGTCGAGCGTTCATGGACTTGACCTTGGAGTGAAGCCCATGACCATGAAGGCGCTCTAATCACCGGCTTCCCTTCCCTGTCAGTAGGCCTTCTCGGCTCGATAGTGGCTAGAGGCGAAATTAATGTTCCGAAGTCTCTTTTTGGTCTTGTGCCAAAAGAGAACCAAGTATGCCAAAGAAGGCCGCGGACCATATCGACTTCCCATATGCCAGCCAAGTAGCGCGATCTGATCGACATCTGCGCCAGCTTTGCGATGCCGCTCATCGCTGCGAAGATGTCGTAGGGATTTGTCAACAGTCGTCGCGAGAAATCCCACAATATTGGCTTGTACCATAGGTCTAGGATCTCAGATCGCATCCGTTCCCGCTCCTCCTTGTCCACGACGTAAGAGTTGGTAGAATCGGCGAGTTTAAACCCCTGGAATAATTGCGCGCGCAGCTTTTCCGACTGGCTGGCCTTGCCGTCCTCCCAACGCTCTAGTCGCTGGCACGAGAAGGCGAGCCTGTCAACCTCGAAGATGAGCTTTCGTCTACTTAGCACCGCTTCTTGGAAACACCATCCCCGTCCGTTAAGTGGCCCGCTAAAACCACCCTTGCGTGGCAGACACAAGAAAAGATTCCCCATATCTTTGCCATCCGCGTCCTTGCGTCCTAGCGGTATGGCTGCGGGGGGCGCGGCATGGCTCACTTGATTAGTTATGAAGCCTTGCCGGCTATCCGGCGACCGCGCGGCAACAACGGTGAGCGTCGCGTTGCCGTACACGGCATCCATCCTCTTGGATTCGTATTCCCAATCCGCCCCGTTCCCCTGGATGATGCACAGGCCGTCGATCCAGACGTACCGAATGCCAAACTCGCGGGCGATGGTCATGCATTCCCGATGCGCGGCCGTCAGCTCCGTCTCGTCGATGGATTCTAGGAGCTTGCTGTAGTTCGCGTCCCTCAATTCTATCGTGTGATGCACGCCCGGCCCCCAGCAGTACGAGAGCGCCACGTACGGCTCCCGGAGCCCGCGGTCGCGCGCGTTCACGAGCCGCGTCGTCGTCGTCGAGCCCGGACCGGCGCCGAGGTCGACCACGCGCGTCGGCATCTCCGGGCTCGCGTCCTCGCTCGCGTCGCCGCACTCCGGGTGCCGCTTCTTGCAGACCGAGACCATGGCGCGCGCGAACTCGACGTGCCCGCGCGGATTCCGGTCCGCGGATATGTACCGCTCGATGAAGCGGTGCGCGGCTGGCGTGCCTGTTCTAGGCCGCGAAAACAAAAGCACACGTTAGCAAGATGTGCCTAAGAAGAAGAAGAAGAAGCAGAAGCAGAAGCAGAAGCAGAGGCAAGGGCAAAAGGTTATGTATGTGTGCTAGGAGGTTACGGCACCTGGATCCGCGAATACTCCCAGCGTACCCGAGAGGAACGGCTCCGAAACGGTCGTCTCTGGGTCCTCCCGGTTCCCGCAAGAGATGTACACCTCGCTGCCTCGGTCCGGGCTGGTAAAGCTCGGGATGCTGGGCGACGCCGGCTTTCCCGCCTTCTGCTCCGCCTTATCCCGTTCCGCGGCCGCGTGGAGGCGGAAGTTGTCCTGGAACGACCCCGTGAGCCAGACCCGCTCGTCGCGTAGCGGCTGCCCGTCTGCTGATCCTGGACATTTGCCGGCCAGCACGGCTTCGACGTCGGAGGCGACGTTGCTCTGCTGCAGCGACGTCCAGCACAGATGGCACATGGCGCAGCCCGCGGCGGCGGAGTCCCGCAGGGACCGCAGGTTCGGGTGGTAGAAGGCCATTCGGTCCCGGATCTCCTCGACTGTGAGGCTGGCGCACGCGCTGCAGGGGCCCATTCTCTTGGCTCTTCTTGGTGGGTTTTTCTTGGCTGGATTTCATAGGTATGTTGACCACACTTGAGTGTCTGCGATTCGGAGGCTCATTCCGATGTCATGGAATGCTTGATTTCAAAGCATCACGAGAGAGGAGACGGGCCTCAGATATTCCTGCCATATTTGCGACGTCGTTTCAGGTTGGATTACGTGAAAAAAACAAGGGTATGCGTTGCAGGGGTTATTTAGTCTACCCGCGTCCTTATTCATTTATGGATTAGTGTAGTCCTCTCCACTGAAAATAAGGAACTCTCGCTTGAGTTGAGTGAAAGGGTCAGGTTGGCGTGATGTAGGCAGGTATCGTATATGATAAGTACAATGCAGAAGATGCTTACCAAGGCAGAGAATCATAACCAGGCGTAGATAGGGGCGCAGCCCCCTATTGGCATTTTACCAGTGCATGTACGCCTAGGATCCACTCCAAGGCCTGCTTTCTTTTTCCCTCTACTCTTTCGTTCTCATGCATTACCGCCGCACGGCTCCCTGCACTGAATTGCAGTATGGTAGATCCTCTTTCAGTACCAGGGACTGCCGTTGGCATTCATTCCGGGGATACCAGTCTGCCAGGGTTTTATCTTATACCCGCTCTGTTGAAGGAAGGAAGCAGGAATCAACACGAGGACATTATGTCGAAATAGGGCCCTAGTAAAAATCCTTCCTTAGAGGTTAGATTCTCAGTGTGCTTCCCAATCCGCTTGGTTGGTAAGGGTATATACACGCAGTCCCTTGATTGCTAGGTTACCTGTATAGCTCTAAGTACTTAAGGCTTCTAGCAAGATGCTAATTAGGTAAGCAGTCTGATATTAAAGTGGGTCCGCATTTCGCAAGATGCTGCTTAGTAAGCTCAGCTCGGAGCCTTACCTGATAAAAGAGTTGCTCCTTATATAATCGAGTTGACTAATCAGCTCCTGAGACACCCGTGACCGTAGGCATTCTTTTTTTAAGTGCCTAACTCTGTACATACGAAGTCCAATTTAAGTTATTTCATCCCTTGTGCTTTCCTAGCAGTAAATAGTCACTACTAGCCCATGGCCTTATGAGTTTATACAGATCAAGTATAGTACTCTGGATGCCGCTCTCTAATTCGCCGATCAGAAAGAAGGGTGGATAACGCTAAATCTACCCGCCCAGCCCGCCTCGATCTGCCCGGGATAAAAACGCATTTAAAGTGATTACCACATTTTAATGTGCTTATTGGCTTGATTTCTTACTTGAAGCTATATTAAGAGCAGTTAGCTGAACAATGCGACAAACAATAATCGAAGAATTATAACTGGCAAATAAATGATAGAAATTGAGTATCTGAGGCGACTCTCTAATCACATTTGGTCTCAATGAGCCGGTTTTATCCGCATCGTGATCCCTCTAGATGGGGGATAAAAGCTAGGAAGGTGCGACTAGTACTGTGCAAGGTATTTAAGATCTTCGCCCTAAAAATCAGGTCTCAGACATTTTGAAATCAACACAACATCCTACACAAAAAATGATAATCGAATTCTAATCTATATTCTTATCGACGTGTCCATGTGTTCGGTTTATCTACATATGAATAGGCCCGGTCATGTAGACAACGTACGGTCATCAGAAAGGAACCCTGGAAAATATCATCTCGAAGTGGAACGATTGACCTACTAGCCATGTCTCTAGGAGAGCATATTCATTCATTCCAATAAGCGAATGCTTAAGGTTGGTTTGATGCCCGAGATAGGGACTATTCATATGAGCAAACGCCGAAGTGTTATTTGGGGCGTTGGGTGCCAGCTATACAATTTTTGTGTCCTGTACACCACATCCTAAAAATTGATTATGTGGATAGCAACCTACGCGGCGTTGCTCGCTTGTAGGCGCTTCAGCAGGTTCATGACCCTGTTCTTGGCCGCTATAAAGCTGGCACCTTGCGGCTGGCGATAGTCTGACAGACAGGTAGCGAACTCGTGAAGGGCTCGCAGTTGGGAGCCGATCAGCTCCCGCAGTACTGCTCCGCGCTCGATGTTCGAGTCGACCTCGTACTCGCCTACTGTTATGGCCATCGTCAGCTCGTATAGCGTCTCCGGAGTCTTTCGAGAGTAGGTCGACACCATGTCGGCGCAGAGTGCCACCAGCCGGTTAGTTAGAAGCAGTAACATCATCCTGGTCTCGACTCGGGCCGAGCAATGCTCGCACTGTCGCATCAGCTCCCCGTAGCGCAATGTCTCCTTATGAAGCCCCAACGCCGAGTCGAGCGATCGTCTATTCTGCGCCGATCCATTGCCGTCGGCCTTGTCCGCTTCTTCCTCATCATCGTATTCACCATTATTTCCATTGTGGTCGCCATGGTCGTCTTCCAGATATATGTCGTTCGTATTCGATTCTAGCTCGTTAATGAGCAAGACGATGCGCTCCAGGCAGTTGCATGCCTGCTGTCCTCTCCCGTATGTCTGCACTGGCCGTACTGCTAGTGCCCCCCTCGGTGTATCCCTTTGAATCTGTATATCTATATCCATCTCCATCTCCATCTCTGGCTCTGCCTGTTGCTGAAATTGCGGGCTGCTAGCCGTGGTGCCGATATGGCTGGTGTTGGTGCTGCCTGTTGTTGCTCTCCTTGGCTGTGTCATGGTACTATTTTGGGTCTCGACACCCAGATTTGGTGGACTTGTGTCGTTCCAGAAAGACATGTCGATGGCACGGCTTGTGTTTGAAATAGGTGAAAAGACGGACCTGCCTGTTGCCGAAGTCGTCGTGTCCGGCCCAAATGCCGGGAATAGCGACCACTGCTCCATATCGGCTACGAATGTGTCGCTTTCGCAATTGACGGGCTCGGTGCTGACGTCAAACCCGAAGTCAGATATGGTGGTATTGGGGTCCGACGGCGGATGTTGGGTAAGGCCGGTCGTGGCGTCAGGCCGTGTCACATCTGATCCCGGATGCTCCGCCGCCGGTTTGCCATTCTTTTTGGCCGCCTCATCAGGAGAGCTGCGTCGCCTCTTGCTAGAACCGGTGGTGTAAGCGCATTCTGTGCCTAATGTCTCACATCTCTGGCAGCCCGACAGTTCACCGGTGCATTTGACCTGTAATACAGGCGAAAAGTTGTGATCAGTTTATTGTTGGGGGGTTTTCTTTCTTTTTCTCGGGGTGATCGGCGCTGCCGATGCGCAGAGTAAAGGGGAGCCCCGAGAGGAGTTATACAACGTACCTTTCTTGCACGGCAATTCTTGCATGCTTTCCGACCGGCTGGGCTGTTCCTGAACGTGGTGGGATGGTCCCCATTCGGGTTGACACGCCAGCTTCCAAACATGTTGGTTGGAACAGTTCATGTAACGGTGACTGCGTACCAAAGTGATTTGTCTCTCGTTACAGCAGCTGATCAGTCCCAACATCGTCAGTCCTATTATATTGGTCGGGACATGTGCGCCCTGTTGCCCACCACTACTACTCTTCCCTGATGTTAGCAAGGTCTATCCCACTCTTTGTGCATTGCACATACTTGATGCCTGCTGATGGCACCCCCGTCGGAAGGCTGGCCAACAGGGGGTCGGATTCGGGCAGCAAGTCAGCATCGGTCCCGGACTAAGCTCCGATGTGTACCTAATGCCGGAGGCCAGACTCAATCAAGTGTCGAATATGATAAATCGATGGTATAGATAAGCCATCGATACAGTAGGTGAGCTGCGGATGAAAGGCTCCCACCTACTATTGCCGCGCAGGCTATCCAGAGAAAGTTCAGTGCCTACTAATCCATGATCACCAAGATACCGGGGTGTCGAAGACTCCAATCAGCAAGCAACGCTTAAGATTTCGGGTAAAGGAAGGATCTTAAACATCAGCACCTTACCCAAGCGCATTATGTATGCAAGTGGCGTCCTGCCTGTGCGTCCTGGGACTTCTGAAGCAGCCAACCAAAGAGCAAAGTCTACCACCGATGTCATATGCGCGACACGCGGGTTCTTGTTGTGACGTTGTATTGCCACGACGCCTTCTGCAGCTAGCGTGTACTCAGGGCCGCTCCACGTACCGTTTGATTGGACCATCCCCGATTCAGAGAATGCCGACAAGACCTCGTATCAATTTCTGCCATGATCTTGCTGACCGGAATCTCACCTAAGACAAGACCTGCACATTCAGTCACAAAGACATCTTACTCGGAGTATCAATTTCGACAATACTCTATGCCATTTCTAAGTCTAGGCTACTCTAATAGCTGCGGCGAGGTAATAATGCCTTCACTGCCTACTCATCTACTTCCAAGTACCGAGGTGTTGTCTCGCTCCAGAGCTCATTTCCACTCATCTGATATTCCAATCCGCGGATGTAGTCCTTGACAGCCTGGCTACCGGTAGAAAGGCCCTCGCACATATCTTCATGTGTCATTTCCCACTCGCGCACCATATGCCACAGCACGCGTTTGGTGGCAGCCACGCTGAGGCCTGTCTCGGTTGCCACCACTTTGACAGCCGAACATAGATAGGAGCCTTCCTTATGGCCCGTTTTGGAAGCCTGTACCTCCTTCTCATAGCTCCAGATATCATTGACAATGGAGAGGTGCTTGGAGCAATTCTCCTCAAGCGGTTTGAGTGCTATCATCTCTTCCGGCGTCGGGTTGAGCTCCATTGAGAAACGCATAAGCGCCGACAGTAAGCTTCTCTTGTTAGAAAACGGCTACAATTGCAATAGAAGAATGACCTACGCTTTGCCTACATCCTTCTCTCGATACCGCAGGTACTCGCCTAGTTCCGTGATGCTTAACCTGATCTTGTCCGTCTGAGATCGCATGAAGACGAAGGTTGGCTCGAGCACTTGGTTAGCAAGCTCGAGGTCGTGAGCCCGCATACTCTCCCAGAGGTCATAAATTACGAATTCGGCAGGCACAGATCCTATTTCTCGGATTAGACTTCTCCCCTACTGGAGACCGCGCATGATGTTACTCACTGTCCGGTGTCGCATACTCCGGGCCCTTGGACAGCTCGATCAATCTGTTGTTCAGCTTCTCGCCATCGGCAAAGGACATATCCTCGAGAATATCTAGATGAGGTTGGTCAACGCGTTCTAGGATACGAATCATCAGATCTAGGACGTACCGTCGATCAGGAAAAGGACCGTAAGAAGACGGCAGGCAAAGTGGATCCTGTCGTCCTTGGCCAGAGGGAAGTATAAGCAAGTCACGCGGGGAAAGCCTGCCTTGAGGAATATAGTCCTAGCCCGTTCAGTAGGAAAGTTCCAATGTTGAAGGAAATATCCCTCAACCTCCCTGCCGACCTCCTCCGCTCGTGGATGGATCATAGGCTTCCATCGCGAGGCCGGGATCTTCCGCACTTCCTTCACGAAGTTCCCATTGGGCAGCTTTCCATTGAAAGGTGTGGCGGCTGTTCGAGTCTCGACTTGTACAGACATTGTGAATGGGTGCTGGAGTAGAAATGTTTACTGGAGTCGAGTAGTGAATCTGAATAGCGAAACAAAGTGTCAGTAGTAGACTATCACGCTATCTGATCGAGGGTCTGCCATCTTAACAACTCGTATGTCACCATCTCCACTTGATACGGATTAACAAAGACGGCAATACTCTTATCGTCAAATTATCAAAGAGGAAAACTAGCGAAACCGTAGGATTCACGTGTACTTGTTGATCTTGGTATCTAGGCAGCTTACGATATGCAGCTTGATAACGTCAGTGCCGGTGTGAGAAGAGGAATACCCGAATCCTTCATTACAATAGGAAAAACGCCGAGGAGGGCCAGAGCTTCACTCAGGTCCTCGAAAATCGGTCGCAGCCTGCTGCTCACGCGTCTTACGTACGTTCTCCCTACCAAACCAAAAAGGGCGCAAGTCCGCAGTGGGCTCCTCAAGCTCAGTATAGCTATTTCCAAGAGTAAGGATCACTCGCCCGTTCCAACGCTCACTTTTCCACATGTTATTATCATCATCCTTACCATACATCTGCACCCGCCTCTGCTGCTGGGCGACGGCGGAATAGACCAAGGCCCGGCCAACAAAGTGGGCATCGCTAACGGGTAGCCCCTGAGCTAGGATCGGGGCTGCGAGGTTGGCTGGAAGTAGACTAGTGATGGTTGCCGCAGGAGCAACCCCATTGATGGTGATACCGTCCCGGATAATCACAGATCGTAGCGCTCGAATCAGACCAACGAGCTGGCGAACCGTATCAGTCTATCTACAGCTTTATGGCGTACCTTTGCAGGACGCAGTGGAGATTACTTACTGCTAGTTTGCCACTGGAATATACCGGAAGAGATTGCTCTGGCGCATAACCCGACGCGCTGGTAGTGATGACAATGCTTCCAGGCGTATCTTTTTGCCTCCGCATCTGACTCCAGGCCAACTTCACCACGTTGTAGACGGCCCGTACGTTGATGTCGAGGACGCGATATTCTGGCTCGACAAGACGACCGTCACTATCCATCTGGTCGGCAAAGTAGTCCGTCTCTTCGGAAACGCCAGCGTTGGCAAAGACATAATCAACGTGACCGACGTCTTGAAACGCACTCCTTAGGTCCTCCCATCTCCCTACATTACAGTGCCGGAACTGCAAATTCGATACGTTCTCAGCTGGTGGATTGATGTCCAGCACATGGACTACTGCGCCTCGTTCCGCAAGCAACTTCGCAGCAGCCAAGCCAATGCCAGAGGAGCCCCCTATATTGGCAAAAATGTACCGTCAGCATATCTATTAGTCACGCTATGTTAATTTAGCTGGATTGGACTTTCTAACCCGTGATGATGGCAACTTTCCCTGTTTGCGACGGAATGTCGCTATCCTCGATACTGAGCGCTGCCATGGTATGGTGGAGAAATGTTACTGATTTTCTTTCCCCAAAAGATCACCAAGAATTTACTAAATCATTGGTCGTTATGCCCTCTTCGGTTTCCTTTCTACAAGAGAAATTTCTAATTTCTTGTTTTATTATATCGACAAATCCTCTCTGTCTCTTGGCTACAGTGAGCTGTGCTTTGCACAGTCGGGAATTTCCCAATCGAGCTTAGTTTACCCCTGAGACATAGCCTCATTCTCGCACTCTGCCATTACGCTCGACGCTCCACCTTTACCCAAAGCGGCGGCTTCTTCCACAAAGTAAGCATTCGCGAATCGCGGTGCCAATCGACGTGGTTATTCACGAGCTCCATGTCATACGTCCACAGCAGCTTGGCTAATACTGTCCGCAATTCCAGCCAGGCCAAACTATATACTTTGTTAGCGAGGTTGACACATAGGTTTTGCAAGGTGGACAGATGCTCACTTCCGGCCCAGACAACTTCGAGGTCCGAGGCTGAATGGCTGTGTTGCGGCAAGAATATCGCCCTGCACCTCGTCTTTCTCGGCTAGCCATCTCTCTGGCTTGAAGTCCATAGGGTCGCTGAAATATTGCGACCCCAAGCTGGCCGCCACCGGGTTCGTGCTCACAATGGTCTAGTCACACCGAGATCAGTTATATTGCAACCTTACTTCTAGGGTAACACTTACTCCGGCTGGTAGAAAATGGCCGTCTACTGTGTCGCCGCCGGCGGGGACAACTCGAGGTAGTGCAAAAGGGAGAGGTGGGTAGATTCTAAGGCCTTCGAGGATGACGGCCTTTAAGTACTTCAGGGGCGTAGTCGACACGGAGTTAATCCTGTCGTACGACTGAAAGCTGCTCCGCACTTCTTTTTGTAAGGTTTCCTTAATAGCTGGGTTTTTGAATAAGTAATAGAGGATACATGAAAGCGCCGTGGCCGTCGTCTCACTACCAGCAACGACGAAGTCGGAGGCGTGAGCTGCTAACTGCAGGTCCGACACCTTCTCGGGGTCTCGCTGTTCCAAAATGCGTGTCATGAAGTCCTTTCTTGCGTCTTCGTGGCGGACGATGCGTCTTTGTTTCTCGTCAGTTAAGAAACTCGGGTATGGTTCTCTGAGTGCTTGGTGCTTACTTGTTGACGAGCTCTATGGCCATATCTTCGTTGTGCCTGGTCTCCTCGGTCAACTTTGCGATCTTACTTGAGAACAGAGCCGTCAAGAGCTTGGACGCCATCGGAAAGCGGTTGAAAGTGTCTGCTAGTGCTCCTTGTCTTAGAGCACCCATTGCAATGTCAATCCAAGGATGAGGTCGATCTAATATAACGATTAGAAAGATAGAGAGGTTGTTGTATTCTCCTTTTTCTTTACTTACCACTGTCCACGCCACCAAATGTTTCTCCAAAAGCTAGGTCGCCGATGATGTCAAAGGTCATCATTTCAAGGCCTTTGCCCAAGTTGAATCCTCCCGACTGTGAACCTCGTTCGCCAACTACCTCAATGAACCTATCAACTGTCTTGGCAATCAAGACCTCTTGCTCCCTGAGAGATTGATCCGAAAAAGCGTGTGACAGATGCCGGCGCATTTGTCCATGTTCGTCTACATCACGTTCGCTCACGATAGAATGGACTCCACGGCTCGCAAAAGGCCCTCCCTGGTAGAATTCGCTCTTGACGAAGGTCTGATGGCCCTGACGGAAATTGTAGATGTCGTTCCATGACTGCGGCGAGTTGAAAGAGACTTCGTTGGGGGCGATTCTGACGACGGGTCCTAAGCATAGAACAAGATTAGCACGTCTTGGTTTGGTTAATTATACCATCCATGCTACCGGAAGTACGGGGCTGAGGAACTACTTCCAAGCACCATACATGGTATCTCGGCATGAATGTGTAGGTAGGTATATGAGCAGAACTTTCTCTCCATTCATACAGCAGGTACAAAACAAGCAAACAGACTTTACAAGCTCATATCGTATCTTTCAGCACTCGCTGCCTACACAGTCTCGTGAATTACCTACCGTATTTCTCATGCAAATCTAAAATCTTGTAAGGCATACGACCGCCGTGGAACCAGTAACTGTACGGAATCTGTTCGTGCGCCACCCTATTAGCTAAGAAGGAAGAAAACTACATGTCATCTTCATGATCATCAAGGTTGACTTACGTTGCTCCAGGCTGCTATTTTTGGCCCGGGCAAATTCGCAAGTGGGTGGAAGAATACATCGTAGATTGCCTCGATGACTTGGATCAAGATGAACTGGATTATGTAAGCACCAATTAGTCGGATTAATCATTCAGACGAAGAGAACTGTTGATGATAAGACGAAGATGTTAGTAGAAGGATCACGTACCGCAAACAGAAAAAGGCCCGTGAGAGCAGCCCACAGATCCGTGTTTCCGTGCATACCTTGAGGAGAGAGTGATAAGCTAGAATGGCTCGCCTATGAGAGCTGGTCAGTTCTACCAAGCTACGCCCCATGGTAATTCCACTGATAATATAGCTTCGTAAGTACTAGCTGATGGGTTTTAGCCTTGGACGCTTACGAAGGCCGAATCTCCGTTCCTCAGTATTTCCTATTCCAGTAATTCCCGCTCGCCTCCTGGAAATGCGCCTCTTTTTCCATCCCATGTGGCTGATGTTCTCGGCCTCTGAGCCGCGTGTCCGGTTCGATGTGTGAGCCCATAGGCCATCAGGGGTCAGGGGTCGTCGCCTTGAGAATCCCTGAACAACACGTGGTGGAATATTCTAAGGATCCTTCATGCTGTTCAGCTAGTGCTAAGTATAGACATGGCATTGTAATTTTATAATTAATTTCGACAGCTGATGATGCCGTAGCCGAGTCTTCTGGCACTATAAAGGATGCGTTAACGAAGGAGTCACGGTCTTTTTGAAATTCACACTCATCATCGCGCTGTCTTGCAACCAACTTCTGGACACATTTTAAAGAAAAAAAGGGAAAAAAAGAAGCGATGTTTAGCGACATGAAGGTTGCAGCGGCTCTGATGCCCCTTTTGCTAGGGTCATCCAGCGCAGCAGTTTTCCCACGCCAAGCCAACACTACTGCTGCCTGCGAGCAGCTCGCTGCCGCGTTCCCCAATCAGATGTATGCGCCTAATACGGCCAATTACACACTAAACGCTATAGGTGAGTGAAACTGGTCGATGATCGACAAGACATGCATACACGCGAGCAGCTGCGCTGACATGATTACTTAACCAGACAATATCTGGTCCATGACCTGCCAACTGGCCCCAAGCTGTGTCTTCACACCGACCACCGCGGAAGATGTATCCAAGGCAGTAGGTATCATCCATGATACCCAGGCGGTCTTCAGCGTCGTGAGCGGCGGCCATATGCCAGTCCCCGGGGCCCAGACCAATAACGGCGGCGTCGTGATCGCCATGGTTAGCATGAACACACTAGAGCTCAACGATGACCACTCTGTTGCGTCTATCGGCCCTGGCAACCGCTGGCAAGGCGTGTATGACTGGCTAGCAAACTACGGGCTCGCCGTCGCTGGTGGGCGTTACTCCAACGTTGGTGTCGGCGGTATCCTACTCGCCGGCGGTATAAGCTTCTTTGGTGACCATGTTGGTTGGGGTGTCAACACAATTGTCGGGTATCAAGTCGTCTTAGGCAACGGAACAATCATCGAAGTGAGCAATGGGTCGTATTCCGACCTGTCCTGGGCCCTCAAGGGCGGTGGGAATAACTATGGCATCGTTACCCGCTATGACATGAAGACATACCCTACGACGAGCGCCTATGGCGGTATCCTCATCTGGGAGGGTGAGGATACGTTGGCGGAGATGGCCGCAGCTGGGGACAACTTCTACCTTTCTCCCGAAGGATTAGCTTCTGCCCAAACACACATCAACCCAAGTTATACTGTCTCCCGACAGGACAACGGCACCATGCTGTGGCAGTCTGTTTTGGTAACACTTTCGAACGGTACTTTCGACGGGGAGCCATCGTCGCTGGTCAATTTTACCGCCATTGACGCACCTTCCGTCGGCTCTGTCCAACAGTTTGACAGCTGGGTCGACATCCCCAGTCTCGTCCAGGAGTACAACACCGCAGACGTAAACGGACACGGACAGCTGTTTGGCTGCCTAGCATCTACCATCACCACGAGAATCACCCAGCTCATGATCGACACGATCCTAAAGGCGGCTGTGGACGAGTTGAGCGACGTCAACGGCCTCTTCGTCGCGATCAGCCCCGAGCCGATTAGCACGAACTGGCTGCAGGCTGCGCAGGATGCGGGAGAATACGCCATCGACCTGGACCCCTCAGAAGGACTTCTTGGTATGTAAATCATGTTTTTTCCGTGCCCCTCTTCATCAATACCTACATACATACATACAGATTGCTAACATGCTCGGTAGTTCTCCTGATGACCGTGACGTGGGTTGACGCTGCCGACGATCAGAAGACCTTGGACTTCGTGAACAGCTCGCTTACCAAACTCAAGCAATCCTTGGAGGATGCTGGCACCTATCGCCAATTCATCTACATGGGCGACGCAGCCCCAGGACAGGAACCCTACTCCACCTATGGAAAGGGGGATGGAGCAAACGTGGACCGCCTGAACAGCGTGCAAGCTGCGTACGACCCCTTGGGAGTTTTCAAGAATCTGATCACCAGCGGGTTTAAGCTATAATGCAGCACAGCCGCGTAAACTTGTACTCTTTTGTTCTATGTATTATATTACCTACTGTTTAACCTGCTACTTACCTAGGTACCTAGGCTGTTATATTATATAGAGCTAGATCTTCATAAATCAGATTTACAAACTCGATAGAATTGATATATTCGATACATCTAGCTAGTGTGGTGAATAGTAGTAAAATGCAGGGAGCCGTGAGTGTTAAATAAAGTTCTCCATGTAACTGGATCTGAATATAGGGCTTCAACCACTGTAATTATGGTGGGCCAGGTGCTAAAATGTAGAAGGTGATGAACACAAATGAGTGTGGTATACTGCTGGATAATTCTGACTAAAGCCCCACTAAATTCAGGGAATCTCGGGTGCCTAGTAAGGAAGAAAGCCATGATGGATCCACTATTCTAAGACATCCAGGTGCTAATCACTGTTTTTAGCACCCGAAATATTAGTTGCCGTAGACGGCCAATAGAGCTGAAAACAGGGGATGAAGCAACACGACGATACTACCTAGGTACCTATTCATTTTAAATCACTACTATCATAGTACTATATTCCTACTATATAGAAATCACTCTGTTCTCGTCATTTGTTATTGCAGTCTTAAACTACTTATATCTATAGTAGCCTAGTTCAGTATGGCGGCCTCCATCACCTATTCTGCACCTGGGGTTCCTTATAGTTACCAGGGCGGTCATATTGGACGTCCATCGTCGAATTAGCATCAAGTCATGCAGTCTGCTCACTTTTCCTGGCGCTCTTCGAATAGCACGTGAACCGGCGCCTTCCACCACATAACATAGCACCGCGAAGCAGCCTCCCAATCAAGATTGGGATCCACCAACTTCATATCATATCTATAGAACACCTTGGCCAAACAGGAAGACATCTCCAGGTATGCAAAGCTGGAAAGGTGTTAATCATCAGCATCTTTGGTTGTCAGAGCTGAATTTGGTGGGACTTACTTGCGGCCGATGCAGGCTCGATAACCGAGTGAGAAAGGCTGACTAGCTTCTTTGATGTCGTTGCATTTACCGTCGAGCCATCGCTCCGGCTTAAAAGCCATGGGCTCGTGGAAGTTTTTGGGATCGTGAGTGACAGTCCACGCACTGGTGTACACTTCTGTCTGTGTACGAGTTAGCAAGTTCTTCCTCCTGCCATTCAGGGGAGGGCACATAGGTAGATACCCCCTTCGGCACCCAGAAGCCGTCGATCTCACAGCCGGGAGATACTCGCGGAAATCCCTGGGACCCGGGTGGGTGGATACGTAGGGACTCATTGATCACGGCCTGAAGGTATGGTAGCTGCAGCGCGGACGTTGCGTCGATGTCCTCGTACGAGGCATAACGACCACGGATCTCACTCTTCAACTTTTCGAGTGCTCTAGGTGTCTTGAGTAGGTAATACACAGCGGCGGCGAGACAGGTACCCGACGTCTCGCCACCAGCAATACTATACCGTGATATCAGCATCTTTTTCTTCTTTCTAGGCGAGCCTTGAGTAACGGCACTTACATGAGCGTGGAAGCGTGTGCGGTCATCTCCTCCTGCGATACCTCACCACTCCGGACCTTACTTACAATGTGTGTGAAGAAGTCCTGGCGTGGTGTGTCGGCGTCGAGCCGCTTCTGAACTTTCGCACGGCTATACATCGAGTGTTCTTCCCTCACAGCCGAAGTAAGCGATGGGAGCAGCCACTTTCCGAGAGTGGCCAGGACCTGTACGCGCCGTAGGTTATCTACCAGAGTCACTTCGAAGAGATGCTTCAAGATGAGGTCCATCCAGCTGTGGTGATGGTCTGTTGCATCACGTAAAATTAGTTAAACAGTACCAAGAAAAAAAGACACGCAGATCAAAGGAAATGCACGGATAGTGAGCATGAAGGAGATGCATTCTGAAATGTAATGGGGCCATGATTTGTAAAGAAAGAGACGAGTCGTACTTGATTCAACGCATCCAAAACTCTCCCCAAAGGCCATCTCCCCAAGGATGTCGAAAGAGATCATCTCCAACCACACGGCAACATCGAGTCCTTTTCCGTTGCTTTCTTTGCTTAAGGGACCGAGCTTGTCGACGAATCGGTCGAGGCAGGTCTGGACAATAGATTCCTGGGCGGCAAGAGCCTTCGGGGCAAACGCAGCCGTTAGGTTCTTCTTCTTGCGCGTGTGCACGGCTGGGTTGCGCTCGGAGCCGATACAGCCCGTCTTGTAGGCTCCCCCAAAGACGTCATAGAACTCGCCCTTGATGAGCTGCTCAGCGCCGGGAGGCGGGTAGCCGTAGATAGCTTTCCAAGACGTTGCCGAGGCGAAGGAGAGTTCGTTAGGTGAGACTCGGAAGACGGGGCCTTGCGGACGTTAGCATTATGTTCTAATTTGTACTTCTATTCTCCTTTTTCTGTTATTGCGAACCGTATTTCTGGTGCGTGTTCTGGATTACGCGATGCGACCGCCCGCGCATCGTATGCCAGAAGCGCCATAGCTATCTCGAAGTATCAGCATGGGTTTGCGTACACGCAAGTAGATGTTACCTACAAGCGACGCTCTGGCCCAAAAGGGCCCCGGAAATTTCGCCAAAGGGTGGAAGTGAAGATTATAGATGATATGTAGCACGGCCGCGGTGATGGCGAGGGCGAGGATCTCCCGCCAACCCACCCAAGCACTGATGTGCCCAAGACTTTCAGTGTCCAGCATCTGTCTTAGTCTTCCAACATAGACATCGCTGGAAATAGTTTTGATGAATCCATCTTTGAAGGAGTCCATGCTAGCTGAACTGGCCATTCTGACTTGCTTGAGGGACGTTCAGAATCCCTAAGGTATGTGGGGTGAGCTGAGGTATGGAATCGCTTAACGAACTTACCATGCCGCAAGGGAATAACTAATTTGTGTAATAGAAGTAATGGGAAATATGCATCCGAATCAGTTTAGCCACTGTGATAGTGCCGTGCAAGGATGGCGGCGCGCGTCTCGATGTAGTAATAACCGACCGACAGAAGATGGCCAGCAAAAACAAACTGCGGCTTATTCTACTAGAGGACAGGCTCATGTAATCACTATAAGGGCGCCTTATTTTGGCAGCGCCGCGGAACGGGATCTGGACAAGATGTGTCGGACTCATACATCCAATGGATTTGACTTACCTCATTCTCGTTGCGGCCATAGTAGGTGGCCAGTTGATTTACACTGGCGTTCGCTTCCTGCGCTACCGACAGGCAGCCCAGCGATCAGGCCTACCTTACACATGGTCGCTAGTACACGAACTCCAGGGACCAGCGTTCATAACTGACGCCATACTCCGATGGTGGTACCGTGATTATCTGGAGCAGGGTAAAGGCTGGCCGCGATGGGCTCGATTTATGATCAAGGACTGGCACTATGAAGATAGACGCCGGGCGACACTGGAATATGGTGATTGCTTCTTAGTCGTCACGCCCAACGGGCTGATCTGCTATATAAGCGAGCCCAACACGGCGTCACGGCTGGTCACGCGCCGGAAAGCGTTCATCAAACCTGCAGATAAGATGGGTCGGTCTCTCGTATTTCTTATTATCCTTTTATACACAAAAGCATATAGCCAGCGTTTACTTTCCTTCGACGCTGACTCTGCCTAGAAATTCTCGAGCCTTTCGGCCCGAACGTCGTATCGGTTGAGGGGGACCTCTGGAAATTCCATCTAGCCATCACACTACCACCCCTGGCGGCCGACTCGGTAGCGCGATTAGTATGGGACGAGACGGCACGGCAGGTCGACATGATGGTAGCGGCATGGAAACCTGAGGAGAGCAACAGTGAACGTATATATGCGCTGACCATGAACATCATGTCACTAGTAGGTTTTGGACGGCAAGCAGAATGGGGTGAAGGTAAATCGCCTGGCAGCGTCCCTGCCGGACACAAATTTTCTCTCGTCAGCGCTCTGACGGAAGTCATTATGCACCTGCCGCACATTCTGCTTCTTCCGCGCTGGCTATTGCGCTGGACGCCTTGGCCAATCGCCTATCATGCCGCTAATGAGGTTGAGAGCTACATCGACGAGTTTCTAGGCGAGGAGCGTGAGAAGCTTCAGCGCAACAGCAGCGAATCCTCCCGCGAGAACCTGCTTACCGCTGTCGTACGCTCTAACCTGGCTGCGGCAAAGAAGGTAGATGCGTCGGTAGGTCGGTCAATATTGACGGACGAGGAGATTAGGGGCAACGTTTTTATATTCCTAGTAGCCGGTAAGTATATTTGCACTCATAGGGCTGCTAGCCTGTCAGCGACTCTCTGTGCGTAGCTATACTAAAACATTCCAGGATATGACACGACTGCAAACACAGTCCAATTTAGCAGCTTGGTACTTGCCTTCCACCAGGACGTCCAGGAGCGCGTACTCCAAGAGATTGATGCCGTGTATGCCCAGGCGAAGAAGGAAGGTCGCTCCGAACTATCCTACGAGAATGACTTTCCGCGGTTTCGTTATCTTGTTGCTTTTATGGTAAGTCTGCACAAATATGACGAAATTCCTCTCTACTCCCTTGTTTTGCTAACGATAACTACGTACCTAGTATGAGGTAATGCGCGTGTTCCCCATTGTGCAAACCCTCGCCCGGGTTGCAGTTGGTGAGCAGGGAGTGCCAATGGACAAAGGTTCCGCTATCGTTCCCGCGGGAACTAGGCTAGTGGTGAACAACACGGCGATCCACTACGACCCGGCCATCTGGCCCAGTCCCGACGTGATCGAACCGCGCCGCTGGCTAGTCCAGGACCCGCACTTATTAGACCCGGCAAAGCCGCTAACAGCAACTCAAGAAGCCGAGATCCGCGAGGGTTCGGTTGCCATCCCAAGCAACCGGAAAGGTACTTTCTTGTCATTTGGAGAAGGCCCGCGTGCCTGCCTCGGTCGCAGCTTTGCGCGGGTTGAATTTGTGTCCCTCATTGCCCGGCTCCTTCGGCATCACCGACTCGAGCTCGCCGACAAGGATCCCGCCGCGGCTGCTCGCCATCTCAGAACTGCTCGCCTACGAAGCGGAGGCTCTCCTGTGACGCTCATCCCACCTGAGGATGTACCAATTCGTCTTGTCCCACGAGGAAATGTGTAAAAGGGAGAAATTCCAACATAGCAGTTCATCCCATACCCGGAAGAATAGACTTGATTTACCTGCCTAGGCTGTATGAAAGTGCGTGTTACTTCCGTGTATTACAGCTATCGGAAGAACGAAGGCTCAAACTAGATGTAGCTAGTATATTCATCTCAACGTTCCCTCAAGTCTCAAGCTTGTTCAGTCTTACTCAACAATAGTGGAGCAACATCTGAGCTACCTGTTGGCTTGACAAGGAGGTGGTGGTGCTTGCGATAATTGTTGTTGTTCTTGTTAAGTTGCTTCCGCCGGAGCTAGCTACACAATTAACCACTTTTGTGCCCGAACCAATCCACGTGACTCCCCTACGTAATCCATATTATGTAGGTAGGTACCTAGGTAGGTATATAAATTTGCGAGTTTCAATGATATAAAAATGGGATCTGTGTCATTTAATTCATCAAACCAAAAGCCTTATTTTCAGTCAATGTACACCATACGCAGCATCTCTTAAGATAATTGTAAATGCTTGCCTTCAAGCTAAGGTTGAGCCCTTGTTGTCCCTAGGCCTATAATCGCGTAATTTCCAAGCATCTATTGGTCGGAATAACCCACTGCAAATCCATGTTAAGGATTCACTATAGGTCCTTACATATATAGCGCCGTAAAGCGCCAAGTCCCCCGTAATTATAGAGCGTGTACGCCATGAAATGTACTGTATAACTAACGCTCAAAGGGATAAAGGGTTCATTCGAAGGGTACTAGTATAGGTATATAGCAGTTATAAGACAAAAGTGCAGTCAATTTCTCGTGGTCTTTTCATCATCACCTGCCAGCTAGTTCATCCACTTCTCCAGCTCCTTCTCCGTATACTCCCAAAGCTTCTGGCCAAACTTCTTCTCCTTGGCAATCGCAGCATCCTCCGAGGGAAAGACGCCGACCGGCTCATAGAAACCTCCCTGTTTGATTGAGTTCCGAGGAGCGCTAACGGCCCACAGATGGTTAAAGGTCCCCTCCTCCGGCGAGATCGTGCCCATCATCGAGACACGGACGAAAAGCCGGTCGGTAAACTTGAGATTATTCACCAGACCGGTCTCGACGGCGCCCGGGTGGACGCTGAAGCAAAGCAGCTTGGGATGGCGACGGGCCAGCTCGCGGGCGTACAGCATGTTGGCGAGCTTACTGTTGCCGTAGCGAATCCAGCGGCCCAGGACGGCCGACTCCTGCGTCGTCTTGAGATGGGGGAAGTCGAGGGTCCCGTTGCGCCAGCCCAGGCTCGTCGTGTAGATGACGCGCACGTCCGAGCCGGGCATATCGGCCGTCTGCTCGAGCAGCGGTAGCAGCTTCTTGGTCAGTAGGGCGTGGCCCATGTGGTTTGTGGCGAAATGCACCTCGTAGCCGTCGGTCGACAGACCTGCCGGCACGGCCATGATGCCGGCGTTGGCGAGGAATATGTCGAGACGCGAAGTTTCGGCGAGAATCTTGTCGGCGGCTTCCTTAACCGTCGCGAGGTTCGCCAGGTCGCATGCTACGAAAGTAGTAGAGACGTTAGGCGCGACCGCCTTGATGCGCTCTGTAGTCTTCTCGGCAGCTTTGACATTGCGGCCGGTGAAAAAGATGCGGCCGGGATTATGTTTTGCTAGCTCGACGACGATCTCGGCTCCAATACCGCCGGTCCCTGTGGAACCGTCGGTCAGTACAGGCGGGTGGGTGAATATAACACATGAAATAAAATAATAAAAAATAGCTTTACTTACCTCCCGTTACGAGAAGGACTCGTCCATCCAAGTCCGGAATGGTAGACTTGTCAAACTTTAGTCCAGGCATGTTTATCGTTCGTTGTTTTACTCGTTAGTTCGGTTGGGAGTTGATCGGGTTTATCCCGAATGCTAGATGGGGGAAAAGCAGGTAAACCTTGGAAAAGGGAACGAAGGTACCTGTCTAACACGGGGCCCGCGGACAGGCGGCCGAAAGACTATCCGTCTAACTCCGTCAGACCCCAAAGCTCGGAACGGAACCTAGCCATAAGGGGCAATTCCCGCACATGAGGTCCGTGCATGTAATGCTTCTCTACCTGCATGAAAGATGTTGATATATGTAATTATCTTCATGTACCTAGTAAATGGTCCTAAGGCGCGGATGAGGCGCGGTGCTTATTATCATCAGACGAGACAAGAAGCTACCGCCGGAATGAAGGAGTACAACTTCAGCTCGAACTTCCGCCGTATTTCAGGGGTTGGGTTGGTTTTCCATCGACTATCTTCCACCCCTCCATCGTGATCTCACTGTGTACCAACCAAAAATCCGATACAGACAATCGCAATGGATGGCAAAGAGGGAACGATCGTGGCCTTGAGCCCCCTGGATAACAGGATGATTCCATGCTGGGTCAAAATGTTATTTTATTTTAGCATGCCTGCGGAGGCTAAGGTGCCCGAGACGTACGATATCCTGCGTAAAGGTCTCAACATGGCTGTCGCGGACATGCCCATCTGTGGAGGCATCACGCGACCGCGACCTCAGGACCGACCCGGGTGGAAACCGAACCAGATCGAGGTTTACATTCCCAAAGACGTCGGTCAGGACGGCACGTACCCTCTCGACTTCAAAGACTTGACTAGCGAGATATCTTATGAAGAGCTACGAAAAGATGGTTTTCCAATGGAAGCAATCGATACCAAAGTTCTCATGACAAAATCTCTCAATGTTGACGAGGCTGCTGGTATCCAGACCACGGCGGCACAAGCCAATTTCGTCAAAGGCGGCTGCCTCCTTGGGCTAGCCATGTGGCACCATACCGTCGACCCATATGGTACGTACATCTTTGCTCGAAACTGGGCATCGCATTGTAGAAAGCTGCAAACCGAGCAAGGATGGGAAGAGAAATGGAAGCAAGGGCTCGCCGCAGAGAAGACTTCTCCTCAAGACGACAGAATGGCTCTGGAGAGACTTTGGCGTGAAGAGGGAGGCTCCGAGACGAGTGTAGCTTCTGACAGGCATTGGGATGTCGTGGGACTTTACCCTCCGAGCGCGAAAGATGCACCGAAGCTCGACGAGGTTATGGCCCGGGCCTATGCGAACATCGATCCGACAAAGAAGGTAGCATGTCGCATGTTCTCCGTGCCGGGTACATCTTTTCAGCAGCTGAAGCGTGACGCCATCGCGGGATCCGGTGACGCAGATATCACTGCCGACGACGCTATTCACGCACTCTTGTGGCGTTGTATTATGCGTGTACGTTATCCAGAGCCGGGAGACGAGCTGTCAGAATACCAGATCGCTTTCAATGGACGTCACAAGCTCGCCCAAGGCGGTTTAGACTCCTTCCTTGGTGACGTCTCTTACTTTGCCACGGCAGCGTTACCTCTGGCTGAGGTTACGGCGCCGTCGACTTCGGTCGGTCAGTTAGCGCAGATGCTACACAAAGCCATGGATTCTGTCTCACGGGAGGATCTTCTCGCGGGCTACGGAGTAGTGCACAATCTCCCTAGCTATGTGAACTTGCAGTATAACTTGGCCGGCATTGCCGGGCCTACCATGGTGATGGTCAACCATCGGCACGTCCCGCTAGCGGAACTGGATTTTGGGCCGGCGCTGGGCAGCCCCGACTGCGAACGCCCGCCAGGCGAAGAGTGGAACGACCTTTTCCGCCGTATTATCCAATTGCCCAACGCCTCGGGTGACGGTCTCGAGGTCTTGGTAACGCTCTTCGATGACGAGATGAAGAGACTGCAAGAAGATCAGGAGTTCATGAAATACGCTAAGCTCTGCTCTTATTAGTCTGATAACGCGTATATACCATGTCTGAATAGATAACCCTAACCCTGACATTGACCCTAACCCTAACCCTGAGCGTCGCACAAGGACATAACAATAAAATGCTGCAGCTACTAAGTGCGTATAGTAGGAAATCTGCCTGGCCTCTACTAGGTATTATGTACAATGCAAACCGTCTATATAGCTAGTGACTTTTTGCTCTATGTCATTAGGTATCCTTCATATCTAGTATAATTTTTTATGTCATTGTTTTGCGGTGCTCGTTAGTTCAGAAACAGATGTATAATAGGTTCCTACGTATGTACGCAACTTTCTAGGGTTTTATCCGCATGAGAATCTGGGCCCAACGAGCTGAATCACTTATTATTAGGTCAGCAGTACCCTCGGGTAATTCCTGAGTATGGTAATGTCCCCAAATGCATAAGTACTAGCGGGGAAAGACGGTGCCCTCAGACATAGATAGTTAGATACAATGTCGTTAACGTGTACAGACACCCACGAGTGAGGACATTTCCCCCAACGACAACCAAAGGATGGTAACGTGGCGCGCTTCGCCAATAGCTTGTTACAATGTCGGACACACGAAAATTCGAGCTCAGTGCGATGGACAACGTCATGCCCCGTTTCTTCATCAGTTTGATCTTCACATTCAGGCTGAAAGATGAGGCGACATACGAGCAGGTCCTCGATGCGCTGCGGAAGAGCTTAGTAAATGCGAGCGAAGAACTTCCTCTCTTGAGGCGGCGAGCTTTCGAAATACCAGTCTCAGATAGCAACAAGACGATTGGGCGTTTAGAGGCGCGCGAGCACGTCGACTGGACTCCCGAAGTGGGCAGCAACGACTTGTCGGCCGTATACCCCGACTATGACGAGCTGATGGACGAAGGACTCCCACAAGACATGATGGACGGCGAGTTAATACTACCACCGGGCCGGAAATCCATCGACCTCGAGGCCGGCACGCCGCTGTTCCTCGTGCAGGCCAACTACGTCGAAGGCGGGTTGATACTAGGCGTCTCCATGTTGCACTCGCTCGTCGACGGCACGAGCGCCGTTCTAGCAATCCGCACCTGGGCCAAACACATGAGAATCCAACAAGGGGAGGTTCCCCCCAAATTTTCCATCGCCGCCGAATGCTGCGACTACAAGAAGATAAACGACGTGTGGGAAGCAGCAGGCGCACCCGTAGCAAAAGGCACCCCCGAGGACTGGCGGCTTCTAGGCCTGCTCCCTCCCGGGGTTAGCGAGCCTCCGATAAAACCCGCGCCGCCCATGATAACGAGCATCTTCTACTTCTCAGCGAACGCGTTCGCACGCCTAGCAGCCGTAGCCACAGCCACTAACGACGAAAAGGGCGACGACACGCAAGAGCCCGCCACCGTGAACGACGCGCTCATGGCCCTCCTCTGGCGCTGCGTCATGCGCGCCCGCCAGACCGCAGCCCCGGACTCGCCATCCTACAGCTCCCCCGACGCCGTCGCCGAGCTGGATACCACTCTAGACGGGCGCGGCCTGCTCCGCGACAAGGTGCCGAGCCAGTACATGGGCACGATGGTGTACATCGTGACGACGCGGCTCCCGTTCGCGGAGCTCGTAGCGCCGTCGACGCCGCTGCGCTCCGTCCTGCGCGCGTTCCGGCGCGCCGTGAACAGCGTCACGGGCGAGCGCGCGCTCGAGGTGTACGGGCTAGCGGCCACGCGGCTGCCCAGCTACGCGGCGGGGGCGCTGAAGTGGCCCTTCGCGACGTTCGACGGCGCCGAGTCGTGTTTCAGCAGTTGGCTGACGCTGCCGATGCTGGATATCGCCTTCGGTGGTCGGCTCTTTGTCAACGGCGGCGTGCCCGATCATGTCCGGCCAGAGCGCCGGCTCCTAGATCTCGTTTGCCGGAACTGCAACGTCTTTCCGCTGAGAGCCGAAGGCGGGGCTGAGGTGCTCATTTCGTTGACTGCCGATGAGATGCCCCTGCTCGAGAGCGATCCCGAGTTTCTCGAGTATGCCCAGTTGTTGTGTCACTAGAAAGGCGACTATGGTGCATCAGGCTTTGGTAGGCACGATGACTCACTACCTAGCTATCCTATCATCTAGGTAGGTACCTAGGTAGATAGGTAGATAGTCGTCTCAAAGACTTAGACTATATATATATTAAAATAGAAGTAAAAATACGGCCAGGGGTAACGGAAGCTTAATCCAGATCTGTTATCAAAAGATACTAGTAGAGCGTTCTCCACTCTTATATTCAAATAACCACATACAGACCACATGTTAATATCCAGATTAAGTACATTTCATATTTCACTGGAAATGTCAGAGTGGATAATAAAGTTGAAGGCAATCTCAAGTCGCTCCTTCATGGATCAATGAGCCTCGTACTAACGAAGTCTTGCACACTGTATTAGCCCTAGGTTTGGAAGGCTCGGACCTACAGTGATAGCGATTTATCCGCTAAGCTCTAGTGGACAGCCACTATAGTTCAGAGAGCTTGGCCACTAAACCAAAGCGCCACACGGTACGAGCTTAATACAGATATACGGTCCTAGCCAACGAGTAGAAATGCAAAAATTTTGACCTGAACCTCCTTAATATATTTTACTTGCGATTCCATATATGTAAAGCCTAATGAAGAGCTCTCTGTAGGAACTCCTCAAAGCCCGTAAGCTTGAACTCCCTATTCGTCTTCTCCAGATCTATAAAATGTCCAAGCTCATTATGCATGACCTGGTGTTCGGCAACATGTCCTCCATACGGTCCCAGTAGCGACATTAGCTGCTTCGGGTTCATATAATCAACCTTCACCTGCGATCCCGAGACCTTACTCAACACTTCTGCAACCTCATCCAGCGTCAAAGCCTCAGCAGCTAACTCAATCACCCGCCCGCTGTACTTCTCAACATCCGCAACCGCAGCCGCGGCGACGACCCCAACCTCAGACCCATCCACCATCTCAACCCTAGTCTCCGGTTTCCACGCAACAGGCATGACCCTCTTATCAGCCAGCCCAGGGAACACGAAGTCCGAAATAGGCGGGAGGAAGTTCTGCATGAACCACGCCGGCCTTACGATGACCCAGTTTGCGATCCCGGACTCGCGGACCAGCGTCTCGAGCCGGCGTTTCGTGGTCCAATACTCATACTCAGAGTACTCGGGCCCAAACATAGGGTGCGCGAGGATGCGGTCCATGCTCGCCGAGCCCGTGTAGATGATAGTCGACACGGTATCGGACTGCCTAGCCGCTGCTATGATGTTGTTGGCGTGGCGCAGGTCCGTCTCTGACCCGAGCGTGTAGGTCGCGGTGAAGAAGACGGCGTCCACGGTGGCTGTGGCGCGTTGCAGAGATTCGACATCGTCGAAGTTGCCCTCAACGAGCGTGGCGCCGCTATCTTGTAGTTTCTGCGCTGATGTTGATGTTACGTCTCTGACGAGAGCGAACACGGCTTGTCCAGCCTTGAGACAGTGTTGGACTACCCCTGAGCCCTGGTTGCCGGTGGCGCCGCAGACGAGAATCTTTTTTTGCCTGGAACTCGTCGACATGCCTGCTGTTGACGTATAGACAAATTGTAGCCTGAGTCCAACAGCTAATGAAATGGAAGAAGGGGTTGTCTAGTAAAGGGGATTATTTGGTGATAGGAGTTTCGTTATACCAGACGTTGTGGCAACCAATCAAAGTACCTACTACCTGCGGTAACTGTAACGGTAGAACTTAGTGTATTTAGGGACGGAGGTCTCAGCTACATCGAATGCTTCCGGAAGAAGTTATTATGTTCGACAGCGGGAGTTATAAAGGACGGCCTGGCCACTCTAGGAAGATATGAGGAAGTCTATCGAGAGTTTACGCATTTATACACTTGTACTAATACCAACTTTCTACAGAACTTCAATAGAAAGGTCCTACGGCATCGCAGGAGTACGAATACTTCATAGAACTTTGAAGAGCGCTGAACAGTACGTGCTACCTACTAAGACAGTTTACCTAATAAGATGAGATGAGTTTGTCATTGACAACACATAACATGTAAGCTGCAAAAGTCCACTAGGACGCCTAATAGTCTTTCTTTTCAGCCCAGTGAAAGGCCGCCCCTCAAATTCATACTCAATCATAAGAAGGGCCTGAAAAGTTCGCAGTGTACCAACTGGGAGTTTTCCTTTAGCTTAGCGTTTATAACTCCCGTACCTGGAATAACTTATGGTGCGGCAGTTACCGAATCTGGAAATATAGCGAGTTGCGATAGCACGGCTTATGCCAAAATGAGCAATTTGCGGGTCAGGGGTCTTCCTACCACAAGGCGGTCCTTGGTCGGATTAGGTAATTCAGCGTAGCTGCTGACTGCAGCTGGGTCCAGGTAGCTGAGGCTGGTTGGCATCTAGATAGGATACCTATGCGATCGTGAGGTCCCACTATCGCAGAAGATAATTGAAGCTTTAGAGAATTTGCCGCGGGTACCATACATGATTTAGTACAAAGGATAGGATAATGTCTCGGAATTTAGTACTTTCCTGCTCTTATCCCGTAGGCCACAGGTTGCATTTTCACCCTGTACCTTGTCCTGCTCCTAAGATATAATAGGTATTAGCTCGCAAGATGGTGGGTGATAGCCATAGCTCCGTCAACGGCGTGAATGGGACGCATCATGACGGTAGCAATGGCACGACGACAGAGCCTAAGACAATGCCGCTGGCTATTGTCGGCATGGCCTGTCGTTTTGCTGGTAGTGCCACGAGCCCTGAAAAGCTCTGGGAGCTAGTCTCACATGGCCGGGACGCATGGTCTGAAATCCCGACCAGTCGGTTTAATCAGAAGGCCTTCTATCATCCTGATTCTAACAGGCTTTCCACAGTGAGTTAATTTCATGCCATCTCATACGTCCCTCACTGACAGTCTGCCTGTAGATGCATGTGAAAGGCGGCTATTTCTTGGAGGAAGATGTTGCCGCTTTCGATCTCTCCTTTTTTAACATGACTGCCGAAGCAGCTGCAGCAATGGATCCCCAGCTTCGAATGCAGCTAGAAATCGCATTCGAAGCCTTTGAGAGCGGTTTGTGACTCAATTCAACCGATCCTGCGTATAGCGCTGTGACGAAGAGAAACTGACGTCTTGCAGCTGGTATACCCCTGAGCAAGGTTATGGGCTCCAGGACATGTGTATTTACCGGGGCTTTTACCAGAGACTACGACGACGTGGCAAGTCGTGACCCCTTACACACGCCACGGTCCTTTGTCACGGGAAACTATGGCACGATGTTGGCCAACCGCGTTTCACACTTTTTCGACCTTAAGGGGCACAGCACATCCATCGATACAGCATGCTCGACATCGCTAATGGGGCTCCATCTCGCCTGCCAGAGCCTGCGTTCGGGAGACACAGATGCTGCCGTGGTCGGCGGCACGAGCCTCCATTTGAGCCCTGAGCCGTTTTCAGAATTATCTACAGTCGGGTAAGAAGCATTTCAAGAATTCCGGAGGCAGTAAATTTCAACTGGGGGGGGAAGGAACCTTGCTAATTAGTCCGGGTGCGGCGATTGCAGATTGTGTGGCCCAGACGGTAAGTGTTATGCCTTTGACCATCGGGCCCAGGGCTACGGCCGCGGCGAGGGTGTGGCGGCGCTAGTAGTAAAACGGCTTTCGGATGCCGTCCGGGACGGAGACCCGATCCGGGCCGTGATCCGCGAAACGAGAGCCAACCAAGACGGTAAAACGGCAACTATCACATCACCCGACGCCGAGGCCCAGCGGCGCCTCATAGAAGAGTGCTACGCCGCTGCTGGCTTAGATCCGCTCAACACGGATCTAGTGGAAGCGCACGGAACGGGCACCACGGTTGGTGACCCGCTCGAAGCCAAAGCTATCAGCCAGACACTCGGCCGTCATAGACCCCCCGGGAGGCGGCTACAAATAGCCTCGGTGAAGACAAATTTGGGCCATACAGAGGCCGCGTCAGGCCTAGCATCGGTAATCAAGATGGTCATGTCTTTCGAGCACAAGGCGATAGCTCCAAGCATAAACTTCGAAAAACCAAACCCCGATATTGACTTAGAAGGTCTGGGGCTTCAGGTATGATAACGCATTTAGTCCGGAGCAAGATCCGCTTGGTACTATATGCTAAGACCGCGCAGGTACCCACAAGTCTACAAGCCTGGTCATCTTCAGGTATCCGACGTGCCTCAGTAAATAACTTTGGCTTTGGCGGAACAAATACACATGTCATCTTAGAAGAGGCCGACGGGCTTCTCCACAAGCCGGCCACAAATGGCTTCGCTGTTCAACCCAAACGTCCCCGCAACCAACTGTTCGTGCTCAGCGCTCACCAGAAGGCGACTGCAAGCAGGATGGCCGCCGAACTACAGGAGTACCTCGAACAGCGACGTGACGTCTACGCTGACGATGCTTCGTTTGCAGATCTAGCATACACGCTCTGTGAGCGGCGGAGCCGCTTCTCATGGACCGTGACAGCCACTGCCAGCAGTCCAATAGACTTAATCACGGCTCTAGAGGCTCCGCCAATTCAAAATACGAGCATAGGTAAAAAGCCCCGGCTGGGGTTCGTTTTTAACGGTCAAGGAGCGCAGTGGTTCGGTATGGGTCGAGAGCTAGCCAGCGCGTATCCGGTGTATGCTCGAACGCTGAAAGAATGCGACGTCGTTCTACGTTCATTTGGTGCAAAGTGGTCTCTTCTTGGTGTGTTTTTTCCCTCCCTTTCTCCATTCCCGATGGTAGACACCTCTTTCTATGTAGCTTTGGCTCATTCAAAACAGAAGAACTTAGTCGCAGCGACACGACAACACGCGTTAACGATGTTGAATTCAGCATGCCCCTATCATGTGCCGTTCAATTGGCACTAGTGCGGCTCCTGATTGACTTTGGCTTCGAACCAACTGCTGTGACCGGCCATTCAAGTGGTGAGGTGGCTGCTGCCTTTGCCGCTGGCGCGTTGAGTCTTCGGGAGGCAATGGCATGCACTTATTTCCGTGGTCTTATCAATTCCGAGCACCTTGCCGAGGCCGACGATATCAGTGGTGGCATGATGGCCGTGGGTCTAGGCCCCCATGAGGTAAAGCCGTACCTCGACGGTGTTCAATCTGGCAAAGTCGTAGTGGCCTGTGTGAACAGCCAGTCCAGCGTGACCCTATCGGGTGACATAGCGGCGATTAAAGAACTTGAAGCACTGTTCAAGAAAGAGGGCACGTTCGCCCGAGCACTTCGAGTACAGGCTGCCTTCCATTCTCACCACATGTTACCTCTCGAGGAAGAATATCTCGCAGCCTTGAAGCAGCACATGAATATAAACCCGGACAAGAAGAGAGCTTTCGATGACGGTGTCTCCTTCGTGTCCCCTGTAACAGGAAAGCGGATCTACGACGCCGAAAGGCTCGGTCCGCAGCATTGGGTTCAAAACATGACGCAGCCTGTGCTATTTGCGAGCTCGTTTCACAATATGATTTCCGACGAGATAGAGGGACAGCAGCAGGTCGATATCGTCATTGAAGTCGGCCCGCATAGCGCCTTGGCTGGTCCAATCCGCCAGATCCTGAAGGGATCCCCATCTCTCAAAAGTCTGGCTGTGCCGTACGCATCTTGCCTTGAAAGAGGAAAAGACGCCGTACGTACAATACAAACTCTCGCAGGTTTTCTTGTCGAGAGAGGATATTCTGTAAGCACGGCACAAGTCAACTCACCGAACGGAGAGGGCGCATCTCACGTTGTTACCGGTCTTCCATCATATCCCTGGAATCATACGCAGAGATTCTGGTCCGAGTCGCGTATGTGCGTCGAGCACAGAGAACGTGAACATCCTCCACACGAATTGCTGGGTACACGATTACCAGGTACTAGCAACAAGTCTCCCATCTGGCGGCACGTCATCCGAGCCGAGGAAATGCCCTGGCTGAGAGAACACGTGGTACAGAACACCATGGTATATCCAGCTGCAGGTTATATCGCCATGGCCGTCGAGGCAATGCGCCAAGTACATGCATCAGAGCAGACCACTATCGCAGGGTACCAACTAAGCGAGGTAGAAATCGTTAAAGCGGTGGTTATTCCAGAGAGCTCAGAAGGAGTCGAGATACAGCTGTTTCTCGAGCCGACCAGCGAGAAGTCCTTGGACCAAGGTAAACGCCAATTCCGCATATACAGTGCTGGTGGAGAAGGCAGTTGGGACGAGATATCTAGAGGATTCATTTCCATTGAAACGAGCGAGTCAACTCAAAGCTCTCCTTTACTACCATCGACGGGCGATATAGACTTCCACGACGACTTGCCCCGCGAAATTAAGCCCGCGGAACTATACTCGACGCTTCATAAGGTCGGTATCGCACACGGACCGATCTTCCAGAATTTGCTCCATATTCGGGGAGGCAGCGACTGTTCTGCAGCCGAGTTCCAGGTGCTAGACACAGCAACCTTGATGCCGTATAGCTTCCAACCACCCCATGTAATCCATCCCGTCACTCTTGATCAAGTCTTCCAGGCCGCCTACACCACTCTTTCTCCCGAGGCCGGGGAGACGGTAGGCACAGCTGTGCCTCGCTCTATCAAGTCCTTGTACATCTCCGCGCAAACCAGCTCAGAGCCAGGAGATCATCTGAAGGCTTTCTCCCAGCTGAAACACCATAACCATCAGGGGTTTGAAGTGATATCGGCTGTCCTTCCCGCAGGCAAAAAAGGTGACATCTCACACGCACCGGTGATCGAATTGGACAGAATGCGGTTCCAGTCGGTGGGATACGGGGCTGAGAGCAAAAAGAGTACAAGACAGGTGCTCGCCGACGTTTGTGCCTTCATCGACTACGAACCTAGCTTTTCTCTCAACGACCCGGCCACCATGGTTGAGCGGCTACGGCTCCCAGTTAACGCGGAAGAAAAAGCCATCGGCAAAGATTTAGTACGCGCGACTTATTACCTTATATCTGACGCGGTCGCCCAGTTAACAGAAAACGACATACAAACCCTCGAGCCACACCATAAGAAGCTGTATGGCTGGATGCAGCAGCAGCTTGAAAAGGCCGCGTCCGACGAGCTAGCTCCAAAGAGCTCGAGGTGGGCCAAAGCCTCGGCCGGTGCCAAGGCGATGTTACTGGACCGAGTAGCTAAGACCGGACCGACCGGGGAGCTCACGGTTCGTGTAGGGCGCCATCTGGTCCAGATATTGCGGCGTGAAATCGCTCCGCTTGAGACGATGCTCGAGGGTGGATTGCTCTACAATTTCTACAAGGAGATGTTGCATTTTACTGCATCAACGTCTCAGCTAGCCGAGGTCGCAGCCATGTACGCCCGGGAGAACCCTAACGCTCGCATGCTCGAGATTGGTGCCGGCACCGGCGGTTGTACAGAACCCGTCCTACGCGCGCTAGGTGGCGACGGCAATGGACCGGCTCGGTTCGAACACTACGACTATACCGACATCTCGTCCGGTTTCTTCCAGGCGGCTCGCGAGCGCTTTGCCCTCTGGGGGCAGAGGATTAGCTATGCGCCGTTGAATGTCGAAGCAGATCCCATACCACAAGGGTTTGGCCAGAATAGCTACGACCTCATTATCGCAGCCCAAGTGTTGCACGCGACAAAAGACATACATGCAACAATGCGCAACGTACGGAAGCTATTGAAGGACGGCGGTCGGCTGCTGATGGTCGAGACTACTAAGGACTGGCCCGCTCAGCATCTCATATTCGGCACACTTCCCGGCTGGTGGTTGAGCAAGGAACCCGAACGAGCCATGAGCCCAAACATGTCCCTTGACATGTGGCAAGGTGTTCTGAAGAATACAGGCTTCAGCGGCCTAGACGCTGACGTGTGGGACTGCGAGGATGAGGAACACCAAGCGTCCAGCGTACTCCTCACTACGGCTGCGCGGCAGCAAGACCTTCCCGTTGTCAGCAATCATGACGTAGTCCTAGTTTATGATGCTGCTTCATGCACGGCTTCTCCCCCAGAGACATGGATTCGTGGTCTCGTGACAGATATTTCCAGTCTGACAGGGGAAACGATAACTCCAGTTATCGCGAAGATGGGAGAGGCCGACGTAACAAATAAGGTGTGCTTATTCGTGTCTGGACTCCAAGGTGCACCGTATACGATAGACGCGTCAAATTTTGATGCCATCAAATCTCTTATGACCTCCTCTAGGGGCATGCTGTGGGTTACGTATGGATCCACGATCGACTGTCTGGTGCCCGAAAATGCACTACCAGTAGGCCTCCTTCGTACCTTCAGGACCGAAGATGCTAGTCGCCGCCTCGTTTCCCTCGACCTAGATCCAGCCCGTGCGGCATGGGATACAGTATCGCACAACATCTTGGCTCGGGTATTTGCTGCTACTTTTGCATCCTCTAGTGACCCTCTTGATGTTGAGTTTTCCGAACGGGGTGGCGTAATTTTGGTACCGCGGATTGGACGCGATGGAAACGAGAGTTCGTCTTTTGCCGGCACGACGGGCAATCCCGAGATGCAACCATTCATGCAGCCCGAAGCCCGGCAGCTGAAGATGGAGGTCACTATTCCGGGTCAGCTAGATACTATGATATTTCGAGATGACGAGGAGGCTGGAATGTCGCTACCTGGCGACTGGTTAGAGATACAGCCATGTGCCTACGGACTCAACTTCCACGACATCATGACCGCCATGGGCCAGTTGGACGAAGCGCAGGAGCTAGGCCTCGAATGCGCCGGCGTTGTCACCCGCGCAGGATCTAGCGTGACCGATCTCAGCGCGGGCGACCGAGTCATGGCACTGACCCTGCATGGTCATTTTGCTTCTCGCGTACGAGTGCCCCGGACTAACGTCGTTCCCATACCTGACGACATGCCATTTCCGGAAGCAGCTGGCTTTGGCCTGGTGTTTGCAACGGCCTATTATGCCATGTTTGAAGCCGCAGGGCTAGAACCCGGCGAAACGGTGCTGGTCCACGCCGCAGCAGGAGGCGTCGGGCAGGCTTGCATTATGTTGGCACAGTGGAAAGGGGTCAACGTGTTAGCCACGGTAGGCACTCCCGAGAAAAGGGCTTTTCTCAAGGACACATACGGTATTTCTGATACCGATATCTTCTCTAGCCGGGACTCTTCCTTTGGCCCTGCGGTACTCGCAAGTACAGGTCGACGAGGAGTCGATGCTGTTATCAACTCGCTCGCCGGGCCACTACTACGAGTGAGCTGGGACATCTTAGCTTCCCACGGGCGCTTTGTCGAAATTGGTAAACGCGACATCCATCAAAACATGGCACTAGAGATGGGCATCTTCAAAAAGGCTGTCAGCTTTACCGCAGTTGATTTAGTACAACTCAGTGACCAACGCGGTCGCGTGGTCCAGCGGGTATTGACCGAAGTAATAGATTTGCTCAAGGCGAAAAAGGTTCGGAATATATCACCAATAACCACTTACCCTATGTCCAAGCTTGAGCAAGCGTTTCGAACGATGCAGGCTGGGAAACACATTGGGAAGCTGGTTGTGGTACCCGAGGCTAGGGATATGGTGAAGGTAAGTTCTATAATTTAAGGCTTCGTGTGTATGGCTTGCTAAACTCCTCTTTTACAGACTTTGCCAGTCCGTAACACAGCCAGGCTCAATCCGGATGCCACGTACATCGTTATCGGAGGGTTAGGCGGCCTAGGACGGTCTATTGCGCGATGGTTAGTCAACGTTGATGCGAAGAATATTCTTCTTCTCTCTCGTCACGCCAGTTCAAGCCCTCATGCGCAAGCGTTGCAAGCGGAACTAGCCCCTTTGGGAGCCATAGTAAGAACACGCGATTGCGATGTGAGCGACTTAGCCAATCTTCAAGATGTGCTGGCTGAGTGTGGGAAGACAATGCCTCCCGTGCGTGGTGTTGTGCATGGTGGTATGGTGCTCGACGATTCCATCTTGGAGCGAATGACAGCAGCCCAGTGGCAGGTGGCCCTGGGCCCGAAGGTGACGGGAACGCGAAATATCGATACACTATTCTCGAACCCGACATCTCTAGACTTCTTCATCAATCTCTCTTCATTCGTGGGCGTTACCGGCAATCCGAGTCAAGGTAACTACGGAGCTGGTGGTGCTTTTCAAGACGCCATCGCCCGAAGGAGGGCAGCTCGCGGCCTCCCGTGTGTGACGATTGACCTAGGGCCTGTCAAGAGTGTAGGTTTCGTGGCCGAAGATAAATCGGTTGCCGATAGGCTTCTTGGTTCTGGTCATTTCCGGCCGCTGGAGGAGACTGATCTCTGGCAGTTGATGGACTACGCTGTGCGCGTGCCTGTACGTTCAGTCCGCACAGCTCAGGTCATTGCAGGAATTGCTGGTAGCGCCGTTAGGAATCAAAACACAACTGCTCCCTGGACACGAGAGTTGCGATTCGCCAAACTAGCCAGTGATGACGAGGAGCTCAATGGTAGTAGTCTTGCGGAAACCTCTGATCCAACGAAGGCCCGGGGTTCGGCAGCGGCCAATCTAAAGCAGCGCCTCGCAGGCACCCAGAGCACCGAAGAGGTGGCAGAGCTCATCGAGCAGGCCGTAATAAACAAGGTAGCTGACATGTTTGTGGTGCCCGAGGAAGACATTGAAGCGACTCAACCGTTATCCAAGTACGGCGTTGACTCGCTGGTCGCCGTTGAGCTCCGGAACTGGCTGGTCCCTGCCACGCAGTGTGAGATATCCATCTTTGATCTGTTAGGTGCCAAGTCCCTGCGAGACCTAGCGCAGAACATCGCTAGAATAAGTCAAGCAGCTCCTGTATCGTAGATTTTCATAGAAGAGAGATCCTGAATTATATGTATTGAATAATGCCATTCTTATATCTTTAAATCTTTAATCTCAAGGAATTGATGTCTCATAAGCATTATTTATATGTAATAGGTGAATATCACAACTTCGAAGGAACACTTGTGATTGCATTCCAGTTGTATTGACATGCGCTTGCCAAGCGCAAAACTACAGCACAAGAATGTGCTAGAGCTCGATGCCATCGTAGTATCCTTTGAGAGAAACTGCTGCGTCCTCTGTCGTGCTGCGTCCAGAGGTATTTGCAACAAGGAATAGGTATGCATATAGTTGAGGAGGATGAAGAAGTATATTATACGAGGAGCGGGGCTGGTCAACTTTGATATACGGAGAATAGTATCACCGATGTATCTTTCGGCCGTAGTAGAATGAATCCGAATGATGCAACAAACGAAGAGACTATGAAGTCATAAAATTAGCACAATACATGCCAGGTAGGTATAGGAAGAAATTGGAATCCAATACAAGCTTAGAAACCTTGAAACTCTCGAATGAATAGGTAAGCGGAATATGAAGATGTCATGACAACAACAAGAAACAAGTGGACCCCTACCTAACCAGACCCCTGTATGAAGTGTATAAACTCATCAGCCAATGAGAAGTCCATAAGGCGCAAACGATTTCCACAATAGGAAATCAATGAACAACTAACGAAAAGGAGGAATCCTCAATCTTTGAGCTTATAAGGGTGACATGTTAACACCAAGAAAGCATTAGTATTGTGCCAGAATAGCTTTTGAATTGACGGCGAATTCAAATCTCCCACCTCTGGGAAAGACTAGGTACATTTGTCTAATCGAATCGAATCTTATAAATCCATCAGTAGCTCCTCTATTAAAAAAAATTGAGCATTTCAGGGTTAAAATAATTGAAAATGACTATCAGCAGTACATAAGCGAATGAATGTCTATACACCTATACCATTTGTCTGTTCATGCCAAACCGCTAAGACATTTTCCAACATTCCATCCCAACGATCAATCATAAGCGGCATAAATATGTTGTGGGGCTACTTGACCTGGTGTAACAATATCCGATCTACTCCGCCACCACCATCTACTTATTCCGGCTAGACCTTTTCCTTCTATATAACTTAGCTAAGCTTGTCGCTGGCCCAACTCGATGTCCTCGCTTTCGCTTGTTTCTTTCCAGCATTTCTCGAGAAACTGCCAACCTCCCAGGACGGCGAACATCAGGCTAGCCATAATGGCCAAATTGGTGATCCGGTACCCCGACGGCCACAATGAATAGAGCAAGAGGGAGACAAGAGACATGAGGACCCCCATCGAAAGGAGAAGGTAGTAGAAGGAGGCTATCTTCTGTCGAAGAGGAGTCGATCTATCTTTAGTCGACACAATGCTAAATAGTAGAGGCGATAGCATCGATGCTACAACCTGAGCTACCATGATTGGGTAGCCGTCATCACCAAATGATGAAAGAGCGTCTCTTGAGCGATTAGGCGTTAAGTTGACCGAGAACGTAGTAGCAATGCCCATAAGATGACTGAAGATGACGACAACAAAACGGACTGCTGCCCTCGTGTCTGATACCGAGCGTAGGCGCACCAAGCAAACTACAGCTGTTTTGCGGAGATATGTCGTAAGGACTAAATTAGAACTCCATCCCCAAATCGAAGTAGCTGATTCATCGGTGAAATCTGGTGAATAAAGGGCCTGGTCCACGACTATCTCATTGGAATTCTCAACAACTCCAGCACCTACGTGTGTCCCTGGAGACTCACAAAGGCATGCAGCCCCATTTCCGTCAGGGTGGATAAGAAAGTGAGTCATTAAAACCCTTTGACTTGGTACGAATGGGTTATGGAATCACGTGTTTGGCGAATAATGTAGACTGGTCGTTTATGTATAACGTAGAATGTGAATAGTTCAATATCAGGTAGATATTGAAAAAGATGTTTGTTTTGTCTGTAATGGATGTGGATATGACTAGTAGTGTTAGACGAGGATTTGGTACAAGGTGGAGTTTCCAGGAAGTTTTATATACACCCAGTCGGCTTGACCTGACGACCGCCTGACCGAGCCAAAATCGAATTTCTGCCCCTTGGTCTGCGTCTCACTGTGGTTGAAACTATCCCCTATTCGGCGGTGACAGGTAGGCTCCGCATTGTAACTATAATATATATGTAGAGAAGGCATGGCTTGGCGATGACGGAACGCTTGGCTAGACGATGATTGGGTGATAAAGTGAAAGCTCATTGGGCGATACTTGGATGATCTGGATGATGAAGAGCAAGTGAATCACAGACCAATCAGCGTTGAAAGCATCTCTGCATGTTGATGAAATCGCAGTGAGGCGAAGTATTCACGGGAAATGTATCTTAACCTAGTATGCAGCCCCAGCTCATCGACTACGAACCCTTACTGCCCGAAAATACGCATGCTTATCCAGGCTGCTAGGTAAAATAGGTCCATAGACCCAGCCTATCGACTTAGAAGCTAGCTAGGCGTTCTGCTCTCCATCACCTCCGTCTCTTCCCCCCTCCCCCAGCGTCATCTACGCCACCCTTCCTCTTCCGCCCCTCTTTCCGCCAGAATTCCTGTTTCTCCCTCCTCTCCCTAGCCTCCTTCTTCTCGCCCATCTCCTCCATCTTCTTCTTGAACTCGGCGCGCTTCTCGTCCTTCTTGGCCTTGCGGCGCGCCTCCGCGTCCTTCCGGATCGTCGTTAGCTTCTGGAGCAGGTCGCGGGCCTTCTTCTCCTCGCCGCCGAGCACCACGGCCCGCTTCTGCATGTACGTCTTCTTCTTCTGCGGCTTCGTCTGCACGATCTGCGACTTGAAGGGTAGTTCCGCCGCTAGTGCGCGGGGCACCTTCAGCGGGTTGAAGTGCCGTGTCGCCCGCTCGATTTGTCGGTACTTGCTGTTGCGGTCCTGCGGCGTCGGGATTCCCTGGTCACGTCGGACTTCGCCCGTCAGTCGCATCGGCTGCCAGTCTCCCAGGAGGTTGGTCACCGGGTTATAGAAGCGGTGCGGCTTAATGGGGTACCACGCGCGGAGGAACACCAGATCGCTAATCAGGATCTTGTCTTCGAAGGTAGCTCGGAAGTGACCGTCGGGTTTAGATAGAGCACGTTTGATTTGACCACGGATGCCGGAAACGGTCTTGATTGCTGCGCCTTCAAATTTGGCGATCTCGAGCGAACTATTAAACATGTCCTTAATGAAAGCCGTGTTCTTAAAGATTTTATATGGCGCTCCGGTAAGTTTGAGTTTCTTGACAATCTCGGTCGACTCGTCGACAGCTAAAACGGTTCCCGTTGCGGCGATCCGGAAGCCCGGGTTGGCGGATGAAAAGGATTGGAAACAGACGAAACCAGTATTCGGCGCGATGAGAGGACCATGGAACGTACCAAAGCAGTGCATATGCTCCGGTGTATACTTTAACATACGATTTCTCGTACGCGAATCCGAAATGCTGTAAATCGGGAGCGCCTGAAATCTCCTCCACCCAAGAGAAAATATAAGAGGGTCGTTTGTTTTGAGGATCTTCTTGTGCCAACGATGCCTCTTGATACGGACTTGGACAAATCCAAATCTATCCTCCGTTGCAAGAACGCCTCCTACGATGAGGGGCATCCGTGCATCGAAGTTTGTGACGAATTCGGCAGGAACCTTTTCGACCACAATTTTTGCGTATTTTCCAGCTTTGAAGCCTTCGACTGCGGCTCTTTGCCGTTCGTCCAAAGCTTCAAATTCAGCATTGTTGATATCAAGTTGTTTTTGAATGAGTGCCTTTTGTGCATCGTACCATTCATCCTCGCCGAACTCCTCGTCTTCACCACCTTCGCGTCTAGCATTAGCTTTATCATTCTTAAAGCCCTCGCGATCTTCCTCTTCAAATCGGAGCTTCAACTCCTCTTTTCTTCGAGCGTTCTTCTCACGCTCCGCTTCTAGGCTTTCTGCTGGCTCGGGTTCAGCCTTATGCTGTTCCCCTGTTTCAAGGTCTTCAAATTCGCCGTCTCCCTCATCGTCTTCATCCTCATCCTCATCCTCATCCTCATCAAATCCGTCAAACCCGTCTTCATCGTCGCCTCCGCCCAAAGTAGCCGTCGTAAAGCGCTGGCGAAGTTGTTCAATGTTGTCGTCCAACGACCATTTTGTTGCTAGGTCCTCATAATCGTATACGGGTATAGCGCGGTCTTCCGATGCTGCATCCTCATCGTTTTTCGCCTTCCTGAAGAAATCTTCATCTTCAGAATCTTCAATATTTTCTTCCGAGTCATCCGCTTCGACCTCTCCTTTCCATCTCCGTAAAACTTCGTCCGCTGTTAAGGCTTCATCATACATGAGCCGCGCAAGATCTGCTGTCCTGTAAGATGGCCGGCCACCGTGAAGCATCTGTGCCTTTCCAGCTAGGTCATCTTTCCATCGGAGGGCAGACGCCTCTTCGTCATCGTAGTCATCTTCATCCCCATCATCTTCATCATCGTCGTCATCGTCGTCGTCTATCTCATCACCTGATATAGAGCCTAAGTCCGAGTCGCTGTCGGCAAATGCGATATCTTCTTCTCCGCCATCCTCGTTTGATTCCTTAAACACCTTTCCCAGTTTTTTCTCACTAAACTCGGCTTCCTCGTCGGAGTTAAATTCCTCTTCTGCGCTCACAAAGCCTTCGTCTTCAGGGACCTCATTTTCGTTTTCATCCTCGTCCCTTTCGGCGAATCTCACGGTACGTTGATTTTTCCTTCCGGTATCCTCTTCCTCGGGAATACTCGTTATCTTCTCACCGCCACGGAAGAGCTGTAGGCCATCCTCTGTTTGACCTAGTAGCCGTCGTTCTCCTTGAAGCCCGATGATAAGCTCCTCACCTTCTCCACGCTCAACATATTCGGCATCCTTGTCGAAGTTAAAACCCTTCTCCCTGGTAATCCAGATGGCGTCACCATCAATTTTTAGACCGCTCCGGTCTGACATAGGAGCATGGACTTTCTTTTCCTTTTCATCTAATCTCCTTCTGCCCGTTTTACCAGTTGCTTTCGCAAGAGCCTGTTCCATAGCGGGCGTCGGGCATGGATCAGGAAGAGCCTCTATGCCTGATACAGCGAAGTCGCCAAGACCAGGAATATGGATACGCTGGTTATGGCCTGAGAAATTTGTTCCTCGAAGATAACCTGAGAGTGCGATTGTCCGATCGCATTTCTCATCCTCCTCTATCTGGGTTGGATGCGTAATATCTCGGAAACTGTCGATAATCGTGTAAGGATGCGAATTCCTCCAGATTAATGGCCGAGGATTTTTCATGACTGAAAGGAAACGAGACAAATTATGAACTTCGCGGTCCGGATACCTCCCATTGATAACTCCAGAGAGGAAAAATAGATGTGCGCCTTGGTACAACTCGCTCCATAACCTATGTTTCAATCTCTTTTTGGCATCCTTGAGAGCTTGTGGTTTTTTGAAGAGATCCAGATGTGACAAGATGCCAAAGACATTTCCAGGCATACCCGTAGCAGCTAGAATATTTAAGAACTCCATAGTCTCCATCTCAAAGCCGTAGTTTCCATCAATCATCAGTAAAACAATATCAGCAACCTTCGCCAAATCAACCATCGCTTCCAGTTTATTCGGGCATTCGACGAAGGTTAGCCGTTGCTTTTTTGACGTGACTATTGTTATCGGTCCTTGGGGGTCCGTAATTGTCTCCTTTGTGTATCTGCGAATGAGCGACTTTAGCAATGTAGTCTTCCCAACGCCGGGCGGTCCGACGATGGTCACGAGTCTAGGTGGAGGTTCATCAGGCAGTCTGTCGACGAGAGGGACGTGTAGCCGCTTTTCTTTGACCTGAAATGATAACATTAGCATACCCCAGGATTTGAATATGCATCCGGATTGAACATACATCGTGCGACCTAGCGGCAGTGCGTTGAAGCTTGCCGGGCCTCGAGAAAGCGAAGGCTTTAGGATTGCGATCTGAAGTCGTCAGTAACGTTATCATATATAATAAGATAAAAAGACTCTACCGACCGCCATTATGCTGCTTCTTCTCTTTTGATTTACGGTGAGGCTTATGCGTCTGTTGCTCCATGATTGCGATTTTGCAATGGAGAATGCGACAGTCAATTTATCGAAGCTGTTGCGATAACTTTATGTTCTTACTTCAATGGAAGGCGGAAAAAATGCTTTGGTTTCTTTGAATAAATCTTTATCGATAAGGATGCGATAAGATAAGCTAGCGCACACTACTTCGTGCACCGTGAACCTTCCTAAGTGGGTAGTATATGTGGGTTCTAACCTTAGTCCGACGCCGAGATCAAGTGGGGCAGGCAGATTCCACCGTTCGGTCCCTGAGATCGTCTGCCGGCAGGTTATCGGCGGCTTTAAATGGTTTAATGTTCCAAGCAGTTTCGGCATAATTTAATATCTTGGGCATCGAAGGAATGAGGTACAGCTCGGTCTATTGACTATAATGCATCCATACCAACTATCGATGAAAGAGACACCAATCTTGCTTGCCTCATAGGTCTAATATCTCCTCATGTTGGACAGCTTCAGGGTCATAAGAGCACCTCTTAACATCCATATGCCCAGTCGATCAATGACACTTGAAAGTGGTGACGAATAGATTCAGCTGTCGTTTTGCATGCATGAACTATCGTGTGAGTTAAACCCAGTTCGGAGTTCTGCTGAAATGGGAAACCTGTCAGACGTGTACTTGATCTTTAAATGCTTCCCCAAGGCGCTAAGTAAGTACATAGTGAATACCTGATACATGTAATCGACCTGATAACCGGACGGGAAGTTTGTGTTTAAAGTCAGGCCGTGATGACGTATTCGCTCTTCCACCAGTCCGGCTGTGCTATCCCACTTTCCTTACTCTTATTGATGTTAGAACGCCTTGTGATACGCAGTTCAGGCACTACCACTTTGTACTTTTAACTAGACCAATCTTATTAAACTGGCATGCGCTCTCCTCCAGCTATTTCTACCATCCATCAAACCCAACGTTTAATCTCTCAACATCACAAACTCCCATTCTCTTCTTCGTTGTATTGCCTCGCAAGCAGAGACTCTACTAGACTATCAACTAAACGTCTATTCCACACAACCGCCTCTTTCAAGATGCCTACCTACATTGTAATCCTACCTCTACTTCCCCTATATCATCATAGATGACGAGTCGTATGAATAATGTTGCTCATTGCCTAATAGGTTACCTGCAAGTCAGATGCCAGCCCCGAGCAGGTTGCTGCAGCGAAGAAGCACGCTCAGGATCAAGGCGGCAAGATTGGTCACGAATATAATCTTATCAAGGGCTTCTCGTATGTAATCCCCCACGATCGTATCCGTCTTAAATGCATATTGACTTACCTTTTCCTTTTACCTAGCGTTACATTCCCTAACGATGCTGTCACTACGTTGGAGTCCCACGAGCATGTCCAGGGCGTCGAGCTCGACCAAGAAGTGAAAACTCAATGATGGGTAACACAATAAGGACTCAGGGATGAGGGGCAATTGGGCAACAGAACATGGTACGAGCAAGCGCGTATTCGATGCGGGGTCCTTGGAGCAGTCCAAGGTCAAGAGAGCTTGACCTGACTTTGCTTATGCAACAATAGAGAATAATAGATGCCCAATCTAATTAGATTTCGTAACAATTATTTCTAATATGTATGCAATGCAATAATTGAAGTGTATAGTAAAGATCAGTCATTGGAAAGAGCTCTCTAAATACATAGTAAAGGGGGGAATATACTTAAGCATTTACTCCCTAGACTCCCTGGCTCCTCGCTAGACGACAAAGGTAAGATCGGCAGCCACACTAAGATAACTGACCCTTATCAATTCAATTTTCAGCACTGACGTCGATGTTTCCGGGGTTTGGCTCGTGACTCCAACACATCCAAAATCATCAATTTTCTCTTTCTCAATTCCACCCTCGCTTATGACTCTAACTGCTCCAACATCTCCAACATACGACCGTCCCCCTTTACCATTTACCTCTTTACACCACACGATGCCGCCATGAGGAATATACTCGGGCGGCTACGGTGTTTACACACACCCAATGCCTCGATTATAAGACGCAATGTTCTAAGACCGTGTTACTACTCATCACATGCCACCACCAACTCCTCGTCTTCATCGTCCCACCAGAAATGGTCCCACCCGCCGAGCACCGCGACGGTGGCTGATGACGAGATATCCGAGCTTACCAACAAGCATCAACATCCTTTGAGCCTCGCTGATCTGGTTAAGTAGGTCACTTCTATTCACCGCTACTAGCTGTAGCACTGCGAGAGGGACTACACATGTAACCATTGGAAGCGTCGATTCTTAAGCTCGATTATATATTAACAAACCCTCAATTTACCAGACATGGCCGTCCCCCAATCTCCGAAGAAGCCCTCTTCTCCTCGGCCAACTTCACCCTCTCGCTCCTCCCCATCCGACTCGCCCACCGGATCCAGGCGCTGCGCAACCTTCCCTTCATCGTAGTGTCGAACCCGAACATCAGCAAGATCTACCACAACTACCTGCATTCTCTCTCGACCCTCCTCCCCTGGAAGCACCGCACCATCGCCAACCTCGACGCCGAGATCCGCTTCACCCAGATCCTCGCCGATCTCGTGCACACGCACCAGGACACCATCCCAATTCTCGCCAAGGGCTTCCTCGAGTGCCGCCGTTACATCTCTCCCGCCGAGGTGACTCACTTCCTCGACACACACCTGCGCACTCGCATCGGCACGCGTCTGATCGCCGAGCAGCACATCGCCCTGCACTACAGCTCTCTCCCGCACTTCGATCCGGGCGCCTCTCCGACACCTTGTCCCGAACACCCGTCCTACATCGGAGTAATCGACACCGCGCTCTCTCCCTCCGAAGTAGTAGACTCGTGCGCGGGCTTCGTAGCCGACATCTGCGAGCTGAAGTACGGGGTACGCCCGCACTGGGTCATCGACGGCGAGCCCGAAACGACATTCGCCTTCGTGCCCATGCACCTGGAGTACATCGTGACCGAGCTCCTAAAAAACGCGTTCCGCGCCACCGTCGAGAACGGGCGCAACCGGGAACCCGTCGTGATAACCATCGCGCCGGAGCCGCCGGACGCGGGCCCGCCGCGCGTGACCCTCGACCCGCCGGCCGGCGACAAGGGCGCCTTCAGGGGCGACGCCATCAAGCCGCTCGACGACAACGCGCCGGGCGTCACGATCCGCATCCGCGACCGCGGCGGCGGCATCGCGCCCGAGGTCCTGCCCAACATCTGGAGCTACAGCTTCACCACCTTCAGCGAGGAGGACGAGGTGCCCTCCGGTGGCGGCAGCAGCAACAAGGACGCGCTCAGCGTCATATCGGCGGCCGGTGGAGGCGGCAGCTCCATCGCCGGTTTGGGTTACGGGCTGCCGCTTAGCCGCGCCTACGCCGAGTACTTCGGCGGCGGCATCGCCGTGCAGAGCTTGTATGGTTGGGGCACCGATGTGTATCTTCGGCTCAAGGGCGTGGGGAAGATCGACGATACGATTAGCGTGTAGGCGTTTAGGTACCTAGTTTATGCCGGAATATGGATAAGTTTCCCGGGTGCTAAAGGGTTTGAGAGAGAGAGAGAGAGAGAGAGAGAGAGAGAGAGAGAGAGAGAGAGAGAGAGATTCGGGCTTCGTGATTTGCAAAGTCTTTAAGTACCTTGGCGGAGAGTTGGGCGTATTTGTAGAGTACCTACGATTAGGTAGGTATGCAGACTATTCGGGTTGTATATAGAATACAGGTTAAAGTTATCATTGATTGCTACGTATTTGACGGACCTGAAATGAATCTATTTTTAACTTGGACAATGAGTGGGTGTCCGTATTAAGAAGTTATCGACCTCGGTGGATAGGTTGGTAGATATATGAGTATATATAGGTGAGTGTAGGTAGGCGCCTATCCGGACTTCCGGTGGCAGAAGCCGCATTTCATCTCCTGTGTTACGAGAAAAAAACAGTAATCAGTATTTTTTGATCGGGGAAACAACCTCGATTCTTAATTGGCCGTCACTCCTTCCTATAATGGTATCATGCAAAAAACTAATAACAGCAGACAGAAGTCACGGGCTTGTGGACTCGAGAGCCGCAAGAAACGAGTTACCTACCATTTACTGCCTCATCGATCAATACATACACGACAAGCCAAATACGCACATTTCGCCATAAGGAATATCACAAACACATGTGAACCCCAAAAATGACATTGAAAAGCTTTCGAGATTGATATTACCTAGCATGAACTGCTCACTACTACCCTAAAAAGGAGAGAGGAAGCCCAGCGATACGACAATATATATATGGCACCTAACGTGACACGATGGTGATGTGACGACGATATGTAAAACGACGAAACGATGCTATGCAAGCGCACTTTATAAAAGATATAATCCGGCCAACCGATAATCCCCGCATCCTTAAAACCGAAAAAAAAATGAACGATCGGGGGTCTGAAATAACGTCGACGCCGCGGAATTACATGTGACTCTTTTCTTCTCTTTGACACCAAACTACTTACGACATGATTCTTTTTGGGGGACGATCCCAGACCCTCCCAAAAAAAACATTGCCATTTGTTCATATCAAACATGATCAGCCTGTGTTTTCTTTATTATATGTACATCCAGATTTCCAGATTAGTCCTCCAAATTTTTATCCTAGATTAGGAGTCGCGAAACGACGAAGCGACGATTACATGTTAGCCAACTCGTTGTCGATATGGCGGTCCAGGAACGTCCTCCGCTCGCCCGACAATTCTGTGTGTAGCCGTTGCTCGACCAGAGCACGGACTTGCTTCTTGGTTACCGTGTCGAGGTCAACCTCTCGGAGCACGGATTGGATTGCTTCGATGATCATGCCATCGTCAGGTCCCATGTGACCTCGTTGAAAGTCGAAGGACGTGGTGGACTGATGACCTTGGCCTAATGGCGGGCGAGCACCACCAGCGAAGCCGAGAGTAGCATTGGAAGCACGGTGCATGTCGAATTGTGGTGAATTGTTCGATACCGCGCGAAGGTTGCTCATACTACGTTGGTGGTTCGGTGCATCTGGGTAAGGGGATTGCATACGCTTGACATCACCAAATGAGGCAGTAGATTGTCGGTGGGCAGGGTTGTCAGTGTATGGGCCATATGCGGATTGTCGCATGTTCTGGAATGGAGCAGGCGAGTGAGGCGGCATGTATCCGCCACGGCCCTGGAGACCAGTAAGAACTGAGGGCTGTCGGACGGAAGAATAGACGGATTTCATGTCGTCCATCTCATATTGATCGTCGTAGTACTCCATTCCCTTTTCGCTGTGCATGCCACGGCGACCGGGCAAGTTGTTCAACGCAGCGTAGTCATCCCATCGTTGTAATGGGATAGATCTGGGGTCAAAGCCTTCATCGTCCACTGCAACCACCTGTTTATTACCTTTCTCACCAATGACGATACGTGTGTTACCCCATGAGAAGTTGTCCTGGTTCCAGAAGGAGTAGATCGGGAGAATGAACGAGTAGACGGGGAAGGCCAGAAGGTAGATAATCATCCATCCGATGTGTTGCCATTGTCTCTTAAGGATGAAGATTAGAGCCTGAAGACCGTAGACTGCAGCAATCATAATGATGGAAACGAGAGGGAGCGGACCAGTGTGGGTAATGACTCTGTAAAGAAGGTAACCCAGGTAAACACAGGTGGCAGGAAGAATGATCGTTCCGGTAAGATCGATGAAGACGATGAAACGCATAGAGAAACAGCAGAAACCACACATGTCTTTGAGCAACATGAGTTCGGCTAAGTTGTGAATGGTTGAGTTGATCCATCGTCGTCGCTGTGAAAGCAAGACACTCCACTCTTCGGGGGCAGCAGTTTGACAATAAGCATCGGGAATGAACTTGTACGACATGTAAGGGAAATGCTTTGTCATGAGCGTTGTCAGGTATCGATCTTCACCAAGAGACAACAGATTCTTTTTGTGCAGGGTGTCAACGTTGCAGATACTGTAATCCTTGATCATGCCGTCGGAAATGATCAACGGTTTTCCCTTGTCAGCAGTGCGCAAACGGTACATGGAGAAACTAGACACGGTATTAGTCATGAAACCAGTTATATGAGGAAGAAGATGAACTTACCATCCAGGAAGACAAGTAACGCTGCCAAATAGAGATTCAAAAGCCTTTGCCAGGTGGTGAGAGATAAAGTACTCGTAAACCTGGATCATACTCCACCATGAACGCTGCTCGTTTTGCAATCCGGTCTCACCGCAAATACCAGCAATTTTCGAGTTGTTTGCACAGGCAGCAACAAGACGATTGAGAGAGTCTTCCCGTACGCAGGTATCAGCATCAACCATCAGGAGATATTCGTATAGCTCGGGATCGACACCAATAATATTGTTGATCTGGTGGAAGATTTCGAGCTCAAGAGGGTTCATTGGAGCACGGTGGTGGACACGGTTCAGGAAGCTCATCAACAAGATCTGAGAGTCACGCTTGCCGCGATTACCAGGCTTAGCCTTAGATTGTTCCGATTCCTTGCCTACTTTAACGATAACAATGTAGGGAACCACATTGCCTTCATACTCGTATAGACCAGAGTAAACCTTGCCGTAGTTGAGTTGTTCGCTGCCGGTTCCGACAGATTTGAAAGGCAAAGCCGGCGGGTCGACCTTGGGATCAACACCGAGGATGTCCAAAACGATCTTTGGTGTAGGTCGATCGTTACCCTGACCAACGATGACGCCGTCACAGATAACGCAGATAAGCTTCCTCTTGTTGTCATATTGTAGCGCGGTAAGAGAATCCAGTGCCTTCCTCAAGGAATCTTCACCTTCGGTATAAGCCGGGACTTGACAAATGACGAACTTATCTTGTGGCGCGGGTCGTCGTTTAGAGCCAAATTGCAACGCCGAAAGGAACTTAATCACGATGACTGAACAGATGACGATGGAGAAGGCCAGAAGAATATAGTTGTTTGCTTGACATTTAGCCGAGTAACGGAAGTCAGGTATACCAACGTAGAAGGTTTCCTTGATACAGTTGAGACTGTTCAACTTGAGGGCAGTGTCTGTAGCGTTTCCCTTGGCGTCGGCAATTGCATTATTCCAGAGGGTCGTAACATCTTGTCCTGGATTGTCTGAAACTGCATCGGTCAAATCCGTGTCCAAGAAGTTGTACTGAGCAAGATCCTTGTAGTAGTCGATCGTTGTGAAATAGTCCGTTAGATCGTAAATACTACCTTCGTAGGTAACCCACATGTGATTGTTGTTCGTGCCATCATCCTTGACATTTTGAGCATTCCAGACTAGATCACCATGATAGTATTCCTTGATCTTCGGCTGAAAAGTATCACGGTACCAGGTGGCAGATCGTAACTTGCTTGTTTGATCGGGTTGGAAATAACCAGAAGTATGGACACCCTGAGGCAAGGTAGGAGTGTTGTTCTTGGTGAGCTGTATGGTATCAGAGATACCCAGGCCGGGGCAAGTAAGCGGAAGAGGAGCTACAAAGTACTCGTCCAAGTTTAAGCCGGCAAACTGTTCCATGAGATCATTCGTCGTCTCAATATTGGTATCACTATGCTGCAGTCGCCAAAATTTTGTGATGTCGTAGACTTTTCCATGGATACTGACCCAAAAATCGTCTTGACCTTGGTGGGTAGCAACTTCCGTCTGTAGCCAAGCTTTGTCGAAGTTCGGACAGATGAGCTGCCCCAAGACGATAATCCAGAACACGATGAAGGCATTGAGTAACAAGATGATGAAGACTAGGACAAACTTTTCTCGCCAAGCCATCCTGACGTCTGGTCGCTTCATTCGTCCAATATGGGTAAGGGCAAAGGAAGGAATCCACCAAGTAAGAGCCCAGACAAAACCAACCCAAAGGCGGCGAGTTGTGGTTTGTTCGGTCGTCTCAACATGCTTGCCTTTTGCGTCAGCAGCATCGAGGTTGCCGATAAATTCACCGTCAGGGGTATAGTAGAGCTGTTCGCGATGCTGATCTCCCTTTGACCCAAGACCATAATCACCGTTAGAAGCATTACGCATAGCAGAGGGAGAAACCGATGGCGCTCTCATCTGGCTCTGCGCAAAGGTGAGCTGGCTTTGGTTGCGCTGGTGATTCAGAAGCTGATCCCGACTACTGTTTGAGTTATGGTCGGGGATGTGAGGAGGGAAGAACCCGCTCCCTTCGTTAGGGAAACCCCTTTCGAGGCCAGGAGTGCTAAACATGCTACCCATGCCGCCGCCCATAGGATCATGAGCAGGCTTTAGGTCAAGCATGCTTTCGGCCTCCCACCAGGCAGTCTCGCGCATCCAAACTCTTTCCTTGCCGATGACTACTTCACCGTTGCTCCATCCTCTCTCGAGGATCCAGGTCTCGATGCCATCTCGGCCTTCCCTGCATCCTAGAGGAGCGAATCGTTGGGAAAACTCGTCCAGGTCAAAATCCGCGGTGAAATCCAAGTTCTTGTTTCGGCGATTAGCCCACTCCGGTAGTCTCCAGGCACGTAGTTGGCGAGAGACCGTGCCAGCGGACCAAGCTGACGTAATCGAAGGCAGGGCTGCTAGACTCGCGGGGGTTTCGTCGGTGGGATGAATTGACAAATGATACCACACACGGGAAGCGCCTAGAACAGCGGGGAGATCTAATCGCGCATTTTGGCCTAGGTTGATACCCTGACCAGGAACAGGAAAGAGCAGTTTCTTCAAGAAACCATCCTCGTCACTAGCGAAGCCAGCCTTCTCCAGGATTTCTTCTCTCTTCTCAAGTTCGTGTTGCCTTGCTCGTCCAACTGGGCCAGTCATAATACCTAGATCGGGTCCGACCTCTGCAACGGCATTCTGCGTCTCTCGTAGAACCGAGCTTCCCACAGCCACTACATCCACTCCATCCTCTTTCATTTCGGCATTAATTCCTAAGCTGTCATCGAAAATGCCTCGCATAGCAATAGCTTTGCCCAGGTTGGGATCCGGAATTTCGACCACGGTAATACAAACAGTGTCGCCATTCTCCTCTGAAGTAGGTGTTCTATGTCCGTCAAGGGACTCCTGTCCGTCTCGTATACGGGACATTTGAAGAGCAATCGCTTCATTTGCCTTGGTGACTACCCAGTCAACTAGAGCTTCGTATAATCCTCCTACTAAAGTTCGTCGATCATCCGTTGTGCATTGCCGTGCCAAGACTTCAGGGTCAAGGCCAAGTAACCCGCCAACGTCTTCACAAACATCATCAAGAACATCATCGTCAACGTTGTAATCCAGAGTGTTGCCAAGTTTCAGAAGTCCAGCCAGGGTTGAGATGAAGTTGCGATGAGCTGCGCCCTTGATACCAATTTCTTTTAGGGCAGTGCGGAAGTCATCCGCCGCAGCGCCATCGTCGGCCGTGGGAAGATAGGAAGGGGGGTTATAGGTCCCGGATCTAGCCAATAGTGAATAAGTAGAGGCGGACTTAAGACCCAAAAACTCCCTTTCAGCTGGAGTTGATGCTGATGTTAGCAGGTAGTAGAAGACGTCAAATGCGCGATAGCCGGCCTCAGCAGGTATGTCAAGCAGACCCTTTACAGTATCAATGCCACCCTGGGACAGCGCCACACTGGCTGTGTTTAATGTGCCAGTGAGGTTTAAAGTCAATGTTACTGCCAGTGCCGATTGACGTGGTGTTGATGGGTTGTACGGTGTTACACATCGTATGAAGGGCTGGATTACTTCGAGAGCAGTATACAGGGATGAGGGGATAGAAAGGGGTAGAGATGACAAAAATGGGTTCAATAGCGAGGGCGTCGACTGATGAAGAGACCTAGATTACTTGTGAGCAACCAGCTGAACAGGATTAGTACACATCACTACATACCCTAGAATGATACAACCATCTTCTGCCCGGCGTCGAGCATGTTCCCAAGCTCTAGCTGCCAAGGTAGGGTCTACAGTCCCTCCCGTCCTGCCGTCTGGCCCCGCTTGGGTTGCCGTGAGCCATGTGTTGACGACGAGACTCGTTCCAGCGTCTAATCGGTAGGGTTGGGACGACAGGTAAATATTATGGATGCCGTTCAGCAACGTAGTTGTCGACACTTGAGTTGATTGTTGCCCAGCACCTCGGGGACCTCCCATGGAATCGGAAGCCACCGAGTACATGGACATGCGGGCTTGGTGGTTAGCCATGTTTGACTCGTTTGGAGCGTGTTGTCCTTGCGGACAATCACGGTAATCCTTCACTCCAAGTCTGTTGCTAAAGCGATCGAGGATCTATATAATATCGGCGACGGATTCAAATTAAGTTGTTCATATAGTCTTTGGGAACTCAAAGACTACAGAGACTTTTATGATATTATAAACGGGTTCGACGGGGGCGGTTAACGAAGGTATGTCGAATAGATTCTCTCGAAGTGGATAGTATTATCGGGGGTTATGGTGATCAAGATGGGGTGGTTCGCTGGGCAACAAAACCACTCTACCCCAATACTATAAGACGATTACAAGCAATAGCGATTATTAGAAGCGATAGACTATCGTCACCAAAGCGAGTGAGGTGACAGACGAGAAGGTTGTAAAAGTGCAAAACAAGAGGAAAGACGACAGCGAGTTGATGCTTGCAACAAGACAACAAGGACAGCGAGTGTGAGACAGGGAGACCTTTGGCAGTATGGGATAATGCTCCCCTATGATGAAAAAAGGCCCAGGGAAAATATGGGCAGATCGGTACACCCTCGAAAAGGTACAAAGCACAGTGCGACCAGAACTATCTTGGCATAGGGCTTAGAATAGACTAGCGTGTATCTAATTTTTCCCTCCCCCTGGGGAGGCTCTTATGTAGAAAGGCTAAGAGAGCTGCGAGAAGACTGGTAAGATTGGCAAGTGAGCCAGACAATTACGAGGTACATACATGCATCCGGGCAGTCACGGTGGAAGTTACAGCCGTACCTACGCTAACAGATCACTATAGGATTATAGTACAAATCATGATAGTACGGATCGTGTACCACCTTTAGTAGTGAGGCGTGCTGATCCTTCTTCTTTTTCGCGGACCCTACGAGCTGTAAAGCGAGTCTAGCAACAGCGTAAGGGAAAGAGCTGGGAAAGACCCTGGTCACTTTTAGGAGGTCTCTCTCCAGGCACTTCCAGGGTTTCGCCCGACTTCCCCGATTCAGAAAGCATCACAGGGATTTCATCAGGGAAGCACAAGATGATCGCTGATCGAGCGAGACAGCGAGAGAAACGAGATTTGTATCGAAGCCAGTGGGGAGCGGCAAGCAGGAAGATAACTAAAGAGAATTCGACTGCTACAATACCTGCAAGTTCGGGACAAGAACTGCAAGAACTGCAAGAACTGCACCAGCTGCGAAAGAACTACAGTACAAGAATCGACGTGGCAGAAGCAGCAATTCTACCAATTCGTTGGTTTGTTTATCGCATGACAAATTGGCATGGGATGATTCTGGTTTTACACGAACTAGGCCCTGCGAGCCGTTCGCGTGTTAGGCCGTTTGGTTTCTTTTTGGTGGGAGCGGAGAATTGAAATACGAAGCGGCCAAATGGGAATGACAGTCGGCTCCAGCAGCTCCAGCCAACTCCAGTCGATTAGCCTTCTCGAACTCGCCAGTACCACTTTTATCTATTTATTTTTGTCTTATGCCCTCCAAGACTCCAATTGCCACAGCCCACATAAAGATCATTATGCATACACACACATATCCTCAATACGAGAACAACCCATTTTAGGTCGTTTTGCCAACCAAGAATTTTAATGCTTTTACGACATTGTTCAAACGTCGAGAATATCGCGAAAAAAAGATAAAGATAAAGAAAAAACAACGACATCATCGTTGACGGGTATACCGGTAAAACAATAAGACGGTTAACTATAAGGTGAGGTTTGACGGTTTTTGACGGATGTTTAATTCAGTCCGGCCTTCGCGAATAACCTTAATCTTGGTGTTCTGCATGTCGACGGGAGTCTTTTTTGGTGCGACTGTGACTTGTCATTTTGCAACTTTATTATTTGCGTTGCCCAGGTGTGCGGTGTATTCCCCTGACCTTTGCATCGCTTGTAGCACGTCAGCCAACGACGAGCAAAAATGAGCGAATCATCCCGCTCAATGCTTAAAAGTTGCGCATTCCTTAAGTAGATGCCATATGCCATGAGACACAATACAGTTTCCATACTGCACTTCTCGGTCTGAATTTCTGAATTACTGGATTTCTACTTTCGCATTAAGAAAAGCAACGTGTGATAGCCAACTCCTTGCCAACTCAGGCTGCTCTCGTCAGCTTAGAGGCTGTTTAGTCGTCTTCCTTTATATCGTGTGTCTCCGTCGTGTTAGTTGATAGAAAGCCACCGCAATCCTACATCAGCCTTGGAAGCGTTGCTAGTGTAGATGTTGGCTTGTTAAAAGGCTTCTAGGTACGCTGACACGGCATACATACACTCAATTATTACTTACTGTAATATTGTAATAGGTACTTACTGATAGGCTTCGTGTGCGGGTATGTAGCCAGCCATCCTCTGCTTTGTGCGACGATATCCTGACTAACCCCGAGGATCTATTTACATGTGCGTATGTCACCATGCATGCCGTTCTTACTTAAGTAATTTTCTTGTTCGTCCGACAAATCACACCCTATCAAACCTATAATGCTCAAAAGTAATAGATGTAGATCGAATTCGGGACCGCGGGCACGCGGGGTCAATCTAGACGACAACAGTGGGCTTGTTTGTTGATTGTGTCTGAGACTTACGCCCAGTAAATAAGAAAAAATGCTGCTCCTCCTCTTGGTGTCGTCGCCGGTGTTTTCTCAAATTGCTGACATGCGCCAATCTAACTGCATAATATATCAGGAACGTGAAAGGTAAACAAAAAGTCCATTCCGGCCTAGCTGGTACTGTATACGGCACTGTCTATTTATGTACCTACTTTAGCACTTGATTCAATTGCCTATTACATCCCTTCGTCCATTGAAAACGACCTATGATGTAGTTGTCGACATCTTCGTTTTTCCAAGGCCTAGATCATTCTCAGATTCCGTCTTGCTAGAAGAGACTCACGATGCCACAATCCGGTAAAGCCTAACATTACCGGCTTTTGACCCCTGGAAGTGACGTTGTCGTTGTACCCGGGATTTCAAGGTGATTGTCAGCGTCTGGGCTTTTACTTATTGGAAATCCAAGCCCCCTGCTGGCTAGCTCCGTACAAGCGCTGGGTCTGGTATGGGTTAATATGGGCCATATGGGTCAGATTCCTAAGATCTCGCGAGAAAGTTAGGGGGTAAAAGAGACGTTCAATTACACTACTTTCTCAGCTCCTTGGGCTTCCACGCATCGGTTTTATTGAGGCCGGTGATCAATTTTACGGGGAAAGGAAAGCCATGATCAGAAAATGTCCATGATGGCGATGGTAAGGTTAGGCCGCTCCGAGAACAATTCGAGGCTTCGGAGCCACCAGATGCACCAGACGCACAAGACGAAGGTCGTACATCCTCGTCTCGCATCCATCATGCAGGTATCCAAGAAAATTCCGGGCGGTTCGATTCAATCGGTTCGTGAGACCTGCTAAACGTGCTAGCATTAATGCTAGCGTAAGGTACTGGAGGTACCAGCGGTACAGGGGCACTGTATGTGATACGGAGTACATTCCCTGGATCTGCCGTCCGCAGCTAGCGAGGGTTGGAAGGTAAAACGTAAGCCAATGACAGGCAAAGGGGTCACAGCGTACCCTCCCCAAGACTTCGTATGATGTGAATCTTTCGCCTCGTGATCCCTGTCAGCTAGACTAGCCTGTGTACTTAGTCAAGACTAGACCAAGGGAAGATGTGGTTAGCCGTTGCACTGTACAGCTCAGGTATCTACGTAGTTTACAAAAATAAACTTGTTCAAGGGCGACTCCGTCCCCGTATTGAATCTCAAGTCTCCTTTCATCGAACCGACCACCCGAGAAGCAAGCAACTGTTTGGAGAGAGCCTCAATTCTTTTGGGCTTTTCTCTTTTCTCGTTTGTTTCCCATCCCTTTTCATTTTATCAATATACACTCGTTTCTGTATACTAATGTACACTCACTACGCGTAATTCTGGTTGCTGCTGTTGGAGATAATCCGTAACATCGTCGTCCTTGAAACACGAAGAACGATAGAAATCAGGGGCACGACCACGTCGCTCGTTGCAAAAGTTTGCTGTATTCTACCCGGATCCGAAACGACGTATCTTTCTTAAAGCACACGAAGCGTCGGCCGGCGCTCAGCAAACTCTACTGAGTCGTCAGTCCGTCGATAGGTGCCAGTCCTTGGCCCTTGATCCAACATGGCTCTCAACCTCCCATCGATGGGCGGCGGCGGAGGGGCTCACACGCAACCGTCATTGCCCTCTCTGCCGGCCCATCTCCAGTCCGATACTCACTTGACGGCACATCTCGCTAGTCGCTTCCACGTCTCCATCCCGACGGCCCGTCTATCTTCTCATGCCCTCATCTCCTTAAACACCTACACCTCGTCAACCAAAGGCCTCGATGGAGGTAAAGAAGGGAGCGCCATGGCCGGCGCTGAAGACATGGCCGACAGAGCTTTTCTTAGATTGGGACATCGCACTGAAAACCAGGCGATCATCTTTCTGTACGTTGGCCAAATAGAAACGTTAGACATTGCGGCCATGGGTAGAAACTAACATTCCGACTAGGGGAGAATCTGGCTCTGGTAAAACGACTATCCGATCTCATCTACTAACCTCGCTCCTGAACAAGTCCTCTACGCCACTATCGAGCAAGATTTCTCTTGCCGCATATGTTTTCGATACACTTACCACCACGAAGACGGCGACGACGCCGACAGCCTCCAAGGCCGGTCTGTTCTACGAACTTCAATATGATACAGCCGCGACTACCAACCCTATGCTAATTGGTGGTAAGTTGCTGGATCATCGTCTTGAGCGAAGTAGAATTACCGATGTGCCAACCGGAGAGCGTAATTTCCACATTCTATATTATCTTCTCTCGGGAACCAGCGAGGCGGAGAAGACACACTTGGGTATCGATACGCCAAGAGATGCTGCTGGGCAAAGACGTTGGAAATATCTGGGTCACCCCACCCAGCTCAAGGTCGGGATCAATGATGCTGAGGGTTTTCAGCTTTTTAAGACGGCCCTGCGAAAATTGGAGTTTCCGAGAAGCGAAATTGCCGAGGTCTGTCAAATACTGGCATGTATCCTGCATATTGGACAGTTAGAATTCGAGACGACCGCGAACACCACCGCAACAGCTGACGACAGTGGTGGTTTCTCTCACGAAGGTGGCCAGAATATCACGGCTGCGCGGAACAAGGATGTGTTAGGAATTATCGCCGCCTTCCTGGGGGTCAGCTCCCAGGACCTCCAGAACACCATGGGATACAAAACGAAAATGATTCACCGTGAACGTGTAACCGTCATGTTAGACCCCAACGGTGCACGCGCCAACGCCGATGAGTTGGCCAGGACGTTGTATTCCCTTCTCGTCGCATATGTGATCGAGAATATCAACCAGAAAATCTGCGCTCCTGAGGAATCGATTGTAAACACTGTCAATATTATTGATTTCCCTGGCTTCTCTCAGCAATCCTCTACTGGGTCTGCTCTTGATCAGCTACTCAACAATGCTGCCGTCGAGTCCCTCTACAATTTGACTCTCCAGAATTTCTTCGATAGAAAAGCCGACATGTTGGATACCGAAGAAGTAACAGTTCCCGCGACGAGCTATTTCGACAACTCGGATGCTGTTAAAGGACTCTTAAAACCTGGAAACGGTCTGCTAAGCATTCTAGACGACCAGACCAGGCGACACCGGACCGACATGCAGCTTCTAGAAAGTCTGAGGAAGCGCTTCGAAGGCAAAAACCCGGCCATCAACGTAGGTTCTGCAACAGCAAGACTACCTGGAAGCAATTTCATGTCAGAGAATACGGCAGCCACTTTCACCGTGAAGCACTTTGCTGGTGAGGTTGACTATCCCATCAAGGGATTGGTCGAAGAGAATGGTGAAGTGATTTCCAGCGACGTGATGAACTTGATCAAATCGAGCAAGAGCGAATTTGTCACCCGTCTTTTTGGCCAAGAGGCCCTCCAAACGGTTATGCATCCCCAAGAGAGGACTACTGTTATGCAAGCATCGGTAAGCTCCAAGCCCATGCGAGCGCCCAGTGTCATGTCAAGAAAGACTGGCCGCACAATGGGGTCTCGGAGGCCGCGACGACAAGATTCTGTAGACGATTTTGGTGGCAGCGAGGCAGGAGATCACAGGGGCGAGAGTCGGGCGAGAGGCGACGGAAGGAAACCCAGTATGCATCATTCAGAACAGGGAGCATCTGGGCAATTCTTGTCCTCACTAGAAAACGTGAAGCAGGCGATCACGGCGCCAAACACCAACGCCTACTTCGTATTCTGTCTCAAACCTAACGATAGGCGAATCGCGAACCAATTCGACAGCAAATGTGTCCGTACCCAAGTGCAGACGTTTGGCATTGCCGAGATAAGTCAGCGGCTTAGGTCGGCTGACTTCAGCTTGTTCTTACCTTTCGGCGAGTTCCTAGGTCTTAATGACGCCGAGGCTATTCTCGTCGGCAGTGAGCGAGAGAAGGTCGAGGCTGTCATCCAAAGCAAACAGTGGCCGAGCAACGAAGTACAAGTTGGCTCAACTGGTGTATTCCTCAGCGAGCGCTGCTGGTTGGAGATTGCGCGGTTGGGTGACAGCTCCTCCAACCGGTACGCGTCCGATGCTGGAGACGGATCAACTCCCGATCTACCATTCGGGGCTTCGAAGGAACGGTTGCTCGCTATGGGTAACACACCACAATACACTGACAAAGGTCGAGGCGGGTACTTCGGCAGCAATGATATCGACGCTCGTTCTGATGCTGGGGCTTCAGCCTTTGGAGCCGGTGACATGTTCAAGAATCTAGATACCAGAGAACAGATGGCTGAACGTGGAAATGAGAAGTCTCTGGAAGAAGTTGAAGAGTTCAAGGATAGCCCTAGCCGAAAACGATGGGTCTTCATTGTCACACTCATGACCTGGTTTATCCCTGACTTTCTCATTCGCTGGATGGGTAGGATGCCTCGCAAGGATGTCCGACAGGCGTGGCGAGAAAAGGTGGCTATCAACATGATGATTTGGCTCAGTTGCTTGATTGCTGCCTTTTTCATCGTCGTCTTCCCTCAACTCATTTGCCCGAAGCAGTACGTTTTCAGTTCCGAAGAACTTTCAGCCTATGACGGCAAGGATGGAAATGCTGCCTACGCCTCTATCCGCGGTCAAGTTTTTGACATCTCCAGTTATGCTCCTGCTCACTATCCCCCATATCTTGCTACCAAGACTTTGACTCAATATGGCGGGTTGGACATTACTTCCTTGTTCCCGGTTCAGGTATCGGCCTTATGCAAAGGCAAAGATGGGTCAGTAAATCCTGCCGTCACGTTGGATTACAAGACGACGAACGTCAGCGGTTCCGCCAATGTCGTTAGCAGCCAGGATCTCAACGCGCATTACCACGACTTCCGATCCTTCACCGACCTGCCTCAACCATTCTGGTTTTATGAAAAGATGCAAATGCTGAAAGCCTCCTGGAAGAAGGGCACGATTGGTTACTCCGCACAATACGTCGCTACCCTCGGAACTAAGCAAAACTCCATCGCCATTCTAAATGGCCGTGTGTACGATCTCACCAAATATCTTGTTGGTGGTCGTCATGTTGTCGTTAGGGAGGGCGAAGACATGCCAACTGACCCCGATATTGTCAATTTTATGGATGATCTTGTTGTCGACCTCTTCCAGCAGAAGGCCGGTTCTGATGTAACTAAGCTATGGAACGCTCTCGACATCGACTCTGGCATGCGTGAGCGTATGCAACTTTGTCTCGACAACCTCTTCTACGTCGGTGATGTCGACACGCGAAATTCAACCAAGTGCCAGTTCGCTCAGTATCTCATTCTCGTTGTTTCTATCCTGCTGTGCGCTATTATCGGATTCAAATTCTTTGCTGCTCTTCAATTCGGAGGCAAGAATATTCCAGAGAACCTGGATAAGTTCATCATGTGCCAGATCCCTGCATATACCGAAGACGAGGAGTCTTTGCGCCGTGCCATCGACTCAGCTGCTCGTATGCGTTACGATGATAAGCGCAAATTGCTCGTCGTTATTTGCGATGGTATGATTATCGGTCAAGGCAATGACAGGCCAACCCCTCGCATCGTGCTCGATATCCTGGGCGTATCTGAGACTGTGGATCCCGAACCGCTCAGCTTCGAATCTCTTGGTGAAGGTCTCAAGCAGCACAACATGGGCAAGGTTTACTCGGGTCTTTATGAAGTCCAGGGCCATATCGTTCCCTTTTTGGTCGTCGTCAAGGTTGGCAAGCCGTCCGAAGTCTCTCGCCCCGGAAACCGTGGTAAGCGAGATTCGCAGATGGTCATGATGCGCTTCCTCAACCGTGTCCACTACAACCTGCCCATGAGTCCGCTAGAGCTGGAGATGTATCACCAAATTCGGAACATTATTGGGGTAAACCCCACGTTTTACGAGTTCATGCTTCAGATCGACGCTGATACGGTCGTGGCACCCGACTCGGCTACGCGCATGGTTTCCTCTTTCTTGGACGATACACGGCTGATCGCTGTATGTGGTGAAACCGCCCTCACCAACGCAAAAGGTTCCTTCGTTACCATGATCCAGGTCTACGAATACTACATCTCGCACAATTTAGTCAAAGCTTTCGAGAGTTTGTTCGGCAGTGTCACTTGTTTGCCGGGTTGTTTCTCCATGTATCGTATCCGCGCGGCTGAAACGGGCAAGCCTCTCTTCGTCAGCCGCGAAGTCGTGGAGAATTACGCTACAATTCGTGTCGATACCCTCCACATGAAGAACCTGCTCCATCTTGGTGAGGATCGTTACCTGACGACTCTGCTTCTCAAATTCCACTCCCAATTCAAGACAAAGTACATCTTCAGCGCCCACGCATGGACCATCGCTCCCGACTCCTGGCAAGTGTTCCTCTCTCAGCGACGTCGTTGGATTAACTCGACCGTACACAACTTGGTGGAACTTATCCCTATGGCCCAACTTTGTGGTTTCTGCTGCTTTAGCATGCGTTTCATCGTGTTCGTTGATCTATTGTCCACGGTTGTCCAACCCGTAACGATAGCCTATATCGTGTACCTCATCGTGTTAGTATGCACCTCGACGTCCGTCATTCCCATCACCGCTTTCGTCATGCTTGGCGCCATCTATGGTCTCCAGGCTATCATTTTCATCCTGCGTCGCAAGTGGGAAATGATCGGATGGATGTTGATGTACATTGTCGCCGTCCCCGTTTTCTCTTTCGCTCTACCTTTGTACGCCTTCTGGCACATGGACGACTTCAACTGGGGTAATACCCGTGTGGTTGCCGGAGAAAAGGGTAAGAAAATTGTCGTCACAGACGAAGGCAAATTCGACCCTGCCTCCATCCCGCGCAAGAAGTGGGAAGAGTACCAGGCCGAGCTATGGGAAGCTCAGACCAGCCGAGGTGGTGATGACACTCGCTCTGAAATCAGTGGCTTCAGCTACGCAACCAAACCTGGTATGCACCTCGGCGTTGCAGAGTACCAATACGCAGCATCGCGTCCGGGGTCCACCACCGGCATGGTGCCACCCTACGACATGAAGAACGCTGGCCACATGAGCCGCATGTCTTTTGCCCCGACAGAAAACCGAATGAGCCATTTCGGCGGCTCACAATTCTTCGGCAACCAACACGATGTAGAGATGACCAATCTCGCAGGCATGCCAAGCGATGATGCTTTGCTAGCAGAAATACGCGAGATCTTGCGCACGGCGGATCTCATGACCGTGACGAAGAAGGGCATCAAGCAGGAGTTAGAGAGGCGGTTCAACGTCTCCCTCGATTCCAAGCGGTTGTACATCAACAGTGGTATGTATTCCTTCTCCCCTCGCACTACAATGATAAGTATTAACGGCATCACTAGCAACCGAAGCATTGTTGTCAGGTCAGTTATAGAAGAAGCCGGTCGATACGTAGCGAAGTTTCATGTTTCTGCATATAATTGGATGGCCATGTTTTGATTAAGACTATATACATAATATACCACATTGAATATTCTGAAAGGAGAACAGGGGGGGGCAACTCATCAAACGGGACCAGAATATCTAATATCATCTGGGTTTGGACCAAAGGGAAATCATTTCGGAGGCAAAAGGAATTGTCAAAACAAAAGCTAAAGCTGAAAAGAGAAGCCACATTTATTATATTTGGATATTTATCTATCTAACGAAGACCAAGTTTGGAAAGTGGCGCCGAATTTTGTTTTTTCGAGAGCATTTCGCAAAGTAATAATGGAAATAATATTGGGTTAACCCATTCTTATATCAACACGTTTTATGGCCGATATAGCTAGCGATCTTAAATGGGAGTTTTGGATACCCAGTTTGACTGATGTTCGGATTCGAAGAGTCGTCCGCGTTACGCGTGTCTGTGCTAGTTTACTTGACAGGTTATTGTTACCTATCCATCACAGCTATTTATGCTTAGTAGATACTGTAAAGATTTATTAAGAGCTTCAATGTTTTCGTTTCTGTTTTCCAGCTCTCTTATTCTGGTTCTGCTTCTCATCCCTATCACCGTTCCGATGATTATAGTCTCCTTATTTGGCTGCTGGTCCAAAAAGACTGAGCCTTGTGTCTTGATTTCCTAGGTAAATATGGGAAGTGTACAGGCCAGCTCGGGGCACATTGTGAAAGGGGTTGCGTAGCCGAACTGGCCAGACTCGTAATTAGATACGGAGGTGATTCGGTTTTAGATGGTACTGATGAGCATGCAGTTGTTATTCTTAAGTCTGAGCTTAGAATGGCGGTCTTTAAAGGATCTATCTAAACTATCCCGTATACTTTAGCCGTAGCGCCGTTGCTGTATAGCCATATTGAAATGTCCCTGTACGCAATTCCCATTGTCTATCTACCTCTTCGATAGAAAACAAAAATAAAAGAATAACGTTCTCGTTGCCACATAGGTCGGGACCTTCATCGTCGGGATTTTCTAATATCTTCGGTCGTGGGTGGAGCCTTTCTCTTGTCCAAAGATGTGAGCTGTGATAGCATGCGTTCGATGTTCTGTAATGTGTTTGCCATTTGACTGAGCATTTCCCGCGTACTAATTGCGATCTCTTTCGTCTCTGTCATCTCCTTCTCTAAGCAGGATAGCCTGAACTTCAGTTCCTTGTCCATCTCTAATTGTCCTGGTTGAACCGAGTTCTTGTCAAGGCAGGCAATGATGAAAGCAAATACTTCGTCTCGAGACCTAGGAACTCGAGAGAGTCATAAGCTAGGTTGAAGCGCTTAGTCAGAAGGAAATTACGTTAGATGGGTACGGTAACGTAAGAGGAGATTTTCGGGATGTCGTGTGAGAAGCTATCTTCAGATCAAGTGTCTTCCTAGATCCGATGAAGAATTGAAAAGTGTAGCTCCAGTCCGAGATCTCTAAATCATCGCAAAGAATGAATTGTCATGTATCACACTGGAGTGATGAACGCTGTTTCAAATCTTTGAAGTACCTAGGTAGGTAGACGAGATATGGGTTTATATGAGTCCAAGGTAGAAAACGCGGCCACTAAAAACTAATTTATACTCAATACACCTACCTAGAATATGACAATCAGTTCACGGAGAACTTAAAATACTGTTATGGGTGACTCATATATTAATTAAAGTCTGCTCCTGTATCGTACCTGCAACTCTAAAGGCATCATTGAAGATGATTACCTAGGAAAGAGCAGAGTAGCAAGTTATAGTACTGTTCTCAAACATCTCTTGAAATACACAGTATAATCACCTCCCCTTTACATGTATATGGTGTATTAGATATTTGATAGATCACTTATAATCCACTCAGGGTCTTTCTTGAGTTTGTTAGTGCTGTTAGACATGAATAGGTAAGTAAGTATCTGTTGTATTCCGATGTTTGATTCAGATCCATTTCAAAATATCTTTGTTGAGGCGCAACGTGGTTTATGGATATGTTTAGACCTCCTGCTAGTTGACGTTCCTGCTTATGACCAGCCAACCAGCCCAGGTAAGGTGCTTCCTAATATCAATAGCTTTATGTAAGTCCCGTATAAAAATAAACATTGAAGCCAATCGGAATACGGGTTAAGTATAATATTCCAAGATCGATCAATTTAGTGTACGATCCCTGCAAAAGGTTATCTCGTATTTTATGTATTATAGATAATATTGGGTACTTACATATGTACCTAGGTATGTATGTAGTTGGTATTAATAATAACCTACAGCTAGATGCATTCATACGTGATTGGAATAACTTCCGACGTGTCGTCGGCCGCATACTGCATCCCCATGTGACGATCGGTTAACTGGGACCATCTGAATTGTCAAGTTTAGTGGAGTTGAGTTACATCCTCGCCAAAGCGAAGGCCAATCCTATATATCATCGAGAAAAGTCTTCGAGGTGAAGTATTTGTATTGCCATTGGATCAATATAAACGTTGAAGGCAAAGGGGCGAGAAACAGAATGTATTTGGAATAGACAATACGATATCATACGTACCTAGTAGGCTGACATTGTCTCTAGGGGTTAATTAATAAGGCGTTTCTTCTATTAGTTTCGAAGGATCTCAGTCAGCAGAAAGAAATAATCAGTGGCATCATGACGTAGTCCTAGTTAATATCTAATATCAGAGGTATTTGCACGTGTGACCATTATTGTTGTTATAGTTGAGTTCAATGGGGTTTCGAAGTAATAGTTTGATCTATATGGATATTTGATACTGTCGCCGTGCTGCCATGTAATATGCCAAAGTGATACGTACTGTAATAATTGTTACTGTTAAACAAAAACCTTGAACTATGGATTACCCCCAGCCCTACGCGATCAAATGAGGCCTCAGCTAAGGGGGATCTTAGCCAGGTGGAGACGTTACCCATTTACAAGCCCTGCGAATAAGAAATCTATTTAGGGTCTAGGCTCTGCTAGCGGGGTTCAACGGGACGGGACTGTTTCCTAATAAAGTGGAGAACCTTTGACTGTCCGCAGTCGCAAGTGGTCAAGTAGTGCAGAGTGCGGAAAGATGGGAAAGCGATGATGTAGATGTTGGTTGGGGAAGGAGGGGACGAGCGAGGGGCCAATTACCTTAATTTACGCTACCTACCTGGTACGCGGGTACACTAGCGGGATAGATATTACAGATAGGTACATATATGTACCTAGGCATGTCCATGCCCGTGTCAACATTTGAACCATTTGAACGGTCGTGGAAATACCTGGAACACTTTGAACTTGGCTTCCTTAAACGTCCACACGACATCTCCATACGACCTTACCTACCTTAACTTGGACCTTAAATCTACCAACCAGCACTTTCACGGATCACCTACCCGCCCTTCGTCCTCCATTGTTCCTGTTGCATGTGCCTGTGTTACATCGTCAAGGCAGTTAGCACCTCATTCAACCCTACCATTCGTCGCCTTCCAACTTCTCTGCACCATAATTCTCGCCAAATTTTTTTGATCGCCGATTCGGTTTGATCCAGACGCACACCACAAACTTCACCACAACACAACACTCCAGCACTACACCACTCTCGTTTTTGTTTTGGTTCACGACACGACATACCTTAGCACTTAGGTAGCCCATCAGGTAGCCCGCACCCAACTGCGGCGTTTGCGTCTTTCCCCCACTCCGATCTTGCCCTTCTTAACACTCCAAGATCAGCCATTTTGCGACCAACCCGACAGCCATTACAGGTTCTCCCAAGCCATCGTGTTGAGCCAAAATGTAAGCTCACCTTTGCGCGCCCTTCGTACCGAGTTCCACTGTCTGTTACACCTCAGCTAACGCACTCTACGTTGCAGGCATATCACCGTTAACGTGAACAACCCGACCGTCGAGGCTCAAGAGCTTCAGTTAATAAACCTCGACGTTCCTCCCGATATGACCCTCGCAGACCTTCGAAGCTCTATCGAGGCCGAGGGAATACCCGCGCCGTCGCAGAACATCTACCACAATGGTCAACTCATCACCGACAATTCCAAGACCTTGCAAGAGCTTAACATCTCTGACGGTGACATGTTAGCATTGCATGTGCGGGATATGCGTGGCAACACAGGTGTAGAACCCACTCATCGCGAGCCTCAGCGACGACAGGCTTCCACCCTCGCCCAAGACCCCGAACTCATCCGTCTGCAAGTACTTGGCGACCCCCGACTGAGAAGCGAGTTGGAGCGAGCAAACCCTACTCTTGCTAGTGCCCTCGAGAATCCCCAGAGATTTGCTCAGATTTTCCGCCAGAGCGCAGACCAGCAGGAGGAAGCTCGCCGAGCCCGTATGCGAGAGATAGAAGCTCTGAACAACGATGAGTTTAACCCCGAAGCACAAGCCAAGATTGAGGATATGATCCGCCAACAAGGTGTCATGGAGAATCTCCAGAATGCTATGGAGTACAATCCTGAATGTACGTTATGCTCTTATTCAAATATCCCAAATGCCGCTTAATAACTTACCCTTTCATCCAGCATTTGGTCGCGTACACCTCCTATACGTCGATGTCAAGGTCAACGGTATCAAAGTCAAGGCCCTTGTTGACTCGGGTGCCCAAGCTACGATCATGTCTCCGTCGTGCGCTGAGGCATGCAACATCATGCGCCTCGTGGACAGACGCTTCGCCGGTGTCGCTCGCGGAGTGGGTACCGCTAACATTATAGGTCGCGTCCATTACACTATGCTCCAACTTGGCACGAAGCATCTTGCGGCCGCATTCACGGTCATGGAGGGGAAATCGGTTGACCTGTTGATTGGCCTGGACATTCTCAAGGGCCACCAAGCCGTTATTGATCTTGTGCGGAACAAGCTCATTATCCAGGGTGAGGAGGTAGATTTCCTCGGCGAATCGGAAATCCCCAAGGAAACTGAAGAGGCGGTTAACCAGGAACCAACCGTCCAGGGACCAGGTGGCACAACTATTGGTGCGCGATCGGGGGCCGTCACTGGCCCCCAAGCATCATCTTCTGCAGGTCCCTCTGGTTCTTCTGCGCCCATCACATCCCGACCTGCGGCCCCCGTTGCCCGTCCTCCCCAACCGCAACCTCAAGCGCAACCCCAACGAACCTTTCCGGAAAATGACATCAACACATTGGTGGCACTAGGTTGGGACCGACAGCAAGCTATTAATGCATTGGAAGCTACCGGCGGCAACGTCGAATTTGCCGCTTCCCTCCTTTTCAACAACTAAGATGTGAATCTTACACTTGCATTTGGAACATAGCACACGCGGTCCAAGGGCGCAATGGCACGCCCTGGCAACATGGCGGGGTTAGGTGTGGGTTCTCACCACTCGATATTAGTTAGTAGATGGCGCTCTATAGGAAACTGGCAGGAATTTTGCATGCGGCCCGCAGGGCTTTAGAACAGGTCGCCGAACACGACATCATTGGCCTAAACTCGAGCAGATACTCCTGGGTTCCCCTAATTAAAGCTATTGCAGGCTAGATATATTCACATGACGTGGGAAGGTGAAGGATATCTGGTATGGATAACAGATTAGCTTGCCTATCGCAGCTTATAGACACAGGGCTTCAGAATAGAGCTCTCTTCCGGCTTAGCCTGATCTTCTTTCATATCGATGAACTTGACCCCGTTCTTCTTCGGGCCAACTCCCCGACTGGGCTCCTTTAACGTAGCAACCCCCTTTCCAACGGTCGGCGACGCCGCCTTGATAAAATGCATCTTGACAAACATCTTGTTCTTCAGGTCAACTGCGCCCTGCAAGACAAACCCCCTTTTCCGTAGAGCTTCGACGAACGCCGAGACATCCGTCTCATCTCTCTTGTCATCCGCGCCGTCGACCTCAATAGCCAACTCCGCCTCATCCTCCTCTCCGTCCGCGCCCTCCGCATCCCTTCCCTTAGGCTTCTTCCCGTTAACCTTCCTCCTATTCCCGACGCTATGCTCGACGGGCGCGCCGGCCGCCTTCTTCTTGCCCTTGGCGCCGCCGCCGACCTGTCCGAACCGGCTCTTGATCTCGGCGACCCACAGCTCGCCCTTCCAGCGCAGGACGCGGTAGGCCTCCTCGACGAAGTCGAGCCAGTTGGTGCCCATGAGCGCGAGGCAGAAGACGACGACGTCGACGGCGCCGTCGGGCAGCGGCAGGTTCGCGACGTCGGCTTTCGTCACGAGCGGGCTGCTGGTGCTCTGCAGGTCGTAGCTCAGCAGCGTGAGACGCAGTTTCTTGGCCGAGGACTGCAGGGCCGCGGCTAGCTTCGCGTCGCCGCAGCCTAGGTCCGCGATCGTGCAGGTGCCGTTGGTGCGCGGGAGCGGGGCGACGTTGCTGGAGCTTTGGGGCGGCGGTGCCGAGGGCCCGTGTCGCGACCGGTGGGGGGGCTTCTGGCTGCCGCGTAGCTGGATGTCCTTGATATACCCGTCTACCGGGTTCTCGGGCCAGACCTCGACTTGCCGCCGGAAGCCCTCGTGGTACTCCTGGAACATCTCGGGCGAGTCCTGGAACAGTTTAAACGACTCCTCTGATGGCTTCGTGTACAAAGTCTCGTTGAGATGGCGGAACCGGGCGGACACGAGTTTCTCTCTCATCGCGGCTTGCATGGGCGTCAGCTTCGGCGCTTCCGGAGGAGCAGAGGCCTGGGTTGCTTGGACTGTTGCTTCATTTTCTTTGCGATCCTTGGATTTCTTCTTTTTCTTTTCCTTTACCTCCCTGCCCGTTATGGCATCATTGCTGGTCTCAACAGATTCACTGTTACCCACAGCTTTCTGAGCTTCTTCCTGCAGCTTCAATTTCTTCAACTTCTTTTTCTCCTTCAGAGTTAGTTTCCGTGGGCGCTCTGTAGGTCCACCCTCACCACCGTGATCTTTATCAGATTTAGCCTTCTTTCCTGATCGTCCTTCAATGACCCGTTCCCAAAGATCTGCAACATTGGATGACGTGACATTAGGTCCAGATGGCCTCTTGCGCTTCTTGGAATCTGTAGATTCATCCGGGGTCGCCTTAGGAACTACCGCGGTCTCTGATTTGAGATTGTCCGCGGACACGGCCCAACCTGGTACCGCAAACATATCTAATCAAACTTATGAGCCCAATAACTTAGCTTCACGGTCCGAATTTCGCTTGACGGCCAAATCTCGATGTGTTGATGTTGAGGAATGAGCTTTGATAAGCTTAGGGTCAATCCAAGTTGAAAAGAAGGTCGATGTTGAAACTTTTTTGCAGGGATTAACAGAGAAGTGGGTATGTCGATACGGACGTACCTGCCCCACCATAGAAGCTAAGAAACTCTAAATGCCACCGTCACGTGAACTATATCAATTACTGAAGCAGAAGGTTCGATTTCAAGGATCTCTCTTCAATTTCTTCCAATGAATACATGCTCAAATTCGTGTTTTCATATATGATCCCAGTTTACCTATCTAAATATATCTTGCTAATACTGGGGATCGATTGAATCTATTGGAGCACTCTCTTATACCATCTTCGGCCCGGAATAGCTTCGTTTCACGAGCCCAACAAGATATGAAGTTATCAAACCTTCTATACCAAACCTCCCGAACCCTTCCTTGTTTGATGACAATCATGTCTCATAATCTTACCTCTTGACCGCGGGTTCCCACATGATTGTCAGTCGCTTACTAACTGCTATAGAACAACATGTCATTCATATTCTATTCAACAATTGATCTCAACGGAGCTGCTTCGTGGTTTTCTCATACGGCTAATGGTTTTAGGCTTATAGTACACTACATGAGCAGAACCCCACATGAGGCTGCAAACTATATGAAACAACTAGGTCATGGTCATGGAGTGGGATGACAAGCAGGATGAAGATTGTCCTGAAGAAGTCCCAGTAGGACCGGCCAGTCTCCGAGAAGGGAAGCCTGGGGGTCTCTACGTAGGATCGACGGTGGCACGGCGGCTGGCCGTATGCGAGCGGGCCTTTTGGTGTCGATATCAGTTGACTAAGACTGCTAAGACCACCTAAGGACTGCTATGGTTACTGCCTGGACGGCAATATCGTAGCCTCTTGCAGTTCCTTCATCCTTGCAGTACCACATGGATACTTTTGCGCAACCGCTCCAGTCTACGCAGATTTCCAGCCAAAGGGTTCATGTCACTACCCGTCTCACCCATACTGACTTAATCATCGCCACAACGGCTGGGGTTACTTCGCGATCGCTATAGTTCTATGACCTACCTACCTACCTAGGTAGGCAATTGACATGTCCTCCCTTCACCGAGAAGAGCATCCCGGCGCTGACGCTGGACTCTATCATCTGCGCCCATACGGAGTCACGGGATAAATATCCTGCGCTACGAAACACTGTTTCTATGCCGTGGCCATGGCGCCTCGGAAATTGCTGCTGTACTTAGGTATGAGCACAGTTTATCATCGTGGTCATGCCCGACTCCTACAGCCTGCATAAGTACCTAGGCCCCTAGGTCGCTATGCCATGCACGGCTGCGTCGACCGGCGGACCTGAGACTCACTCTCCCGAGACACGCGGGTACATTAGCTTCTACACGCATTCTTTACATCGCCTGCCTGTTGACACTCTATGATGTCGATCTCATTATCTCTTGCTCTTGAAGAACATCCACGACAAGTGTCGACTGGGTACGTCGAATTGACGACGTTGTGTCATGTGCTATGTGAAGTCGTGGAATGACGTACGAACAGGCGGCTCGAAGCCGCTGATCATACCTACATAAAATCTCCAGAAAAGGGAGGAAAGATGTCCAAGGAATCAGGTCTTCCTTCGTCCGTAAGCTCACTAGTCGGCTTGGTTCCTTCAGTGCCGCCCAAGGATCCTCATATCCACCTGAAGGCTCGTGATAAGAGAGGTCAAGACGTGTGCGCAGCTGGTCGCAGAAAAAGCAACCCGGGTTTACTCATGTTATGTGTGTCTGGGGATGCGAATCGATGACCAGCCAACGGAAAACAACCGGTGGGTAGGACAATTTGTCGTTACTGCAAAGGATGCGCGTTTCTGCGTAGCACAGGTGGACCGTATGAGCAATTGGCTCTCTCCGAGGTCAAATTTCCCAGCTTGCAGGAAATGGGGCCCCAACATCGTCGCGCATCATCAGATGTCGTACCTCGATCTACCGCAACTTGAGCGACTCTGGTCGTATGCAGCAGCTTCATTCATGGGACCTCCCTAGCTCGCCGCCGTGACCCCCCTACATTACCTACAGGCTCCAGGCCTAATACAATATGCCGCAAGGATACGGTATCCGGTTGCTACGGCAAATCTACCTTGCCACCTCTTTTTCCGTTATCATACTGCATATTTCGTCCTTCACGTGGAGTTGGTGGTAAGGTTCCTCGGCGTTGGTGGTGATGGGTGGGTAGTAATAGGGCGGATTGAGCTGCATATGGGAATCAGCTAAGGCTAGGTACCTAGCTCTTCCGGTTCAGGTGTCCGGCACCCCCTTTGTATACAAAAGAGGCCGTTCGCGTTTGTTTATGGCATGTACACAATTTAATTGTCGCGGGATCTTCCTTGTCTATTTTGCTGTGGCGGCTCTCAATTTCACTGCGCATATTCCCAAATTGGTCACCATCGACTGTGGCCTGAGCCCACATCTCCTCGTACCGGCTGTCGATGGCGTCCGGCTTTCGAAGCCTAGTGACGAATTTATTGCTGACGCCGGGTCTGGACCGATCGGCGCCAAAGCTGAACTAGCTCGAAGAAAACCAATGGCACTACAGCATTGAAGGATTGCTAAGCCCAGCCTGCCCAGCAAGTTTGCCCAGCTACGCCGAGATCTCAATACTGCCCACTGTGCCGTATCCTTGCTACCCTTGCTACCGCTCGTCTGACTGTTCTCTCATTGGTAACAGCCAGCTGAACCCCACCAATTCCCACCACTTGTCCCGCGTCCAATGTCCAGTGTCCCCGTGCGTACCTAGGTATGTACGACCATCTACATTACATATTGGGACATCCGCTGAATTGAAAGACCCCTAGGTCTAGAAAACTGCCGTCTTCAAATTCGCAATTACCCCGTCGCACCCCGTCCTACTTCTAGAGGGTTGAGTGCCTCAATTGCCCACGCCAGCGAGCAAGCATATTCCGGCCCTATTTCGTTACGCCAGATGTTTCACGGAACGATATAAGCTATATCCTACAAGCAGGTCGTGTCATTAATCTCTTCATCGTGTATTCCTACCACCAGTGTCTATTATCCAGCATTTGCCTCGAATACTCCATCTTGTTAGCCAGTCGGGACTTCGGAGACTTATCTCATACCGTAATTGCTTTCCGGACTCGACCATTAGATAGACTGAACGTTGTGGGCTACTATCATAGTTTTTTGTTCGTGTTGAGGACCCATCCATTCGCTAGATTGGGAGGACTACCCGCGAGCATGTCCAGCGCCATTCTGTAGTCGGTACTTTCTTAGCCCCAGATCGGGCCTATCGTCTATATACCATGTGACGGGTTAACGCTTTTAAACGGCTAGATTGCAAGACAATAATTTTACTATCCAGAGACTGAATTAGGTGGTATACCTAACGACGATCGTTCTTTTGAAATGGATTCGACAGATGAGGCGTCTCGGGACGCGTCTTCGAAATCTCAGCCTCCCCGGCCGCCAACGCCAGAAGATAAGGACGACGACAATCCGGCGTCTAAGAAACCGACTGTTCGGAAGCGAACGAAGACCGGTTGTCTCAGTACGTGGTAACTCATATAATCTCCCCATCCATCCAGCTTCCCGCCCGTGTTCTATGAGCGGAACTGACTCATTCCTATTAAGCTTGTCGAAAGCGCCGAATAAAATGTGATGAGGGAAGGCCAACTTGTAACAACTGCTTGAAGTCGAAGCGACAATGTGAAGGATATAGTCAACGGGTCGTCTTTAAAGACCCTCTCGGCGCATTCGCCAATGCCCCTTTTGGTCCGATACATTATCCGGCGCCTTCTCCTCAGGCGTTGGTAAGAGAGCAACAATTATCGGCAGCGCAGCAAAGGTCTTCGTCGCAGTCTTTGCAGATAATCGCCCCTAAACCTCCACCTGTAGGATATCATCAGCTTTCTGGTGCTCAATTCAGCCATGGATATCCCGGCCAAGCAGGGCAAACCTCGCCCCCTCCTTTGAACTTCGATCCGAACGCATTCGGGCCTCAACCTGCACCATCGAAGTACACCTTCATTTCGCCAGCGACTGTCGATGCGTTCTCACAACATCAATGGAGGCAAGAACAACCTGCGAATTTTGGCCAATTTTCACCTGTTGCTCCTGAGAATCTTGGCCATAATGTCTCTCATATTCCACCGCAGCAACACCACCAACAACAGCAACAGCTAGGCAGCTCTCAGCTCGACAAAGGCAAGGCTCGCGCCGAACCCGAAGATACTATCCAGGTTCCAGTGCCAGAACTCGAGGAATGGGAATATCCTGTCTCGGATGATGAGTCCATGGTGGAGTCGGATGATATGCCGATTGGTGAGCGGCGCACCTCACTCGACTTCAACGAAATGGGAGTTGTTGCTTTCCAAAGACTCGATCAGCCTTATGACATGTTCGGCACCCAAACAAGAACATTCTCCGCCTTTGCCCCTGAGAGTCTCCTCGCAACATATGAGCCTTCGCCGGCTAACTCGCCTTTGAACGACAAACGAATAGCTGCAGTGTTCTGGCACTTTATAAACGTAACCGGACCTAGTATCTCCCTTTACGAAAGACATCCTTTCGACCCAACACCCCTTTTCCAAGGAACGCCAATACCGAAAGCACGCCAGCATATTTGGACCTGTAAGTTGCTCGCTTTCATCTGTGCCTGTAATCTATGCTCACATACCCAGACACATTTCCGATTTTAGCTTTGACTCACCCAGCTCTTCTTCACGCGATTCTCGCCATCGCAAGTTTGCAGATTGCGAAACTCCAATCCGTACCGCCTACAGCGTCTCTGAAGCACTACCACCTAGCTCTGAGAAGGATTGCGCGAAACGTTAGCCGGCCAAATAGGCGAGCCCAACCTTCGAACCTGGCGGCAACGCTAGTGCTATCATTTTACGAGGTGTGGAATTCCGACCACGATAAATGGAGTAGGCATCTGCTAGGGGCGCGTCTGTTATTTAAAGAAATACCATTAGCCGAAATGACACGAAACATGATGGCAATCAAGCTTCAGATGAGGCTGCAAGAGATGCAACAATCTCCAATCGATGCGTTCGGAATGTTCCCAACGTATGAAGAAAACGGTCCTTTGCATAAAGACTGGGATCTAATCGATGTGCCTTTACTGAGCGCGATAACTGGTAGAGATATATCATATGATGAATTGGGGATGGTTCCAGAAGAACGAAGCCAATATCGAAGGTCAAGGGCTCAGTACACGGAAAAGGACATGGAGAGGTACCAACAAATGAGCGATCTCTACTGGTGGTACTGTAAGATGGACGTTTACCAAAGCATTCTTGGCGGAACTCGATTATTGTAAGTTCGCGTCATGTCGTGCACTTCAAGATATGACTGTGCTGACCAACGAAGCCTGGAGTATAACCAATGGACTCAATGTCCGCCGCGGGCCCCAATAGGGAGGCTTGACGCCATGTGAGCTTACGCATCGCACAAATTATATAATGATTTAGATAATCCTGACAATTACTAGATACGGCACGTACGATCATCTGATACTGCTACTCGGTCGCCTAGCAAGCTTCACGTCGAAAGACCTAACCCGCAAGCGCGAAGCATTCAAGGCGAACGGGCCAGGCCGCGGCGGTTCGCCGGGAATGTTTCCGGGCATGGTACCTCGCCACCCGGAGAGGGTGACGGTGCCGATGGGCTTCACCCCGCCGCGGGAGACGTCGCCCGGCGGCGACGAATCTCCCGAGAATATCGACCTCGACACTAGTACCGCCGAGGCATATCGCGAGTGGGAGGAGATCCGGCAGGCATTCGAGACTCTAAAGGGCCACTTCGGCCCCGAGTTCCAGCCCCTCGGCGCCGACATCTACCCCGCGAAAGCGACGCCATTCGGACTCGCCGCCCACTACAGAACATACTCTATCGCAGGTATCTGGATGAACTTTTACATGGGCCTTATCGTACTGCACCGCGCTCACCCGACTATGCCACCTATCGCCATGGTGGCCGCGGGCCTCTCGGCAAGGACTACGGCGAGTTATTGTATGGAGGTTGGACGCATCGCGGCGGGCTTAGAGGAGAATATCGAGCAGCTCTCAAACGTCAGCACGCTGATGGCAGCTGCGCTGATTGAGTGCTGTTTCCCGTTGTTCGTGGCGGGCATTCAGGTAAGTTCCCGCAAGATTGCGTTTAACAGACTACCTAAATTCGATCCGAATTACCTATTTGTCGCATTTATCCGTACTTACCTATATATATACACGTATTAACACGTAACTAACCACTACCATCGCAGTACCACGACGACTTCCAGCGACAGTGGACAATTCAGCGTCTCCACGACATCGCGCGGCTGACGGGGTGGCAGTCGGCGCGGCAAATCGCAGTCGGGTGCGAGTCGGCGTGGATCAAGGCCGCGCAGATGGGCCGCGGACCGCCATACGCGAGGTCTGTCAACCTGAACATCGATCCGCCCGGCTCGGTCTGGGTTCATGCCCGCCGCCTCGACAAGCGCATTGAAGAGATCGATCTTGACGAGTCTAAGATCGTCCTCGCGAAGGGCGAGAAGGCGTCTTATGCTATCGGATTGCTGGCCGTGGAGCACGACCTGGAGAGGCTGGATCTGGAGACTAGCGAGAGGAATGGACGGTAGGGTTCCCTTGGCGGTCTTATATACCACTTAGATACCTACCTAGGTAGGTATGTAGAAAGAGAAGATAGGGTGACGTTGAGGGGGATGGGAAATAGAGGGCGTGGAGATCTAGGAATAGGACACTACGTTTCATGATTGCACGGATTAGATACGGATGCGGAAATGGATATGGAAATGGAAATGGAAATGAAGACTACGTTGCAGGCGTTTGAGTTGAAATAAAAACACAGGTGCGTTGGATACCTCGCGTCGGAAAAAAAGGGGATACCTGTTCAGTACAAAAATAGTACCGTCGGATCCGGTTGGCACTTTTATATAAAAAAACCCACCCGCGCAGCTTTTTCAAACTTCAAAGAGTCAGAGTCAAAAGTTCAGAGGTCTTGATATCGGGATTAGTTCAGTAACAGTAGCAGGGGGGGGGCGAAATCTCTTGTTCTGCCCCCCATAGACACGTCTAATTGCGATCCATGCTTTTATATTTTCGGCCTACCGTACCCGGGATGCCAAAAAAAAAAACTCCTCGTAGTGAAGCAAGGTGTTATTTATTCCCCTAAGGTTGGTTGGTTCGCCTAATTTGCGGGTAGTCTCTCCACGACCTGGGCCATCTCTTCGTCCGTGTATATCCTGAAGCCCCGCTCCTTCGTCACGCTCGCCAGCTGCACGTTCTTGGAGTCCAGCTTCTCCTCCATCACTTGCTTCAGGGTCTTAAGGACCAGCGTTTCCGCATCCGCGATCGTGAGGGACTGGGAATGTGATTAGCAAGTTATACGCTACGTAAAACGTCAAATATTAAGATTGGATATAGAATATATATAATATACCTTGTGATACTCGTTCTGCAGCTCGGCCTGGGCGCCCTCGCTCCCGGAGCCGATGGCCTTGGCGTCGTAGCGGTAGAAGGTGCCGCTGGGCTCGGCGTGGTAGAGCTGGGGGCCGTCCTCGTCGTAGCCGGCGATGAGGAGGGCGACGCCGAAGGGGCGGCTCATGATGCTCTCCTCGCCGTTGGCGCTCTCGCCGAAGCGGAGGGCGAGGTCGCAGATGGCCTGGGTGCAGGACTCGACGCGCAGGTCCTCGTTGAAGTTGAAGGCGTGGCTCTGGCACTCGACGCGCGCGTGCTCGACCATGCTGCGCGCGTCCGCCTGCAGCCCGGACATCGCGCACCCGATGTGCCGGTCGATCTCGACGATCTTCTCGACGGACGAGGTCTCGAGGAGGGTCGACGTCACGCGCTTCTCGACGCCGAGGACCACGCCTTCTGATGTGGCGACACCGATGGCCGTCGAGCCTAGCTTGATGGCTTCGAGCGAGTATTCGACTTGGAAGAGCCGGCCTTCGGGGGAGAAGGTGCTGGGATAAGGGTTAGTAAGGGTGCCGGAAGGGCTAGAGCGGTAGGTGGCGTGGAGCGGAGCGGAGGGGAGAGGGAGCCGTACTTGATACCCCGATCTGGTCGTCGTTCGTCATGTTAGCTTAACACAGGTCGCAGATAACACCCAGCTTTGGAAGCTTTGAAGAGGGGTGGAGGGGGGATTTACCATATTCGGATCTTGACATAAACATCTTGACGGATTTCAGGAGGAAAGGGTATGCGTCTCGAAAAAATGGGTTACGAGGCCAGTGACGTCGAGAATTCTTATGTCGCGGGAGAGGAATGGGGAGTTGAAGTTGGGGGAAGCGGGAGGCTGAATATCTTAGGCGAAGAGGCTACGAAGCTTTGGAAGCTTCAAGGCTGCTACACCGTTTACGAAGCTCGGGTCTTGTTTGCACCAACCGGGGTTTGGGGCTAGGCGCGGACAGGGGGCTGGAAGCTTGGACCATTTACGTGTATGTACTTGGGTACGTGGAGATGCAAGGAATTCATATTATTATCGATAAGGTGGGTGGACTTATATCATACAAATTCCCTACTTGTGGTCAATGTCTACCGTTCATAAGTCAATAGTAACTTCCCATTTTTACTACATATCCCTAGGGCTGGCTATAAAGATGGGAGCCGCGACTCTCAGACATCAAGCTAGCATCTAAATGAGCTCGGGAAACAGTAGCTAACATGTTTTTCCAAGGGAAAGTTCAACAAGAAGCTCTTTATTCTACCTAAACTGCCTAGATATTCTCATTAGTCTTCTAACACTCAACCTTCCCTCCTCATTACAAGCCGTGCATCTGAAGCTAAAGACGAAAATAACATGAGAGTTTCTATATACCATCTCGAGGCAATTCCGAATGGCAACCAGTCATTTCTTCGGTCTGGGTACATTTTTACCAATTCCCCCTTTAGCTTTAGATTTCTCTAGCTTCCGTCGCTTGGTCTTTTGACTATTGGTGGAATCGTCTCCTTTGTCCTTCTGCTCTTCGCATCCATCTTCTGCTTTTACAACATGTTCCGTTTGACGATTTCCCTGAATACGATGTTTACATTTTGAGCAGATGACACCGTCAGAGGATTTAACCAACGGCGCAGGCCCCTCACAGAGGACAGGGAGGCCTGTAATTTTCGATATCTTTCCGCCGCATCTATATTTCATCAATTGTGTAGGATGTTCATAAATTGCAGAATAATATTGATAATTAGCACATGTGCATTTGGGCTTAGGACCAGGCGCACGCTTCCTCTTCTTGGAGTCAGCTTCCGTTTGGTTAGACTGGGATAAGTAAGAGTGTTCGTCCATCGCGGTATAAGCTGTCGAATAAGGCGCAGTTCTATATTCGACATTCATATTCTCATAATTCTAGCAATGATATATATGTATATATATATATTCTGCCATAGTTATTATATTACTTGTTTCTCCCCTGATAATCTGTTATTATACGTCATCTTCCAGCCGTATAATATCTGTTTCTGGAATATCTGAAACTGTTCAGTAAATTGCATCTAATTTCTCATATTTCAACATCATAGCAAGACTATAAAGTGAGATTGTCTCAAGTACAACCTCAGGTACCTCTAAGAACGCCCGGAATTAGAAAGGCTTTGCATGACGTTCTGAGTTGGCAGATATAACATAAAGAAAGTTACTTAGAACACCTCTTTGTCTGCGATAGTAATGTTTTATAAATAACACATCCTTAAAATTTCTCGCTAATGATTTGTATAATGTACAGCTAGCTTTAGATTTTTCATCAATTTCATTTCACTCAAATACTTTCTGTCATATTATATCCAAATCGTTGTCGGGAGTATATTATTCATCATGATCGACCCGGAACAGACATTCATGAGAATCTCGGAGTGTGATCATGAGTACGACTACCTCGGCGATGAAGACCACCGCAAGAAATATGCAGGAATGGTCACAATGACTTTGCTTTTATCAGATCGCCGCCGTGAGATTTTTGTCACGGCTCCAGCAGAGTTTCTCACGGATGAAGCGAATGCGAAAAACGTATTCTTGAAAAAGCTATACAAACTTCTTCCAAGCCTCTCAGCCGAAGCTATCATGCTCCGTATGGACGCTGACGGTCTGTTGGAAGAGGTCACTTCAAACCTAGCAGCAGTAGACTCCCTAAGAGAAACAAGCGATATAAAGACACTTGCAGATATGCCAAAGCCACTCCTTTCCGATACTCCGTTTTCTAGCTGGCCTACACTTCGGCATACGCAATTGATCGAATTGGACCGGTTCACGCCCAATGTTGACCTTGTGAAGCTAAAAGCTGATCAGCCCGATGCTCCTTTGGTCGTTAAATACATACTTGAGGATTATCAAATGAGATGGATCTGGCATGAGATGAATGTGCTGAAGACGATTCAGCCTCACCCCTCTATAGTCCCCCTTGACCGTGTTGTATTAGATGACAAGAGTCACATCATTGGCATGACCACCAAGTTCATCAAAGGAGGCAGTGTTTTGTCGAAGAAAGATCGGACATTTAAGCTCAAGTGGCTTAAGCAGCTTACCGAGGTTCTGGATTTTCTTCACCTTGACCAAGGTACAACTCCAGTGTGGCTAGAATGACGTTTATTCATATGCAAATACTAATTGGTCGCTAGGAATCGTACATACCGACCTTAAGCTGGACAACATGTTAATCGACGAAGATTCTGATAGACTTTTACTATGCGACTTCGAGAGAGCGCGGGCGATTTCAGGGAACGGGATGGAAGATGATTTGTTTCTCGTTGTTTGGAATTTATACTCAGTAGTCACGCAAGACTACGAGGCTTTAAACAAAAGATTTTGGGACACATGGTTGGAGGGTGAAGTTGACTATGATTCCGAGGTACTTGAACGAATGCCCACTTGGCCAGTCAAGGCAAAGCTGGATTGCGACTTGACGGAATTTCGAGAGTACCTCGATGGATGGCTCAAAAAGCGCAGAGAAACCTTGGACAGTACTAAAGCGAAGAACCAAATTCTTATGGAGTGGGAAGATGAACATTATGTTCCACGGATGCCGCATCTCGTGCATATCCCGTTGGATCCTGCTATGACTCAAGACCGTTGCTTGTCAAAAGGAATCAACATTGCCTGGGAAAGGCCGCCTTACGAGGTGGCGTACCCAGATAGAGTACCTAAAAAGGAGAAAACCGAGTCAAAGCTCTCCTACTTAGAACAGATAAAGATAGTACCCCAGGTGAATACAACTAGCGAAGTCGAAGCGTCTAATGTCCCTGTTGAGCAAGAACAGGATAAGAAGAGGAAGATATCAAGCTCAGTAGAGGATGAGCCATTTACAAAGAAGTCGAAGACTTCGAAGATTGAAGGTGGAGATAAGAAGAAGGAAGGCAAAGAAAAAGGCAAAGGCAAAGGCAAAGGCAAAGGGAAGGGGAAGGGGAAGGGAAAGGGAAAGGGGAAGGAGAAATAGATATTTTGGGGGGAGATGGAATACTCTAATAAAGGGGTTTGAATAGGGGGGCAGATACTGCTTAAGTAAATAGAATATTCGCAAATCGAAGCGCCAATCATGCTTATCTACATATAACGCGCTGTTACTTCCGTTCAACGCGACACCCAATTATCGATAAGTTCTCAATTGGACATTAAGCATCCATTAGACGTTGGACAACATTCGAACCTCCCACCTTCAGACCCAAGCTACCAGGCGACCTAAATACTACATCTGCTCGCGACATCGACTCTACGTCAATCCGAGACGCATGGTACTGAATCACAAGAGTTTCCAGATGTCGCCGTCCAGTGACCATGTCTTCGAGGGTCTCCAATCATTCAGAGAGGCGCACAAATGGCACCAGCGATAATGACAGCAACCCGCGACCCCGCGGAGGTGGTCAAGCTTCACGAAGTTCTCAACATCAACGAGGTACACGATCCCCGCAAGCTGCCGATATAAACCCTCCTCACAAGCGGACCGCATCAGGAAATCCACGCCCGGTTAACAAGACTGTTGAAGAGCGAAGGACTGAGCGCACAACTATCACTACCAAAGAAAAGCTCACCTCGCGAACAAAAAGTCCAGAAAGACGATCTAAAGATGCGCCCCCGCCGGAGAAATGGAAGGCGAAAGAAGCTCCAAAGTCTCGTCAACCAGAGATGAAGCCGAAGGAACCAAAGCTTGACGCCGCGCCTGGTAAGTATATGCTCCCTTACCTCAAGGATCTAAGCTAATCTTCCATGACCATCTATAGCAGTATGGGAGCCCGTAGCTAGATTAGCACCGCACACATCTGCGCCTCTTGCGATTCGTGTATCGGTCCCCCCTTCAGCTTCCCAAGCGCCGCAGTCTCTACAGCCTCAACCTCTTCACGAGTTATCCTTAGAAGCCCAGGAGGCAGCGATAATTGAGGATATACTGTTTGTTTTTATGGGATATGAGGGTCAATATATACGTTACTCCTACTCGTATGACCCCGAAGAAGAGAGGGACCGACTTGCAGGCCCCGAATTCAGAATACTCCCAGGACTCGACCCCAGTCTTCAGGATTTAACAATGTCAATGCTAAAAATGGCCACCTACTACTCAGCCCTCGAGACTTTCATCGATGTGCAGAGTAGAGATGAATTCGGTGCTGTCAACCATGCCCTATGCGCTGCCATCAGGAAGTTTTTACAAGACTATCTAGTCATGGTCGCTCAGTTGGAGACTCAGTTCTTAACCAATGAGACCTTTACCTTACACCTTCTCAACGTTCATACCCTACCCACAAGTCAGATGATGTACCAGCTTTATTCATTAGCCCACGAGTTTTTGAAGAGGAACGCGCTTTTAGATGTTGAGAGCGAGGAAGAAGATGAAGACATGGAGGATTTCGATAATATCATAGCAAACTTGCAGCGAGGCGAGGAGTTCATGCCGGGGAACTTGACGGGAAAGAAGATTTGCAAAGGTGGCGTGGTCATAGGTTTGATCACCAAGAGATTAGACACCATGTCTGGAGATCCTGCTGCAAGGTCATTGTTAACATCTTTGCTTCGCGATGCCAGTCGACCATATATGGCAATGTTGAACGAATGGCTCCATCATGGAGAGATCAGAGATCCCCATTCCGAATTTCTCATCAAAGAACAAAAGAGCATCAGGCGAGACCGACTGGAACAGGACTACACCGACGATTACTGGGAGCGAAGATACACTATCCGCGAGCGTGATATACCCCCGCAATTGCAGGGCGTCAAGGACAAGGTCCTCCTCGCAGGAAAGTATCTCAACGTCGTGCGAGAATGTGGAGGGGTTGACGTTAGTAAAGTCGCCCAAGATGTTCCTACATCTTTTGATGACGTGCGATTCTTGGATAATGTCAATAACGCCTATGCTCATGCGAACGAATCACTCATGAAATTGCTCCTAACTACGCACGCTCTTCCCGCAAGATTACGCTCACTGAAGCATTATTTCTTCCTCGATCCGTCCGATTATTTCACCTATTTTATGGAACTCAGCGCGTCGGAGTTACGAAAGCCGGTGAAATCCGTCAACATCGTTAAGCTACAGTCTTTACTGGATCTCGTCTTACGACAGCCCGGCAGTATCGTGTCTTTAGACCCATTCAAGGAAGATGTTCACATAGAAATGAACGAGGTCAGCCTAATTAAGATGTTGCAACGAGTTGTTAACATCACGGGTATTGAGCAAGGAGAGGCTCTGCAACCTCTGAGTAATCAGCCTATCGAAAACGACAAAAACGCACTCGGCTTCACCTCGTTACAACTTGACTATACTGTACCGTTCCCGGTATCACTAGTCATCAGCCGAAAAACGGTATGGAGATACCAAGCACTGTTCCGCTATTTATTATCATTAAGATATTTGGAATCGCAACTGTCAACAACATGGCAAACTCATAACACTGGTATCGTCTGGTGCCATAAGTCGTCAGCGAGGCGCGTCGAAATCTGGAAAAGACGAGTATGGACTCTGAGAGCTCGAATGATAGTTTTTGTCCAACAACTTCTCTACTTTTGCACCCTGGAAGTCATTGAGCCAAATTGGCAATCTCTGATGTCAAGACTCAAAGCTAAGGATGGCAGTCTAGACGGGTCGGGCAAGCCAGATCGGACAGTCGATGAATTGATGCAAGACCACGTGGACTTTTTAGATACTTGCCTTAAGGGTTGCATGCTAACCAACGGCAAGCTAATTCGAGTAAGTAGTTCTATTATGTGCCTATCGCCTTCTTACTTACCTCTTTTAGATTCATTCGAAGCTAATGCAAACCTGTACTGTTTTCGCCGCTCATATGAACTGGTTATCGCGCGAGCTGGAAAAGACCGATCCGGATCTAGTTGGCCCTATACAGCCGCCGAATATGACCGACAAGGAGTGGAAACGATTTCAGGCTGTAAAGTCCCAAAAGTCACATAACGACAGCTCTACCAGCCATCTCCAAGACGACGAGGCACGGTTCAACACCCTAAATGAGATCATTAGGGGCTGGGAGAAGAACTTTAGTCGGCATCTGCAAATTCTGCTGGATGCCTTGAACCATTACGCCGCGACGGAGACGGTAGTCCTCCTAAGCTTGTGCGCAAGGCTGGCAACCGCTAACCAAGGAACCGAATTCGCGGGCCCCCGCCCCGAGGGTGAAGCGGCTGTATGAATATCCCATGTTAGTAATGAGATTTCCGGCGTGACGTGACATATCGACGTGAATGGTGTTCTTAAGGGGTTGAGAGTCGCGTATGGCGTTTTGGCGGGATGAAAATAGTTGGTTTCAGGCAGAGCCGTCAGCTACGCAGTGAAGAGATACCTTTTACCTTTACCCTATACCTTGAATTACGAGTTATCTTGTTTTTGTGATGAGCTTGGGGCTCCTGTATCCATCCGAACCAATGCATTAGTTATTTACTTCATCGCCTTTGCTCTAGTGTGGAGATATCCCTTTTTGAGCCTGTTGGGCTTATGTAGTTCTATAGGAGGCAATAAACCTGTACAAAGACTATCTCGATGAGCAAATAAAATTAGGGGCTTCATGTGATATGTACGTCCTTAGAATATCTATAGAGTGAAGATGTAGTCTACCAGACTTTTTATACGCCAACCGACCCGATGCGATAGTAAGCGCATTTTCTCATCACCGTCGTACAGCGTTAATATACATATCGCATATCTTCATGGCCCCAAGTACCTTTTAGCCTCAGGTAAGCACCATATCAAGCCAGAGCAGATCGAAGCTCGTATCGAGTAGGATATTCTAGCTCCGATTGTTAAACGGCGTTTGATATATCCCATTCATAGTCTCACTAATCATGCGCCTTATACTTACGGTCAAAGAGGGTGGCTCCTTAGTTTATTCAGCTTACTTGGCCACGCTCTCCTTAACAAGCTCAGCAACTTGCGCCTTATCTACGTCCACGCCGTCGAGCGGGCCGCCCGGCGCAAAGAGCGTCTTCATGACGGCGCCAAAAATGGCCTTCTCGGCACCGCCGCCGCCGCCGCCGCCGCCGCCGCTCCCGCCCGCGGCCTCGACGGCGCCGGCTACGACGCCGGCCAGCGCCTCGGGGGAGAGCGTCTTCACCCCGCTCTGCGCGAGGTACTCTTCCAGGACGGCGATCTCGGCGTTCTCGGTGTAGACGAGGTCGTCGCGGCCGGCGTTGGCGAAGGAGTCGCGCGCCTCGACGGACTGGCTGATGGACTTGCGCAGCAGCGAGACGAGCTGCACGTCGCTGGTTATCGGGGACTTGGTCTTGGAGGCGTTGGTTACGGCGTTGAGGATGGAGCGGATGGCCGAGAGGCGCGGGGCGTCTTTGGCTCGCACTGGAGGGAGGAGGTTTGAGTTAGCGATTTACGTTGCGCGAAGAGTTGTGCACGAAGAAGCTTGAGAAGAAGCCGGTGGAGGGTGCGCGACGTACTGGCCGCCTTGAGATCACTCTTGAACTTCTTCAGCAGCGGAGGCGGTGGGGGCGGCGCGTCGCTCGAGTAGAACCGTGCGCTGCTACTACATATCTGGCTTGTCGGCATCGGCAAAAGCCTCGGACTGGTTGGCGACGCGAGCCGTGTTCGTGCTAGCAATCGTTCCGCGAAGCGGGGAGAAGGTCGTAAAGCCGCCATTGTTGGTAAGTTCGGGGACGGTGGCTTCGAAGGGAGAGGGAAAAAAGAATAATTAAAAAATTTTGGTAGTCGTAAGTTGGGCAGCTTTCTTATGGGTCCGGGGAGAAATTCAGGGGATCTTAACCGAAGGTCGCGCCAATCGACCTTTCGTTTCGGTACGGTGATGCGTTCCGGGCCTCTGTCGAAGCGGTCGTAGCTTGCCAAACTGTCCAAGCGTACTATGTGGATGTGGATAAGGTCGATCTCGGGAGCTTAATGTCTGGTACCTGGATTTCGTTAAGATCACGATCGTCACATGCTCTGTAGACCGAATGGAGTGAGGCTGAAAAGTTAAAAGCGAATTGGTGCGAATTGAATATCGAATTGACTTTTTTAAGCATTGCTCTTATTGGTCGGTTGCTAAGCTGAAGCTGCGGTAGCACAACCTCTCATTAGAACGATATCCTGTTACACAGCAATTCACTTAACGGCTCAACTAATAGCCATTAATCAATCGACGGCGGACGATAGTACCGAATCCGCCAACCCGCCAATTCATTTTATGTACTGCGATGTATACAGTATGAATGCACAGTATCTTGAATAATTACCACTGTATTTCTGAGCTTACAGGGACTATAGCGCTGAAGAGCGCTAAAGAGCGCTATAAACTACAGCGTGCTATAGCGCGTAGCTCCTTACAATTTATAAGGGATTAATCCATTTAATTGAATTGTAAGTTTTACTTGGCTATTCGCTAGGCTTGAATAAACATTTGCAGCTTAAAAGCGATTTAATTAATCAATTATTCAATTGATTAATTAATTAGCTAGGTTTAAACCTGGTTAAAATACGTTGTATAAAAGGTAAGTATGTAGGTATTGGATAGGTTTACCGACATTATATTGTACCTAGCAAAGGGAGTCACGTGACACTAGTCATGTGCCATACGTCGAGTGCTGTAAGTCACGTGTCACCTTGCGGCTGACCTTTGAACAGTAATCATTGAACTTATTAAAGAGCTGTTCAATTGACTGTTCAATTGACTGTTCAATTGACTGTTCAATTGACTGTTCAATTGACTGTTCAATTGACTGTTCAATTGACTGTTCAATTGACTTAGGTAGTATTCAATTGACCCTTGAACTGCCCATTTAAGGATTAATTACCTAGGTAGGATTTAAGGGCGCTGTGATAACGAAAGTGTGCGCTATAGCACGCTGTAATTTATAGCGCCCTTTAGCGCTATAGTCCCTGTAAGCTCAAAAATACAGTGACAATTACTCAAAGTACTGTGCATTCATACTGTATACATCGCAGTACATAAAATGAATTGGCGGGTTGGCGGATTCGGTACTACCGTCCGCCGTCCAATCACCCTTCGATAACCATCGATAAACGCTCATCCTGGTTCATTCTCATATGATTCTCCCTGATCATATTAAAAGGGTAATTACCTGTTTGGATAGGATCATAGGATCCCGTAATTTCTATTTCGATGGAAGCACAAAACCCATGTCCCGCGTCCCAAATACGGTATCCCCATGTATAATCCGAGCTGATATGATCGACGGTCGGGTTCGTCTGATGGTGTTTAGGCGCAACATTGACTTCCAAACCTGCCGTCACTGTTTCAAGGAGACATTACTTGCATCACATTAGAATAGCATAGGGATCTGATAAATGTCACCTGACGGGTAATGGCAGCGAGATGGTCCATGATCTATTCGCGTAGCATGGGTCGGGACGACCCTTTACATCCGCGGTAGGGCCCACCGTCACCTACAGCCCACAGAGCCCAACGGTTCTCTCCTTGGCCGCCACCTTGTTACACAGTCACATTATCAATCACATATAGAAAAGCAAAGTCCATAAGTAGGGCTCGGGGATGGGGGTGACACAAGAGCTTACCATCGCGGTTGAATACCTAATCTATGTCAAACGGGCAGAACGGGATCGAATTTCGGGCGAGTAGCCCGGGTAGGCTGGTAAATTCTGCGGGTAACAGTAACATTGTCGCCCACACAGCTCACTCACGCCCACGCCCTCGCCCTCGCCCTCGCCCTCAGGCTGCCCGTCCCGTTGCAACGTCTGTGGATGATGATGGTCGTACCGTTGCCCTTCCGGTAACAGTGGGCAAGCTGGGTAGGGTAGGCTCGAGAGTCTAGAACATGGCATTTTAAGGATTTGGAAACGAAATCAAGAACGGACCGGGGGCTTGGCCCACTGGAATATGGATAGTTGGTCCGCCCACGACCAGGAGATAACAAAAGTACGGTGGTGCGGGATGCGATCAAAAGGGAGCAGCCGTGACAGCGGCCAGCATCTAGCGGCCAGCGGCTCTAGCCGCCCGTACTTACAGATTTACATGATTTGCATCCATACCTACTTCTCGATGCCGGCCAGTAATATTGCCATACTCCTTTACGTATTACATGACTTAGCCTCAATGATTGTGTGCGTGTCCGATGTACCTTTATACCTATACTTATACCTATACCTATACCTGTATACCTATATACCCTGGAGTTACGTAGGGACACGCTGTGTATAGAGTTGGGCCGGTAGGTACCCTATGGGTATTTGTGTTCGGCGCGGATTGGGTTGAGACACAGTCCCGACTAGTTGGACCCGAGACTCTGGGTAGAAGGAGCGAAAGGCATGCCATGATTTGTTACTTCCCTTTTGGCTGCAAACCTTAAGCTGACCTCACGTCTTTCCGTCTTAATATCTCCACACGCCCCTCTCCGTCTTCTCCTCTCCTTTCAATGTATCACATGCTACCGGAATTCCCTGAAAAGCGAAACATAATCCATCTCTATACCCAAAAAACGTCTCTATAAATGCAGCCATGCTCCTATGACCTTATGACCCTATCTTCAGATTGCTTAACGTATAAAGTGCGAAAGCCCGGTTCCCGTTGGTAGGGACATGGACAACGCCTGAACTGCCTTACCACCACGCCTAAACCCTTCCCTACACAGGATTCATCCCTCTCCACCCACAGGGACAACCGAACCATCAAGCGACACGATCATGAACCGATCAACTTGATCTATGTCTATCTGTGCAGCGTCCTGTGCCTTTTCTCCAACCCGGCAAGGTTCCCCTCCGCCAAACTCCATCAAAAATAGTCGCCCGATCATCTCAGCGCCTTGGCTTTCTACCGACGCACACATACCTTCGAATTCCAGTTGTTAGCTTTTTCTCGGCCTTTCCTCCCTAGGGTCTTGAAGCAAGGACGACTCACACTCGGAAATATGGCTGTCATTTGATAACATCACTTGTCAGCACCCATCCGCAGCCTGTCTCGGTCATTTGAGTTTGAGGATTGCGGTAGAGCCTTACCTTGAGTGCGGGTGTACTCGCTTCTGCTCTCGCTTGGGCTACCAGGACGTGGAATTCCGTAATCGTCATGCTACGAAACGTCAACACCATCTCGAATAAAAATCAAGATCTCCTTGATGAAAGGGGAAAATAAGAAGGAAAAAGAAAAAGAGAAAATATCGGCGTGAGAACGCACCCAAGTAATTCTGTAAATGGGTACAGAGCTAAGGACCCTAGCATCAAGCGAACATTTTCTTGGTTGGCTACACCAATATCGAATTCTCTCTGACCTATAATGCATCATCAGGGTTAAACATCCAAAAGAGAATATTCGGCAATCATACTATCAGACCAGCCGCACATTGGAAGGGGAATCACTATCAAGATGTCAATTAGTAAGCGTGACTCCAAAGAGTTGACAGCAAAGTCGAAGCTTAGGGGCACCCCAAATATGAACCGAACGAGCAGATTCGGTTTCCAAGATGGAGTATATTAGGGGCAAATGAACCCTTAACATACTTCGTTCCTCGACATCGGTAAAACCAGCGTGTCTCATCCAATGCCCAAGACGCCGTGGCGCGTCCGGATTCTTGAATTGTGCCGTCGCTGCTCGGTATTTATCTGACCATTGACGAAGGGCGTGCGCTATGAGAAACACCGTCATGAGCTCAACTGTAACGCGTATCGGATCTCTCCCTGGGCTTACCATCTGTCAATGTGCCATTGTCGGATTGTGCGTTGAAGTCCATCTCAACCATCTGGCACCACCCGCCTCCGCGAAGACACCGTAGGATATCGCGCATGTATCCATGCCATCGATTTCGGTCGATGCCTCCAGCTACCAGCCTACTGTTCACGAGATCGAAATTATTGGGAGGGAATTGAAGCCTAAAGGGAGACTTTCTGAGATCGCTGCACTAATAGTCCGATATTTCGGTACTTACGGCATGTTAAGGTTGTCGACATTAAGGTAAAGGTTCTCAACACTCTCCTCGGGGTTATAGTGGTGGGGGCTCACGTCGATGCCATTAACCTAAAATTACTCTTGTGTTAGCTCTCAAGGGCCTCGAAACAACAAACAACTTTTTCTGTACGCTAACTGCTAGCATTGGATAGGCTGGATCCTCCGTTTTACGGTCAAGATCCGCCGACTGCAAGTATTTCCTGACTCTAGCCCGCGGCCTGGAGAGGGAAGCTGAGCACAGGCTTATCACGTCGCAAGAGAGGGCGGGACTAGTTTCGGCTCGAAGATGTAAGAGTTGAGGAGACTCTTCCGGAAATATACGTCTCCTAAAAACCGGGAATCGTGAAGAGCGGTCGATCCAGGAAATTAAGCTATACATGCCTCGCACCTAGGGTTCTCCCAAGCTACCTGAAAAGCCCATAGGCCCGTACCGAAACCGCAGTCGAGCACTCGTCTTAATGCTCCCATGGGCGGAAAGATGGACCTTCCGTCGAACATCATGGTCAAGACATCATGCTGAATTCGCAGACGAATAGTCTCATCCTACAAGAGTTGTCGATGTTAGATTTCAAACCGTGCCTGAAAAGGGGTATTAGGGGCTGCAGACCTCATCGACTGGCACAAAGTATATCTTGCGATCTATGGCGATGCGCTGGTATGTTCTGTTGTGGTGGATAATTGTTTCGCGCACCTCCTCGGTGAGCTCTTCGGTATCGGCGTGCCTGCCAACATTTTAGTGAGCAGAACGATTCTACTAATGCCAAGGGTCCTGTATCTACCCGGTCATTTTATAAGACAAGCTTCGTCGAAGGATTCTAAATCTAAAAAGGCCTAGTTGAGAATACCGAGGGAATGGTTCATAACTAACCAGCTGCGCAGTCATGGAGTCGTGGTAATGGGTGGCACAAGCAAACGGCTATAGACTTCCGAATGGCGGCTTTTAACCAGAGCGGCTTTCTCAGTTTGGGTCTTCAACTCCATCGACACACACCTCCTTCTCGACGAGGAGGCCGTCTGATCTCCTCTATTCCCTAGGTACATGGGGACCGTTAGTGGCAAGTGGTATATTGCAAACATAATAAAGCTGTTTAGGCGTGTGTGGAGCCAATGGCCCGGTCGAAACAAGCACATTGGTCACACGTCCACAGCTTGCACCCCACGAGCTGTTGTTGCAGATCCTGGGTACTACGGTTACTCCCTATGTATGCATCAGACCTTCCTGATCAAATCCGCTCAGCTATAAACCACTGAGGCATAAGGGCAGGCATATGAGGTTCCTAGACCTGTTCCTCTCTGGTTGCTTCCACGACCCAATGCACCCGCACTAGTTCCCGTCTCTGCTCGTGCATTTTTTTCTCGGTATGAAGAGACGTTGCTGCCCAAGCCTGCTTCTTCCTTGTTGCGCTTGGCATATACTCCGCCCAATGGCTATTTGGTTCAGGTGCTGCGGAGGGTTCATATTGCATTGAATGACATATAGCGCAGAAAAGGTCTTGTATGTGGCTAGGTGGGATTTAAACAGCCACGTATGAAACTCAACTTAAGCTTGTGATTGAACGTGCTGGCTCGGCAGTCACTCGGTACTCTGGTTACCCTTCTAAAGATTCTGACAGTTACCGTACTGTGTCCAGTGTTACTTTCTAGCAATATCCGGGTCAGTTGATGCGGCCATGGCCAAGGGTTCAGAACTTTGGATGGCGCAGCCGCGTTGAGCGCGGACAACTTCAGGCCCAAGGTGATTTTGGCGGCGGCAATGGGGGATAAAGATTCAAGCGCTCTTTCCAAGAGTAGGAAATCTTTTCTGTCTAAACATATTTGGCTTGGTTTGGCAGAGAACCGCCGAATTTCGCAGGGTCGTCTGGTCAAGGGAGTCTAAACATCCAGCTCGCGGACTAGCTGTGGCTTTACTTCCATGTGCCCCCTATCCGGGGCACGCAGAGGACGGCAGCCACACCAACGGGTACTCCCAGCGATCCGTGGACCCTAGCTACTTCTCAGGATTCTTTAAACCCATCCTCTACCACTACTACTAAGAAGCTTGAATCTAAGACCCCTGACGACTACCAAGAGACGGCACGGGGAAGTCTTTGGTAAGCATGGCGGTCGCAGCCTGAGTCAGAAAGAATATATTACTTGACGATGACCTTTAATCTATTACAGGCTTGTGGATGTGGTCAGTTACGAACGAATTCCACATACGTACGTAGCAGACCATCATGACGACAGGGATGGAATGTTCGAATGGTCGTCCAGTTACAGTAACTTGTTCGCAAAGCGACTAAGTCGGATCATTTGCGTCCACTTAGTACTAGTACATATGCATGAGAGGAGCAGGTTCACCTCACCCGGGTCTTGGGACGACAAGATTGGGGTGACGATCGTAGTGCCTACTATTATTACTCACGACTCCTTACGTGCGACTGCCGGGACGGCGAAAGAGATTACGGGATTACCTTATTTTAGTATGGCTTCCTCACACCGCCACTGTGGTCTGATGGGAGCTAAGCTTAACATTAACATAGTCGGCTAAGAAATCAGCAACGGTGTCTGGGCCGTTTATTGTCCGTTTCTTTCTCTATTTTGACATCAGTCTCAGCAGGGCGACGACTGCACAACATCTCTGGGACGCCCGTGGAATGTTTTGTCATGGCTTGCACCCGTATTGAAGGGTTTAGAGGGCACCAACACTACGAAGGATCAAAAACAAGCGGGCCGTCGCAGTGGAGATGGCTTTAGAGGGACAACGCTAGGAATTGGGGGGGTAGCGGCGATCTCCAAGTGGTCGGTACAGCAGTACCGGTACGTTTCCAGAAAGATGGATGAGTACCGTAATGTACTCCAGCTGCCCTTCAAACAGAGGGTTTCCCATTGAGCGGAACGAAACGAGGGAACTTTCCCCGACTGGCTAGAGAGGCTCGACGCCCGGAGCCCCCTGCCGAGAAGCATAAGGAGACCCTTACGATGGGCCTTCAACAGGCCTTACCGGGTTCATCAGGCGGTTCGCAACTCGTAAATGATCATGTACGAACCCAAGCCTGGTGAAAACTATATCTCTCTACGTTAATAATTAAAAGTCCTTGCCCAGATGAGTGGCATTAGGTCCATTCGTTGTTCGACGCTAGCCATTTACCCCTGGTCCACAGACAGGATTATTGTCGGACAGGCCCACACGCGGTTAAAGGCTCGATGGTCCTCATACTTACATACGGTACTGTACTATACACGCACGCAATTTTTCCTGCCGCTAGGATAGCGCCGCCCCTCTGGAACACACACACTCGCCATATCTCGCGACGGGCCTCCTAATGGGCCACGGCTGAAATCGGCATATCCGGGACTTCGGCTCAAGGGATTTGCTTCTGCATTGCACAATCTACGATCTCGATTATGGCCTGCGTCTTTTTGGACCGCATATCTCAACATCTCGCAGCGCCGATATGTACCTCGCTTTACCGTCGTCATCTTATACAATAATCATCACAATCATGTGCCTTACTTTATTATGAGCCATGCATTAGCGTGTACCGGAGTATCGGGTCAGACACTACAGGCGTGATCGTATCCGGATCTAAGAGAGAAAATAACGGGAAAAAGCGCCGGTCAAAACGACCAATTTCGACCCCAGCCTCACTCCACGCCGCAGTGATCGCCAATAGCAACCCTTGCTCACTCGTTATTACCCTGCAAATCTAGCAATCATCCAATCTTCGGCAGCCTTGGTTGGGATTTGCTTGGTTGCAAAGAAGGAACTGCTCTCGTAAGCAAAGATCATCTAGCGACACCGTCCACAACAAAAATTTGATTAAATCACGTGGGGATCGATGGAGGGTGGGCTACAGAGAGGGCCGTGAGTGACATGCTGCGTAGTAGCGGGCAAGGTAGGTGACATAGTGGGCGACATAGTAGGCAGCACATCCATACATGTATGATTCTGTATTACCAGCCCGAGCAACTGGTTCTATTTCCCGGAGTAGCCTGGCTAGCTTACCAACGCTAGGGACCTTGGAACTGAGGGGTCGGTTAGAAGGCAGGGTGCTACCCTGCGGGAAGCTCGCGTTGGGAACTTTTGAGGCTAGATTGGCTTGCAGTTCACCGTTCCTGCACTACCCATGATTGGTAGGATGATTCCAGGCCAAGGCGTTTTGCTTCCCAGCATGCGGGAGCAGGGTGGACGTTTCCCAAGCCGTCAGGTCTCTCGCTCCTTTCGGCTGCGCTGGGTGCGGCAGCATGCAGACGCGAGGCGAAGGTGCCTTACCGTCTGCGCGGAAACACCTCACACGTCCACACGTCTGGGTTGGTCGCAACTTTGGGAGAGGTCAGTGCCCCGTGCCCGTGCCCGGGCGCTGAACGTTAGCTGTACATACACCCGGGTCCTTAACCCAGCAGCTTGGTAAGGCGATCTCTATGGATAACCGACAAACTCGCGCTTGGTCCTGTTCAGGATATTGCGCCGTTGTCACTCTTAATTCCTCCAGTTCTCCGGTAGAGCAGCAGCAGAGCTAAGAAAAAAAACAAAATCCCCTAAACTCCACCTATATGTAAGTCTCCCCCTATTACACCAAGCGTTGTACATGATGTCGTACCCTTAATCAAACTTCACCAGTTGACCGTCGCGCCGCGTAACGCCGACCATGACCAGCCAGCCAGCATGACGTATACACGGAGGCCTCTTAGCGATGTCAATGCTATATATCTGCCGAGAAGCGCGGCATCCTACCTAAGCCTATCCTAAACTAACCGACGTATACGCCGTGCTACGCAAGCTGACTGAATTATATTGAAAACGGGGCTTCAATACGCCCGGAGCAGTCGTGTTGACGTCGACCTGATAGGCACAAGTCAAATACCGTTACTTGGTAAAACGATAGGCAAGCATGTCATGTCAGTAGGGTGACAAAACAGAGTAGTAGTCCCGGGAAAAGGTAGACGTGCAGGAGATGCAGCCATGAGCTGTTCTTTAAGCCCCCAAAACCGCGCCATTCGTTCTGATACATCAGGTTTTCCTCTCTTTTTTCTCTCTACCTTCTACGTCCGCGGCCCCTGCCTTCTCTCACGTTCTTGTTTTTCTCCCCTTCCGTATGCCCTATGCCTCCTTCGGTGTGTCAGGGAGGAATCCACTGGGTCTCGCTTGTCAGCCCATTTCAAGCCTTTGACGTATGTTGTATGTTGGCATTGGCAAGGCAGACCAAACCACTGAGGCGTAGTAGGTCAGGGAGTATGCGTAGGGCATGGTATGGTATGGAAAAAAAGCAGGATCGAAATAGGCCGGGGCAGAGACATACATACCTATACATATTTCGTTTGCGCACGACCGACGTCGTGACTCGTCCAATGCGCGCTGGGTGTGCGATACCTAAGATATGCGCGGTAGGGTAAGGCGAGAGGCCCGACGGCGCGTCCTTCGGGCAGACCCCCAATCGCGGGCCGCCCGCGGCCCCTTTCGGTCGACGGGGTATTTTTTTGACGTGGTTATTTTCTTTAGCGCCCAGATTGCTGGTTGCTGGCGCTGGCGCTGGGGCGCCTCTTTTTTCTCTTTTCCCTAATTATTCTTTTTTTCCTTCGTCCTTACCCCTGGAATGTGACCTGTCACATATCACATCTCACTTTATCCTTCTACATATTTCTTTTTTTGTACACATGTACATATGTACGCTGTCTATATGGGTATGGGTACCTTTGGGTATGATGGGAATTTGGCGTTCGCTTCTTTCCCTCCCCCGGCGCGAATCCTTGCCGCCGCTCTTCCCTCTCCTCTGGAACCGCAGCGGGCTGCCGCTGGGAGCTACTGCAAGCGTCACACCCTTACCGACCTACTTCTTCGCATAACCCTAGCTTGGGTGCCCAGGGTCCATTGGGTTATCTATGGCTTCTTTTTGTTAACTTTGAAATTTATCTAAAACGAAGGATGATCTGTTTTATGTACGTTCCTTGTTATTTGACGTATTACATACATAAATCGTAATATTTAACTGGATATCTTATTATTATCATCATTATTTCTTCTCGGCTTGTGACTTTCTCTTCTTAGTAAGCCTGTGACGACTTATATACCTACCTACATACCTACTTTATGTACATTGCTACATCATCCCCCCTGGGTTATACGATCCAATGTTCCATTTTGCCAAGTACATGTATGTACGTATGTACCATTCGACTTCGCAGCCGCAATCATATGGTATGATCGGGACGGCCCATTGGAGACGGTTTCTTATCGAAACGAACACACGGTGGGGGAGGAGAAACGAGGAACGAGCTAGCTAGCGAGGGGAAAGGAAATGCTACGCAGTGCTGCGACCTGATGCATGTAGGTAGGTAGAGAGGGAGAGGCCAGTTTATGGGAGCTGGCTGTTATTGGTTCCCAGCTGGGGAGAAACGTAGAATAATAGTAGTAACCCGCTCCAACACACGGCAACGTGACTTTGGGTTTGGGGGGTGTGGTATTGACTCGGGTTGGGAGTTTGGATTTGGCTTTCTCGGTGATGGAGAAACTGAGAAACTGACGAACAATGTGTGTTGGGACGGTGTTAATTTTTTCTTCTTCTTCTTTCGTTTCGATACGTCGACGCTGCTGCGCGATTACATGTCATATTATATTACGTATTACCTGACAGCCTCGTAGGATTGGAAAAGGTGAGTTGTCTATGTAGGTAGGTAATTATGTAAGTCAGCAATGCTCTCTTCCTCTAAGATCTAGACATTTCGAGTATAACATTGCGAGAGGAACTTCTATTCTCGACTTAATCTTCGTCTTTACGTCTCATGGAGCCTTAAGATTACCTATATTACTTATACGTGCTTACATATATGTAGTACGCATGACTTTAACAAGTGCTGCGTGAAGCAAGACATGATCTCAAGACACTCTATACCTTCATGGAGGTGACTAAAGGATTGATATGTATACGCGCCGTAAGTGCAATAGATTTCGTAACCCGCCATGCCATGCTGTGCTGTGCTGTGCTGTGCTATCTGATGTCTACTGTAGTCTGTTGTTATACACTCGGTGAACCCAATTCCTTGAGCCGTCTGCGTCTTTATCCGTAGGCTATACAATCGAACGCGATTCAATACTCTCGCTTCCATATCCTTCTTTTATTCATTACACGCGCCTCGGCCACCTACGTAATGTAGGATAGCTAGTTGCCGTTGTGATTGCGGTCCCTAGGCGTCTCTTCTCCTCATCCTTTTTCGAGAAGAATGTCCAGTGACGCTTCGTCAGTAGTAGATCGGGGTGTAGTTAGTCCCTCTTATTTTGCTTTTTTTCGTTTTTTCTGTTTCGCCCACCAATCACAACATTTTGCAAAGCTATTAGGCCTTAGCAATCTCACTTCTCTCTCTCGACAAATCACGTCTACCCTCTCCATCTTCACACATCATCCCCATTAACACCAAGTAAACACCGGGTTCCTAGCCTTCACCGTCTCAAGCCTCTCCACAATTACTTTCCTTCTATTCCCATCCATCGTCTCAGCGGCCGCGTAGCCCAGGTCCCCTTCGATATCTTCGTCATCTTCGTCTTCCAAGTAGCCGTTCCCGTTCCCGTACAATAGTTTCGCCGCGACATTTCCGTTGCGCGGCGTGCTTGCCGTCGTCGCCGAGTACCTGCGCTCGCGGCGCGGCGAGTACATGTTATTCATCTGAGCGCGGGGTGGGCCCTGATAACTGGACCTAGGGTTGCGCGCGAGTTTCGGGCGATTGGCAGCGGGCGTTTCCGTGATCGCAAGCGCATCGAATAGGGTCTGGGACGTGCCGTTAGGAGTGGGAGCCTCAGTACGGTCTGGCGATTGGTCGTGGGGGCTTGCGAGTTCGAAGCGGCCCGGGTTCGGCAGAGGGCTAGAGAATCCGAGGAGGTCGTCTACGTTGGCAGGTGCGGAGGACGAGTTAGCTGCGCCAATGTCCATTTCCTCCTGTATTGTTCCGTGGGCAGCCTCAGCCTTTCGGCGGATGTCAGATGACGTGGCGCGCATGGGCACGGCGACTGGAACTTCGACAAGGTCGTCCCAGACGCATACTCTTGCGCGTCGCGTAAGCTCCAGCGGGCCGTGATCTGGGGTTTTGAGCGTCTCGACGACGTTCCAGGCCTGGCCCTTCATCACCGCCATCTGTCGAGAGAACATCTTCTCCTGAAAATCCGGGTCGAGTTGGAAGACTTTCCGTAGTTCGAGCGATGTCTGGCTCCACCATTGCGTAGAAGTTAGAAGAGGGAGAAAGTGGTCTCGCGTCTTCTGGGAGAAAGGCCGTCCGATTAGGTCAACGGGGAGGAAGAGCCAACCAAATGGGAAACTGTACACATGGAGTTTAGCAGACCAAATAGTGGATGTAAGTAAGAGTGACAATACCTTCGCCATGCGTCCGGATGTTTCCACGGCCATGATAGAGAATTATCGATTGCTCCGATTGATATCTTAGGATCGGGAACTTTCCTCGTACCGGCCGCGTTCATGGGCTTTTGAGCTTTATAAGGATTGGGACTTCGTGATTTATTTCTCGTCGGCATTTCGACCGGTCTTGGTGCTTCTTCGTCTTCTTCTTCCGGGATATCCATGTTAAGTTGCGGTGGATCTGAAGCAATCGAGACTGCTTGGGTTTCCCAGTCAACCTTAACCATCCAATTGTCAAGACCCCTATCCGTATTCCGCATGATGTAATCTAGAATCACGAGCTTCTCGAGCTCTTCCCGGAATGCCTGCTTTAGAGATTCGGTCCACATGAAATTATTCGGTCCAAGAGGCCTTTGCTCAGGTATGCCATTCTCGTCCTCGCTTTCACTATCATCGTTACGGGTCCGTCTACTAGTAGGCCGGCAGTTATCCGCCCATTTCCTTTGCTTGTGTCGATGAGTATCGTTTGTACGAAAGCTAGACCAATATTGGTCCGGCCACGGATGTTCCCTCAGGAATACGTTGGCATCCTTAAATCCCTTAAGAAAAACTTGAAAACTTCCTGGCTTCGAGGGAAGGGGCTTCTTCTTCCTGTAAAAACTTCGGCGGTCCCAGTATGGATAGTGGAATGACTTGGATGACAGATAAACGACGTCGGTGTAAGGGACTATGTGGGTGCGAAGCTGGCAATCGAGGACGTACGCTGCCGCCTCGCTCACGTATGAGAGATTAGGGATTAGACTGAAGATAGGTCAGACATCTGCCGACTTTACAACTTTGCTGCAAGGGAGATAAATACTCACCATGCTCGGCCGAAGCAGCAGGGGAACAGATTCCGATGAATCCATTTGTTCCACTTTGGATTTCCAGCTGCATAGGGCTCCTCATCCTTTGGCTTGAATACGCCGACGATCTTACCATCGGTATTCCTTGCAAAATAACTCCCCGAGCTTCCCTGGGTAATCATACTGGGATGCATGCCTTGATCAATAGCATCACGCACGCTCTCCACGATAGCCTCAAACTCATCCTTGGACATAGCAGGTTCGGCCATAGTAGCAAGAGTCTCCGCCGTCGCGGGTCGTACGCCCTCAGGGGGTTGGAAGACGCTATAATGAATCTCTAGACGCTCCTCCTCACCCGGGGCGCCCTTCCCCTTCCGACTTTTGAATTTTGAAGCGATTTCATCTGCCCATCGTTCCAAGCGTGCGTTGATAGCCTTGAGGTCAACACCAGAATTGCTCCGCATTCGTTTCGGACGATACTTCGGTTTCGGGGCGGCTTTGGGTGAGGTCATGCCCGAGTGAGGCCTCGGTTGATTAATGGGTGCATATCGTGGAGCAGATTGGGGTTGAAGAGAGGCAGAACTCTGAGCCAGGATGTCGTCGTCGGATTCATCGCTGAATTGATCGGCCTGAGCTAGACGTTCATAGCCTGTTGTAGCAGGCCGATTCCGAGGCATGTTGGTTGAGGGTGGTTGTGGATGGGACGGAGGGACTAGATGGTGTAGGTGTAGGTGTAGGCGTTGGCAGGAATTACTGTATCAGGTGCATTTGCATTCTATCACGGTTATCACGGATCGCGGATCACGGTTCTCGTTGTCGAAACCTAAGTCTAAAATTGCTTGGTCGTGGACTGGTTCATGGACTGGTGCGTGCTCTGGTCCTGCCCCTGTCTCGTATTTAATAAGTAGCAAATGCCGAACGTGAATAATTTCCAATCGTGGGTCAAAGAATGGGAATAATAGCGGAGTAAAGAGAGACTAGAAAAACAACAAAAACAACAACATTGACTCGAAGTAATAGAAGTGAAGGATGATGGAGCTCTTTTTTTCCCTGCTATGTTATGTGAGTTGTAAGTTGACGGGATCTTCTAAATTGAAGATGTTGAAACACGTCACGTCAATAGGGTCGTATTGGTACCTATGTACATAGTAGAGCTATGTAAGTATGGGAGGACTTACATAACGGAGCCTACGGAATATGCAACTCTACCGATTTTACGTATTTAGCTTTGGTGCTACATGTAAGGTTCCCGGATCCCCACCCGTGGTAGCTCCACATTAATGCATCTTATGATAGATTCATTAATTGAAAGATCTCGTTATTTGTTATGCTATAGCATTAAAGTATAGGGGGATCTCGCCAATGTATTAATCCCTAAGATGATAATCGTGAAAGTATATCCCGATTCCCGCAACTTACAACTTTCATTGCCAATTCCAATTCGGCGTATATCACAAAGCAAGCCACCTTTTCTAGGTAAGCTAGCTAAGAACGCAGTCCCCATATGAAATCCACCAAGGGATGTCGGGGTTAATATATCGAAATTCTTCTATGGTACGTCGCTAAGACCCCTTTTGCGTTCTTAGAACTTGGAACGGTGTCAAGTGTGCATACATCATCATGTAAGCCTTTGGCCTACCTAAGTTAAATGCCATCAACCCCGCCCTATCGGAGGCTTCCGCTGCCTATTGGATCACCACGTCAAATAGAGACCGTTCCATACGAAACTAGGCAACCTAAACATGAACCGGCTCATCAATGAAAAGAGAAACACTTACATAACATACGTATATATATTATTCCAGAATACCTCACAAGAATGACCACGACAACGCGGTTCTTCACGGAATCAATCTTAGGCAATTCCTCGAATCACATATCTTCGATATTAGGAGATCTTCTCTAATCGACCCAATGAAATGGCCATCACGCGATCCCGTACATGATCCCAATCCATCCTCTTTGCAATAGGCTGGACTACCCGAGTCATCTGCAGCCGGAGTTTGTACCAGAACTGTACCAGAGCTCGCACGCTTATCGAACCATCTAAGAGCCGTAGTCAACATAGTCTAACATAGTTCCGAGCTTAGAAACTCTCGATTCCAACCCAGCATATTACCGTTCTGCCGTTGTCTCTAGCTTGTCCAGAGAAGGGAGAGGCTCCAGCAAAGGGTGTCCACACAATCCCAAACATAGTTTCTCTTGCGTCGACACAGAATCTACGTCAGTTGCCTTAGCTGGTTGTCCAATCGTATCTTACCCATCAGTCGAGAGATGAGCCAATCCAAGACGATCTGATACGAAAATCCCCAGGAGTGGATGTCGATCCGAGCCCTGCCAATTGGTTTGGTAGCTTAGACGGGCAAAGTCTCGTTGATCCCTGGTCTCCTTTCACATTGGTTTCCATCTCGGGGTTCCCTGGGGAGCTGTTCTTGGGCTTCTTCATGCCGATGTGATCCATCTTACCTTTCCGGATTGTCGCTTGCCCAGACTATTTCATTCTTAATTCCTCCATTACCCACCGGCCCTTGCATTCTCTCCCAAGAACTCGAACCACTCCACCGTGTCGGTCAAGGTGATAGAATTGGCAAATATATCTTCCGCCTGGCCACCTGATTCGTTCCGCAAACTGCAAACTACCTCATCGTTGACACTCTCCAATCAACTATCACATCCAAAACCTGCTTTTTGACAGTTCTCTATAGCTAACAAACGGCAATATCAAACAAATATCAAGCGAGGCAGGGTTCAAACTAGTCAAATTCACCGAATAATTATCATCAACTTCAACATGGCTGTTCAAGCAGTAACAAATGATGGTTTCATTGATATTACCATCACGACATTCTCGTCACCCGAACCTGATAGCCGGGGGCGAAAGCGACGACGCAGTCCGCCAGAAACTCTAGCAATTACAACGAACCGACTTCCATCGACAGATTCTACTACTTTCCGAGGGCGCTGCAGACATAGGTCGTCCTCGAGACTTGATGTTTCACGAAACACATCACGACTCAGAAGTGGCTCATTGTCCCCGATCCGTAGGAAGCTCATCTGCGCCATCCAACTAAATCGCCATAGAAGCCAATCACCATCTAGGTCCCGTTCAATGAACGGCCAGGAATCTTCGAAGCGAAGGCGGCAAAGGACACGAAGCCGAAGCCGGGACCACGGAGGCGAATCAAAGAAAGCTGGCGAGCCTATCGTGACTTCATTTCTTCGTCACGAGATCGTGATCCGCAACGATGGTCCGTCCCAGAAGGAGAAATAGGATGGATAGCTTGACCGAAGCTCGAAAGCTCGAGCCCTGGCTCTTCGACTATACAAAGCCAATAGTGTCCCCAGCTGAGCGGGATGTAGTACAGAAAGGATGATATGACGTTGTGTTGGGATACAGTCGTCAAGACCTGTACAACAGAAGCATCGCCAGCTGACTCGCAGGGCCGAGTCAAATATGACGATCTTGAATATTACGCTGTCACGAATACGACGGGATTAAATACGAGTAGATGGAAAACATCTTCGCTCGTTTAGGGAAAATAGTATGCTTGAACAATGCTTTTCTATGGGAAAACGGGATGAGAAAAATAAATAGGGAAAATAATCAAGAAACAAGAACAAGGGTGAGCACTCAAACTAGTAGGTAGGAATAGGATGGGATTGTATTTTAAGCAACGATAGTATAACAATCATCAACTTCAGCAATATAATAGTTGACCAAAGCATCAGAACTTTGTGAGTTCTTGAGATGTCTTAGCTGCCTAGACGTCCAGTATGTGATGTATGTGGACAAGTCCGGGGAGGACAAACCAAAGCAGAGCAAACTTGGATTAGATCCATCCGTTCAACCATGGATCTGCCAAGAGAAGGGACCCCGAATAAGTAGAGGCAAAAGGCCCCACGCCGACGATGCCTGCATCTGCATCAGCTTAATTGGGGACATTCAGATCTGCGGGGCACGTGGCCATGGGAAGCACAAAAAACGAGTTGATAGAAAATTTGAACGTGGGCTTCAGCTGGTCAGCAGACCAATCAAGCATTTGTCACTATCAGTTCTGATTTGCGACAGCATCAGCCCGCCCAGACCCGTCGAGGCAGTTACTCCCTTTAAGCTGCATCTTGGGCGGACATGGTAGGGGTTTATGGGGGCGGGGTGTGGAAGCTACGCCTATCGGCTGCTAACCCTGGTTCAAATGCTATTTCTTTGTCCTTATTGCTATTTTCCTTTTTACATGTGTGCGAGCTGAGGTGTGTATGTTGAATGTACAAGTACACATGCGTAGGTAGTGACTAATTATGTAATCAGGAGGGATTGCTACAAGCGCTACAAGAATTCTACTTAATAAATACTTCAGGTAGGTACCAGAGGAAGGCACCAAGGAGGTAGGCACTAAGGTTCCGCACTATCCTCTCACGTCAACCTAATTGCGTCCCGAAGTGTCCCTAGTTAAACAATCCGACCAGCCAGCCAGCCAACCAACTTCTTCTATCTGTGAATTTCAGAAGCTTGACTGTCACATCCACTCACATACTGCACCATACTGCAACTATCTCACCCTACCCTGTACCTAACGTTGTCCTCGTGACGACGTTGACTATTGAGATTTTTTTTCTAAGCCTGGTCTCTTTTCGAGCTTGGCCTTTTTTTATCTCAAGCCTTGTCTTCTCGAAGATACCGAAGTTACCCCTCCAACCTCGGACCTCATTGCGCGTTCCATCCAAAACCTTTCACCTTCCAACTTGAACATTCATTATTACATTTTCCTTGTTGGCATTCAAAGCAAAGCAGTGACAGCCTTGCCGATGCCCACCTTCCGCCGGCGCACCCAATTTATTCCGGCGCGCATTCCTCTTTGTCATGAACCCTTAACCCTCCGGGTGAACGCCTTAACGCCGTGACGCTGTGAATTCTGCATGTATCCGTGCTTCGCTGGGGGTAACAGGCCATAAAGCCAGTCAATATGGCTTCAAACAACCACCCGCAGGGTAATGACCCTTCTTCTAATACCTATTCCTCAGCCGCGTCAACAAGAAAACGACGCGACCCTCCTAACTCTCCTAACCCAACCCAACAAGAAGATATCACACAACATACACAAATCCCACTCATACAAGAGTCTCATGAGAATGCTGACCTAACATTTGCCGATGAAGCCTCTATACAGAACGGATCCTCGAGACTAAACTTGAACCCAGCTCTCCTACTCAACCCCAAAGGCTATGGAGCTCCATCTCCATCTCCTCGTCAAGATGCCTCCAATCGGGCTTTTAATGGCTCGACCAATCCAGCCGATGTCGAGTTCCAGTTCGCCAACCCACAAGATGGCTTCGCCGGTCCTAGCCAATATACCTATACGAATGAGCAAGCCTTACCTCAGTCGCACGATTTCAGCGGTATGATCGACCGAATGAGCAACGTCGAACAGCGTACGTTCGCACCTCAGACCAAACGCCGAAGGCTCGAATCTGAAGAGAGCAACAGCCCAATGCGCGGATTTGGAAGTGGCGGTGGCGGTGATATTGGACATTATGTGAAGGAGGAGCGACAAAACGCAGCTAACCAACAGCTCCCTCTTAGCCGCGTCGAGACTGTAGACCTTACTGATGCCAGTGAGTTACTTTACCTGATTTGGGCAAGTAGATAAGCATCTGGGTATGCCGCTAACACCTCGCAGACGAAGAGAACGATCTGGTAATAATACAGTCTGCTAGGGAAGAGGAAGTCTGCTACGGTATGATTCTTCACGCAAGGTTGAATTGTCACGTTGTTCCGAGGCCAAAGTCCGGCGCCATCTCCCTCATGCCAACATATTGGCCTCAAGTGAAGATTTTGCTCAAGAGAAAACTTGGCGAGGCTACCAACACGATCCACGGCTGCGATTACACGCGCCAAATCGTTGGAACTGTTGACCCTGTCACCTCGTCCGGTCTCGCGGCACTCCTGGATTCTCGCCTAGAGCTCAGGACCGACTGCAGAATACCTACAAGGTTAAAACAGGCAGGAGAAGAAGAAGGGAAGGCTACATCGATAAGTTACACGCTAGACCTAATGCTTTATGGCCCCCGCAAGAGCGGCAAGACCGTAGCTAGACATCTCGCCCAAAGGAACATTTGGCTCCGTAATCCTCCGAGAGTCGAACCTGGTATCAAATATGAGAACCCGCAGCTTGTCGAAGGACCCAGGCCTCCGTCTGTGCTTAAGGAGCCCCCTAGGCCGGTCCCTGTGACTGTAGCACCCTCGGTGGTGCGTAATGTCGAAGAAATCCGCTCTGAAGTTATGGGAGTCTTTGACTCCCTTACCAAAAGCGAGGAGCTTCCCGAGATGGAACCCGGACCTCGGGTGCAGACGGACCTCCTCAAGCATCAAAAACAGGGGCTTTACTTCATGACGAACAAGGAGAAGCCTCGTCGATTCGGCAGTGATGGCAAGATTGCAGATTCATTCTGGCAAATTCGTCGCAGTAGTAGTGGCCAAAACATTTACTACAATGTAATTACGGGACAGTCGCAACGCGAACCCCCTCCCGAGACTCTCGGTGGAATCCTCGCAGATATGATGGGTCTCGGAAAGACCCTGAGCATTTTGTCTCTGATTGCAAGTTCCCTCGACCAAGCTGAACAGTGGTCAACCCTCGCACCTGTTCAACCCCAGGCTCCTCCGATGCCCAAGAAGAAGACCAGTTCTTCAGGTCAATTTGATGTGCCCACACCCCAACCACTAGCCTTGACCGAACTTAAGCAAAATGGTAGAGCAACCCTTTTAATCTGTCCTCTCAGTACGGTGGCCAACTGGGAAGAACAAATTAAAGCCCATATCAAGCCCGGCCAGCTATCACATTACATCTATCATGGGTCTAACCGTATCAAAGACCCCAAAATACTTGCCAAGTTCGACATTGTTATAACCACCTACGGATCCGTTGCTAGCGAAGTGCAAGCACGTAATAAGGGAAGACCAAGCCCGTGCCCCCTCGAGGAAGTAGGATGGTTTCGTGTTGTCCTCGACGAGGCTCACATGATACGGGAACAAAACACTCTACAATTCAAAGCTATCTGCCGTCTACAAGCCAATCGCCGCTGGGCCGTCACTGGTACCCCCGTTCAAAACAAGTTAGACGACCTTGCGGCATTACTTGCCTTTCTCCGCCTGAAGCCTTTTGACGACAGGACCAAGTTTACACAGTATATCACAGCCCCGTTCAAAGTCTGTGATCCCGAGATTGTGCCTAAACTCCGAGTTCTAGTAGACAGTGTCACCCTTCGACGCTTAAAGGATAAGATAGACCTCCCTCCCAGAAGAGACGAGATTATGAGGCTAGACTTCTCTCCTTCCGAACGCAAACTTTACCAACTATTTGAGAAAAACGCGCAAGAAAAAGTCCAGGTCTTGGCACAAGGCAGAGAGAAGATGATTGGCGGTAGGACCTACATTCATATCCTCCAGTCTATTCTCAGACTCCGTCTCATCTCCGCTCACGGAAGAGACCTTCTCAGCAACGAGGATTTAGAGGCAGTGCAGGGCATGACCGAAGATTCTGCCATCAACCTTGATAGTGACGAGGATGAGGAGAAACCGGCACTAGCAGAAGCGAAGGCTTATGAGGTTTTTGCGCTGATGCAGGAGACCAATAACGACGTCTGTATAGCTTGCTCACGAAAGGTCAGTTCCAACGACAACGCGGATATAGCGTCAGAGCGTGAAGAGGATATCATCGGGTACATGAGTGCTTGTTTTCACATTATCTGTCCTAATTGCATCAAGAATTGGGAAGAAGAAGTTGGCAACCATGGATCGGGTACATGTCCCGTCTGCCAAGCTCACGTCCGCCTTACCTATAATGAAATCCGCAAAAGCAAGACGGAAGTCGAGCACGAAGGACACGATCATGCTCATAAGTCCGAGGGCAAAGTCCGAAGTAAGGACAACTATGCGGATTACTCTGGTCCCCACACAAAGACCTGTGCTCTGGTCGAAGAGCTGCTCAGGTCCAAAGCCGACAGCGAGGCCAAACCCGACGAGCTCCCGTACAAGTCAGTGGTATTTTCGGCATGGACATCTCATCTTGACCTAATCCAAATCGCCTTGGACGATGCCGGTATCAAATACGTCCGCCTCGATGGAAAGATGAGTCGCACAGCCAGAACGGCTGCGATGACTGATTTCCGGGAAGATAGATCAGTACATGTGATACTGGTGTCGATTATGGCTGGTGGGCTAGGCCTCAATCTTACGGCAGGAAATTCTGTCTACGTAATGGAGCCGCAGTACAACCCAGCGGCGGAAGCTCAGGCCGTCGACCGCGTGCACCGACTTGGACAGAAAAGACCCGTTCGCACCGTCAGATTTATTATGCAGGGCAGCATCGAGGAGAAGATGCTCGAGCTCCAGGAGAAAAAGAAGAAGCTCGCCAGCCTCAGCATGGACAGAAACCGGGTCATGGATAAGTCGGAAGCGGCAAAGCAAAAGCTCATGGACCTGCGCAGTCTCTTTAGATGAGTGCCGTGTTCTTGCTGCCGCTCCAAAGCCCTGTGATTCTTGACGGGCATGTCACGGCGTTCTCTATGGGCGAGAGAGGTTAAAGGGAGGAAATAGGTTTATGTTGCATTTGCGTGGCGTTACGGTTGCTTTTATAATGTCCAAAGACATTGCTGGCGAGCAGGTCATCGGCGTTCTTATCCACGGGGTTAGAGGATCACTCCCCGCACCTGGATCCAAAGACGAGCAATCTCGCGAAACGGCATACGGATAGGATAAGGAGGGGGGGCATTCTTGAAAGCGGGCTTTTTCTCAGGGTACAATACCCGTTGATTGATGACGAGCCACATTAAAGTAGTTGCTATACACTATTCCTTTTTTTCAGTTCAAGCTATCATGATTACACCTCTCGATACCAACTTAGCGGTTTCGTTTCGACGGGGGGAGGGGAGCTCAGTTCACCCCCTTACTCTTCGGACAAACCGAACGATTTGCATGAATTGATATTAGAATCTTACACTACGTTAACTGATCACGTGCAATGATTTCTCTTTCCTCTTACTCCCGATACTTGCGTACTAGGTAGGTTAAGTATGTAACTACCTAGGTGGTCTTCGAAGAAGCTACAGCTCTTTCCTCTTACCCCGAATGAATTTTACGGGAACCTCGAAACGAAACCGAACGGGACGGGACGGGACGGGACGGGATTTTGGTTCGTTGATGTCATCGTGATGGTACAATGTCCAAATTTTGCTACGTTAGGCTTTTCTCCGCATACCCGTCTCTCCCAACCCCCCCTCCCAGGCCTTGCCAATTACATATCTACATAAATAGTACCAGCATACATCTCAACCACTAGCTACAGGTAAATTACTCGGTAATGTAAGGGTGTGTAGGGGTTCTCCCGCGCAATAGCGTGGGTAGGGCCCGTTCGTAGCGTGCATGTCTAGCTGGCTACCGAGCCCACCTGTTGGGGATGAGGAGAATGGAGAAGTAGATCGATCGCGGGTATGATGAGTGAGTGAGTGAGTGAGTTGAGTGAGTTGAGTGTCGGGTTCTCAACTCCACTCCCGCCCCTTTTTCGTGGTCGCCCGGCAAGCCTGGCTTTTTATATGTAGGGTTAGATTGGGCTTGACCAGCGAACTATTGAACTGGGTAGGAGATTTTCGTTATGGGTATTCTGCTCGACGTAGCGCCTGGGATATAGTGTAGGTATACTTAGTTGATTGGTAAGTAGGTAAGTACCTACCGATATATTTGTTGGTGGTAAGTTGTAAGTTGTGAGATGTAGGGTATAGGGTATAGGGGTACAGGCAAGCCGAGGTACATTAGGGGTGTTGGTATGGATGGCAACATCTATCACATGGTTAGCTGTTGATCATGGATGGGCCAGCCGATTTACCAGGGAGAAGTTCAAGTAGATGGAGATTGTGGATAGGTAATGTTTGCTTTGTTTTTGCGGATAGAAACTTAGTCTAATAGTCCAGGCTACACATTATCATCCCTAATTTGATGAAAAGGACTCTCCTATGAGGTTAGTTGGGTAGACGGGAGGATGTTTGGAAGAAGGCCGTAAGCTACAGCATGTCAGGTTTGTATCCTTATGTTTTACGACACATTCACAAGGCAACAAGCACTTTACCAAACGACAAAAGACCAGATCATCATAAGTTAGGAAGAATCAATCTGACATTTGATTTCTGCTAAAGATAACTCTTTCTCATAGCATTCAACGTTCAGTCTTTCATAAGTGATACGCCAACGCCCTTTATGTGAGCCTCCCATTCACCAATTTCCCATAAACGCCAGAGGACGAGTTGCCTCAACATATGCCCCACGGCTTTTTTTGTGTACATAACCTTTCATCAAACCATCATTCTTAGAGCTACAAGGCGTCGCAATACCGTGACAATCCCATTATAATCCCCCGAATTACCGTGCCATGCCGATCTCAATCCCGGAGCTTCGAGTTTACGCCGCATTGGCGCTAGCCAAAGGCTGAGCGATCCTTGTAACTTGGTCACCGGCACGAACGATTCGCTGGCCGGATGAATCGGTAACGAAGGCAGCGTCTTTGTTGTTCTCCATGTGGGATCGCTTCCAGATTTCGACTTCGCAGCCTCCTCGGAGGACACCCACACGCATGGTAGATAAGAGGTTGTGAGCAGCGTTGGAGTGGTCGTACACTCCACCATTGAAGATAGCGGTAGCATCCTTTCCGATAGCCGAAGAGATGAGAGCCTTACCACCGGGGTGGTCCTTGATGAAATCGGTCACATCGTGAATGACACCGGCAACAGCGACGAGGCCCCTACCGTTCTTGGCTTCAGCAACGTAGTCATCCCAGTCAATAACAGGTAGTTGTTCAAGAGGAACACCCCAGTCAAGCTTGGCACGCTTCTGGTCGAGCTTCTTCTGTAGCTGCTGGAGACGACCCTTCTCGATCTCGTTCTGGCGAAATTGCTTCAGGTCGTAGGCGAGTCCAAGCTGTTTCCAGCACCAGATGCACCACTTAGTAGGGTCATACTGCCACCACTCGATTCCGTTGCGGTAGTCGGATGGGAATTCGTGGTGGAAGTTGTGGTAGCCTTCACCAAGAGTCACTAGAGCGGTGATAACGTGGTCTCGGGGCGAGTTGCGGTCGTCGAAAGGCTGGTCACCGAGCCAGTGAGCGAGAGAGTTGACACAGAAGGTAGCCTGCTGGACGAAGCAGATTCGGAGAATGCCTGCGTAGACGAATCCACCCCACCAATCGTTCCAGCCAAGACCGCACACAAGAGTGGGGACGATGAGAGCCATGGTAAGCACGCACTTGATGAAGTGGGTGTGCTGGAAGACGACAACGGGATCGTCGTTCAGATCGGAAATGTCGGTTCGGCCGATGCGCTTGGGGTTCTGCTTCATTACCATCCAGCCAATGTGAGAGTACAAAAGACCCTTTCGAACGGAGTAGGGGTCCTTCTCGGTGTCGGTGTAGCGGTGGTGAGCACGGTGATCCCTCGACCACCATCGAATGGATCCCTCGACAGCGGCAGCTCCGCAAGCAGCCAGATAGATCTTGATGGGGAGCGATGCCTTGTAGCAACTGTGAGCCCAAAGTCGGTGGTAACCTATGCTGTATATTAGTTTTCAAATATTGTGTATAGTAGAGAGACCCGAGCAGATACATACCGGCTGTGATACCGAGACCGGCATTAAAGTAGTAGAACACGGAAAAGAGGGCGGTCTTCCAGTGGAGAGGAGTCCAGTATGTGCTAACCATACCGAGGAGGGGAATGAAGATGATGAAGGTAGTGTTAAGCCAGTTAACATGCTTGTACCAGTTACCCCAGGTGATGGGGAATTCGGTGATGTGTGGCTTTTTCAAGTCATACTTGCCCGACCGGAGTGGCTTGTAATCTTTGGTGCCATCAGGGAAAGCCGAGGCGGCGACGGGCCCGGAGGCGCTCGTCGAGTCGGAAGCCATGTTGCAAATCGACGGATCCAGAGATCGAAGATGATGGACGGAAGAGGGAGTGGGAGAGGGAGAGGGAGATGATGGAATTATACCAGCAAGGCCTTGTCGATGAAGAGGCACTTGGGTTTGGCGAACGATGAGGTTGAAGAGGGAAGGAATATGGAAGAGATAAGACGACCAGCTTTAAGGGAGATATATTTATTAATTTTTTGGCGGGAGGAATGAAGAGGGCTATGGCATGTATTCGGTATGTATTATGCAGTAGAAAGTGGGTATGGGGACGATTGGGTGGGACGTTCAACCCTGCGATTCTTGCGTCCCTGCGTCCGGGTGGGCGGGTGGCAAGAACTGGAAGGTATACCTGATGTATTTCAAGCTCCAATCACGCCAACCCAAACGTGTCTAAACCTTCAGTAGATAGTCCTTTCGGTACCTCGTGCGGTACTCAGGAATGACTTTAGCCCCAACTTGCCTCGAACCTCCTGTCTTTGACCTTAAAGCGGTGTGTTCCTCTGGCGGGAAGCTTTTTTCGACTAGTTCTGCAAAGGTATTTGTTGTTGTAATTGTTGATAGACGACGTTTCGATTAAAACGCCTGATAGTCGGTCGATGATTTGCCCAACTGTTAAGCAAAGATGCTAGACAGTCACCACTTTTACATAGATTCACGAAAACAGGTAACTCAGAACCGAGGAGGATAGCATATGACAATTACATACAGATGACGACCGTGGAAACCTGGTTTGCTTGGACCTGATAGGGCCCTGTGATACATGGAAATGCTGGGGTTGAAGGTTCGAAGGTTGAAGGTTGAAAGTTGAAGGTGGGCAGGGTGGGGAGCTGGGAAAGGGAAAATATCGCTGTTTCAATTTTACTATGCTACCGTACCTTCTGTGTACCTTGTGTCTTGGTAGAAAAAGCTGACACATGCGCGTGAGGCGATACAATGCGACTGTGTGACATACCAAGTACCTGACAGATTGCGACTGCCTACGGAAGTGACCTTTGCTTGGGCAAATAGCAAGCAATGCAATGCGCTTCCTTCCGTACATCCTTCGACGTTGTCTGAAATTTTGTTGAATTGTTGGGGAAGTGCTATGGTGGCGGTTACGAAACCGCAAGCGCATCCACCAATCAGAAGCCATGCATAATCAAGGGTATTTCCGCTTTAGGAATTATTAAACAGGCCATCATTCCTCACCTGGTGTACCTCCGTATTTGGTCTCTGTTACGGCAAATCTGTATTACCTAACTGGTCAGTTGTACCTACCTAGGTTCTTCATCGAAAAATGGCTATTAGGAAAAATGACCTCTTCAAAACAGGGTTTCTTTAAGACCAACCGAGACAACCACATTTACATTCACATTCACATCTTGAATCTAGCCTCGGTACTCACCGATAAGTCCCATTGCTACAACCTCCAAGCTACAGAACCATGAAGTGCAAGTCAGCCGGTAAACCACATTCGGTATTTGCGTAGGAACAGCTAAGAGAATGATACTTTGCCCTTGCATGAACCTAGCTCTTACGTGTAGTGGCACGGAAATCTTCGACGTAAGCTCTTCAGCCCCCTTCCATATAAGGCTACGCATCCATCGCTCCCATCCAACCCATCCTACTCATCCTTCCAAATCCACACTTCATTTGATAAGGGAGCTCTCGATAGCTCGGGCACACGAAGTTATGGTGTATAGGATATCAATGCCGCTATGACGTCGCAAAGCTAGACAGACCGAGGCAAACCTTTCTTCAAGATGAATCAGATAAGAGATGCCGATGCGGAATATGTAGGTAATAGATCCGGATAGCGTTTTGCTTTACAGGAGCTTTCTCCACATTATATTCATCCTTGCTTGTCCTCCCCCAACAAACGGATAGAAAACCTCTCACTTATCATTGGTCCCTATGTGGGGCTTCGGGAAGGAGGAAAACTTGAAACCGCCCTATGAGCGGTTAAATATTGTCACAAGTCTCCATATCTTCTAGAACAACCTTAAACGCCCCACATGGGTTCCTGATTGGATTAAGCGAAGAAGCGCCACTCCACACCCATGCGCCCCATATTCCTAGATCTTACTGAGCCTCTTTTCCTTACATAACCTCGATTTCACCTCATAAACGTCAAGCTACTCTCCTGCTGTATCAAATTGAGGACTGGTGTTATTCTTTCTGTAGTTTGGTAATTCAGCACACAGAGCTTAAACATAGACTCGACCTAGGTAGTCTCTGTCAGCGTAAATTCAAAGTCCCTGTAAAAATGTACAGTAATCTATTGTAATGAACACGATCTGTCACATACGATTACTATGCACAACCGATGAAAATTCAAGGCTATCCAACGCTATAAGTTTTATTCGGATATTCGAAATCTCGCAGCCGGCTTATCATGGACGATGCATACTTACGGTTCGAGATTGGATCGATTCATAGTGTACCCGTTAACATTTCGCCCTTATATTCTTTCAGGAACAGAACCGTTCAACCGGCGCTATTGTTAGATGACAAATAACGGCTACTATCTATTGATTAAAGAGCTACGATAACTGCAGGCTCACGCATAGACCTTATAACAAACCATAAATAAGATAGCAATGTTATGGAATATAATGAGAAAAGGGCGGTAACCCGTCAGTTTAAATATTTTCCTAGTATGATACTATATTACTTTACTCCAATAGCTCCCATCCACGGTCGAGATCCAGTCACCTAGCACTCAAACCCTCATCTAACACATGCATATCTAAAGCAGAAAGCTAAACGAATACCTAGGTGCCCAGGTAGTCACATTAGACACTCTCCCGTATCTCACTTTCCAATAACACACAAAATTTCTAAAACATCAATGAAGGTGATGAGAAACAAAAAAGTCTACCCAACATTACCCAAATTTCGATACATAGCAAATCAAATAGAGGCCAAGAAGCCCGGTATCTCTGCCGCAGCACAGCATCGACAACTCATAATTCTAACTGTTGAGACTCTCATCTCATCCCATTATCGGACCATATTCACACACCATCGACAGATACCCACTTCCCGTGGATTAGAACTCACCACGTGTATGCTTACCAGTAAATGGGATCTAACAGAATCCCACAAAGGCTAAATCAAAATCTATCAAATACCGGCTGGAGTCACACAGGTATAAAGAGGGTTTCGGAGCTTTGCAATACTCTCGACGAAGTGTTTTGCTAATCCTTTATTTTCTCCGGTATATCCCACTGCCTAGATACTTCCAAGAACCGAACACTCCATCCCCTTGACCATTATCCTCGTAAGACTTCATTTTTGTGAGACATATTAAATAATCGTTAGATGAACAATATGGTAACGATGCTTCTATTTGTACATTGATTTTTCATCCCATCCCGCCATCCGATAGATGTAAATGCCCCCCAAGAAAGATTCATGAAACTGGATATCCTAAAATATCAATCCAAAATTGCATTATGCATAAATGACTCCGTGCGCCGCTGTTATATGTATGTGTATTCAACAGCCATTTCCAAATGCGCATATATCTCAATCGCAAATTTCTTAGGCTTGAGATGCCACATTCGTTGTCGGGACTGTCGTAGAGGGTTCTAGCTCTTCGTCGGAGAAGTTTAGTTCTCGAGGAAAATCGTCTTCGTATTTCGATCCGATACCCGTTAATTCAGCTGGCAAGTTTGATGCTTCTGTTGGTTGCGGTGGTATAACCGTACTGTCGTGTGTATAGTGATTGGGTAGCTCAATTTCTTCATCTTCATCTGCAGAAGGCTGGATGGCCTCGTTGGCTTGGTGAGGTGCCAGTATTACGGACCTACCCGCGTCCCCTGGCTCGTCGAACTGTGCTACTCCGGTTTGTCTCCAAGCTTCAGTTTCGCTCCGTGGTCGCGAAACTTCCAAAGTTTGCTCCTCAGCCAGCGCAGCCGTCGTCGTAGGGCCGTCAGTAGGTATGACAGCTTCTGTATTGTCGTCAGTGAAAGGTAAGGCCTTTTCGACGTCCTTGGCGGCTACCTTAGGCGGTTTGTCGGCGCTAGTTGCCAACGCGGCTTCTTTCGTCTGGTTTTCACCACCAGTCGTTCGAGTTCCTTCCGCCGCTGATTCATCGACGTCTCGTTGCACTTTCTCAATTACATCTGCCGTCGTCTGTCCTTCTCTTGAAGCATCGGCAGCCTGCTCTTTCGATTCCGTGGCATTGGTCGTCGAATCTGTGACGTTATTGGGCCATACCTCGCGTTGTTCAAAGTAGGGCGGGCTATACATGTCGTGGTTACTCGGCAATGATCTAGGCGGAGATCGTCCCCTCGATGGGTAGTAGAACGGGTCGTCGGAGAAACCTGGCGACGTAGCATGTGTATTACCGAAGTTGGAAAATGACCAAGCATCCCGAGGCTGAGTTGGTTTGATTTGCAGATGACCGTTACCTTGATACCCGTCCACCGTATATTCTCTCATAGAAAATCCGTCGTCGACAGAAATCGAAGGCACCGTTTGCCTATCATAGTCGTCATCGTGAGTGCGCTCGGGGAATAGCTTCAGTAGTACGGTAGCTTGAAGTCGGACACGTGGATCCTCGTGCAAGCAATACTCCACCATGGTGCGATAGAAATCCGGGACTTCGATCTCGGGACTCAAACGAAGTGGACGTCGATGCGCTTCCGGCTCGTCCTCCAACGTCGCGAGCGCCCACAATACCATTCCTAGCTGGTAGAGATCGGATTTTACACCGATGTACATCGAGATCCGCTGGTTACTGTCGATGAGTGGAGTAGCCTCCGGAGGTTCCCACCCGACTGGGCAACCTCGTCTGTTAATGTCTATAATTTTTGCGTTGTCGTTGTAATCGATGACAATGTTAGAGAGTGTAAGATCGCCTTGTACAAACCCGGCCTCATGGACGTCCGATAGGCCCTGGACGATCTGCCTTGCCCATTTCTCTCGAAGAGACCACGGCAGGAAACGACCTTCTTCTTGCGAATCGTAAATCACGTCGATAAGCGCACCCTTCTCTGCATAGTTGATGAGTAGGCCCTTGACGGACTCATCCTCATCGTCAACCACAACGCCATTAAATTCGATAACGTTGCGGGAGAAATGCAAGGAATTGAGGGCGTTGACTTCGTAGAGGAATTCGTCTACTGTGTCTGGCCCTGGTATTTCTTTCTTAATGAGTGTCTTCCCATCAACACGGACCTTGTAGACGAAGCCTGACATGTGAGAGTCGAATACAAGATCTCTCTCCCGGACACGTCGACATTTCAAATGCTGAATCATGCGGACGGTGGGGTAATTGATGATCTCCTGTGAAGCCTATCGTTAATATGCGTCAATATCTCAAAAAAGATGACCTACGTTGACATCTTCCACCACGTGCACGTGCAGTCTTCCATCCGTCGTCTGCAGCTTAAGATTGGTGACTGTCGGGTAGAATTGAATATCCTGAAGGCTTTCGCGTATAGCCTCGTAAATCTTGGCACTCTTCTCTCTTTGAAATTTGATATGTAGTAAATCCTTCTCTAGAGAGTCATCTGGGGCATTTCGATAATCTAGGGAGATAGTTACCCGTCTCCACACATGTTCTTCTTCGCGATATGTGACGAAAAACTTTTCTCTCCTGGATTTATCTCGGAAATGCATACTCAGGTTGAGAATCCATTTCCGCTCCAGCTCGTCGTTGATGATTGCATCATACTGAGACGATGTAAAGGATTGGGCATCGATAGGCGTTCGCGATTCGCCGCGGGTGAGTACCGGTCGGAGTAGGCCACGGTGCTCCGGCGCGGCATCCGGAACTGTATCCGGGGTTAAATTGGCAGTGTTGGCATCTTGGAGGCTTAAGAACTGTTTTTCGTCGATAGGGGTCTGAGGAGCTGATGCTTTTGGTGATTTGGGCTGAGAAACGACGGTGTTAGGGCTAAGCGAACCCCGAGAACCCCGAGAATTATCAAGAAAGTCAGGCGCACTCGCGCGCGGAAGAGGCTGGTCCACATGGGAGACGCTGCGTTGAATACGCATGCGTCTATCAACCGAAACGGCCCTGCGTTCCACTGACGTAGGCTCGATAACCTCGAGCTTCTCCCTCACTTCAGACTGCTGTCTCTTGAAGGTCTTAGCGCGGGGCAGGCCCGGAACCACCTTTCTCGAAACCCTGCGCAACAAGCCCGAACTACTAGGTGAAGAGTCTAGAGACGCCCTAGGTTCTGCTTCAGGGTTCGTTATTTGGGACGTTGGCGCATGGTTGTTGTCCTTCCCCAGAATCTTCTTCCACATGTTAGTTAGTCTACCATGTTCCGACGATGGCGGGGGCTCATGCGACGGCAAGCCTGCCTGTGCTGCCATGACGGCGGTGTTTGAATAAAACAGCGCGCTATCGTTCAAGCTTCATGGACCTGGTCTGTTCTGCGATTTCCGCTATTAAGAGAATTTGGAACGAAGGACTGTGCTGAGTCCGCAGCTATAGCCGGCGGGGCAAGCCGAGTTGTAATAGCGACGTGTTGGCGTGGCAATGGTGACTCCAAGTCGACCGTGGTCCAAGTTCGACCCGACTTGGAAATTCGAGTGTATTGAAGATTGGAACGGACTGCGAGATTGTTTAAAGGGCGGGGAGAACAGATACAAGAAGCAAGGCGTAGCGGACCCGGGCTAGGCAGCTGATGTTGTTGCTATGCGAGATATAATAAGATATGAATGTAATGTATGTGTATGTAGGAGGAAACTGGACTAGGTATGTGGTCATGTATGTAGTCATGAGCGGCTTAATGCAAGCAGACCCAACGTCGAGGGGTCGAGGGGTCAAGAGACTAAAGGGAAGCTCAGAGGTAAGGCTGTCGAGACCCTATTGGTAGGTAATTGGCGACGACGGTGGTGGCTCAGATATGCCGACATTCGACATTCGACATCGACATGGGCAACGAGATAATATGTGTATGTAATGTATGTGTATGTGTATGCGCGCGTGTCCTTGTCTTTCTGTTTTCTGCTTCCTGCTTCTAGCCTTCACAATTATGTCAAGAGCCAGGTATAATTCCCCGGCCTCTAACTGCTGCCTGTCTATGTAGACGGGATGCAGGAGATATGCAAGCTGAAGTTATTCTAGAGAACTCCGCTTTCGGGGTACAGGACGATATAGCCATTTGAAAGTGACACTTGGTTCGAGGTAATTGTAAGAGAATAAAAAAAAATTGAGCGAATATAGAAATTGGAGGCGGCCCGAGTTCTACGCAGTACGAAGGACCATTGAGGTTGCACCTTACCTCACAGCAACCCTGCCTCAAACCCTGCCTATCCTACCTTCCCCCGGTATGTAAGGGTACATGTATCTAGGTACTCGATGTATCCATGTGGAGTGCTCTATCCTTGCTAGTTGTACAAGTACTTGCGAGCTGTTCCCGCGACGAACAACGCAGCACAAGGACCAGAGACAGGCACTGGCGTTAAACTTAACTTACCTTATCTGACTATGCCTGGTTAGTATTAGTGACTTAGATGTACTGCCAGCAAGTTGCCATATTGCCATGGACCGGGGTCGTATCGGTCTGCCTGGTCTACCTTTTTTTCGATGATCTCGCGGGGCTACAATTGATTTTCTTCTTCTCCCAAAGCTCTCGGCCGTCTTTTAGAAAAGTACATACATCATCGCTGTATAAGTAATTCGCATTCCCATTTTGTTCCAATTCGGTTCGCATATGTTGTCGCTTATCAATTGTGGACGGATGAATTCGGAACATATACAACTTTCCTTCAATGGCAGCGTGAAGACGTTATAACGAGCATGGGAGGTCGTCAGACATGGTATGCAAGGTTGCTCTTGTGGAGTATTGCCTATAAAATTGGTGGTCTAAAACGATTTGGGTGGTGGAGAGCCCTGGAAGATCTTTTTTTTCTCTTTTTTTTTTTCTTCTTTCGAGTGCCAATTCAGCTTCGTCGCTATGTCGATATCAGACCCCTTCTCAAATCCCTCCCTCCAAAACTGGTCATGCCGCCGTGGTCCCCTTTCCGCTTGGTGGGGGTATTCCCTAGGCCTTTTCGCTAGGCCATTCAACCAAGTCGGGAAAATCAGGATGATTCATTGATGTGTTGTACAAAGATGCTAGTGGTCGATCCCGAAAAGAGGGGTGTCTGGGACGAATGCTTAGGAGAAGGGGATACCGGTAGGAAGACTGAATCGAAAGTGTACAATCGTACAACCGAGCCGGCATCAATGGACCTTGGTGGCTTTTCGTGGCCTTCGACGTATGTATATCTACGTATATCTGCGTATATCTACGTATCGCATGACCAGGTTTTGCACTGCGAGCACTCGAGGGTTATGTATAAGTGAGATTGATACCCAAGTGTCTCAAGACCCTGCCTGCGATGACTTAGTCTATCCGAAGGCTAACCAAAGACGAACCGACAACTACACGCTCTACACTTATTTAGCTTCCTATCAGCGTCTATAAGCACTAGCTTCCGCTTAGGAATATACGTCAGCGACGATTCTCTATAACAACATTGAACGAATGAAGGGGAAATAGTCAGAATTGGCGAGTTATAAATTGCATAGGACACATGTATGACTTCACATACACGTGGAGCCATCTAAGCATCTAAGCATCTAAGCATGAATCCTTCCTATATCTGCACATACACCGCTGTCCCATTGCGCTCACCGACTTTACATCATTGCATCCGCAGATACCGTCTTGCTACAACAAGGCTGGTAAACAACCCTTATGCCCTATGTACCTACATGTGTCTACATATGTAGATAAGTTCCCGAATGCAGTTCGCAACTTAGGTTCCTATTCCATTCCCAGGATCTTCCTGACTTCGCCTGCTTTGACAGGTCATATATTTAGAATAGCATTATTCCTTGACGTTGCCCTAAGCGCGAAACCCGGGCCGGACCTAAGCTAACGCAAGAGTTATCCGCTTGCCAACATCGACGGCTAGTCATGTGGGCCAACGAAGCACTATACATATCACTACCTATACATATCGTAGCTAGGTAGATATTCATAACACATAGTAGCGCATGGTAAACATACACAAACACGAGCACGAGCCGTACATGATCGGAGACGTACCAGATGTCCATGGGTTCGTATGATAATATTAAAAAAAGATATGACGTGTGAAGAGTAAAGCGAACACCCTTAAGGAGAAACGAACCGGTTCACCAAAGCGAGTTCGCCAACCTACATCACAAATCCTGCAATCATGTACGGAATGTCATATCATATACGTATAGTCAGCTTATAAGTCAGAAGTTAGAAGTCTTCTCGAAAAGTTCACCCAACCTCTCAGTCTATCACATCCCGTCACATCCCCCTGTCGAACACCACCGGCGATGCGTTGTCCAAGGGGGTTAGAGAATGTCGTCAGCCCACGCTAGGTAGATCAACAGTTTAGGGCTGGACCCAAGCCAAGATCCCGCTTTGCTCGATCCCCTCCCCCTCCCATCCCGCAAATACCTACCTGTACACATATGGGATTATCTTCCCAAGCCGCTTGACATATATACGTACCTCATATACTACAGTAGCTGTATAGGTAAGTATACATAATATACGTGCCCCCCCATTTCTCCCCGTGGCCGAAGAGGGAAGAAAAGGTTCGATGCGCTTCCCTTCCCGGGTGCTACCCAATCTAAGGCCACGTTAGCCCAGGTGGCCGTTGGAACCACGCGACTGCGCTAAGAGTGCTACCGCTATCGTCACCGGGAGAAGGTGTCTAAGGAATTGGGCAGCGATGCGTGCGATAGCTTCTAACAGCTCTCTGTCTCTCTGCCAACCTACCTGCCTACCTACCTAGAACGACATTAGAAAACAACGGCAGAAACAACACAGACACACACATGTCCGAAAAGCGAGGCTGCTGCTTGAGGACAACTGGCCGCCAATGCGCAATCGTGGGAAAGTAAGCACCCAATACTGGTCCTTCTATCTAACCTACGTCCTCCTTTTCTCGCTCCCTGCATGACGACAATCTTGTAAGATCCTCGGCGCCTCCAATTCGCGAATCGCACGCAACGCTGCACGAAGCCGCTTCGTCGAACCCTCCCCGGGACCTTACTGATCGTCATCTGGGCCTCGCCCGTAGGGAAATCTCTCATTTTCCCATTCTACCTTTCCATCGTCGATTCCCTCCCACCCCCCTTCTCACCTCTCACTTCTCACCTCGCACAACGCGCACGCACGCACGCACGCACCTCAGGCTCTTACTGTCCCCCCCAGCCTCAGTCCCCCTCTTCCAGCATCTCAATGACGATCGCAGAGCCTTGAAAGTGTAAAAACTGCCAGCGCCGATCTACGGGTACCTACCTCAAGCAGTATTACCAGCACAACTCGAAGGTGGGAGAGGGGAAAAAAAAAGGGAAAAGGAATAGAGATCGCGGCATCTCGCCCTGCATTGGCTCCCGCGGGCTGGTCCTTTCCCTCTCGCCTCGGCCTCCAATGGATTTCGCTGGCATCGCTATAAGCCCCCCCCTTCAATTATTAATTACTCCAAGTCATACATAGTACATCCCATATATACTACGCACACATTCAATGTCGTCTCGGTAAGTTCAGCCATAGCACGCACGTACAATACCCAGCCCCTACGTACATTCAAGACCTGCGACGAACGTATGAGCCCTCCCTAGATACCAAATCTCTAGACAGCCCTCCGAGCAAACGCACGTAGCTAGAGTGGTTCCCGAGTCGGGCTTTTTAGGCACGTAATCATCGTAAGAATTGCAACGGAAAATCTCACGTTTCTCGGCTGTCCCTCGTTGATCGAGGTGGTCAGCAACAACATTACTACCACCTAACGTACCTCATACCGAACATCCCACATCCTATACATATGCCATAGTACCTCGTAAGCAAGCAAGCAAGGAGGATAAAAAAACGGGGAACCATATTTCGAGGAATTGACTTCTGACAAGGCAGCGCCACGCCGGACCAACGTCCGAAGCTGTCTCCAAATTCCGAGCTCTCTCTCTCGCTCTATCTCTCATACAGCTGGCTGGCTGTATAATACGTCCGCATTCGCCTACCTCCGACCCGAGCCAGTGAGCCAGAGCCCCAGGGACCAGTAGGCAATTAAGAAAACCCGCAGGACGTGGGCGTCTGACGCAACAGCAAGGTAAGTAAAGCTATAGAATATCGTTAAAAGTGTGGGAACTCGAATGCGACCGCCTGCAGACGGCGGCGGCATACGGGAGTGTCTCAACGCTCTACGCTCTACGCTAAATCCCCACGCGAATTGACTACCTGCACGCTTTTTTTCGCCTAAATTCCCATCCTCTGGCTCCAGCAAAGGACGCGGCGGCGTAACTTGGCACCTCAAAGAGTCATTGACGGGTCTTCTGGTCACAGGTCTCGGGGCGTAAATCACTAGCGCTTCGGACGTTTTGACACGTTGCTACCATAAACTTTCGTCACTTTTTAGTTCGTGACTTTTTTTTTCTTTTCTTTTGATTTCCTCTTGCCGCTATGGAGTATATGAGTGGAATAAAGGGGAGAAGAAAGCGAGCAAGGACACAAAGCAAAGCCTACGCGCTCCGCCACATGGTCCGCCTGCCTTCCCTATTCCACTATCTGCAAGAGAAGTACGGGTAGGTAGATCGTATGATACAAAAGTGCAATGCTTCAGAAAGATGTGAGGAGTGAGGATTACGTTTGTATGGTTGGTAGTGGTTAGTGGTTGGATGGGTTTTCCATGCTCCAAGCCGTTTCGTCGAGTCATTGTCTTGCCGCCTAAACGCCCGTCTGATGGCCCAATCCCGCAAATGCATTACTGTTAAAAGTCTATAAAACATGCATGTCGACGATGGGGCTGTGGGAATGCCGTGGGAGTGTACTAGTCACTCCGCCTTCCGCCTCGTCTCCTATTCGTCTTTCTCGCCTTTTTCGCTCTCCGCTTTCGCGTCGTGTTCCTTCTTCCATTCGCAGATCTTGCATCGATTCGCTTGTTCCCGGTCTAGATTGGGGAAGACGAGCTCAAAAACCTCGTTGTACCAGCTGGCTGGACGGCCTTCGATACCCTCCTTGATGTTCTGCATGATAATGTTAGCTTGAACCGTAGCATTGGGCTATCGTCGCCCGGCTTGGGGTACCCACCTCGGGAAGCTCTAGCCAGTCGGACATATTATCCTCTGGGAAGATGATCATCTTACAACCAGCCCGCCTTGCCGCAACCGTCTTCTCCCGCAATCCCCCTATCCTAAGAACTTTGCCAGTCAGGGTAAGCTCTCCAGTCATTGCAATTGTGGGGTCAACTGGAGCCTCCAATGCCAATGATAAGAACGATGTCGCCATCGTGATGCCGGCTGACGGCCCATCCTTCTGCACTGCGCCCTCCGGCACGTGTAGATGAATCTTGGCCTTGTCGAAGAAGTGGTTGTCGGAGAACTGCTTAGCCATGAATGCCTTGGCGAAAGAGTAGGCAATGGCGGACGATTCCTTCATAACTGTCTTAAGGTTACCCGTGATCTCCAAACCCGCACGGCTGCTGGGTCTCAGTGCAGACTGCAGAATGGATTCTATGTACATGGCAGAGCCGCCTAGTTGGGTCCATGCGAGACCCATCGCGACGCCAGGTGGCGTAACGTCGTACAGACGGTCCGAGGTGAATATGGGAGGACCAACGTAGTCCTTGAGGTTTTCCTTGCTGATCTCAACGTGTACCGAATCGGGCACCTTGAGGGGCACACGCGGCTTCGCCGTAGTCTCTTTCTCGGATGCCTCGGGAGAAGTAGAATCCTGGTCCTCCTTCTCCTTCTCCTTCTTCTCTGACTCCTCTAAAGCAGCCTTGCCATCGTCCGTGAGAGCTGCAGACTCGGGTAAAACCTCTTCACCCAGGTCTTGAACAATCTTGAGCGCTGACTTGCGGTATACTTTTTCGATCTGCTTTTTTAAATTTCGAACGCCCGACTCGCGGCAGTACGACTTGATTAACTCATCGATCGCCTCGTCCGTTAGGGTGACGTCTGCCTCTTTCAATCCGGCGAGCTCCTTCGCTGCAGGGGCGAGGTACTTATCCGCAATCGCCCTCTTCTCATCAGAAACGTAACCGGAGAGTCTGATGACTTCCATACGGTCCAAAAGAGGTCTGGGTATCGTGTCGGTCATATTTGCCGTGCAAACGAACAAAACTTTGGAAAGATCAACGGGGACGTCCATGTAGTGATCTAGGAAGGAGTTATTTTGCTCTGGGTCGAGTAGCTCTAGAAGGGCTGAAGAAGGATCGCCTTGATAACCTCGGCCAATCTTGTCCACCTCGTCAATTAATATCAGAGGGTTTTCAGTCTGACACTTCTTTAAAGCTTGAATGACTCGTCCGGGAAGTGCGCCGACGTATGTCCGTCGGTGACCCTTGATCTCGGCCACATCTGTGAGACCGCCCACGCTAAATCTGTAGTATTGGCGATTTAGAGCCCTGGCAATTGACTTGCCTATACTTGTCTTACCGACACCAGGAGGTCCCACGAAACATAGAATTTTGCCTTCGACAGTACCCCGGAGTTTACCAACTGCGATAAACTCCAAGATACGATCCTTAACATCCTTAAGTCCGTAGTGATCCTCATCTAATACCTTCATCGCATTTTGTATTCCAAAGTTTTCGGCACTTCGTTGTCCCCAGGGGACCTGTGTTAACCAATCCAAGTAGTTCCTCGTCACGTTGAACTCGGACGCAGCAGGTTCGAGATGGGCAAGCTTGTTAATTTCGTCATCGAACACCTTCCGGACCGCCTCAGGCATGGCTAACTTGTCGGCCCGTTCCTTGAATTTCTCAACGAGCTTGTCCTTACCATCAGACTCGATCCCCAATTCGCGGCGGATACCCTTCATTTGTTCCATTAACCAGTATTCCCGCTGTCGCTTTGTGATCTTCTGCTCCACGTCCTTCGTAATTTTCGACTGAAGCTGTGCGTTCATAAGCTCTTTCTTAAGGACTACTAATGCCTTTTGCATCCGGTCCTCGACGTTCAGACTTTCGAGAACATCTTGTAATTCGGCAGGTTCTCCGGCAGATACAGCCGCTGCAAAATCAGCCAATTTTGCTGGCTCTGACATGACGTTTCCTGACGATTGGCTCATGGAGAATGTTGATATCTGATCCCTAAATAAACTATTCATAGAGGCGACTTCCTTAAACACGTTCACTATTTCGTTTGTGACGGCTCGAATAACTGGACTTTTAGGATCGAAAGGCTCCTCGGACAAATTGTCCACATTGACTAAACTGACCGGGTACTTTCGCAGGAACGACGTAGGCTCGTATTTCTCAGCTGTACCATCACCCTTTTGGGCCACGGCGCTCTCTTCAAAACTAGCGACTACATCGCCCTTCTTCTCCTGTTGCGGTTCCTCTTCTGCTTTTTGCGGTATCGGTTCAGGAACAGGTTCTGATTCGGGATCAGCCTTCTTAGGCTCGCTAGTGCTGGGGGGTATAAGAGTGGATAGTTTTATGCGGCGATGGGGGTATAAAATAGCTGTGAGGCTGTTCTGTTCTCCGTGTACTGGGAATGCGCTCGTAACTTGGGCAAAAACACCAGTATCGTAAACATCAGCCGGATCTCTAATTATATCCTCGTCAGCATTCTCATCCTTGAATAAGAATGCGCCAACGTAAGGTTGGCCTCGTTTAATCATCTCCAATATGGCGGCCGAGACGTGAGGGTCCTTGATAGTAATTGCCTTATAAAACCCGGGAAATAGAGGTCGCTTCGCTATAGGGATCGCCATAACCTGGGGATATACGTCGGGCACTACAGGTTTCTGCAGCGCCTTGTCGGCCGACTTACGACCTTTTCGACCTCCGTCCCCGGGCGCATCGTTACCCGACCCGGATGAACCTCCCGCCGCACTGCTTCCTTTACCATCTTTTCCGTCTTTACCATCTTTACCATCATGCGATTCTCCTTGACCTTGGCCCTTGCCGGACGGCGTGGATTCTTCGTTGGAACTTCTCGCCTCGCTTACTTCCTTTTTAGATTCATCTGTCTTCTTTTTTTTCTCCGGATTTGCTTTTGCCTCTTCCTCTGATAATGGCTCTACTGGACCATCGAAGAAGTCACTGTCTTTCTTATCTTTCCTTCTGGTGGCTGAGGTAGAAAAGCTTGACCTTAACAAAGCGCCATGCGTGTAGGGTATTGTCGGTCTTGAGCACGCGATCGGACTTTCGGTGGTGGATCGGCTGGAGGTATTTATTGAGTAGTGACGAGACGTAAAATGGGTGCGAAGCCTTGGCGCAAAGTTCGAAGGTGCTCTCACGGCAACTTGTCGTGCTAAACGTTGTCGGCACAGCATTGTGAAGAGCTTTCTAGCAGTCGAGGGAAAAATCGGTGGAGGGGGTGAAGATGATGACGGAATTGGAGGGGAGCAGGGAAGCGGGACGTTATACAAGACGAATTCAAAGTCGCAGAAAAAAAACCACCAGTCGAGATTAAAATGAAAGAGGTGGCGATCTAAAGTACAGATGGTATAGAAATTGCGGCAAAAGGCCTAAGGGTGGAAAATGCCCATTGCCCTGTCAAAAAAACGAAAAAGTGAAGGCGGCTTCTACTATCGTCTTAATCATTCTATTGGAGCTTGGACCTAAACGTATTTTCAACAAAATACATCATCGCTTTCTAAGCAGTTAAGCTAATTTTTTTGCACTAGCTCCATTAGCCACACTTATCGGAGGTTAAAAAATTGGATTCGTGCCGAGTCTTGCCGTCGGCAAATTTCGCTTTATTCCTTGTGGCTCAACTGTCTTACCTCCCTACTTGAATACCTCATGTAGTGCATACGGAATACAATTCTTCACATTAACCTCCTTTAAGTAGGGGCACTCAAGCTTCATAACCAAAGGATGTTTCCATTGGGCGTTAGCCATCAATGAAAATTAAAGAGGAGAATTTCATTCGACGAACTCCTCCCTATGGAGGTCTGGCTCCTAATCACATTTGTAGCCACCTATTATGCGAGACCTTTACGCCAGCAATGCATTCATCCAGATTTCCTAGCTCATTCCTATCGTGAATCTTGCAAATCTCCCTAAAGCAAAATATCCGCCAGAGTCGTGCCAATGCTACTAATCCTAACCACCAATAAACGCCTCCGCCGATGGATAAACCAGCTTATGCGAGCTTGTCGAAATCATTAAGGGGAAACCTGGTGGGATGGCTCTTCATAACCTCGAAGTAAAGTGTAACTTTGCGTCCGGTGATAAGCTGTCTTTTCGGGCATTTTCTTTCTGTTCTCCTGCTGTTCCTCCACCCATAGCTTATACTCAGAGGCCTTATCTCGTTGATCTTCTTGACGTAGCATCGCTAGGGCCGCAGCCTTGTCTTGTTCGGCAACTTCTTTCATCGCCTCATTGATAGCGTCCATTATCTCCTTACGGCGTTCTTCCAGATTGGTCGGCTGTTTCGATTGCTTAGTCGCTTTATGACAGAGACGGCATTCTGCCTCAACCTTTGGAGCATCAGGTCCAGATTGGCACTTCCACCAGCCGCCTTTTTTAACGCGGAATTCGTATTGCCACTTGGGGTGAGGTTCATGCCACATCTTGTCCCACTTTGGCTTATCGTCCTTCAATCTTATTCCTTTTTCCACCGTGCCAAAAGCCTCGAGAAAGTTTGTCCATCGAGACTCAATATCATCTCCTTGCACTGGTATTTTGAGGAGCGGGAACCAATCTGGTATATTGTCGTTTTTAGGCTGACTACGGGAGGGTCCAAATAGGAAGGGTGCGGCCGGCAGGCATAGTTCGGATTGAGGCGCCTCTACCTGGAGTGCGCTCGGGAGAGATGAGTGTGTTGAGTTTGAAGGGTCAACATCTTCTAGGCCGGCAGCTGTAGCTTTGTCGAAAGGAATAATGTACAGCTTTGGCGGTGAACCAAGAAAATACAATTGGCTGCTTCGGGGTATATCATCCTTGGGAAGTGATCCATCTGAACCAAGCAAGCGCTCGACTGTTGAAGGTGTTCGTGGTGGCTGTTGGCTTCGACGTTTCAGAGATTCTGAATAGTGGCGGCGAATAGAAGCATAATTCTCGCAGCCCTCGATACTCGTGAATGAGTAATACATCCTCCGTATTTCGGCAAAGAGTACTCGATCATCTTGAGGAGTTTCATCTTGAGGAATTTCATCACTATTCTTCTCTTTATCCTTATTTGACTTTCTCTCCTGCTCGATTTCTTTTGCGATGGACCAGGTCTCTTCCATTACTTCTCGGAGAGCAGTAGACCGTTGAATATGTTGGTCCGTAAATTCCTCAACGTCGCGTAATCCTTTCCCAGGCGCTCTCTTAACATCGTCCAGGTCTAATCGCGGGACAGGGGGTGGGGGGTATTTTTGCCATCCATCCCAAATTGGTCTTTCAATAAGAGAGGAAAGCGATCGATTGCTACCTGACTCTTCAGAGGCGACATTAGAGAAGTAGTATGGAGCACTAGGCGCCGATCTAGTTGGAGGCGCATGGTAGTGGCGTGTTGAAATAGTAAATCTGCCGTTGGAACTATCGTCCAAGTCTATGGCGAACTCCGCGCTCGATTTATGCGTAGTATCCCTGGCTTCCATCTTATTTACACCCTCCCCCCACTCCATGACAATCTGTCTATGGTGGGAGGAAAGTGCGCTAATTAAATTATAGGGACATGAGATTTTGACGAAGGAACAGGTAGGATATTAATTGTCCAAGTAATGAATTGAAGAAGCGCCGAAAAAGGTTCAGAAGAAATCGCGATTGGCGTTCGATTTAAGTTCAAACTTGTAGTGCTTCTTATCCCCTTATTAGCTGTACATGCGTCCGAGTCGAAGATCTAAGTTGTCTCGAAAGTCGAATGAGGGAAGGTCGAAGGGAGGTTGAAGAGAGATTGAAGTGATTATTATAGAAGGAGAATATTGGATCTCGGTAATATTCACAAAGAAACAAATTCAACTGGGCTTATCCGTGAATTTTGGTTTGGATTTCCTTCTGGCGGCTGGAATACAAAATGGGATAAGACGAAGGTGCGTGAGGGAGTGACAAGAACTGTGTGGATAGTGTACACACTGCAAACTGAACGAAATAGTATGTACGGTTGGCTAGTGCGTAAAAGTTGTATGCACACTGACTGTAAAGAATTAGCAGGAACCTTTCTCAATGAAAGTGACTACCAATTTTCAAACGGTCCGCACACCGAGCCGCCAGTTGAGCCGCATGTCAAGCTCTTGCCATAGGGTGGTTTTGGCAGTTTGCATTGGTGTGTGAACCTGTGACTGTGAAAACCTTCACGCTAATAGAGGTCCAACAACAACTTTTTCTCGTTCTTGCAAGGCTTTCTCCCTCTCTTGTGCCATGATCTGCTTTCGCTCCTTTCGTCTTCGGTCCGCATCAAGGTTAGCAAAGCGTCCTCGAGCACCATGTCGCAATTTCGTTATCATGTCTGCAGCCTTTCCCTTTGTAATATCCATTGCTGTTAATTTGTCCTCCTTCCCTCGCAACTTATTGAGAAATTCCAGTTGATTATCTGTAGGAGGACTTTTACGCCAATTCTGATATCTTGAGATAAGGTAATGGGGATATTGTTCTGAGGCATATTTATCGCTTCCATGTACAGCATCGACCAGGGTGGGCGCTTGGAGTAGTTTTCGAGGTTTAGCATATGGAGACTTCGCTACACCTTCAGGAAGAGCCCGGACCTCCCAGGCAACGAAATTGTCCTTGCCGGCCATTTCCAATCGTATATAAGTCCCACCTGGTCCTGACAAAATCCATTTGGTCAGCCCAACTTGTACCCACGCGTTCTGGCTAATTGATCGAATATGCCTCTCGCCAGATGTGTCTGATATCAAGTCGAAGACCGAATTATAATCGACGAAGGTAACTTTCGCGATCGGTTCGCTCTCCCCGGTCTCTCTCGTGCTCTTCAGACGCCGCATATCTTCTACGGATGCTTTGTCGACTAACTCGGACGGGTCAAGGCCAAACAACGTAGGAGTTGTTACTATGCCGGTAGCTAGACTGGATACCATGTCGATGATATGACAGTCTTTTTTATCCGGATGAAGTCGCATACCTCTCCCAATCATTTGCACCAATAAATTGCGGGAGCGAGTCGGCCGTGCTAGAATAATACAGTCGATGTTGGGGATGTCTGTTCCTTCGGTGAAAACGCCACAGTTAACTAATACTGGGTATTCTTGCTTCTTAAAGTCGTCTATGAGTTTACTCCTCTCGATGTTCGGAGTTTCACCAGTCACGAATCTGGCATCGACGCCGAATCGACGGAAAGTTTCAGTCAACCCATCGACATGGGAAAGGTCCACACAAAATACCAAGGTAGATTTCCTCCCCGAAGCCTTGGCAAGCCAGCTACGGACGGTTACTTCGTTCACCTGTTTAGTATTCACGACCCGAGATAATTCGCGGGTTTGAAAGTCGCCATTGCTAGCGCTGCCAACCTTCGAGATGTCTGCTTTTGTCTCGACCGTAGTGAAGATGACGTCTGACAGCCACTTGTCCCCTATCATGTCGACATAGTCTTTATGATACACAATCTCATCGATTGCGGCGCCCAGCCGTAACCCGTCAGTTCGAGAGAAGGTTGCAGAAACGCCAACAAGTGTAGGAGAGTCATCCTTCTTTTCATCCAGGCCGAAGTGCTCTAGAGTTTTCAAGTACTGAGGGGCGACTATATGGTGAGCTTCATCGACAAGCACCAGCTTAAACCGGCTAGGATCAAACTTCTCGATACGTTCTCCGGAGTTAATACTCTGGATACTGGCAACCGTGATATCTGCAGCTCCCGAGGCGTGCATGTTGCCCATCTCTATTTCAACACTCATGTGCGGGTAAGCGTTGGTACAATGCCTCGCTGCTTGTTCCACCAGCTCTCGCCTATGAGCCAAGATTAACGTCTGCCTAACCTCATCCGAATTAGGCTTGATCCGGTCAATCAATTGAGTGAAGATGACAGTCTTCCCAGCACCTGTAGCCAGCGATATTCCCAATCGTTTATGTCCATTTTTCACAGAGGTTAAGACGGATTGAATACATTCTTCTTGATAGTCCCGGAGGCTTATTTTTTGCAATGTGCGAGTGGCGTCGGAGGCGTAGGTCCTAAACGGAGGCGGAATTTTCGTCCGATGATAACCCTTCAGTAGGAAACGACATATAGATGCCGTTGGAGATAGCCACTTTGCAGACAGAGGTGGCATGGCATATCTAATGGAAACCAGGATGATGTTGAGACAAGACTTGATGAGGCTTGGTGTTGAAGTTTGAGATTAAAAGTCTTCGGTGGAGTTGGGCAATAAACGAACAGACCAATAACCCAATTGGGATAAAGCGAATACATAGATAGAATGGAAAGGGGTAACTGAGACAGATATCGACTTCTCTACGCATTTACGCACAAAAGAAACACACGATATTGCCATGAAAAAATTTATCTGCGTATTTTATATGTACTAGTCTAAGTTGATCATTTGGCAAATTTGTTTTCCTGAGTTTTTCTGATATTTCATAGGCTAGACATGCACTTATGCATACATGTTATATTGGATCGGAGACTTAGACGTGAGAATACCGGATACTTACCTATTTATCGAGGCTTTACATATAAAAGTTAACCGGCCATATCATTCGCAGTTTCTCAGTCTCTTGAACTGTCTTCACATTTAATAAGCCTCCCACCTCCAGCCAGACCTTACAGAATGAGGAATATGAATTACATAATAACGAATCTTGTGAAAGACGTTTTTTGAACGGAATAGTCGAAGTTGATTAAAATTTTCTTAATGATGGGAACCTCCATTTTTGGTACATCTCACAGCTACGGATAGTTGCATGTACGCTTCCCACGATCTTGTACGGGGGGATTCAAGGGACTGGTTTCTACATAAAGAGCCCGCGGAAAAATAATCCGCATCTAGTTTACCTAAAATGGACCAGAGAGACGGCTCCGACTTTATCCCCAGCGGCAGCAATTCCTCCGCCGACGAGCATGAGCGTCCGCGCCCGAAGCGCCGCCGGAGACCAACCTCTCCCCCATCATCATCCGCCCCGGTCCCGGCCCCCAAACGTCAAAAACCCGCTTTTAACCCGCGATACCTACGCCTTCTCAACTCAGACATCACCGACACCGCGTCGGGGCTCCTCCTAACCGATCCAGCACCCACCACCCTCCCCCTTCTCGACCTCGAGCCCACGCAGCTCGGCGCCGTTTCCTGGGCCGTCCCGGAGAAGCAGTCCTTCTTCGCCGCCCTAGCGCGGCTCGGCCGCGACGACGTATCCGGCATCGCGTCGCGGATCGGGAGCAAGAGCGCGCTCGAAGTGCGGCAGTACCTGTACCACCTGGACGCCGCGGACCGCGCACGGCGCGCCGGGAGCAAACGGCGTCGGGGCATCGGGCCCCTGGCCATGCCCGCGGCGGCCGAGCTGGGCGCCGAACTCACGGCCGCTCTCGACGGCGCGGCCGACGCGCTCGCCCTGCGCCAGGAGGTGTACGAGGCGTCGCTGGAGCAGAAGCGCTGGGGCGGGCGGTGGCTCGTGACGGCGTCGCTGGCGGGCGTCCTCGAGACGCGGTTCCGGCAGGAGGGTTTGGATCAAACTGCTGCTGCTGCGTCGTCTCACAATCATCACCAACAGCATTCCGGCCTACCGCCCTTCGTGGAGTTGTTCCACCTGCGCAATTGGCTCAGGCTCTCGGACCGCGTGTTTATGAACTCGGGCGTGGAGGACGGGAACTGGCGCTGCGTGGCCGAGGCCGAGGCCGAGGTCGACGGGCCCCCGGCGATCCGGGCTACGGCGCTCGCGGACTTCTACTCGCTGACGCTGAGTATTACGAGGCGGCTCGTGAGCGCGGCGCTGTATGTGGCGAGCTCGCGGATACGGATGAAGCGCGCTGTAGACCCGACGCGGCACAGTGCGCTTGTGAAGAAGAATGACGTTTGGGCTGCCGCGGCATCTATAGGGTTGAAGGAAGGCAGCCGTGAATTTTGGGCCAAGGCGGCAAGGCGGTTGAGGTTGGATGTTTTTGATGATGACGATGAATATGAGACGAGCGGAGAGGAAGATGATGGGAATGAAGATGATATGGTGGGGGATGAGGATCAAAGTTCATTCGAGGAAAGGGAGGGTCGGGATATGGATGTTGATACTGCATCCAAAGGAAATATAAACGAAGAAGATGCCGTTCCAGGTATAGAAGAACAGCAAGATCAAGAAGACGATTACGAAATAATGTCCTACGACGCCGTCGAAGCCGCTCTCAGCTTTCCAAATTCTAGCACGAACACAATTAGCGACTCCCTGGACGAACCAGGACTTGGCTCAAGATCCGGATTCAACATCCCCATCGACTCCGACTCCGACTCCCTATCAGAAACCTCCGAAACCAACGACCCAGACCCAGACCCAGACCCAGACCCGGACATAGACCAGCCCTCCTCGCCCCCAATCGACAGCGCCCTCCTATCCGCCGATCTAACCGAAGCCCTGACCTACAGCGCGCTAGACCACATCCCGACCTCGCGGTCCAAGCAAGCCCTCACCCACCGCCTCAAGGCCGAGCAACGCCTATGGGCCGACGCCGACGCCCTCGATGCCGCGGCCAGCGCGGCCGAAGAGGCGCGGCTGTGGGCTATGCTGCGAGGCGATCCCGCTAAGCCGGAGACCGAGTCTCCTAAGCCGGACCCGGGGCCGGCGTTACTAGGATTGGGAATGGGTGGCAGCGGCGGTAGTAGTAAGAGGTCGGTCTTGGAGGACCAGGGCGAGAATTGGAGGGATCGGATGGAATATTACAGCGCGTGGGAGTTGACCGCCGAGCGGAATCGGTTGCAAGGTTACAATGACTAGTAGGGCGCAATGTGTATATCACAGACCTGTTCCTACAATAAATATTATGTTCGAAAGACCTACTAAATTCCCTAGAACTTGCCTATACTTATAACACCCACCCAGTTAAGCAGATCCAGAAAGAACTAGTAACCAGTTTCCCTTTTCTTTTTAAAAAAACAACTCTTTTTCCATTTGTCACGGACGTGTCCTATTTATGAGTACCTAATTGATCTTATCTTGCTTTATTGGTAATACACTGCCCCCTTCGTAGAAAGAGCACGATAGAGACACTATAGAGCTTAACCTCGGATTCCTTCACCCATTGACTCTGCAAAAGAAAAATAAATCAAGAAGTGCCCTCTTTGAGAAGAGCATAGCAAGGACCGGTTTGCATCCTGGAATTTCCCTTGACGCCCCAGAACAACGGAAAAAAAGCTAGCAATAAGAAACCGCGTTGACCCGTCCCAGTCCCTTTAAAATGCCTGGTTCGCCGCGAAATAATACCTGACTACCCCCAGGGCTGCTGTCTTATGCGTGGACTCCTCCAAATTAACATGGTATTACTTAGGCCTCGTAGCTCTTGATATTGCCGTCGCTTCCGAGTGGTTGGACTGAGCTTAGAGGGGGAGCCGACGTGAATGTTAAGCCGTTACCATCCGGCTTGATGTCAGCGCCGTTCACACCAGCGCGTAAACCTGCCTGGGTTTCTCGGACCCTCTTCTTAAATGCGAGTCGGTCCAGGAAGAGTTGTTGCCTGCCCCGCTCCAACTCGCGCCGTTCTGCTTGTAGGATACCCTCCATCTCGTCAAAGAACTTCAGCTTCAGCTCCATTTTCTGCAGGGTGACGTTCACGGCGGCGGAGAGTAACCTAGTCATCTCTCGCTCCTCGTGAGAAGCCAAGCCACCTGCACGTGCCCCCATAGCGGCGAGTGGTATGCTGGCTAGGTTAGAGACCGTTGTGTTCGTGTTCTCCTGGTTACCATCAATCTCCATCGAATCGCCTTCCTTCTCCTTGCCCTTGCCGTTGACCTTCGTCGCGTCACCACCCTCAATCTTGTTTCTCAAACCCTGCTGTAGCTCCTCGACAGACTTCTTTGCCGCCGCAGCTGTTGTCTTGGGATCGGCAAGGCTAGCAAGGAATCCGATAACAGACATGACCGGGTTATCAGCTTGGCTAAAAGGGAGATGGCCGCCATGCTTTCCTAGCATAGCAAGACCCGTAGGAGCGTGAATGGGTGCTTCTGTTTCGAGGTACTTGTCCTCGATATCTAATTGAAGGAATTGCAGGACACATTCCTCCCGAGTTCGTGTGCCTACATGCTCTGCTATCTCGGCCCAGTCGTCATCATATCTTTCTAACGCTTCGAGTAGACGAAGAATCTCGGCATCCGTCCATGGTGCCTCTCGGTCATGAATTGTCGAATAGGTCTTGTTCTCCATTTTAACAAATTGGGTGTTTGTCTGGTTGCTGGGTATCCTACCCTCCAGGTAGCAACTAGGACAGACATCGTATTTAGTCTTATTCGCAGAACTGACCTCAGGTAGGTGGTAGTAAACTCTAGTGCAATCGACACCACAGTTTAAGCAGTGAACCTTGACAATGGGCTTGGTCAAGCTTTCATCAGCTGCTGGCGAGGTAGCACCGTTGGTTGCAGCCTCGCCGTTTGTCTTGTTCTCGGTCTTGTTGATTTTCGTTCCCTTCGCATTAGCTTCGTAGATGTTGCGACCGATTTCGAGGTTTCGTTCGCCCGCAGCAGTTGCAGCAGCAGCAGCCTTATGGTCAGTGTCCTGGATCTTTCTGCCTTCAAGCACAATGGGGTCGGCTGAAGGTTGCCAAGGCTGAAGTCCGCGCGGTGTATCGCAGATGACTTGAAAGTGGCCGGTGAAAGGCGGCCCAACTTGGGAGGGTCGTTGATCCGCGTCAACCTGAAGTATGTTAGATCTACAGTTATTGCGAGAAGGATCAGGCGAGTTTACTTGGTAGTTAATTAATCCCCATTGCTCTAGGAAAGCATGGACGCGCATAATGGCGCAAACATCTCCGGCCAAATTTCGTCTGCAGGCGGTGACAGTTAAGTATTCGACGGGGTTGAGTCGGTAGGTGTTGATCATGAAATCACGGTAATCTTTGTAGACGGCAGGGGTTTTACTTCGGTTTCGGCTGTTGAAGAATTCTGGTAGAGCCTTGCGTTCGATGCTGTGGATAGCATTCATGTCGAACCAGGTGCTATAACTCGGTAGAACAATGGCGTGGGTTTGGGAAATGAGGTGTTCGCGCGCGGCGTTCTCGATGCTTTCCTTAGACTTCACCTCCTGAGCACCATCGGCACCGGCAGCTGCTTCGTCGCCATCTTTTTCCTGTCGTCCATCCGCCTGAGCCTCGCCCATCTCCTCATCGTCCTTAGCTAAGGTAGTTTCAGCAGGCGGCGCAGGAGGGGCATCAAGTGGGTTATCTGAAGTACCAGCAGGAGCGGGAGTAGTGCTATCTTGCTTGATGATAGGTTCAGTAGAGGGGATTTCGGACATCTGCACATCTAAGAGGCGCATTAGCATATTTGGATATAAGGTACAGGATAGAAGGACGATGACTATAGTCGCATTCTTCTCAGCTTACCTTCAGCTCCTTGCGCATTGGAGGTGTCGGTTTGTAGAGGTGGTTGCGCTAGGATGAGGTTGCTACCGGGTGTAGCTGCATTGGCCGGTGAGCCATAGTTGGCGTGTTCGCCATCCATTTTTGAGGCGAAGGATTATTTCGACTAGTGATGGATTGCAAAAGGGAGATTTGGCGATTATTCGATTGCTGAAAAATGGGAGCACAATGAATCGCAATTATCAATAAATTAATTAGGACAGATAATTAGCGAGTGACGAGAATAGAGTTGAAAAATGCGACTCTGTAACCCTCGGGGAAGATTGATGAATCGTTCTATTTCATTGGATTGCGTCGACTTGTCGATGTGTCGATGCGTCGATGCGATGAGCTTGGGTCGACCGCGTGTTTGGAGAAATAATTTGGCGCGACCTAAAAGAACTGGGTAACGGCTGAGAAAAGTATGGTCAATGCGTTGCCCGGAGCAGAAATGCTTAGTATCCGATATGTCACGTGCCTCCTGCATATCTTACATAAGAAATCATCAATACATGTATCCATGTACCATTTTCCGCGGGTCCACTTTCAAGGCTAAAGTTGGACCGCGATCGGCCCCGATTTGCCTCGGTGTGAGCCGAGAACAGCCGAATTCCATTCACGACGAAGACTTAGACGAGCTTTAATCTATTTCGAGCTCGCCAAATTTCAAGTCATAGAAAAGCATTAGACACAATGCTTTTCCCCACGGCGACAAGGTCTGTTCTCAGAAGCGTTGGCGCTCTGCCACGCTCTACTTCGGCTTTCTCGAGTCCTTTCAGCAGCCCCTCGGCTCTCCGAAGATTATTGTCGTCGTTGGCCGTCCTAGAACAGCGCGACGGCAAGCTCAACCACGGCTCCTTAAGCGCAGTCACGGCCGCAAAGAAACTCGGCGGCTCGATACATGGATTTGTTGCCGGGAGCAATATCAAAGCTGTCGCAGAAGAGGCGGCAAAAGTAGAGGGCGTTGAGAAGATAATCGCGGTAGACAACGCCGCTTACGACAAGGTGCGGGCGACTCAACCATCTTCTATTCTTCCAATCTCCTATCTACCAAGACACATGGGCAATTAGCTAACCCCCAATCAATTGTAGGGTCTACCCGAAAACTATGCGCCTTTATTAGTTGAGAATATTAAGAAAGGTGGCTACACACATATTATTGCAGGACACACTGCCTTTGGGAAGAGCTTATTGCCGCGGGTCGCCGCACTCCTCGACTCTCAACAAATATCAGATATCACTGCTATCGAGAACGAGAACACTTTCGTCCGTCCGATATACGCTGGTAATGCTATCGCTACCGTCGAGTCCTCCGATCCTGTGAAGGTTATCACTATTCGTGGCACGGCCTTCCCCGCAGCTGAAGCGCAAGGCGGTTCTGCCACCATTGAAGATGGTGCTGATCCCAACGTGGAAATATCCGTAGAGTGGGTTTCTGAAGATCTAGCGAAATCGGACAGGCCAGACCTAGCAACTGCCGGCAGGGTCGTTTCCGGGGGCAGAGGTCTCAAGTCGAAGGATGACTTCGATAAGATCATGCTCCCGCTTGCGGATTCATTAGGCGCTGCTGTCGGTGCCTCTCGTGCAGCTGTGGATAGCGGATACGCCGACAACAGTCTACAAGTTGGCCAAACCGGCAAGGTTGTCGCTCCCCAATTATATATGGCCGTTGGTATTTCCGGCGCAATCCAGCACTTGGCGGGTATGAAGGACAGCAAGGTAATTGCTGCTATTAACAAAGACGCTGAGGCACCGATATTCCAAGTGGCTGACGTAGGGTTGGTCGGTGATTTATTCGAGAAAGTACCCGAGTTAACAGAGAAGCTGAAGAGCTCGTAGTTATATGAATACAATGTTACAATAGCCCGCGAGGGCAACTTTCATTAGCTTGGATTCAGCTCGCCGCCTCTAGCATTTCTGTTGTGCTTATGAATTTCTCCCTTTCTTTTCCAGCCAACCCACCCCGTAATTTTTCGGCTCTATTTATCTTCTGCCAGTCTTCCCAATGGATGACTCTACATTTTCCAAACTCTACGCCTGCTCGAAGGGCTTCCCAGCCAGAGCTGCTTTCTCCTTCTAGGAATGGGATGTCGGCATTCCAGTCGGAGGCCATCGCGTCGCCTGTAGAGAACGCGTCCTCCATAGTTGAGGCGATGACACCTGTCGGACCTCTTTTGACCCAACCTGCACAGTAGAGTCCAGGCACATGTGACCTTTTCTGTTCGTTGCCACTCTCATCGCTTTGAACCTGCAATACACGACCCATTCCATCGTTATTGATAATTCCCCTCCTGTCATCAAATGATATTCCCGCTTCATCAAATCCCGGTAGGGCAACAGACTTGTACCCAATGGAACGGAATACTACAGAGGAAGGGGCTTGTATTTTCTCCCCTGTACCAACGACACTTGAAGATGGATCGAAAGGCGATGCTAAAGATGTTCGTTCGAAGAGTGTGCTCTCTACATGTCCATCAGGCCCACCGAAAAATTCGATAGGCGATAAACAAAAGTCTAGAGACCATTTCTTCGACGCAGAGTCTAATGGAGTTGCGGAGCCTTTCACAAGTATTTCCATCAGCCTTCGCTGAGCCCGGGGTAGTTTCGATATTTGCTCAGGGATGAGAGACCTGTCGATTTCATGAAAACCAACCCCCGGAAGCTTCATCAGCTCTCGGATTTCCTTGATTGTAAATGCGGCCTAGAAAACAGTCAGATACTAGATATCATAAATCAACAAATAGGAAGACTTACCTGCATGGGTCCTCTTCTCCCCACGATTTGGACTCGTTTAATGCGACTCTTTAGTAGGGTTTCAATAGCCATCTCGGTGATGTCTGACTTCCGCAATACGTCCACGTCTTCTAGAAGCATCCTAGCAACATCAAGAGCAACATTGCCCTGACCGATGATGATAGCTTCATCCCCCTTAGTGAGGTCAGGGGCTAGACCGGCATACTCTGGTAGGCCATTATACCAGCCTACAAACTCCCGAGCCGAATAGATCCCTTTCAACTCAGACTCTCCTGGAATACCCAGCTGTTTATCCTTCGACGCACCATAAGCGAAGACAACGGCATCGTAATGGTGCATCATAGAAGCCAGCGGTATTGTACATCCGCCAAAATGGCCGCCTGCGTTGCCGATAGCGACATTTCCAATAAAGGTAAAATCGGGTGAACTGGCAACTTCTTCGAATTTGGATTCACAATTCTATTTCTCGAACAATGAACGATTTAGCTACATAGGACTGAGTCTATTTGTTTATGTTATTCATACCTTCACCTCGGGATGGTCTGGCGCAACTCCGAACCTCACAAGACCGTACGGTACGGGTAATGCTTCAAACATGTCAACCTTAGTTTTGGGCACCTTAGACATGACCCGGTATGCGGTATAGAAGCCAGCCGGGCCTGAGCCAACTACGGCCATCCTGAGAGGTTTATCATGCCGACTTGAGGTTGAATAAGAAGATATTCTAGAAGCGAGTGGCGTAGAAGCTTTGCGCCGGCATGTTGCGCAAAGCCACGATTTTGTAATGGAGGCCATGCTCGAACTCAATGGACACGCCCTTTGAAAAGCAAGAATCAATTGATAGGATAGAAATTGCTATTGCATCTCTAAATGACTAACTTAAATGGACATGGGTATAAGCGAATGAATTAATAAGGAGAAGCAGTTGCGGTTTCCTAAGGGCTAAAAATGACGTATATTGAAATTTTGGAGTGTTCGATGTTGTCTCGGTCCTCCGAAGTCCGACATCGCCGGCCGTAAGCTATTGGCCATGTCATTGGCCTACGACTAGAGACACAACACGCAACTTCTCTTCTACAAAGCATTCTTCTAAAGATTAATCAAAACTCACGATAATCGTAAAGTGTATCCAATCTAAGCGATTCTAGATGTTGGCGCTTAATGGAACATGACACAGTACGGCCGTACTGTGACGGATTGTTACAGAATGCGCAAAGTCGCAAAATAAAAATGGGTTCGCTAATTGTCCTGTCGACTGTTGCCGTGGAAACCCGGATTGTTTCCATTTTCAGCTCGTCCCAAGCGCCAGTGCAAATGTGTCCTACCCATCTGTCCATCCCACCTCGTTTCCCCCACTATGGATGCTCCCGCATTTTCGCAATCTCCAATTCGCAAGCCGCAATTCTTAAGACCATTTTAAGACTACACATTCCAATCCGCCCTCCCTATCGTGAATGTCTCTCAGCCTTGTCTAAACCGAGGCGACGTTCGTGGATATGGGCGCTCAACAACCTTACATGTACGACAGCGACAGACGCGATTCGCGATTACCCGAAAAACCATTCGACCCTAAGGCCATCACCAGAGCAAGTTGGGAACCACCACCCAAGAAAAAGAAGAAGCACAATGGCCCCTTAATAGCCTTCGGTCGGCATCCCGAGTGAGTAAACATACAGAACTATCATGTGCGAGCGTATGAGTTACGAGACTAATTCAACATAGTGCACAAGCTGTTCCAACTGGTCGGACATCGTTCTTTCGCCCCATGAGCAGCACCACCAAGTGGTGGATCAAGTCCATGAGATATGTCCAATTATGTCTTCGTGTACTCGAGATGATCGGGGGAGGCGGTCTGCTCACCCTCATGATTCTAATCGGCAATGTTGATCCTCTAACTGCCTGGGTCATGAGAATCACGGTATGCTTCGAGACTCTATTCTAGCGCATACCCAAGACCTTGACTAATAGTAAAATCTAGCCCGGCGTAGTGGCTATCAGCTGCGTCTACGCTATCTGGCATTTTATCCGACCCGCCAATGCGAGACCGCCCGCTTCTTCAGCGGCTTACCAACTATTCGCCGGTGTTATGGACCTGGCAGTAGTACCCCTCTACGCTTTTGGCGTAATCAATGTCAAGAACTACGGTACCGAGTGGAAGCTCATCGTGACTGCTTCCCCCGAGCTCACTGTTGCCTTGATCCAGAGCGAGTATTATCTCCTCATCTGCGCCGGCGGCCTGCATGTGGTGTCACTTGGCATCTCGATCTACCTCGGCCTCATGTTCCGACGCATCGCCAACATGCCGCCGGACATGAACCCGCTCGAGAGCCACTTGACTTCGCGCGCCAACCAGCACAAGCGCAACAAGTCGTCCGTAGCCACGAGCTATACCGCCGTCTCCGACGACATGAACTCAAAGCGGCTCTCTACGCCGCTAGAGAACTACCGTAATTCAGGCGCCACATACGAGGACCTTTCCAGGCCTCCCAGCATCCCGTTCATGCACACGCGCACCGGCTCGCGGGACTCGTTCGCCTCGTCTAAGCGCGACTCGCGCACCGATCTGCCGAGCAGACAGTACCAGATCACACCGGGCAATTCTCCGCGCAACTCTCCGCGCAACAGCGTCGCAGACATGAAGCGCATGTCGAACGCATCGGGCCTGACCATCTCGACCTCGCGCACGGCGCAGCGCGGCAGCTACACGGAGGTCCCGCTCCACGAGACAGGCGTATCGACGCCAACCTCCTCCTCCTCGCGGCCCTCGAGCGGCGTGACGCTAGCGCCGATGCCGTCGCCGTCGGCGCAGCAGCCCATCAACGCGTCGCCGACGCGCGTGGCCAAGTTCACGGAGGCGTGGTACGCGTCCGAGTCCCTCATCAACCGCACGCAGCAGCGGCAGCGCGAGATGAACGCCGCGGAACGCCAGCGCGAGCGCGAGTCCCGCCGCTACGAGGCCCTGAACCAGCGGTACAACTTCGACGAGGAGGACTCCGAGGACGACGACCGCGAGAATAACTACAGCGTTATCGGCCCCGATTACTCGGATATCGAGGACGACGATGGCGCGCCGAGTAGCCCGATTAACGTCACCGCGCACCTGCACCCGAACCCGCTGCGCTTGAACCCGGTGCCGGGTACGCCGCCGAAGGATAATGCTGCTGCTGCTGCTGCTGCGAGCGCCATCGCCGGTAGGCAGAAGACGCCGTTCCGTCCCGCCGACGGCGAGGTCTTGTCGGAGGTCAATTTGAACGATCGACGGGTTAGTGGTAGTCAGGATATCGCGGACCAGCAGCAGCGGTCGTCGGGCGTCGCGTCATTCTGGCGACGCAGCACGATCGGCAAGAGCGGCGCGAAGCCGCGCAACCGGAACTCGTCGATCCAGCCCGACGGCGACTTCTACTCCAAGCCGTACGGCGAGCTGAAGCCGGCCACGCCGCCCATCATGATGGGTACCGGTGGGAATGTCAGCGGTGGCGGCGGACGCCAGGTCTCGTCCGGTAATGATTACGGTGATTTGGGAGCCGGGACTTCGTATCGGAGGAATGTGAGCGGGAAGATTGCGGAGGAGGGGTTGGCTGGGAGCGGGAATAAGTACTCAAGGTATAGTATCTTGAATGAGGATTGAGCTGGTCGAGATCTGAATAAACAGGGGCACCGATAGTGTCAGAGATGAGGAAGAGGAATAGTATGAGAGAATGAATGAGAGACAGCAGCAGGGAAAGGCGGGATGTGGGGGTGGTATGGAATTAGGGGCATTGGGGGATCGAGTGATTTCTATGATACCGCCTGGAGTTAATCGCTACCTGGTTTTTCGATTTCTTGGAAGGGGGGGAAGGGGGATTGTGAATTGTGGTCAAGTCAAGAAGTGTTGATTGATATGATGATGACTCACGGATGTAATACTAGATAACACATAAGGGTACCGGAAATGGATAGGTTAGGGTTCTGGTCTCAATGGGATAATTAGGTACCGTTGCTTAAGAGTTGAGAGTGTGTATTAATGAATGTGATTGTTGAAGGGTGGTCTTGGATGGGTTGATTGGAGCATATGGGAATATACCAAGGTACTTAGTTTTAGATAAAGCAGTTGAGATATTATTGAATAGGGGTACCTTTACGTCTACTTCTTATAGGAGCACGTCTTCAAGACTGAAAGTGTATCCTAGCCATTATATTAAAGTACTGAGCGCTCCTATTTACATGCCTAGTGTCTTTTATATCAAGTCATCAATCTACCATAAAAGGGGTTTAACCACGAAGGTAATAGCAATCCCCTTACCACGGGTTCTAGCAGGAATACACCCGAGAAAATACCAAGCCCTCATTTATCTCAAGACGTAATCAGGAGAAAAGTACTATCCTGTATTAGAGAAGCATATCACTCCAACCCATTCTTCTCCCTAACGTACGTACCCCAATCCGTCCTTGGGCTTCTCTCCCCCTCAAACCCATCGCCCTCCCTCCATCCCATCTCGCTCCACGCGCCGATGCCGCATAAATGGCGCATAGTCGGGCGTCCGTGCGGGCAATTCCACGGCTTGTCCAACTCGCCCATATGCCGCACCAGCTTCTGCATCTGCGGCGTGGTGAGGTGCTTCCCGATCATGACGCTGCTGCGACAAGCGCGCATGGCGAACATCTTGCGGACTTTGGAGGGGCGAGGGATGGCGCTCGCGGACACGGACTGATGGTCCGTCAGCATGGACACGAGCTCCTCGAGGTCCGCGAGCGAAAACGTGGTTTCTCGGCTCAGTGGCAGGCTGAGCAATTGGCATCTAGAGCCGACGGGCTGGTCACCACTCTCGTCCATGCTGACGATGAATCCGTTTGCTTCTAGCGCGGGGATGTTTTCTCTGATGACTTCTTCCTCAAGAGCTGTGAGCTCGAGGGTCTTGGGCTGGACAAGTCGTTGCGATTGCACGACCGTATTGGCTTGCAGCCTTTCGAAGTTGTATTTCTCGTCTGTCGCGTGCTGGTCAATGATGAAAAGCTCGTCGTCCCTATCACCTTTGACTTCGGCGTCGTTATGATCTGCGTTGGCTGGGCGAACGGCTAGAATGAAACCTAGGTTGAATTGTCCGATGATCCTCATCTTTCCAAAGTCGGACTTTGAGATGGTTAGGGATAGCTTCTCTTCGGCGTCTTCAGCATCAAGTTTATCTGTGACGAGCTTAGAACTCGTTGTTAAGGAGACGTCCTTCATATAATCTTGATGGACTTTCAAGGAATTTAATATTTGATTTTCGTTCGTACGGAGCGTCTGCAGCAACGATATCGTCGAGTCTTTCTTCTTCGTACCGCCCTTTATAAAGGTTTGGGTGCGTCTTTGAGTTTCTTCAGAGGTACTTTTTGTCGGCTCTTGTGTAGCGCCAGCGTCACCGTCCACTTTGACTTCGGGCAACTCTTCTGTCTGATTATTTAGATGTTCATCGTCAGTTGGTTGAACTGGAGATGGTGGTGTGTCGTCTTGCAATTCAATATCCACTGCCTTAGATTCCGGAGGCTGGTAGTCGGAATCGTGATCTACCTCTTCAGGAATATCTTCGTCTTCTTTGCTCTGGACAGAAGCCGCGTCTTCCTCGTCCCGTCCGTCTTCCTGTTCATCGTCCTGCTCGTCTCCTTCATCATCACTACCTTCTACAAATAAATGCTCACTAGAAGCATCAGAGTCCTCTGAACCATCTGTTTTCTTGGTAGTTGTTTCAATACGTGACGACCCAGCTTGCTTTGATTGCGAATAGGCTGCAAACATCTGGGTCAAGCGCCCATTGAATGTAGGGATTGTAACCGACTCTTTAATTACTCGTTGTCTCACAGATGAATCTCGGTTTTTATTATCGTCTATTCGTTGTCTCTTCGAAGGAGAGCCGATAATGCTGGTGACGGTATGGTTACCCACTGTAATCGTAGCAACTTCGGGTGTTGAACGCTTCAAGCCTGCAGATGAGCTTACTCTACTGGACTTGATGTCGGATACGCGAGATGATGTCGATACAGCTGGTATTGGTGGTTCGACTGGAGGGCTACTACTACGTCTGTCTGCTTTACTTCTGCTTAATTCTGCTAAGCGCGCACGAAAATCAGGTTTCTCGCTGGAGGCTTCTGTTGAGGGTATAGTGGATGCTGGTAGGTCCTGAGCGCTGTCTTCTAGTTCGGCGTCCTTGTCTTCTTTTGTGTTGTCCCTCGCAAACCTGGCAAAGGTATGTTGCGTTCCTTTTGATGTTTCCTGATCATGATCTTCCGAGATCTTACTCGTTGTCGAAGGAGTATCAGCGCGTGATGCCGATCTACGTTCGGCCCATCGGCTAACCAAGTTGAGACTTTTACCATCATGAGCTGCCGTCCTCCTCGAGGCCGAGCTACTTGATATGGCCTCATCTGCAGGTTCCTCATCTTCATCCTCGTCATTTCCAATGGTATTGCTTGGAACTGTAGAAGCGGAACTCTGGCGCTGCGAGTTATCGGCTGAGGTGGATGGGACTGACCCACTTTGGGAAAATGGGGTATTGTGCCTACTGAGAGAAGGCTTTTTGAAAGGCGTCGATTTTATACTGGATAACTGCGATGTTGGCAGCGCATAATCTTGTGATTCAAATAAGGCGACTAATGATTCCCGGAGGTTGTCGAGCATTCGAGTTTGATCATGTAAGAGAATCGTACGCTTATCCGGACTGACATTGACATCATAGAGATGGGTATCCAGCTGGATATCTGCGAAAATAAAAGGAGATTGAGAAGCATTATAAGATTTATACACCTCATTGAATACTTTGGCGAATTGTGGTAAGCCACAGGGGCGACCGTTCACAAAGAACATCTGCCTATCAGGAGTCTGACGGCCTTCTCCATGGGCCGGGCGGGATACATGTCCTTTGATAAGGATTTCTTGGATGCTATCATCACTCTGAGTGGTCCATTTCTGGCCTGGCGCGTTTGTGGGTTCTAACTCGAGCTTTAGGTCTAAGGGAATAAGAACGGCCAAAGTTTTCGCTCCAAACACGTTGACGATATTTTCGCGGGTTGTCTGGTTCCCCTTGGTTGAAAATAGAACAATTCGCTTGCCTTTGGTCGGTTGCTGAGATACGGAAAATTTGAGGCCAGTTTTGATACAGGCGTATTGATTTAGGACACCAATGACCTTGTTCCACTCTCGCTTGATATTTCGTTCAAGTTCACGTCGACGGACAGGTAGATTGTGGAAAAGTCCTTCAATCGTCACCGTAGTCCCTTTTTGGGCGGCTACAACTGTTGTGCTAAGAAGTTTCCCGGAGGTTTCGAATTCTAGCTTCGACCCCTTCGGTGCATCAGATGCTAGACATGTGGTTATGGTGAACTTGGATAAGGCGCAGAGGGATGATAGCGCTTCTCCTCGGAAACCAAATGTCTGCAACGAGGAAAGATCCGAATAAGTAGAGAGCTTAGAAGTATAGTGTTTGAGAGCTATCGTTTCATAGTTCTCCCTGGATATACCTGAGCCATTATCTTGGACCTCGATGGAATCTAACCCTTGGTTCTTGAAACGAACCTCTTTACATGGGTGTCATATATTAGTAACTAAATACCAATATAAAATAAGGAATGAAGGAGAGCAATATACCAACCTATGCTCGTGGCTCCAGCATCTAAACCATTTTCCACCAGCTCCTTTACCACGGAGCACAGGTCGACGATGACTTGGCCAGATTGGATTTGGTGGACCTTGAAGATTTAGCATTCATGGTACATTATCAAAACATTAAGGAGTTACTCACAGTTCTAGCCTCGATGGCCTTAATGGTCGCCATGAGTAGGAGCCAAGCCCACTCGACTTACAAATCAGAATAGGGGGTTATCCTATCTAATTGTTCAACGTAGCCGGCTTTTGGAGGCGCCGTGAAAAGATTTATGGTTATGCATGCATATAGGAGAGCCTAGCCGACTAACTATCCACCATCACGGCCGCCGGTAAGATCCGTAGAGCCTCAAAGTATTCGAATATTACTGAGACTAACCATTTCAGCCTCGTCGCGTCATGTATAAATTATGTAAGACGAGAACACGTTGAGTGGGTATTGAGAAAAGTGGCGTAGCATCGAGATCCAAAGCTTGAAGTTAACGAAATATGTGTAGCCACAGTGGGTGGGTCCCTTGTGGGTTTACGAGGACCGAGATTGGAGTTGGTCGAGTGGGGCTGGTGCATACTGTGCAGAAGTTCCAAGTTGACGGAAAGATGGAGTTTAACGTTCCAAGATTCACTCTGCTTGCCCTTGAAAGAATCCTTGAGGATTGAAACTTTGAAGTCATATGTACCTCTACCAACAACTGCACATATAACTATACATATAAAATAAAAGCCTCATAAAAAACGATTTAAGTCTGGTATGACCTCAGGGATAAGCGATGTATGTCGGGCAAAATATCGGTCGAAAAAAATAGTGAAACTTTTACCGAAAGGTGTTCTGACGTCAAAACCCGGAAAAATTTCATACCGGGCTTGCATCCACCCCGGTCCGCGGTCGCCGGTCTCCTTGCGCATTGGTATTCTGTATGTTCTTAGGTAGCAAGGACTCCTATACTAAAACTCTGGTCACTTTTCATGGCGGAAACTGCAGCGAAGAATTCGCCAACAAACTCCGACATAAATTTTCTGAATAACGATTACCAACATATCCAAACGCTCATATAATTTCCAAGTTCATTATGCCGGAATAGGGGAGCTGTTAGTGACCCATCATCTTGGTGATCGTCACATTGGTTACAGATGTACCTAACATACAGCCAATCCGCCCGGAGCCCGGCAGAACCAAGACTCCAAATAACTCTTGGCAAACTTGACACTGCAGCAATGTTTGGCTAGGGATGGCTAGGGATGACAGGACCTTAGTGATGTCGACATTGTCGATAACGGAATCTTCGGAAGACACACAGACTTGGTATCCTTGCTATCCCACTCGGCCTTATTCCCAATCCCCACGGCTCACCTAGTATATTCACTACCAGACTCGAGATCCAGAGTTACGAGAAAGAGAAGCCAACTGGTTCCCCTGCTCGGGTACCTACATATTCATCATGTAGGTACGCAGCCTGGACAGTAATTGGGTTTCTCCGTGAGATGTCATCTGAAAAAAAGCTTGGGGGAACATTGACGTCTGGGAAATTTGAAAGATCGGATTGATCATTCTGTCATTCTGTCATTGTGCCCCGTGACCATCCCGGAAACTTTTGATGTGGAACGACGATGGATGTTTATCCATAGGCGCTCTACGTTGCAAGGGTTACATGTCACCTACTACATATTGGTACAGTAGCTGGAAACAGATGCACGCTAGGCGACTGAGACATTGCTTCTTCTCACGACATCTCTCCCTACATAGTATCCAACCTGCCAACGCAAATAAGCCAGGTGGAACCACATTGGGCACATTTCTTGCTCGAATACGGAATACAGCTTGATGTACATTAGGTATGTATGTCAAGTGAGCTCTCGTTTTATGCAGCCTCTACTATGACAATCGGTCAACACGAGCTCGGCTGTCACATTTTACCGCGCATAACCAGAATTGTGGCGGCTCAGAGAGCCACGCTGCCACGAGATTCAAGACACCATATCAAAGTAACCATAAAATCCCGACAATCGATATGTAGGCGTGTATACTTTTTCGTACGGCACAGCATCGACCGTTGAGGAGATCGCTGGGACTTTGGAGATTTCCTTTCTCCACAGGTACACGTGTGTGTATCGTCTGTAAAACACAAGCTGAGACGGCCGGATGGGATAGCGCGCAGTTTGTGGTTTGCCGATCGCCAAGTTTGCTAGCCCATCGAGGTAATAGGACATCCCTTGTCTCGCTTTTCCCCGCAAACGGTCTTGATTATAAGATGGATATGTATATCCGCGTAGTTCTTACATGTATGCTATGTAAAATCTTTTTATAATAATAGTATAGGGGTAGCAACAATTCCTTTAGTTTAAAACATCATCCTCAATAATGCTACCCTACCGGTTCTGCCCTTTTGCAGACGCATGCAGCAGTAGGTACATATAGCTAGGTTCGAATTGGATCTACCTAGGCATGCATGCTTCTGGCTGTCTGACGGTATGAATATATCCTCCATTCCTAAGCGGGCTTAGATAATTCGGTAGCTAAAGCCAAGCTAACGTCATTAATGGTACTGTCGTGGGATAAGAAGCAGGAAGAGGTTGGTTTGGACGGTTCAAGCCAGGATTTGGCCCGTGTCGACCCACTAGAATTCAAGTCCGATAAGGACGAACAAGGGGTAAATACTCCACTTTATATTGGAAGCTACATGGTACAGAGGTACCTGTGTACGTAGATACATGCCCTCGTGCTACAGGTCCAAACTTTTAAGGTTCCTTGAAAAGTTACGGAATTAAGCACTAGACTAGTCCCATTAATCAACAAGAGCCTCCCCTAATTGCCCCCAAACCTTAGCACCGAGGCGCTAAAATTCAGTTTGCTCTAAGCCTGGGCTGGCCTGGATGAAAAGAAGCATTGCCAACCTATCGCATCCATATCTCGATTATCCTCGAGATTTCCCACGTCTGTACTTTCCCACTCATTCCCCGTCAACCCGTCAACCCGTCAACCTTCAAAGTTGCACGACTCAAAAATAAAACAAAAAACATCACTCGTGGAACTACACATCCATCCTTTCGTAACCTGTCCACCACCGGAATAATTACAAAACTAGTGGCTAGGAGGGAACTAACATTCATTTTCAACCGCTTTGCAAGTTGACTGGGAAACATAACACGGACGGGATTGGACCTAGGGATACAAATTACTTCTCTCCTTAATAAGACCATCCGCTTTTTCGAGCTTCCTACCACATCTTACCTACAAATTCGACATTGCGCAAGTCAAATCTTGCCCATATCTCGATTGGGATTGTTATTGCGCTAACTGTAAGACGGATTCTACCTTAAACCGGCATTTTGTAGCGAATGACCGACGTCAAACCGACTTAAAATACACCGAGAACCAAACGACTATCGTATTGCTCAGCTTGGCTTATCGAGTTTACGACACAAGATAAGAGGTCTCTTACGAGAGCCTCTTTTTCCTCATGCAGAGGCGCTCGTCGGGGTCGTCCGAAGACAGCGCCGATGTTCCTGTCAAGACCTCGCGCCCTCAAGGACAGACAAGGCTGAACGACGCAAACTCCTCTATCCGCCATTTTCATGACACCCGCCAGTCAGACCATCACCCCCATAATTCCGGCACGAGATCTACGTCCGCGAGAAGTAGAAGACCGAGCAGTAACATCAATTGGCGACCTTCCCATAGTCGAGATGGCTCTACGGAGAAACCGCCCATAGCTTCTCATCTTGCGCCAGTCACATTATCGCCCGACTACCCGATAGAGACTGAAAGAATGGCAAGGTTGAGACGGAAGAATAGACAGCCGCAGCCCTGGAATCCTTGGGCTATATCGTTCTTAACGTTCCTTACGAGCGCCTTGGGTATTGGTCTCCTATTTACTGTTTTATACTCCGCCGTCACTTTACATTGTGACCCCAAGGGGTGTCGCATGTCCTGGATGAGCCCGTCGTACGCCAAGTTTAGCGACTTCGATACCGAGCATACGCGATTTGCGACCAAATATTCGTTATATCTATATCGGGAGCAGGGGTTTGACAATGGCCCAAAGGTAGGGATATCTCGCAATAATAGTTGTTTTTTGAGGCCAGTGTTGATTTGATAAATAGATTAAAGGTATACCGGTGCTGTTCATACCAGGAAATGCTGGCAGCTATAAACAGGTTAGATCTATCGCATCTGAATCTGCTAGGTATTTCCACGATGTCCTGCAGCATGACGCAGCTGCTTTGAACGGAGGTGCTAGGAGCTTGGACTTCTTTACCGTCGACTTCAACGAGGACTTTACCGCTTTCCACGGACAAACAATGCTCGACCAAGCCGAGTACATAAACGAGGCTATCAGATATATCCTATCTCTCTATTTGGACCCGAAGATCTCAGAGCGAGATCCGAGTCTTCCGGACCCCTCTTCGGTTATCATACTAGGTCACTCTATGGGAGGGATTGTTGCGCGAACTATGTTTATTATGCCGAATTATCAAGCAGACTCCGTAAATACGATTATCACCATGTCCGCTCCGCATGCTCGGCCACCTGTTACGTTTGATCCGAAGATTGTTAGCATTTATAACGATATCAACAACTATTGGAGGCGGTCCTATTCGAAGAAGTCGTCGGCTGAGAACTCCCTTAACCAGGTCACTCTGGTGTCTATCGCTGGCGGTGGTTTGGACACTGTTGTGCCGTCAGATTATGCAGGGTTGGAGTCCATCGTGCCCGAAACTCACGGTTTCACCGCCTTCACGTCTACGATTCCTCACGTTTGGACGAGCATGGATCACCAGGCAATTACATGGTGCGATCAGTTTCGCAAGGTTATAGTCCGTGCGCTGTATGATGTCGTTGATAATCGAGGAAGGTCGCAGACGAAACCACGAGCCGACAGGATGAGGGCCTTCAAGAGGAGGTTTTTGACCGGATTAGAGAGCTTCGTCGAGAAGACCCTACCAAAGGCAGCTCCGTCGACATTACTCACGCTAGAAGACCATACGACTACTATACTTCCGGCGGATGAACATCTTGTCCTTCGTGATCTAGGTTCTCAGAGGAAGCCTAAGGCATATCTTCTCCCGTTACCCTCAGGCGAGTTTGCTGAGGGAAAGAAGTTCACCTTGCTATCGGATAGCTATCTAGATCGGCCGGGTGAGGATGGCAAGCTCGAAGTTCTATTTTGCAATCTTTTTCCTGCACACGCCGGACAAGCTAACCTACCGTTCTCGACAAATATTGATCTCTCTAGTGATAGTGGGGCGTCGACTAAATTTGCCTGCAAAAATGCCGCGGCTGACGTAGTATCCTTACCTGCCTCTTCCCGCTTCACGAAGGAAACCTTTTTCAAGGAGGGTGAGTGGCAAATCCCGCCATTCTCATATCTTGAGTACAATGTGGAAGATGCTTCAGGTTACGAATTTGTGGCGGTTGTCGACAAGACTGCGGCTCCTACGGCCGGTTGGCTGGTAGCCGAATTCAGTGACAAGGCCGCTGCCCATGTAACACGACACATCAGTATTAGGCGCCTCCTAAACTTCGGCTTGTCCCTTCATCTTCCGGCGAAGCGACCTATGGTAACCGAAGTGAAGCTTCCATCCGTCCAAAGCAGCCTTTTGGCGTACAATCTCAAGATCGATGGCCAAACATGTAACGAACGAGAGCAAATGTTCACTCCGCTTGTCCGCCAATACATATCTGAACCCTACGAGTCAAAGTACTTCGTAAATGCTGAGGATGTGGAAATTAGTCTTCATGGCGTCTCACCTTATGTGCCTCCGCCAATGAAATCCAGACTTACCGACGATGGTCTTAGCCTACAGTTCTGGACAGATCCGACCTGCAACTCAGACATTTCGATTCACATAACGGTCGACTCCCTAGGCAGCCTCGGGAAGCTGTATATGCGCTACCGCACTATATTTGCCTCTTTCCCTTTGCTTATAGTTGCACTCGTCTTACGAAAGCAATTCCAGGTTTACGACAACACCGGTGTTTTTATCCCCTTTTCCGAAAGTCTAGATTTCTGTCTTAGGCGGTCATTGCCGATGCTTCTTTTGTCTATGACTCTTTTGTCACTTTCAATGGGTCAGTCGGGCTCACCCGGTTCGAAAAGCCTTCGGTTTTGGCAGAATAATACAGGGGCTATCGACTTTGCGCAAAACGACTTATTGGTGGGTACTTCGGACCCATTCTTCTGGTTTCTTATCCCGATGATCGGTGTCATCTGCGTCGGAGTCTGCATAGGTCTCCATTATGTGGCGCAAGTCCTCACCTGGTTGCTCAGCATCATCTACAGTTGGGTTTCTGCTCGACCAGTCATCCAACAACAAGAGAAGAAACGAGCCCCATCACCAGCATTTACGCCTTCGTCGCCAAGGCGACGGGCTGTCACTGCTCTAGTTCTCCTCGTTCTCGTTTCGACATTCATCCCGTATCAGTTTGCATATGTGGTCGCATGCCTTGTGCAGCTGAGCACTGCCGTCCGAGCTAATCGATCTGCCCGCGAGACTCCATCATTGGCTAGTTCTAACTTTAACAATTACGTGCATTCCATTTTGCTGTTGATGATATGGATCCTACCAATCAATTTACCGACTCTAGTTGTCTGGGTGCGAAACCTGACTGTCCACTGGTTCACGGCATTTTCGTCTCACCACAACGTGCTGGCGATTTTGCCATTCATCTTCCTTGTCGAAAACCTTACAGCTGGCAAGATGATTCCGCCATTAACGAGTCGACTCCGGCACGTGACAAACATTATATTCTTTGGAGTAGCCATCTACGCGGCTATCTATGGAGTGTCACACGCATACATGATACATTATCTAGTGAATCTTGTTGCAGCCTGGCTTGCAATAATTCATTTGACATTCGATTCCTGGACACTGTCCGGAATAAGCTCGATATTCGAAGGGGAGCCTGCTGAAGATCACAAGCAAGGCAAAAATCCTTGACCATCAGCCCACCTTGGATTACATCTCAATTGCACTCGGGCAGGTCTTCAACATTCTCCCAAAAGATTTGGATATACGCCGACCTCGAGGCCCAGATTCACATATCATATCATTAGATATGAATTCGGACCGGCAATGAGTCTTATTGGAACTTGCTGTTCCTTGTATATATTAACCCCATTCTAACATTGTCGAGAGGGTCAGCGTTGACCATTGAGCTCTCCTTGGCATTCATCTCATAGTTAGAGCTTGCCACCTCGATGTCCTCATCCCATTACCAAGGAGCTTTTCCTCTCATACGAACCTTTCTCATAACCGTTTCTATGACTTCGCATTTGCATTGTTGGTTGGAGTTTGGGTATCGACGGTTCGGCAAGTCTCGTAAACGAATACAGGCTGGTTTTTACCTTCCACAAATTACCTCGTGGCGCATCAAGTCTGTATAACGTTTAGTTAGAGGGTGTCGTTATTGTTGAATCGACAACACTTGGTCGAAATTCTTGTACAAACCTTTTTTTTCTTTCCTAATTTTCAGATACCTAGGGAATCCAAGGCAGGAGGCATAGATTCTTATTCTACTTCGTTTCTCTCGGAGAATTGCACTAACGGATGGTCGGTTGAGGTTGGGGTTCTTCGGAATACAGACTCTAAGGGAAAGGGCAAATTATAGATTTGGTTTCAGGACAAACCAAACCAACAACGCGCGTCCGACAGGCGTATGCACATAATCATAATCTAGAGAGAGAGGGGGAAGGGACACGCCGAGAAAGCTGCCGAAAGGGCCCGATTTGGAAAGACGGCAGCGATGGAAAGCGAGGAAATAATGGATTCGTCCCCTAAAAAAGGGGACTGCGCGCGTTTCCGCTTTGGCTGGCTAGATGCGTAGATGGCGTCTGAGTCATATACTCCCACGATAGCCTACATAAACCACAATAAACCTATGATCAAGAACTTAATAAGAAACTCGCTGTCCGTATTACTAAACTCCTTATGTCAGGCCAAGTGTCGTAATTCCACATCAGGTGTAAACGCACGTAGTGGTTTAAATTATAAAAGCATCGCACAACCTGTTAAACGCGCAATCGACTCTATAGCTCGGATGTAGTACGAATATTGACTTCGAACGTGAAACAAGTAAAAGGAAATCTATTTCCGCCTCAATCTATGTGTAAGTCCCTTTCCCCATTCTATACCGCACCGCACGAACCCCCCCAAAAAACGCCACTCGGATACGGGTTTAAACCATGATATGACATGATAGGATATAGTTTACGTCCGCGCGCCCCCTAAAACCATTGGAAGCTACCTCAGGTATCGAACCGTATAAATGTCTTCCCAAAATCACCATAGGTACTCTAGTCCCGTAACCTACACATACACATACATGTAGGTCCATCTGGCGGCCATCCCGGGCCCCGGGCTCCTTAGTACCATCCCAATACTACATACATATTATGTATTTATACCGCTTTCGCTTCCACCTTTATCTGCTACACTCAGGTAGGTAAGTAGGAACCCCCTACTTCCTACTCTTCCTACCTACTCCCTAGCACGGCTCTTCCCAGCCGACTCCGCGAGCCTCGTCTTCCACTGGTGCCAGATAACCCAGAGGGTGACCACGAGCCCCAAGCCGCACGCGCACAAGGTAACCACGTACGCAGCCCAATAGCACTGCAGGCCGTCCGCGCACGAACTCACGCCATCCCTATCCTTAACAGAGTGCGCATCAAACACGGCGCCGTAAAACAAATTGAACACATTGCTCGAAATGACCGGGCTCAAAGTCATGAAGCCCCAATTCTGGCTCAGGCCGTGAATACCAAAAGACTCGGCGACGATGGACGGGAAGACGCCGAACAAGAAGCCGTAGCCCAGACCGCTGAACCCGGATACGAAGCCGAGCAGGTGCGGGTTCGTCACGTTGAGCGCGCACACCTGCGCGATGGAGAAGATGCCCGAGGCGATGACTAGGCACCACACGCGGCTCGACTTGAGGACCTTTACGAGGAAGTCGGAGCCGACACCGCTAAGGAGACGGCCGGAAAAGCTGCCAATGGAAAGGATGGAAACGTGTAGCTGCTGACGGAGGACGAGAGTCTTGTCGTCGATGGAGTCGTCATAGTGCTTCCAAAGCGCCGTTACGTCGTTTCCGATATTACTGCGATAGAACGTCAGGGCGACGAGGCGCAATCCCGGATGGGGAGGGATAACTCACTTAATGGTCATGAGGCCGATGCCGGAGAGTATGCCCATAATGGAAAACAGTTGCCAAAACTCAATATTCATCAGGAGTTTCATGCCACGGATATCTACACGGTGAGAACGATCCATATCAACACTGCTCTGCACTAAGACTTCACCTGGCAAGGAGGAGGACAAAGTAGACTGAGAGAGAAGCGATGACGTCTCATCGGCACCGTCCTGGTTGCCTGACGCAGCTTCCTCGGCATCGACCGCTTGGGTGGTGGTGGTAGCATTTCCTTTACGGTCTGGGTCTGGGTCTGGGCTTGGGACTGGGGTGTCTCGGATGCTGTGCGCCCCTTCCTCTTGTCCTGAGGCTTTTTGGGTCTTGTTGGTGATGGTGGTTTCAATAGTGTTGGGTGACATACCAGGTTCAGAAGGGTTCCCGCGACCAGCGCGGGCTTTGGATTCCTGCGAAGTAGTACGGTGCAGCTCCCGCGAGTCTGTCATACCTGGCTCCGCATCGGGCACGGCATGATAAGGCGAGTGGGGCGGGAGTACGCGTAAGAAGAAAAATCCAGCGAGGGTCAGGCCGAAAGTGCCATAGGCGAGCAGCATCAGGAACTTGCTCGGGCTTCCGGGAAAGAATATGGAGCCGATTAGAGAGAAAAAGAATGCGCTCAGACCGAAGGCGGCAAGCGGAAAGGCGGTCGCGGTGCCGCGGTGATGTGGCCAATTCAGCGCCGACGTCTTCACGGCCGCGGCGAATGCCATACAACCGCCGAGGCCAGTTAGATACGACACAAAGCACATCCAGGGTACGGACCCGTGACCGGCGTCGTATGCTTGGTGTAGCGGGTAATAGCCGAGCCCAAGTAGGATAGATCCGACGATAACAGCGGGCCGCGGTCCCTTACTATCGACGAACATTCCGACGGGAACACCCATCGAATACATGCCCAGATTACCGGCGAGACCGATCAGGTTGCTCTCAGTCGCGGACAATAGCAGTTTGTCCGCGAATTGAGGTGCCCATGCTGAATAGACATACTGTCGCGCGCTGTCAGGTTGATATCATACCAAGAGGCGCTTTCATCGGAGATAATGGGATCTCTTACGTTTGTTCCGCAGGCCAGCGAGATAACGGTCGCGGCAACGCTCGACACGATGCGAGCATTGTAAACCTGGTCAGAAACAGTCATTTTCGAAAACAGTTAGGGTTATGGCAGAGAAGATGTCATGTCTCTTCCGGCGACGCGATGTTTTACAAAGAAAGAGGCGTATGAGGCTGAGGAGGATGACGAGTACAAAATATCCAAGACACGAGCTGATAACAGAGATCGGAGGCTACGATACAGCACGGCAGGAGCTGCGATGTCGGAAAAAAAGGAAATCCGGGGTATCAATATACTGGATTTCCCATGCCGAACATGAGGATTGGGAACGAATGAAAGAAGAGTAAGTAATCGGGAGTTAGTTGCGGCGAAAGTTAAGGGGGATCGATAGGACGTCGACGAATGTCGCAACAATTACGGGATGCGCTTATCGGCTTATCTCGCCTCAACCCCCTGCTGCTTCGGGCCACGATGCGGCTCGACCATCCTGATTTGGGTTAGCGCCCACCGGTACGTCGGCATACAGTTGAAACTTGGCAGACCAAGCAAGCATGGAGCCCTATCTGATCCGCTCGATTACTAACCTTGGCTCATAGGTAACCTAACACAACCAGCACAACATAAACACTTGGTTCCACTGAATCTTTCCCCGTGTGACAAAGAGGCATGTGACCTCATGTAAAAAAAGGGGTCACCAGCACGAAATATTGATGTTGAAATTGGTAAACGTTGAACTTGAGGGGCTTTGTTTTTACGAGACAACATGCCATACACCGCCCAGTGCATGTCGCACTTTCTGCTAACGTACTGGACCTTCCATCTATACACCATAGGTCTTAGCAGTTGCCTCGATATATGAGAAAGTAAGGTTGCCAAAACAGCTGGAAAGAGCTTGTTGCAAAACCTTGAATTCGATATAACTACCTGTAAGTCAAAGAAAGAGTAACCTATGGATTATATGAAACTTGCTCTCTTGATATCCAGATGCCTACCTGGCTGCCTAGCCTCCAGTTCTTATTTTTCATCTATACCATCATTTTCAGCCATACACATATGCTCGAAACTTTCCACTTTGAACTATCTCAGTTGTAAGCTAAACATTGGCCTCATTCCATCGAAACGGACTTGAAACATTCCCCGTCAATAGATCATATCAACTCCATATCCTTGAGATGACCAGGTTCTCAGATCTACCACCAGAGCTGCGGTTCCAGATTTGGGATTTCGCATTGAAACAGGAAGCACACGATCGCCTCCTCATTGTTTTCGAATATTATTACTTTTCACATCTTCTACTATTCAGACACAATGCAAGTTCTTTCCTATCAGTCAACCGTGAAAGTCGCAACAGAGCCCAGGCCTTCTACTCTGCCAAGTTACCTGTCTATGAGATCCCTAAAGGGCAACTCGAACAATATTTAAAACCACTAAATCGCCCCTATACGATTGATGAAGGTCTCCAGCCAAAAGGGGCCCTCTATATTAGTCTCCAATGGGATATTTTCGTCACAAGTCCGGACAATGACGCAGTCTTGTCCGATATTGAGGCAAAACAGGATGGAAGCTTCTTTGGCACACGACAAGGTTCACTGATGACAACATGCCACTATATTACAAGAAGGTTGCCGGACAAGATAACCTCGAGGATTAGTAATGTCGCCTGTGTGCATAGAACTTCTCCGTGGCGCTATCCAGAAGTCAATAGGGGATACGACTTTATTTATGCACGTCAAATCCCCCACTCGATCAGCCCGTCCAGTGTCTTGCATCTTTGGAGCGTTTTCGATTTCAGGGCGATCAAGAACTATCAGAAGTTGGGCTTAACCGGAGCGGGGATGGAAAGTTTTATCTTCAACGTGGTCGAGCTTGGCGGCCGTGGTTTCTATGAGTTTCGGGATATGGTTGTATATCCGAATGAGAAAATTCCTGGTGCCTGGGTGCTTATCGACCCCGGCGAATTGCAAAAACAAAATCGAAAGGTACCAGAGCCGGAATTAGAACTAAAACCTTACGAAGATTTTTGCGATTGGGTTACCACCAAACAAATCAAAGGTTACGAAATACCAAATTCTCGTGGCCTTGATGAACCAACGGAATCGCCGACATAAACGAGCATGTTGCACTTCTACATGCGCACAATGATTTCATGGCTAACTACTTTAGTTTCTTTAGCTTGAAAAGTCCAATACATCAGTCATCACAAGATGCCAAATTTGAGAGGAGTGGGAGGAATTGGTAAGCAAGTCATAATAAAGCTATCTGGGCTGGTACAATTGTAATAATATAGACGGGATAGATGGACCAGTGGAAGTAGATGCACAATCGTCGTACTACGCAGTAATGGCCCTAAGACTAATATATAGCTTCGGCTTATCCAATTCCGTACGCGGTGATTTGAGCTCCGAATGCCCCTTTCGTGAATCAGATTAACGAATAACAACCATCAAGAATCAATGTGACGAATATTTTCAAGAGAAATAGGCTGAGATTCGACCGCTCGGGATAGGAAACAAAGAATCGATATAGTGGTTACAAATACGCCACCTTGGCCCGGATCGTACTGTTGCATCCTATATAGGTAGATGGCTGGTAGTCCTTGGTATAGAAATCCCGGTTGTAGATAAAGGCATACGTCTCTCGCTAAACCTAACGCTCATTTTTTACTACCTAACTACCCTTTCCCCTAAAAGTTTCTCGTCGTTTTGCCTCGCCAAGTGAAACAGTATAACCACAAGAGTCTATTCGGTTCCCCTTTACTATGCCTATATCAACCTCCTCTCTCCTGACGCTACTTGGTGCCTTCGTCACCACGACTCTGGGACACGGGTACGTGACCGGGTACGTGGCGGACGGCGTGCAGGAACCCGGGTTCCTGTTGCAGTACTACTACGACAAGAAGAATGGGATGAGCGTGCCGCCGCTCGCGGCGTGGTACGCGGAGAACCTCGACAGCGGCTTCGTGGCGCCCGACGCGTACCAGACCGCCGACATCAACTGCCACAAGAACGCGGCGCCCGGCTCGCTCACGACGACCGTCAAGGCCGGGGCCCAGATCACGTTCCAGTGGGGCACGGCGGCGGGGGGCGCGTGGCCACACCCGTACGGCCCCATCATCGACTACATCGCGCCGTGCGACGGCGACTGCAGCGAGGCGGACAAGACGAAGCTCAAGTGGGTCAAGATCCAGGCGACGGGCATCGATCCCGCGACGCAGGAGTGGGCCAGCGCGAAGCTGATCGCGGAGAATAATACGTGGACGACGACGATCCCGGCGAGCATCGCCCCGGGGAATTACGTCCTGCGCCACGAGATCATCGCGCTGCACGGCGGCGGCAGTCTGAATGGCGCGCAGAGCTACCCCCAGTGCTTCAACATCGCGATCACGGGCTCTGGTACGGCGAAGCCGGAGGGTACGCTGGGCACGGCGCTGTATAAGAATACGGACCCCGGCATTCACTTCAGTCCGTATGGCACGATTACGGATTACCCGATGCCGGGCCCTGAGCTGTTCACTGGTTAGATAGATGGGGGTGGTTTAGGGGTTGTTATGTTAGTCTTGATATACGTGTATATAGGTAGTCAAGTGCGCTTCATTATTCCCACGCATTCGAATAAAGTGAAGATGGTGCAAAGTGACAACCGTAGATTTTCTGGAAGACGAGTGAATATTGTACCTCGTTACTTACCTACCGACTACCAACAATTGACATCATATTTTCAAAGATTCATGGTGACAAGCCGCTCCAAGAAAGCACACTTCTAGGGATCGACTGAATGTATATAGAGCTTGCTAATGAATAAAGTATTCAGCTCAGTTGCTAGTATTCGAGATGATTACTTCATCTTACCTATATGCAACGAGATGACACGTAGTTCCACTTATGTAATATGTACGATATAGACATTTTGTATTCATTTAACAAGTATATCGCTATAAGAGAAGATTACTATATTTTTCCCTTAGTAGCATGACCCCTACGTAATAGATGGCCCGTGCTCATTTTCCCGTCGCAACCGTCACGCCAGACATCAGCCCGGCGGCAACGCCTCAACATTATCACCACTTTTCTTCGTTCTTTTTCTGTTTCCTATTTTTCTTTTAACCGACATCTCGACGATTCACTTCGAATAAGGCAAAGATAATAAAGTAATCCGGCATTGCGATTCACCATACAAGATGGGAGCGCTCCTATCTATTCCCATGCTGGCGATACCCAGCGCTGGCACGGTACGTTGCAGCCTCGGTACTTCTGTTAGGTTTATCGCCGACTGACATTCGCATAGCTGATGTCCTTCGCGGCCAGTTGCTGTGGTGCAGCCACCTGCTCCATGGTCTGTAGCGCCTGCGGGAAGTGTGGCAACAGGTAGGAAGATAATCGAGACTCCGTCGCAAAGTCATCAGCTAACGTCGAATCCAAGTGTTGCTACCCGTATCGCCTACGCCCTCCTCCTCCTCGTCAACTCAATCCTTTCGTGGATTATGCTCACCCCCTGGGCCATCGAAAAGCTGCAGCACTTGATGTTGGACTATGTTAAGATCAATTGTCCCAACGGCCAATGCTACGGATGGCTCGCCGTTCACCGAATCAACTTCGCCCTCGGCCTTTTCCACCTTATCTTCGCCGGCCTCCTGTTCGGCGTCGCATCCTCGAAGAACCCGCGAGCCGCCCTACAAAACGGTTTCTGGGGTCCCAAGATCATCGCCTGGCTCGCGTTCGTCGTTATGTCCTTCCTGATCCCCGATGCTTTCTTCCAGGTTTGGGGTAACTACATCGCCTTCATCGGCGCCATGCTCTTCCTCATCCTCGGCCTCATCCTACTCGTCGATCTCGCGCACACTTGGGCCGAATACTGCCTCGAGCAGATCGAAAACACCGACTCCCGAATCTGGCGGGGCGTGCTCATCGGCTCGACGCTAAGCATGTACCTAGGCTCGCTCGCGATGACGATAATCCAGTACGTCTTCTTCGCCCGCAGCGGGTGCTCGATGAACCAGGCGGCCATCACCATCAACCTGATCTTCTGGCTCGCGATTTCCTTTGTTTCGGTAAACCCCACGATCCAGGAGTACAATTCCAAGGCTGGGCTGGCGCAGGCCGCCATGGTCGCCTTCTACTGCACGTACCTAACCATGTCGGCCGTCTCGATGGAGCCCGACGACAAGCAGTGCAACCCCCTGATCCGCGCCCAGGGCACGCGCACCACATCCGTCGTCATCGGCGCCATCGTCACCATGCTTACCGTCGCGTACACGACCACCCGGGCGGCAACCCAGAGCCTGGGATTGGGTAACAACAGGGGCGGCATCAAGCTCCCAGACGAGGACGAGCACGATCTAGTAACGCAGCAGCCAGGCCGCCGGGAGATGCGCGCGGAAGTCCTGCGCCGCGCCGTCGAGGAAGGAAGTCTGCCGGCCGACGCCCTGTTATCGGACGACGAGGACGAGGACGACGGCGGCAAGAAGACGGCGGGCGACGACGAGAGGAGCAGCACGCAGTACAACTACTCCGTCTTCCACGTCATCTTCTTCCTCGCCACGTGCTGGGTCAGCACGCTGCTCACGGGCACGGTCGAGGGGCTCGACCAGAACCCGTCCGACGGCGACTTCGCGACCGTCGGCCGCACGTACTGGGCTAGCTGGGTCAAGATCGTGAGCGCGTGGATCTGCTACGGCATGTACATATGGACGCTGGTCGCGCCGATCGTGTTTCCGGAACGGTTCTTCGATTTTTCGTGAGGTCGGAGGTTGTTGCGTTCCTTTTTGCGATTTTTGCGATTTGATTTTGTGAGGGGAGGGAGAGATGGTTGTGCCCTGTATAGTTAGACTTGTAGAAGTATGAGTTTGTGGTTGAACTCCCTAAGTACGTACATACGTACGTGCTTAGGTAGGCCAGGCTAGGCTAGAATGCAGATGCGTTGGATGCGGTAATGAGACGCTGTTCTATGCCCAGTATTACGCTTTGCGTGAGTTGACTTGATTTGACTTTGTGATATGCATTGTAGATTCATGGTTAGATTGTCTACCTGCATGACAACTTGGATGTCTTGGCGTCGTCTGATATGCGGGCATGGCATAGGAGCTTGGCTAGGTCGTGATTACAATTCTATCTTGAATATCATTTTGGGGGTGGAAATAGGGGTGTTTGGTATCTTGCCTTACGGGTGATTCTACATGGATATGGGATAACTGGTAGTGTAGGGGGCTTCTGAAGATGTCATGGGTAGGGTAGCATTCCACTGATCAAGGTCGCTACGTATATGCAGGTAGGTCATAATAACATGTGCTTTTAGATGATTGCTGTCGGATGGGTAAGTATGTTGCTACTAGTTCCTAAAGTTGGGATGACTCTAAGGTATCGTGACGGCGATCTTTAAGGGCATATCTTATGTTTCTAGAGCTACCTAGATAGGTTCTTGGATTCATATAATCTTTATAGATTTCTATATTTGCCATTTCGTCCAAATCTTATTGGCCCTTTCCTGCTCGCTGAGGTTGGCGGATGTGTCCAGATCAATCCGAGACTAGAGACAACTATAAGGTCCGTTGGGACGACTTATGGGATACATGGATCGTCCTGAGTTATGACAAGTACCATCTCCGCAGATATCAGATAATGCCAAGCGCGAATGAGAGAGAGAAAAATGGAAATATAAACCCAAGAAAAATTCCGTATGGAGGTCGTTTATCGAGTCATTCTAACGACTTGCGGGGAGAGAACTGTTGGCCATCACTCATTGCATAGACTTTTAGTCCTTACCTACAAACGCCAACTCTCACAAAGGGGTCCCCTCTTCCTCCCTTACATTGTTCCGCCCCTCCCGAGCTCTCTTCTGTCCATACTTGGTTTTGTTCATGCTCCAGGTCGTTTTCTGATCCTGTACGATAGAAAGATTCAACGGTTGACAAAAACAAAATGGCTTCGAAAACCGACTATGTCTTCCCTCGAGACTTCATTGACAACACTCGGTGTGTCTTTTCCGCATTTCTCAGCGAATCACTCATAAATAGGTAGATGAGTGGCAATGAATTTGAACTAACGGAAAAATATAATTATAGCATCAACTTGATGCACCATATTTGGACCAAAATCTTCGGGTACAATATCCATCCAAAGATCCCCTCCGAGGCTGCGAACCTCAGGATAGCAGATGTCGGGACTGGAACTGGGTGCGTATCGAGTCCTATTCTCTGCTCTTGATGGAAGTAGCTAAATTGGGACTATGGCTGTAGAATCTGGCTTTTTGACGTTCGAGACAAGCTCAATCAGGCTCAGTTGGATGGCTTCGATATCTCGTTCGATGCGGCGCCACCAAGCGAGACACTTCCACCCCAAGTAGCCTTCCGGCATTGGGACGTTAAAAGTGATGTCCCAGAAGATCTCGTCGGTGTATATGATATAATCAACGTCCGTCACTTCGGCTTTGTCCTCCTTAACGATGATATCCCAAGCGTTGTGGCCAAACTAATCAGTTTACTAAGTACGTTACAAAGATTCACTTTCCAACTACTGAGTCGATGACTGATCCGAGTGTGGCAGAGCCTGGCGGCTATCTTCAATGGGGAGAGGCCGACATGGAAACGTTGCGCTTCGACATAACCAAGCCTGGGAACAAAACTGACAATCTGGTCGAACTCTTCAAACTCCTGGCTGTCCAGGATGACCGGCTCAAACCAACTTGGGTCCGTCATCTCCCCGAGATATTCGCGAAAGCTGGATTCGTGGATGTCGAGAAGGACATGCAGGACGCGCTACCTCATCTGGCTTTCATTTTCCATGAAGCCGGCCTTATGATACATGATCTGATCGCGCGCAAGACCAAGAACGAGCATATGGCTCGTGAGTTGAGGCGTCTTATTCCCGCTGCTGCCGAGGAGACCAAGCAGGGAGCTTATGGGACTTCGCTAAGAGTCACAGTGATTGGAAGGAAGCCGTGAGAGACATATCTGAATGTAGAAGTTATGAAAAGACAGGCTCAGAGAACCATATCGTAAATCTAATCTTATATCCCGCCCAGTGCGGGTCGCACTTTCTTCTCGCAATTACCTATACCAACGCCAGGAGAATCGGGGCATGGTTGTCCAATGAGAGACTTTGGTGTAATTAACTTCCAATGTTAAAAAGCAAGATAAGGGACGGCGGACGATAATACCGAATCCGTTAACCCGTTAATTTATTTTATATATTACGATATATATTATATAAATATATAATAAACTTTAATTATTAATATTATATTTTATTATTTATAAAAATTATAATATTAAAAAATATTATAAATTATAAAAAATTATAACGTTTTTTAATTTATATATTATTTATAACGTATTAAATTTAAATAATAAATAATTTAAATTTAATATTATATATTAAAAATAATTTTTTATTTATTTTATTTAAAAATA